CCAATGCAGGACTCGAACCTACGCTTACAACCTGGTAGGCCGTAGCCTTAACCACTCGGCCATCGGATTATATGTTGATAGCAGCCTTAATATATACGTCATTGCGGTAGCCCAGTGGTTAAGGCTACGGCCTACCAGGTTGTAAGCGTAGGTTCGAGTCCTGCATTGGAAAGGTTCGATTTTTCCCACCGAAATTACTATTTAATTTAAAATTCATCGAAAAGAATTAGGTCAAATAAAGAACAATAGATTTCGACAAATGATGCGGTGGTCTAGTGGTTAAGACATTCGTTTCTCACTCCGAGGACAAACGTTTCAACTCCTGGCAATGCAAAAAAATTGGCTGAAAAATTTCGGTATGATTTTGGAAGCCTTAAAACAGTTAAAAGTCTTCTCGGCCTTTGCGAAAGACTGTAAATTGAAAAAAATTTGAAATAAAAAAAATGATAACAAATTCTCGCGTTCAAAAGTACTTAAAAATTGAAAGGAAAGCACAATTAAAAAAAGTTTTAAAAACGTGTGTCTTCTAAAAAGACTGAAAATTTAAAAAGTCAGTAAAAAAATTAAAAAATTTCCCGCTTTTAAAAAACTCATGTTTACTTACCAAAATTTTTTTTCACGAAAATTTGACAGGGTGATTTTCTCGAGACTGAAAAAATTTAATTTTTTTCACTTTTTTGAAATTCTCTTAGATTTTTTTTTCGACGCGAAAGTATTTTGTCTTGGGCTACCTGTGTCAAGCCAGACACAGGTAGCCCAAGACAGACACAGGTAGCTCAAGACAAAATACTTTCGCGTCGAAAAAAAAATCTAAGAGAATTTCAAAAAGTGAAAAAAATTAAATTTTTTCACTCTCGAGAAAATCACCCTGTCAAATTTTCGTGAAAAAAAATTAAGTTAAGTAAGCATGAGTTTTCTAAAAGCGGGAAATTTTTAAATTTTTTTTTCCGTCTGACTTTCTTCATCCAGTTCAGGCTTTTTAGAAGACACGTGTTTTTAAAACTTTTTTAATTGTGCTTTTCTTTCAATTTTCAAGTACTTTTGAACGCGAGAATTTGTTTTCATTTTTTTTATTTCAAATTTTTTTCAATTTACAGTCTTTCGCAAAGGCCGAGAAGTCTTTTGACTGTTTTAAGGCTTCCAAATCACACCGAAATTTTTCAGGCCATTTTTTTTTGCATTGCCAGGAGTTGAAACGTTTGTTCTCGGAGTGAGAAACGAATGTCTTAACCACTAGACCACCGCATCATTTGTCGAAATCTATTGTTCTTTATTTGACCTAATTCTTTTCGATGAATTTTAAATTAAATAGTAATTTCGGTGGGAAAAATCGAACCTTTCCAATGCAGGACTCGAACCTACGCTTACAACCTGGTAGGCCGTAGCCTTAACCACTCGGCCATCGGATTATATGTTGATAGCAGCCTTAATATATACGTCATTGCGGTAGCCAGTGGTTAAGGCTACGGCCTACCAGGTTGTAAGCGTAGGTTCGAGTCCTGCATTGGAAAGGTTCGATTTTTCCCACCGAAATTACTATTTAATTTAAAATTCATCGAAAAGAATTAGGTCAAATAAAGAACAATAGATTTCGACAAATGATGCGGTGGTCTAGTGGTTAAGACATTCGTTTCTCACTCCGAGGACAAACGTTTCAACTCCTGGCAATGCAAAAAATTGGCTGAAAAATTTCGGTATGATTTTGGAAGCCTTAAACAGTTAAAAGTCTTCTCGGCCTTTGCGAAAGACTGTAAATTGAAAAAAATTTGAAATAAAAAAATGATAACAAATTCTCGCGTTCAAAAGTACTTAAAAATTGAAAGGAAAGCACAATTAAAAAAAGTTTAAAAACGTGTGTCTTCTAAAAGACTGAAAATTTAAAAAGTCAGTAAAAAAATTAAAAAATTTCCCGCTTTTAAAAAACTCATGTTTACTTACCAAAATTTTTTTCACGAAAATTTGACAGGGTGATTTTCTCGAGACTGAAAAAATTTAATTTTTTTCACTTTTTTGAAATTCTCTTAGATTTTTTTTCGACGCGAAAGTATTTTGTCTTGGGCTACCTGTGTCAAGCCAGACACAGGTAGCCCAAGACAGACACAGGTAGCTCAAGACAAAATACTTTCGCGTCGAAAAAAAATCTAAGAGAATTTCAAAAAGTGAAAAAAATTAAATTTTTTCACTCTCGAGAAAATCACCCTGTCAAATTTTCGTGAAAAAAAATTAAGTTAAGTAAGCATGAGTTTTCTAAAAGCGGGAAATTTTTAAATTTTTTTTTCCGTCTGACTTTCTTTCCAGTTCAGGCTTTTTAGAAGACACGTGTTTTTAAAACTTTTTTAATTGTGCTTTTCTTTCAATTTTCAAGTACTTTTGAACGCGAGAATTTGTTTTCATTTTTTTTATTTCAAATTTTTTTCAATTTACAGTCTTTCGCAAAGGCCGAGAAGTCTTTTGACTGTTTTAAGGCTTCCAAATCACACCGAAATTTTTCAGGCCATTTTTTTTTGCATTGCCAGGAGTTGAAACGTTTGTTCTCGGAGTGAGAAACGAATGTCTTAACCACTAGACCACCGCATCATTTGTCGAAATCTATTGTTCTTTATTTGACCTAATTCTTTTCGATGAATTTTAAATTAATAGTAATTTCGGTGGGAAAAATCGAACCTTTCCAATGCAGGACTCGAACCTACGCTTACAACCTGGTAGGCCGTAGCCTTAACCACTCGGCCATCGGATTATATGTTGATAGCAGCCTTAATATATACGTCATTGCGGTAGCCCAGTGGTTAAGGCTACGGCCCACAAGGCTGTAAGGGTAGGTTCGAATCCTGCATGGGAAAGGTTCGATTTTTCCACCGAAGTTACTATTTAATTTAAAATTCATCGAAAAGAATTAGGTCAAATAAAGAACAATAGCTTTCGACAAATGATGCGGTGGTCTAGTGGTTAAGACATTCGTTTCTCACTCCGAGGACAAACGTTTCAACTCCTGGCAATGCAAAAAAATTGGCTGAAAAATTTCGGTATGATTTTGGAAGCCTTAAAACAGTTAAAAGTCTTCTCGGCCTTTGCGAAAGACTGTAAATTGAAAAAAATTTGAAATAATTTGAACGAAAAAAATTTGAACGATTTTTTCAATGTTCCAAAAACAAACCAAATATGCTGAAAAAGCAAAGACATTAGTGACACTAAATATTTAAAGCCTTTTTATTTTTTAAGCATGTCAACACATTTTCAGAAAATTTTCAAAATTCGTCAATTTTAGCCACAATTGTAAGGGTGTGCCCTTTACCGTTTTTGCCAATATTGAAGATTTTTTCAATTTATCAAAAAACATACCAAATATGCTGAAAGAGCAAAGAGATTAGTTATAGGAAATATTTGAAGCTATTTTAAGCAATTTTAACACATTTTTAGAAAATTTTAAAAGTCGTCAATTTTGGCCAAAATTGTGAGGCGTATCCTTTACCATTTTGGGTAAAATTGACGATTTTTTCAATGTTCCAAAAACAAACCAAATATGCTGAAAAAGCAAAGACATTAGTGACACTAAATATTTAAAGCCTTTTTAAGCATGTCAACACATTTTTTAGAAAATTTTCAAAATTCGTCAATTCTAGCCACAATTGTAAGGGTATGCCCTTTACCGTTTTTGCCAAAATTGATGATTTTTTCAATTTTCCAAAAACATACCAAATATGATGAAAAAGCAAAGAGAGTTGTTATAGGAAATATTTGAAGCCATTTTTAGCATGTTAACTTATTTTTAGAAAATTTTCAAACGTCGTGAATTTTGGCGAAAATTGTAAGGCGTACCCTTACCATTTTGGGCAAAATTGACCATTTTTTCAATGTTCCTAAAATGAACCAAATATGCTGAAAAAGCAAAGAGATTAGTCCTGGTAAATATTCGAAGCTATTTTAAGCAATTTTAACACGTTTTTACAAAATTTTAAAAAGTCGTCAATTTTGGCCAAAATTGTGAGGCGTGCCCTTTACCGTTTTTGCCGAAATTGACGATTTTTTCAATTTTCCAAAAACATACCAAATATGCTAAAAAAGCAAAGAGATTAGTCCTAGTAAATTTTTGAGGCTATTTTAAGCAATTTTAACACATTTTTAGAAAATTTTAAAAAGTCGTCAATTTTGGCCAAAATGTTGAGGTTAGTGGGTCAATGTTCCAAAAACATACCAAAAAAGCAAAGTGAGCGAAGAGATTAGTCTTAGTAAATATTTGAAGCTATTTTAAGCAATGTTAATACATTTTTAGAAAATTTTTAAGTCGTAAATTTGGCCAAAATAGTAAGGCGTAGCTTTACCATTTTGGCCAAAATTGATGATTTTTTCAAATGTTCTAAAAACATACCAAATATACTGAAAAAGCAAAGAGATTAGTTATAGTTAATATATTTGAAGCCATTTTAAGCATGTTAACACATTTTTAGAAAATTTTAAAGGACCCTTACCATTTTGGCCACAATTGACGATTATTCAGTTCAATTTTCCAAAAACCTACCAAATATGCTGAAAAGCTAAATAAATTTGTCTTAGTGAATATTTGAAGCCATTTTCAGCGTATTAAGTATAAATACAGGCCCAACTCACTTGTACTAGTTAGTTTCTTGCGTGACTCAACCCTCCTCTCTCCCCTATACAGGCTACAGCAGCACAGCTCCACGAAATTTTGGTGAACCGTTACGACAGGGACGATACTAACCTCGCTGGTCTTTGTTTTTTTTAGTAGGGTTAAGCACAGTTTTTTAGCCTTCTCTTTCTTGGTCGGATGCTGTTCGGGATACCATTTCCATCCCTACCGATCGACAGCAGGCAAAGAATAGTGCATGTAATGGCGTGGATTTATATGTACGGATTGCGGGTTAATAAAGCGTGTTAAAACGTTAAAAATTTTCATCCCTTAAAGAACCAATATCTTTATTCCTTAAAGATCCAATATGAAAGCAGTGGTATTTTTTAAAATTTTTAATAAAGTCTTTAAAAATTTTGACAAGTAATTAAAATATTTTAAATTTTTGACATACATACTAGTGTTTTCTTAAGTGGGACATTGTTAAAGCAATGTTAGTCAGAGATCATTTAACAATCTCCCTCCTTTTCAACCTACAATTGACACAACGGGTACAGCCTATAAACCCGTCGCTAAATTACTAAATCCTTTAACTATAAATTAACTCTCTTGTCAAGATACATTCGATGCTGTCACATGTATTAATAATAAATATCCCATGCACGCAAATTATTTGCAGAGGGATATAGAAAACTGTTAACATAATTTTAAAACGTACATGATTCCAAACTGGTACAAACGCACCGGAAGAAACGCAGCCTCAATGCAAGAAACTAATTTTAGATTCCTGTATACTAAAACAATTTTCTCACATAAAATGAATATTTTAAACAAACTAATGCTGTTTCAATGGGATCGCTCTTAAGTCCTATACTTTAGCTAAGATAATAATGTCTGAATTTGAAAACATATTTGTTAAATTCTTGATTAACTGTGGCATTATTGTTTTCTACAAACGCTTTCCCTATGCACATGACACTTTAGTTTTAACCAAAGTACCAACTTTTCTCTAACGGTGGCACTATCGCCTATCGCAAACCAACCCATACTGGTCAATATAAACATTATGCATAGTGGTGTGATGAATTTAATTTCTTAAAAAACATCCTTGAGATAATCCCAAATGAACAAAACGCTGACATTATATGTTCAATAACAGATTAAATCGAAGTTTCTAATGTTTTATCATATTGCCACCAGCGTCAATACCTGTTGATAGCATGCGCGATTTTATAGTTTCAGGTACAATAACAGTATTCTCTCATGTGATGATGTGTCTCTACAATACATTTAGGTTGATCTCCGTATCGGTCAATGCGGCTCATTTGTTTATTGACCAATACAGACCCAGAACTTAACTGGACTGTTGCTTCAAATATACCATTATTTGGCATTGTTCCAATCTGCAGTTGATAATGACATACACCTAAAATATATAAACATAATTTTTAACAAAGCAAACTTTTAAAATCATTCTTTTAACTTTAAGTTAGGACAAGTATTTAAGACAAATTACGATATGTCTGCCTGGGCATATATACATGTCCACACTGCCAGACTGCAAAATCATGGCGCAAAAACTTTGCAACTTAACCACGTTCTTTTAGAAACATAAAGAAGACATTTACCTTTAGGTTTTGCACCCTTGGAAGCTTTCCTTCCATCTTCATCCGATTTCTCAAACGTCTGTACGTCTTCATTTGGTGATATCTTCACCGCGGATTTAATTTCCTTTAAAGTCAATAAAGCACATTTACCAACTAAGTTTTCATTCCTTATCAGGCCATTTATATAGTCTAAAATTGCAAGTGCGCTTTTCTTGATGTGTTTATGATTTACAGCAACGGGTTTCCACTCCATACACGGACAAAAATGAGTGGGAATCCCAGTCTCCTTGCACACCCTGTCACCAAGTTCTGTGAAGAGACTTCTACCATAACCGACATTTGTGGGTAAAGAAGGATATGAAAGGATATGACGGAATGTTGCATGAACATCTAGTGGTGATGTCAATACATCCAGATTTCCACGAATATTTTTAACAAATTCTGGATAATCTTTCTCAAACCAATCAGGAACAGTAATAGAAAGAAAAGGTAGGCGTTCCTCCATTTTCCCAATAACAGTTGTTCGTACTGAACCAAAGCGAATACCATGATCCCCAAAGGTCACCAAGATTGTGTTATCAAGGTAATGTCGTTCTTTCATTAGTTTAAAAAACCCGAGTAAGTCATTCTCCATTAAAGACAAGTCATTCAGCCGACTGTGACAAATATCGGAAAAGAATGTCATCCCAAATTTGGGTGTTTTGGGATAAGCTTCAAACATACTTCGTACCATTTCTAGACTAGCATTGTGAATAGCTTGTGATTCTATACAGTGTCCTTTCAAGCTTCCTAGACCGATCTTAAACCAAGGCGCTTTTGCACTTATACCTGCATACCAATATGGCAAGAGATAATGATCCATTGGTGGATCACAAAACCCCATCAGGCGATAAGTAAATGCACCGAGGTCAACCTCGTCTTCGTTGAACATTGTGGCGTAACCATAGTCCCGAAAATCTTTGAAAATCCATGGCCAGTTATCAAGACATTTCGCACCTTTCATCCTAAAAATGTAATGCCCTTAGTGTAAGAAACGTACCTGGAGTGTAATAAACATACAAACAGTAGTTTAGTAGTTGCCAAATTTACTCCTCTCAAAAGTAGAATTGCATTGCAAGTTGCAAGAAAAATTGCACGGGGTAACAGGGCCTTTAGACTTCAAATTTGGTGCATGAGCAAAAAGATTTATAAATGCTCAAGAAAATATGACTTGCTTAAAAACGAGTCGTCCAAATTAATAAGCTTGTGCATACTTTAAACCTCAAAACGGCCATTTCACAGCTGTTAATTGTGTATGAGACGTCAAAAGATTGCATAGTGACTGTATAATGTGTACTCAGTAGAAAAATGGAACTTTTTCAACTAATTCAACAGTATTCTCTTTGATAACGATACGAAAATGCCCAATTGTGAACCAGTAATTAGATTTTCGGCGTTGAAACTTCATAAACACCAACTTCTGCGATTCCTTTCAACCTGTAATTTACGAGCCCTGCTTACACTAACGTGACCTGCATTCTTACCTGTGTCGTCCCTCAGGTAGTTGTTCCTCTTTTCGTCCAGTTAACAATGCCAGTAAAGCCGGTGTAGTACCATCACCCACTATTGAGTAACCATTAAATATGAACGATCTTAAATCATCTTTCAAATATTTATAAACTTTTCCTAATTTTCTTTGAAAGTGAGAATGCGCTGTCGAGTCCAAACCAATCATAATAACATTCAATGAAGCCAGTCCTTTCTTTGTTGATCTTTTTAAAACGTTTGGTTTAGGTGAGATTTTCAAATGGAAGTCAGTTTGTACTTGACCACTCGTAGTCACGACGTCGACTCTAATCATGTCCTCATTGATGGTAACTTGAGGTTTCTCTTGATTCAGTATTCCGGATGAGGTTAAGATGAATTTTGACCCATCTCCAGGTTTTACTTTGATAACTTTCCAAATTACCTTTGTTATCATTCCTGTTTCAAAATAAGTAAATTTATATATAACAGACAAATTCTACCCTCTTTCCACTTGTGGTAATATGTCAAGAACCAAACTTAGTAATATCAAAGCAGCATGGAAGCATCTTGTAATTACTTTGCATAAAATGTGGTTTAACAACTGCCTAAAATAGACCAAACTAAGAGCCTTCCTCAGTAGAGTAAAGGCGGATTTCCAGTTACAGCGAAATCGTTCGCTGGCGAAATATTTGCATCTTTTCTTTTGAATTGAGAACACTCAAGTCGCACTAATTTATTTATGCTGTTTAAATTCAAAAGAAAATATGCTAATATTTCGCTAGCGAACGATTTCGCTGTAAGTGGAAATCTGCCTTAAGTAATTGATTACACTTCACACACTGTAACAACTACCTTGACAAAGCAGCCCTACTTCAATCATTCTATAAAAAAATGCCTTACCTCTTGTTTCAGGATTAATTTTTAATGTTCCATTTTCATACAGTGTTAAATCTTTGTGGCCAGAACATGTGAAACTGGCTGGTTTAAACATCACCCCCATTATACTTCTATCAAAAGGATCTAGATTAGGAAGATTACATCTTCTCTTTTTAGCAGCCACATCTTTCTCATTTATGCTTTCCTGAAACAAATACAGAATTACAGCTTACACATATTGGAAAATTCTATCAACAGATTATGACAAAATGCTATTAAGGTGCCATTTCACTGGAAGTGAACCTTGTCATAAAAAAAATAACTCAATTACTGACTATGACTTAAAACTTTGACATGATCATACCAATGTATCAGCACAGACTTCGAACATCCCAGTGATGTTTATAAGTGATGCATATGATTTCTTCACAAATAAAGTCAGCCCTGCTGCAAAAATGTTCTTTCCATGAAATGATTGTTTCAATGTAACTGTCTTCATTCCTTGGTTCGCCACAAAACCTTTACAGAGCTCACCCAATGCATCACATTTCTTAATTCCAAATGCTTCTAAATTTCTTTGGGTACTGACAAACGTACAAGATGACGTTTTTAGTGATTCCTCACATGTAAAATCACCAATATTCGGGAAATCAGCATTGTCAATCTAACAAAAAAAAATGAAAAACTAAAAAAAAACTGGATCATGATGCTGAATTATAACTACTGTGTATGAATTATAACACTACCACACTAATAGCAATTGCGTTTCCTTTGGTGCCTTAATTGATGCAATTTTGCAAATTTTGTTAAATTTAGAGCAAAATATCCATGACACAGCAGTCACAAAGGCAATGTAAACATCAACAAAATATTGAGCTTTCAAGATCAAGCCCATAACCTTTTAATATTTTTTGTGTTTTAAGTATATTTTGTTAGTTACAATACAGGAATTATGGGCATTTCCAATAATCTAGCAGCTCCAAATAAAAGCTTTTTACTCAGTATCCTGTTCAAGGAGTGTATAAAGTCATAAAAGGACAAGTCCTGAAGGGAACTGAGGCGAGTATAAACAAATTATGTACTGTAAGTAATTTCAGACTCAAAAGCTTATTGTTTGGTGAACATTGCTTGCATTATTTGACAACTCAGCTCATTCTAGTCATTCATTTTAAAGCTTTCAAAAAAGCATGTATCATGTATGCCCATAAAAGTGATAAAACAAGTTTTAAGGTTCTGCCCATCTATTACATATTCAAATTGCTTTTTTATTACTTTACAGCGCTAAGGTGTAAATGACTAATCTAGTATCTTCATTAAAAATATTCTAATATAATTTACCTTAATATATTTAGTATTTAAGTACCCTTTGATTAGCCATACAACACAAAGTGATAAAATACCAAGTAAAAATACGATTCGCCTTCTTGCAAGTCTTCGAAAAATTAAAAATTTTCTCTGTGACAACATATTAAGCAGTCATGATATTTTGTTACCAAATTGCATATATTCTTGCTTTTCTTTGGACATCTCCGTCGAATTTTTTTGCAAAATGTGCATTTTCAAAATGCCGCCGCCATGTTTGTTATATTTTAAACAGTGCTTCCACTTACCAAATCTAAAGAAAACGGTGAAAGAAACCCAGAAACTGGCAAAAAAACTGGCACAGAAACCTAAAACTCGACTGGTCTGACTATCTCATTTATCTGTCTGAACCTTGGAACTTGAGAATTTATCCACTTTCTAGAACTAATCGTGAAAGTTCGTTTTATATGCATATAAACATCAATTGTTGTTAGTAAAGGTGGGTATACTATCCATGGATATAGAGACCTGTGCTATTATATTTATATATTGTAAAAATGAAGAACTGACCTTCCATATGGATGAAATATATTTAAAAAATGTGTGGTCACTTTGGTTTGGGATAGATTGCTAAAATAATAATTGTATTTATAATGCAGGTCGTGAAAATACTGCCAACATCTTCAAGGAGTAATTACTTGATTATTAAAGTTGATTTATGCTTGCTTTTTTGTTACATCTAAAATACCAGGATATCCACCAACCCACGAATGTACTGTAAACTGTAAAATGAGAACTGGTTGGTTAAGAGCAGTGAAATTTCTTAGTGATATATATTGCGAAAAGGAATGGATTAATTTATTTATAGATCTATCCACGTAGATCACCGTATGGTGTATCCTACACTGCTATAGTAAACTAGTAGGAACTAATAATGTTGATCACATCTATTTACTAAGCATGCATGCAATGAAAAAGGTTACTCTCTCTTCCAGATTGAGCTATTTGAAAGTGCTGAAATTATGAAAGCTGCAGTTTTATCACTGACCTATCATGGAAGTTGTGCTATCTTTCACATGTATGCTATCCATTGGCTAATGTTCAAAATTGGTTTGAACATCTTGGAAATGGCAAGTTTCTTCACTGTGTGGACCACAGTATTCCATCTTTTAATGTTTCTAACCTTGGCAGCTCATGATGCTGGGAAAATATTTAATGAACAGACAACTAAGCATAGAAACAGTTCTTTAAAAAATATAGATAGTGTTATAAATAATGAGGGCTTCCTTGGCCTTTTCATTCATTTAGCTGTTGTGATGAGCTCGTTCACTCAATTTGTATTTTGGTTGCTTTTTTACATTGACCGAGAAATGATTCTTCCAGAGACAGCAGGTATCCCATCATTTCTCAATCATATGCTACATACCTTACCACTACTTTTAGTCTTGGTTGCTGTTAATTTATTTGCCAAAAATTTTCCAAGTACAAAAGAAGAAAGACATTGTCAAACTGTAGCTCAGACTGGTGTAAAGTTAGTTAGTTTTGTTGCTTTTACATATTTAATTTTGATATGGATATTGTTTGAATTGAAAGGTGTGTGGCCATACCCTTTCATGTTCTCGTTCACTCGAATGGACTACATTAAGTTTAGTTCATGTGTTTTCATATTTTCTTTGGCTTTATGTTATATCTGTTCTTTTATTGAAAGCAAAATTAAAAATATCTCAATTTTGTAACCTTCAGTTGGTTTATCAAGTTTGAGTTGAAGATTATGGTCATATGCATGCATCTCTTTGAAGAACGTTCTCGTCATTTTTATCCGGTTATTTAGACGCCTTGAGGTGAAATGTTTTATATTGAATTACCTAATGCTACATCTCTCGTGAATTATTAATGTTTGCACCATTTAATTTGCCCAAATCAAATGAAAATGCCTGAAAACGTTACCGCCACAGACATACCGCAAGTCAAAAATGTCTTAACCCCTTTTTACACTCAATTCAATTTTAGCCATCCGTGCCAATAAATTGAGTGTAGTGTAAACGGGGCTTTATTCACGTCAACAGGTAGTAATCCCTGAAGCCCGTTTAAATAAGGCCCTACATGTTCGTACGAGCCAGGCCTGACTTGTCAGGGGCCGGTTGTATGAAAGCCGGATAGCGGAATCCACCGCGGATAGTGATTCTTTCAACCGTTCTAAAAATGCTTGAAGAGCAATAAAATTTCAGCGTTGGGACCAACAATTATTGAGGAGGATCCTCAATTTAGGAATATTAAGATTTAATCAAACTTATACCCAACAACGGGCGATTTTAAAGCTATTGAAAAAAACACTATCCGATGGATAGCGTTAGAGCTAGAGATCCAGCCATCCTCTATTTCGTTTCTATATTTTAAGGCGCACGGGCGATTTTCTTTTTTTGACAGAGCAAGGGAGTGAATAGATATGAACTGCTCTGGTATAGGACATGTAAATGACCTTATTTGAACATCCGTAAAACACTCATTGCCTGGCCTTGAAAAGCCCAAGAAAAATCAATAGTCAGAAATTAGGCAGGAATTAAAATTTCACTGTTTGCATGAACAGGAAGACTTGATTCAAACATCCATTTGTAATGACGATTGACGAGGGGGTGCCGAAATATAAGGGGCAATATCACTTGGTAATTAAAATTAATCATTAAATGTTTCGCAATTTTGTTTTGTTAATAAGCTGTAATTGCATATATTTAGAGGAAATTATTAAAAGGTATAACAGGACGGAATAAAAGAATTTACTTTTCAAAGAACCAAAATGTAGTGTTGGCGTTATTCCAGCTAAGGATACCTCCTCAAACGTGTTTTAAATTCAATTTTTATACAATTCATATTTGGCTTCTTATAATTCCGCGAAAATCAGCTGTTGCACTCCGAGACAGCGTTTTTAGAGAGAACGTGCAAAAAAGGTAATTAAAATAAATCGAAAATTAGGTTATTTGAACTAAATGTTTAATCAGCTCCAATATTCCAATAAGTGAAATAGCATATTCCTTAATAATCAGGTTTCTAATTAAACTTGGTGCATGATCTAATAACTTTTGCTCAGAAGTAGAGATATCCAGCCAATCAGAAATTCTGCTAGAAATGAAGTTTGATTTTTGCCTGCGGAAATAATAATTCTGGTTAAAGATCGGAATGATTGAAAGTCAAAGTTAAAATATACGTCATTTCATGTGTTGATTCATAATATAGAAGAGCCTTTAAAGTCCTCTCAAGAATAAATCGCTCAAGATATTACGATTAGACTGAAAACTTTAACCTGCTGTGTTAAGAGGTTGGTTGTTATGTTTTTTCATGTACAGTAATACAACAGGTTACAGGTACAGAATTTGTAGTAAATGTCTCGAATTCCTGACCAATTCATATGAATACATTCCATTTAGGTCGAGAATGTATAAAATAGATAGACTAAAACCATTTTTTACGCGAAAATTTTTCCTTCTAATGCAAAATCCAGTGCTATGATGAGTATATAAGCATTCAAATTTATCATTGAATCTACCTTGTTTTCATTATACGTATCTCACGACTTATTTTTTTTGTTTTTTTAGTGTAGACATTTACTAACAACGAAATCCACATCTTTGAGGCTGATCAAGAATGAAAATAATTGCAATGATTTTCATGCTTCTGTACCTACTTCCGTACTCAATTTCTGCCAAGTCACCTATTACAGTTGAAAAGGAAACAAATACCTCTTTTAAACTAAACTTTTCGACAACAACACCAACATATATCAAGAATAATCCGCCCGTCTCTGTTAAACCATTTAAAAAGAAACCATTTAAAAAGAAACCGATTACTCCTATGAAAAAATTAACAACAGAAACGCCAACAAATTTCAAGGGCAATCTAAATATCACTAAAGAAAAACTGACAACAAAAACACCGAAATATGCCGACAAAAACGACAAGGTCAAGAATAAGAAAGAAGAGTTGTACTTTCCTCCTCCAGAATGTGCTGGTTGGACGAGTTGCAAAGATCGCTGTAGCTTTGAGAGACAGTATGAAGAGTGGGAGTCTTGCTTCTGTGATCCAGATTGCGACTTCTTTCAAGATTGTTGCGCTGATTTTGATGTGTACTGCAATGTCGACTTAATGTTAAAACGCTTCGCCGAAAATGAGCTGGAATTGCACAAACGTTGGAATTGCACAACACTCCATCAAGAAGTTAAACCAATTTGGGTAATTGGCCAGTGCCAACCCAATTGGAACGATGCCAATGTTTTACAAAGATGTACTAAAAAAAATCCGTATACCGTCACTGAGCTTATTCCTGTAATAGATCAGTATAATAACACATTTTTGAACCGTTACTGTGCCATATGCAACAACGTCACGGAGTTTAGGCAATGGGAGTTCAGTGTATTCTGTGATTTCATAGCTCCCGCAGGATACACTGAAGGACAATGGGCGTTGTTCCTCGACATGTTCTGTCGGAATGATTCGTTAAATCTTACACAATCGTGGGGCAGAAGATACTGTGTTGATGTGCACTCTAATTGTTCGTATTGGGGCGATGATGAAATTGTTGAAGGATGCCTAGATGGTCTCACAGGCTTGATAACGAACTTTAACAATTTCGTCCATTATCGAAATTGGGATTGTTTATTGTGTAATTATGGCAGTATTCCTTCAACCAGGTGTGGACCAAGTAGCAAGATGAGCACACCTCCCAAATACTTCGAGACAGTTTCATATAGTTCAATCTTTCGTGCATCATCTTCGTCAATTTCTCAACCGAAGTGTCCAAGAGATCAGATCTATGATGATAAGTTCCGAGAATGCAGACGTCTTCTGGCAAAAAATGACCTCAATTTTGGTGACGTTTTAAAAAAATATGCTATTGTTTTAGAATACAAAGAACACTTAGGCAGTTGTGGTGTTCAGTTGGTAACACGAATCACGGATGTTTTCCGGAATCTTTTAAAAATTAATTTGATAGAACGAGACTCGAAATTTATGGGTCTTGGTATTCAATCATCACGAGGCTTTGGTTACCGTGTCATGTTTGAACTGCTGGAGAAATCGGAAGAAAAGGAGCTCTTTGAGAGGAATATTGGCCATGAACTTAAGATTCAAAATCTCGCTTTCCATTCTCACGTTCGCAATATCACCAACGTATATTGCAGATACTCGATGAATAAAAGTACTGTTCGTAAAATGTCGTGTGCAGAAAATGAAACGTACTCTGTGGATGAATTCAGAATATATGCCAACAAAAGTGCACTTGTGATCAAAACAGGTCAGATTTACAACTACCAGGATTACTTAGTATACAAAGACGGAGAGCGTTTAGCTTTGTGTAAAGATCACTGGCCAGAAAATTGCTCTTATTATATGGAAGTAAAAAATGAATCTGACTGGACTGTTTTCGAGAATGGCTCTGTTCACACCGACGTGATGAAGACTTCGTGGTTGCATTATGGGGAATATACTGTAGTTGATAACGTGCTAAGATTTTGTTCCGAAAACCTTAAAGCGGAGTTTACTAGTTCAGCTTCGATACACACAACCATTTTGTCTTATGCGACAACAGTTTGTCTTACAATATCCATGATAAGCTTAGCGGTTCATTTAATAGTGTATTCCCTATTTCCCACCTTGCGAAATCTTCCAGGCAAAAATTTGATGGTGTACAGTTTTACACTTGGTTTTAGCCAATTACTGTGGTTACTTCAACGATATATAAACTTTCTATCGACCTCCTTTTGTGCCATAACTGCCTTCGCTTTGCAATATTTTCTCTTGGCTTCCTTCTCTTCCTCAACCTCGATTGGATTTCACTCTTTACTGACTTTCCGCAATATTGCAAATGGAAGGCTAACGGGATCGTCTAAAAAAAGGTTTTCATATTACGTGTTCTATAGTCTAGGTTTTCCTCTACTCTTACTCCTAGCATGTTGGGTTCTTTATTACCATCAAATTCTCAAAATCACACAACATCGACACACCTGTTGGTTTAAACACCATTTCAGTGCACTTGTTGCATTTTATATTCCTGCATTCACCATGTTTTTCCTAAATTGTGGTCTTTTATTGAAAACGATGTTGTTGCTTCGGCATTGTACAAATGAACGTCGAAATCTCGCGAAGGAGACTGGTGCTCCAACAAAAACACAGATTTGGATGTACCTGCGCATGTCAACTATTATGGGAGCAACTTGGCTTTTTGCTATTTTCGTAATAATATTTCCTGGTGTTGTTGTTTTTGAATATCTGTTTGTGTTCATCAATGGTCTTCAAGGGCTTTATGTTGCCTTGGCGTTTCTTCTTACTGACAATGTGAAAAAAATTCTCTTTAAAAACGATGGAAGAAGCAGTTTTCGGACGAGCCAGACCACACATTCACGAAGCATGTATTCTACAACAACAATGTAATTACGTCACTTGGGACTGAACCGCGAACTATCCTGAATGGGAGAGGCGAAATTAACATGATCAGCGTGGAATTGCTGAAACCGCTCTTGGACAAAAAATGAAACAACACATTTCGCGTTATTGTTGTAGGAGTAGGCCTGGCAATTATATATCATCATAATAGGGTATATGAACTATTATACGGGTAGTATATATGATATATCATAATAATAGGGTACATGAACGTTTACCGTTATAGGATATGAACAACTAACAGTATATTCCTTATTATAAACCTCCATATAGTTTGTGTCTAGTATATATAAATGAGTAGAAAATAGTATATATTATCATAATGAAGTATATATGAACTATTATATCATGCATGATATAGGGTCTGTATGAATTATTACTGTTAATTCTAATTTTTCTCATCACAAACCTTTATATATAGTTTGTAACTGGTGCATGGGTATACTAATGAACAATATATCCTCATTTCCAATCGCTTAATTAAAGCCTTGTGGTCCAAGGTGATGGTAAATAACAGAATAAATATTTACATGGGACCTCTATATTCCACAAATCAGTTATATCCAGAAGGCCTTGCATGATATCTTAATATCTGGCGTCTCACTATATGCGCCTTTGCCTAATTAAAATCGTTTCCACATATGCATGTAAATTTGTGTACAAGAGGTTTCGAAGATCGTGATCCAATATAAGAATTAGTTGAAAATTTTTATCAATCAGTTTTCGAGTCGGATGATGAGATGTTTTCCGTCGAGAACTAGCTCTAAAATAAAAGATAAGATGCGCGAAAAAAAAAGTTAGTCGAAATCGGCTTAAATATCCATTTTTTGTCGATTGCTTAAGGCCATGCAATCCTACTTTTAAGAAATGTACTTTAGCAAAAGTAGGATCTTGTCTAAAAGTACACACGAATGACCACGGATGACCACGAGTGACCACGGATGACCACGAGTGACCACGGATGACCACGAGTGACCACGGATGACCACGGATGACCACGTGTGACCACGGGTGACCACAAATTATTTTTATGGGTTTATTTTAAAAAAATTAATTGTAATCCATTATAATCCATTAAATCAAGCAAGCTTTCCCTGTTTTTCGTTTTAACTGTTCTCCAATTTTATAGATAGCCAATCCAAAAAAATCACTTGTGGTCATTCGTGGGCACTCGTGGTCATCCGTGGTCACTCGTGGTCACTCGTATGTACTTTTAGACAAGATCCAAAAGTAGAATTGCATTACAAGTTGCAGCAAGGCCTTTGTTCTTTGAATATGCGTGTTAAAATATGAAACATAAAATGTTACTTTATGCATTCGACCATTATAACTTTATTTTTGTTTGAAAACATTTATTTAATAATCAACTGGACATTGACAGGACAGTTTATGTTATGCATAAAATATTACACAGGTGAATATATACAGCCTTAAGATACAGGTGATTTCATGCATATATCAATACAACCAGCACAGTGCAATTGAAATAATTAATCATTATAAACTATAAAGTATTGTGCTTAATACAAATAAATACTTGTTCCTTTTCTAAGTGATTATACGTCAATCTATATAACTGATCCGGTCAGTTTTAGAAAAATTTAAAAGATGAAAAAAGAAAAGAAGTATGCTTGAAGAAATGCGAAATTTTTCATGCAGTAAATACTATAAATAACTATATTATAAAGCGCACAAATACATTAAATTAATCATAAAGTTTCGTTTTTAACGTCAATTCTTAGACTTCTTACGCGTAGAATCTTTCTTTGTAGTCGTTTGTTGTTTTTGTTCATATTGCGCCAGTTGCACAGTTTTCCCTCTCAGTTGATTTTGAAAGAGTTCCAAGCGCTGAACACACGATCGTTTCTTCAACTCCAAGGCTTCCGCTAAATTCTTCTTTGTTGTCAAGGTAACAGAAGTCTGATACAAAAGTTCTTGTTGCTGGATATATTCATGAGATCCTTGAGCCAGCGTCTTGAGAGCGTCCGTCTTTGCAAGCACCTCTGTTTCTAATTCCTCAACATTGTTCTTTTGTTCCAACAATTCGACGGTAATCTCTGAAAATTCTTCATTCAAATTGTCAACTTTTTCTTGAATGTCACGCACTTGAACCTATTATGGACAATATAATTACATCACAATCTACAAAGTATGTTTGGAAAATAAGTTATCCAAACGGCTTGATTACTAATCACGTATAATGATTATTAGGAAATGTTGTCACCATTCTCACGTTGAGTAAAATGTTTGAAAAAGTAGCGATATTTTGAGATATCTTAAATTAATTCATTACCTCAATAAATGATTTGTGAAGATCTTCACCACCACTCGGGCGGCCATCGGCAGTTGACCGTTTTCTTGATCCGGGATAGGCCGTTGATGATCTTGAGACAGCCATGCCACGCGAAAACTCTCTAGCAGTATCACGTGAAACAAGATTTCCACGTGACTGTGCAAAACGTGTGACAGGGCGGACAGAACCTTCGAGTTCACGAAGACGTTCTTCAATGTAGATATCAGTACCTTGAATCTGAGCCTGCTCAGATTTATCATTAACGTTTCCGAGAAGATCCTGAATCTTATTACTTAATGCAAAATTGCTGTATTTGGATAATCGTTCAACCAAACCGTCTCGTGAGAAATGCACGCCATCCTTTGACGAACCACGAAGAAGTTTTACATCTAGCAAATCACCTACGACATCGCCATTTACTGGACTATCTTCTGTGCCTTTGATATTACTATCCAGTAGCTCAGCCACCTTCGCGAGATCATCATTTTGAGATGCGGAAGGAACACATGAACGACGATAACGAGCGAAGAAGAGATCGTCACAAACAATCGCCAAACCACGATGGAATTCTTTCACGAACGACGGTTCCGTGTCATCACGAAGATCTTGAGCTTTCAAGTGAGCAAGACAGTGAATTAACACCAAGACAAACTCACCGACATTCTCCAAACGTTCCTTGCGCATGTACAAAATTTGGTTGTTGGAATCGAAATAAAATGAGTTTCGATAAGCATTTCGAGCCAGTTGGGGATTCGGAGGAAGTTTATCAGCCAACAATAAAGTCACCGGGGAATGTTGACAATGGATTGTTAGAAGGTCAACTATGAAACAACCAAATTTATAAACAACAAATGACCGACTAGGTATCTTATTAAGATCGACTGGAACGAGGGTTTCGTCCGATGACCACAAGGTATCATCCTTGATGTCTGTGTAACCGGCACCTTCTACAAAGTGAAAACAAATTCTTAAAATATCGAATGTACATTTAAAGTTTAAAACTCGTATATGTTTGAATCTTGCCAGGGGCATGGGAAGCATATCAAATTTAGGGGCAAAAGCTTAGGAGCACTTAGAACAACAAAAATATGTAAAATATGTATATAGGGGTGGTTAATTATCAAAATTCAAGGTCAACTAAAGGGCATTTCTGGGGGAGGGCACGTTCCCTCTGTGCCCTAGTCCCGGCGCCCCTGTTTGTTTTAGTACGACTGATCTTGGCCAATATCGCAAAACGTCATATGAAACATGTGACATGCATTCCGTAATTGTTAAAAAATGATATATTTTTACCTGTCGAAGAAGACTTTCCTCCGTTATTTTCATTGATTAAATTCTTGATGTTCTCAAGCTTCTGATACAATGGCGACTGAAGGAGTAATGACGTTATCTGGCTTTCTGATAGTGGCGCAGCCATGCGATATGTTACAGGTAATTCAGGCTGACTGGATGCCGATGTTTGAATTTCAGCTTGTCCAGCAACAGCGACTAAATCATCAACCTGGATACTTTCCTTCAACTGCAAAACCTCATTGGCTTGTAAACGTTCTGTTTCAGCATGTTGTTTACCCTCGTGTTCCACCTTTTCTTCTTCCGCTGTTCTTTCCAGTTCCTTCATTTTCTCTTTTCGTTTTTCTTGTCGTTTTCTTTTCAATCTTTCTTCCAGTGAACTCTGCATTCTCATTCTGTCAGCGTCTAGTTTATTCATTAGTCTTGCTAAATCCTCACTATGTTCTTTAAGTAATGCGTCTTTTTCACCTTTACTTGCACCTTGTTGACTCATCTTTGCGATTTGTTGTTTTGCTTTCATTTTCCTTTCTTTTAGTAGATCTTCTTTTCTTGCATTCAACGACAGCATCATTTTTTCATTCTTTTTTCTTTCCTGTTCGTCATCTTTCTGTAAATCCAGTTCAAACTGATTGAGTTCCCCTTCCATGCGCCGTTTCTGCTCCCTTTCAAAATCTGAAATGTTAAAATAAAAAAAAAGAAAGTTGAAAGTAAAGCAATAAATTGATATTAATTTAATCGATATTCCTCATTCCACTAGGTTTTCTTGTTTATTTATTTCATATGCCTATGTCATTAGAGAGTCGCTCCCTTAATATGGCAGGTGACACTATGATACGTGGCAAAATATCGTTTGTAAATTTTCAGGTAGAATATGATGCAAACAGGTAACTGTGCTGGGACGTTCGGTGACCAACGAGATGGAACTAATCCAGGCTAAAGTGATACGGTTCTATGAAAACATTCTTTATCATAACTTCAAACTTCATGTTTTACAAACATGATTATTACAAATCGTGTTACGGTCTAAAATTTTCTTTGTTATCTGATATATGCCTCGAGAAAGTTTTTCCTAACAATGTGTTAGAAGATTTCCTCACCTTCATTTTCCTGTCTCTGCCTTTCATCGTTAATTCGTTTTTCGTCCTCAAGTTTTTTCTTGATTTCGTCCAACTCACGCGCAGCCTGCAAAGCTTTCTCTACAGATTTTTTATGAGCTTCTGACTGCTCGGGGGAAAGTTCACTCAAAGCGTCTGCATATTCCTGGATAGGTTAAAAGAAAAATATAAGAATGAGCTCGATTACTAATAACGAAATGCAGCAATATGCTCTTCTCTTTACCTGGTAATGCTTTTCCCTTAATTCAAGTTTCGCACGTGCATACCGAACTTCCCAATCAGCGGTGGCAGTAGTTTTTAATCTTCTCATTTCCTCACTATGTTTCCGTTCCAAGGCGCTCAATTCTAGTTGTTGTTTATTAAGCAGCTGAGCTTTACGTTGCTGGAACTCTTCTGGTGATAAATTTTCATTCTCCAACAATTTCAGTTTTTCGCCATGTGTCTTACGCATTTTTTCCATTTGCGAAGCATGTTCATCTTCCAACTTCGCAAGAGACTCATCAATACCAACACGTCGTTCTTCTTGGAATGTTTTATCAAGATCTTTCATCTCTTGTTCATGACGTTTTTCCAAAATCTTAACGAAGGTAATGGATTAATGTTATTAATATTACGCCTTTTTATCTTATAGCGGATAATTTAGCTGGCCTTATCACAGAAAAAAAAGATCGAACAGCAATACAGAATACAGGAGTTTTACCTTGCGAATCACTAGTTCACTGGAATCAGCACCGTTGTCTCGAATGGCTTGAAGAATCACGTCTTTCTCAGCAGCTTTGACCTGGAAACAAAAAATACATTAACGCATAGGACGAAGACCTCAAGTTTTCCACCTCGGGAACTTGTTCGCTCTCCACTCCATTCAAAATTTCAATTTCAATGGAAGTAAGGAAAGATTTGTGTACTTACATTGCTTGCTCGCACATCTTTAAGTTCTTTTTGTTGTTCTAAAACCTCTCTTGCTTCTTCTCGTTCATGTTTTCGTTGTAGAGCATCCATACGTTGTCGTCTTCGTTCTTGTAGTCTACGTTTCAGGTTGTCCTGTTGCCGTGTTCGATCGTTCTCCATGTTCTCAATCAAGTTTTCAATTTCTTGCTGGTGTGCATTCATCAGCTAAACATGGGAAGGGAAGTATTATGAATACAATTCTCTTAGACTTTCCAACTTTTTAGTGCCTGTAGGGAAAGAAAAACGACAGAATGGAAATCAATACTTACTCTTTCCATTTCAGCAGGATGAAGATCCTGTCGTGCCTGTCTATCAGCTGCTTGTCTTTGTTGAAGTTCAAATACTTGTTTTTCTTTCTCAGATTTAAACGCAGCTTCTTCATCTGTTTCCGCTTGACGTGCTTCAATCTCCAAATTTTTCTTTAATTTACTCTCTTCTTTTTCATGGCGATCTTTCATCTCCTCCAAGGCACGTAGTTGTTCACGTTTTACCGCCTGAAAAGAGGAAGTTGTCGAAACATGAAATTAGCAATTTCCAACCATATTTTGGCGGAATTAATGGTGCACAGTCTGAACCAAAATTCAAAAATGGCTCGGGGAAAATACACTGAACCTTTCCATTCCTTCTTCAGAACTATACTTTAAAAAGATTGCACAAGTTTAAAAAATTGAATATAAAATAATATAGCAGAGTTCTACCTTCTCTTCCATTGATTCAGTTGGTAGAGGGACATCAGGTATGGTTATACTCTCAGCAGTTAATTCTTGCTTTGTAACAACCGATTTACTTTGTTCTTCCAAAATAAGTCGTGCTGCTGTTTCATCTGCCAAACGTCTGGCTTCTGCTTCTCGTCGCGCTTTACGTGCTGCTATTTTATCCTGTTAGAAAAATACAGATATCAAGGTCAACACGAAAACATTGATAGGCATTTAAATGTCTCTGGCTTTAAGAATCCTATAATACTTCAAAAAATTAAACGAGCCATATCGTTAGCCTTTATTGACACCAAAAACAATAGCTGAATTTAACCTTTGTTGCTTGCATAGCTGCTGCTTTCTGCTTTGCAAGACTTTCCATGGCATTCTCATTATCACGACGTAGTTGATCCAAAATCTGCTGTTGCAACATGGGATCAATATCTTGCTCACGACCAACCTGTGAAAGTTGTTTGATCAATTAATTACCTTCTGTTTTAGCGTGCAATACTAATTAAAATGCTTTCATGGTAAAAAATCTAAACTACACTGTCCAACGTTTTCTGGAAATTGAAAGTAAACTCACACTGTCAGCTTCCAATTGAAGCTAATGCTTTTAGTGCAAATGTTCATGACAGAGGAAGGGCTTCGGTTTATCAACATGCAATCCTAATTATAGTTTGCTGCCCCATACAATATCTTATACTATTTTAAAAGCATATTGTTTTCTCTTGACATTTCTCTAAATTAAATTTACCTTCTCCAATAAATCTTTATATTTCTTCTTCACGTCATGTTCGTGTTCTTTGTTAACACGTTTCTTTATTTCCACAATATGCTGTGCTTTTTCAGTTTCATATTCAGCTTCTAACTCCTCTCGTTCGAATCCATGGCGCTTTTCCATTTCCACCAAGTCCAGTTCCTGCTCTACAGCCTGAAGACAAAATTCACGAGAATTGATCAATCGATTCATACGAGTACACAGTTGAGTTATCTGTGGAAAGTTTAAAAATATTGAAAGTCTTACTTGGGCACGTTCCAACTCTTGTTTTTCTTTTAACTTTCTTAATCTCTCCTTTCTCCTTTGTTCTAGTTTTTCATTCACTGCTGCTATTTGCAACTGTTTCTTCTCTTGTCTCTGTCTTTCTAAATCTCCTTCCATCCTCATATGTTCACGAAGATATTCCTCAGCTTCAGCACTACTTATTGCACCACTGCTACTGATGTTCTCCTGAATACGAGTGAACAAAAGTTGAGATGGAAATGATTTTTGCAAGTTGGGGTTCGGACCTACTTCTACGCCAGTGCCGTATATATCGATCGTTTATTGATTTACTGTAACTTACCACAATATCGCAAAACGAGTCTCCAATCTGTCGCGTTAACGAATTCGTCCTATCTTCTTCAGCTTTCTCTTCAGCATTTGCCAGGTCACGTGTCTCCTCGTGAGTGATGGTAGATAATACAGCAGTTTCCAACTGAAGAACACCATCTGTTGTGAAGTCTCGTAATTCATTTTCCTTCAGTGTAATATCGTGATCCTCAGCCTGCAAATGATGAAATAAAACAATAAGAATTACCACATCATTCGATTTGAAGTAGCCAAAATATGAATAATTTTTAGACTACATTGTTACAACTCAAGAAATACAAAACAACCCATCATCATTTGTACTATCATACACTTCAATATGTTGTACATCAATTAAAAACAATAATAACTGTTTTTAGTATTAAATATAATAATACCTCCTTCATCTGCTTCTTTAATAATGCCGCTTCTCTTTCCTGTCGTTTCTTTCGCAATCTTTCCTTCAAGTTATTCATCTGTTGTTCTTTTTCTGCTGCAAGGTTGTGTTCCAAGCGTCGTAGTTCTTCATCGTGCGCGTTCATAATTGCTCTCATTTCATCCTCGCTTGCACATCCTGATAATTTTTCAGCTAACTCTTCTGCCTTCAGGCTGATGACCTCATTACGACGTTCCTCCTGGAGAGATAATAATTGGAGGCAATCAATCAGATGTGTGTCTTTCAGGCACCTTTTATTCGGTGGAAAAAATATATTTTTTGTTAAATTATAATTACGTTGAAGGTTCTAAAGTACACTTTTGAATAAATTTTGAAATCGCTAAAAAAAGCTACAATATTTGGAAGCGGAAATAATAGCCGTATAAGTGGTCGAGTTCAACAGTATTTTGGTATTCAATATTCAACAATCCTCTCTGGTTGGGTAGGGTCCAGCTTTACAATACATTTTCAACCAATAGCATAGCTTGGTTCTTTAGAAAGCATAGAAAAGCATTATCCAATTGGACGAACGCTTCCCAGCACTACGACATGCCCCCTCTGGTTTTAAGAATCTGATAATATGGATCGAATTTTAGTAACAAGAAAGGAATGTCTAAAATATTACCTGTTTGTTCAGTAAACTTCTTATTTCAGCCTCCTCTTCCTCTCGTAATTCATGATCTACCTTGATTCTTTCATCGTTAAGTCTCTTGACAATATTCCATACACCAGAGTTCTTAGACAGTCCAATCCCCTGAGAAATACCTGCAGTGTCTCGTGTATCACTTAATGTCACGAGATGTTCCGTTTGTTTAATTTCAGTCCTTGTTGGGCAAACTGCTGGATAAACAGACTCACTTGGAAAACCTAAATTACAGGATATTGTCAAATCACGGGAAAAACAATATGATTGAGAAACTTATTTTAGCAAAAATATTTAATGCAATGAAAAACCTTTACCTTGACCTTGTTCTCCGTGTGGCATTGCATGTCCCCCGATTTCAATTTTATCAACAAGAAGTTGTAATGTTTTCATCAACTCTTCCTCTCTATTCCCACCTCCAAGGAAAATTTCTTTGGTTTTCATTTTATCTTCTTCATCTGTTCCTGAACTACCCTGCGGTGTATCAACATTCTGACTTGCTGCCTCTCGGGTCGCCTCAATCAAAGCTGTAACATCCATATTATTCAACATTTGCTTCAGGTTCTCAGCTTGTTGGCTTATACGTTCATAAAATCCTCTTAGATCTGCTTGATGACGTGCGAGTTGTGAGGTCACGTGTAATGTTTGATCTTCAAGTTTATCATACAAAGTACGAACGTTGAAATTTTCCAGTTCAAATTTAACACTCTCTGTCTGTAAAGATGGCGCGCCCTCAGCTACACCCCTTGGGCCAAGATCACTAGGAATATCATCAACACCAGGGATGGGAACAACCGGGATTGGGGCACCAAGACTTTTATACTTTGGACGCACTGCTCTGAAGGAGTATTGCCCAAAGTTTCTAGGTCTCCATATCATGGTTGCGATCACCAACATGATAACACAGATCAACATAAAAGCAGTTAGACCATAAATAATCAACCAGTTTGGAGCGAGATTTTCTGGCTGCAAAATAAGTGTAAATTAACTTAATATGGGGATTTGACAGTCTAAAGGTGACAATAGTAAATGGTAAACGAACGAATAATATGCGAGTCAAATAATATATACTGTATATGTTTTTGTGGAATGTTAAAGAGAGCGATGAAATACATTCGATTGATTTGGAATTTTAAGGGAGAGGGTTAACTGTTACAAAAACCCATATTGGAAAGAGACTATTGAAAAAGTGTTCCAAAAAGGCAACGTTTAAAGAGACAGTGTTTTTAGCGGTAAAGCTTTTCAGAGGTAAAGGTTTTCTGTCATCTTCATTTCAAACGTCTTAACCAAGCGTGAGATCTTTATCGAGAAATATCGGGCCGAGGTCTTTTTGTAATATATCACTGGTCCATTACAGAAAAGTAATGGGGTAAATGGACCGCTGAAAAATTCCTCTCAGCCGACCACAGGGCTCCGTAATAACTTTAGAAAGAACAAAAAATTGTGCTTACTTCAGATTTTGCCACCCGATATTGTGTGAGAGTAATGGAACTTGCTGGAAGAAGTTGATTGTTGAACTTTTCACTGCATTTTTCACCTTGTACCGTCACCTTAACAATCATCTCACGAAGTGGTTCACCGTTGTCATAAAAAACAAATACTCCAGCTTCGGTGAAAACGTTAGCAAACGTTGACAACGACTTGTTTGTATCTCGTATTAAACTATGAAGCAGACGGAAATTGCCGTAGTCGAATCTGTCGTTTTGGTTGAAAAGATGATCTTTATTGTACCTTGGATAATGACTCAATGAGCGATTTTCTTCATTAACCTCGACTCTAAACAAAATCGCGCTTCCTATTTCAATGCATATGAAAGGATTAGGAACTGAAGCAGGAGAAGTGTTACTGGTGGGATTTGGGGTTGTGGTGGTATTTGTCACACTACGACGAGAACGTCCTGATGGAACATTTTGAACAGGTTCTAAAGGTGACTGAGTTATGTTGGTAATCAACACTCCAGCAACGCCCGATGACTGCATTCCAACAATCTCTGTATGATGTTTATCATTATCATAATCTGCGATACCATAATCATCGCCCAATTCCTCAACTTTCACGCCATCAACTGATTTCATAACAAGATAGAGAGCACTGCTTGTGCTGTTACGTTGGATCGTGATCTTTGGTTTCCTCTCGCTACAGACGTTGTCACAGATATCATCAGGAGCGTCGTAACTACAGATACAACTACCGCGGTCAACGTCTAAATAAGATCTGTCACTTTGAGGACAAGCTCGTTTACACGAAACACTATCTGGATCAACACAATCACGAGTACGAGACATGCGTACTTCACCACTATTACAGCGTTCGTCAACCTAAAATTCAAACAGATGAAATGCATCATCACATCGCTTTCAAATAATGAGGTGTAAAACGTTGCAAATAATGAGGTGTCCCTCAACTGTCCCTTAAATTTATTAATAAAATGTACTTCGTTATTTATTATTCGTGGTACGAAAGATGAATTTATCAGTTATATTTCTAAAAAAGTCAGAAAACAGCATGGCCAAGAGAATCATGGTCAAGAGAGAGAGCCGCTTTTATTAAGCATGTATGCAATGTTTCAAGCAAACCAATGCATGTTAGCTATATGCCTGTTTTCGCATTTTCAAAAGTTATATATCATTTCTTGAAATCGTTGAAAATACTTTAGAATCTAAGTTCGTTAGCAGGATACAATTAAACTTGTTATAATTTTCACGTTACAGGAAATACGATATTAGAATAATTCCTTTAGTAACATGAAATAACTGAAAAACCATCTCTATTTTAGTGATAGGAACTATGGGACCATCTCTATTTCTAGTGATAGTAACTATTAACGGACTATGGCCTCATACCAATAGGCAGGCAATAAATTTTACTTCTTAGGACTCGCATATTCAACATAAGTAATGAGATCTGCGAACATTTTATTGACGTACCTTGGGTTGACAAGACAAGTCACTATTTCCCTCTTCCTTTTCTCTGTTCACTTCGTTATAATAAACATATCCTGATAAACACTGGCATGATCCATCCGACACCTGGAATGATCTGTAATCCCCCATACAATCACATATTGGAGAGCCTCGACCTGAAGTTGCACTGCTACCACATGGTCGACAAGCTAACTGTCCCAAGCGGTTATTGAACGTATTCTCAGGACATTGTAAGCAGTCAGAGCTGCTCACTGCACGGTGTTTATTTCCATACATGCCAGGCGGGCATGGATTAGGACTAGCTGACCTTTCGGGGCAATAATATCCCTGAGTACAGGGGTTAACGTGAGGTCCAGTAGTGCCAGCAGGGCAGAAATAGCCCGCAGGGCATATTGAACAGTTATGACGCATTGGATGATTGCCATAGAAACCATCAGGGCAGATAGAACACGTGTCTTGTAACGACGTACGATTGCCAGCGACACGTTCGGCAGAATATCCCAGAGGGCACTGTAGTGGTCGATCGGAGCGTTCTGGACAGTAATGAGGATATTCACATAGAGTTATTCCAGAGGAATTCGCAGGACAGGAATAACCGGCTATGGAGAAAGTGAAACTTACCATAAATCAACTAAAATTAATGCAAAGTATTCCTTGCGAGCGAATGGTGTCTTTTGTGAAGTCATATATTTATAATGAAATTATTATAGTTCAGTTATACAATATTACAACGTTTTTTCTTCAACTGCGAACACAAACCACGGCTTGACGCTCATGTTTTTTTTAACGTTTGTGGTTCACGGTTTCAACCGCTGGAAGTGTATTTTCACGTAGCTCATTTACCTCAGTGTTTTGTTATTTCATTTGTGTCTAAATTGTTCTAAATGCATTTATACGTGAATTTGGATACGATCTGGACTTACCTGGACAAATAAGTGGATCGCCAGTCATTGCCGGGCAATAATGCCCTCCGGGACATAATCTCTCTAAAGCAGAGCCCTCTGGACAATATCGTGTTGCACGACATGAAATGCCATGGACGTTTGCCTTTCCGTCAGGACAGTAATACCGAGCAGGGCATGGTGAACAGTCTGTAGCATTCTTTGCCCCCACATGATTACGTAATTTTCCTCCAGGGCAAGCGGTAGGACCTTGACCTTCAAGGCAGAAATACCCGATCGGGCATTCGTACCCTCTGACACTTGCAATTCCAGTGATATTACACCAATATCCAGCAGGGCAGGGGAAACAATCACTGATATTTCTACCATCTTTTAGATCTCTGTGTGTATTCAATGGACATTCCTGTGGGCCACTGCTCCCTTGTTCACAGTAGCTACCAGTCGGACAAGGTAATGCATTGCCGTTACCTAAATGATATAGTACGAGGATTGCGATTAATACGAGGAAATCTGCATGTCAACAAGTACTAGTTTAGTTAGGAATAGCGCTACGTTTTGGGAATATTCAAACCTTTTAGATGCTGATTTTGGACAAACGTTTAGCGTGCGATTATAGTTTGTACTGTTCAAAAATGTATCAGTACGAAACCTTTATGGATAATTTTTTGAAGTGAACTTTATGAAGAAAGAACAAGTTGACACCTTTGATCCACAACATGAAGGAACGAAGGTTGGAAAATATTTCTATCGAGATGGGGGCATAGTGTAAGGTGGAGATGTCGAAATTTACTTTTGTGCACATAGATCGAAAATATAAGAGCACTATTGAATTCGGTTTTTTACATTAAACTCTTTTGGTTTTAACCGAAGCACTCTTATATTCAAGGTGTATTTAAAGGGTGTGCATTATCATCACACCTCCTTGCAAAGTCTCAGAGAATGTTTAACTTAATTCTAATTTTTAAAATTAGGTTTGCCGAATCAACTTCCACAACAAATCAACTTTCACAAGTACTAATTAACACATTTCAACCGAATCGATCCGTTACAATCTTAGGCTGCTGACATTATAACTGACAACTTCAAGTTTAGGTAACTACATGCAGAATCTATAAGTTACATACCTCCAAAGCACTGTTTTCCAGCAGGACAAGGCTTACAGTCTGATACCAATCCATAACCACCAAGATAATCTTTCAATGTATTGTTGGGACATGGTACTGGATTTAATGTACCATTTGGACAATAATACCCTACAGCACAGGGTCCTGCCTCGACTGGGTACGAATAATTTCGAAAGGAAGGGTTGGGATCAGGACTTCGACTCTTGCAATAATATCCTGCTGTACAGGGACCGACTATCCTTCCTGCTCTACAATAACTTCCAGTTATACAGTTATTACATTGACTATCATTCACAAGTTTCACCGTCTTAGAATAAGTACCAAGAGGACATAGCGTCGGAAACGAACTGCCAGCCGGACAGAAATTATGTTCAGGACATGGAATTTGGTGGGTAAAATTCGTGCTCAAACAGTAATACCCAGCAGGACATTTATCACATTCCCATTTACCTTTTTCTGGTTGAGATTGACCTAAAATTTTAGTGGTCGAGAATAAGGCAAGAAGCGTTGCATAACAATATAGGAACATACAAAGAAAGTGGAAGCTATTACCATACATTACAAATCTACTTAATAACAATAACCTTAAAATTCAACTTTTAATAGTTGTCAATAATATCATTAAACTGCACGACGTTCTTCATATTTCAAAAATTATTAATGTGTACCTGCAGGACATGGTACTGGGACAGCGCTCCCTTCTGGGCAATAATGACCAACTGTACACTGATGAGACGGTTCCTCAACACCTCCTTGACAGTAATATCCTTTGTAACATTTCCCGCTTGGTTCTCTGAGTCCATAGCCTTTACAGAAATACCCACGTCGACAATTCAGACATTCGCCTATAGATCTTGCTCCAGTGGTATTGCGAAATGTTCCTGGAGGACATTTGGTGGGGGCTTTTGTTCCTTCTTCACAGTAATATCCTATACACAAACAAAAATAACAGATTAAAGGCACATGCAGTCCACAGCCCTAACTGAATCTCACGATTATACATATATTTTATCAACATATTATTTATCCATTCATTTGATGCATGATGACGTATGATGACGTATGATGACGTATGATGACGTAGCTATGATGTCTGAGTTAAGCCAGCAGAATAGTTATAACGAATAAATATAAAGAGGGCTTAAGCAATAAACTTCAGTAAATTAGGATTCGGTCAAAAATAGATCATTGGGATCGATAAAATTGTCAACTAGAACGTAACATGAAATCGTAAAATTTGGATCAAATTATCCTTGATTTTGGAATGCAGGATGTGCGGATTTTTCTACTTGTACACTGAATTTCAGGTGCGGTTTGGCCAGACTAAACGAATAATCTCCTTGTTCACTTCACCCGCATGGGATACCAACCTTCTTTGCAAGGTCCATGGAGTGAAGAAGTATTTACACGTTCTGGAGTAGCACTTTTTGCTCCGCTCTCGCAAAACCAGCCTGCAGCACAAGTTAGATTTGGCGCTATATTTGCCAAACCAGGACAATATTTGCCAGTTGGACAGGGTGAACATTCTGATGCAGTTTTGAGACCAGGCTCTTTCCCATAAGTACCACTAGGACATGGTTCAGGTATACCAGATTGACAATAATGACCAAGTTTACACTTAGGGGGAGATATGGTGTTGTTGCCTTCACACATGGTACCATTGTTGCAAACGTCGCAGTTTGATCGACCAAGATCTTTTTGGAATGTTCCACGCGGACATGCTTTTTTTGTGAGAGCACCTAAAAAAAAAGAGTAAACCAAATTAATATATGTTTTTAATAATTATTCATTCCATGCCTTCGCTTTGTAACATAATAAACTCGTTCTCGTTCTTTTTGGTAACCCATGTAGTGGTGATTTCGAAATTTTAGAGCTGAACGAACTGAACGAAATTGAAGTACTTTTATGGCATTTACAATTTATGTGCACCGATTTGTCGGGTTTGAAGTTCCAGCAAAGTACCAATTTGATCTCTAAGGGAGCCTCTAATATATGCCTGAAAGTCACAATATGATAACACAAAACAAACTACTAGCTTGTTTGCTCACACTTCCAGTACCTTCTTCACAGTAGAAACCACGAGGGCATATATAACCAACAATATTATCAGTCGGTGTAGGAGTGCTTGATCCGCCTAGACAGATATAGCCAGCACTGCATTTTGGAGGCTCGTTGGATGTTACTGGACCTGAGGAACTGCAATATCGCCCCGCTGGACATGCTTGACATTGAGATGAATTACCAATACCCCCCATAGTTGAAAATGTACCAACAGGACAGTTCTTGGGATGTGTTGTACCACTCTTACAATAATAGCCTGGTGGACATCTGTCGTTGTAATATTTGAACGTGAAGTTTGATGGTGCGGTTAAGTTCATGACCGGATATGGGTATTGAGACGACTTCAAGCAGTAATAACCAGCAAAACAGTCGCCAGAAGGTTCAGACAAACCAGTCCGACCACAAAACTTTCCTGCTGGGCACTCGGTACATTCCTCTATAGCTTGCGCACTTGTTCTATTGTTAAACGTCCCTAAGGAAAATAAGGAAAACATGACTTATATGAATTCATTGAGACGACAGCCACGTAAAATCCGCACCCAAACTTCCCAACAACCCAGTTTCGTCAAACTGGCACCCAGGGTCTTACTCTCCGAAATGCATAGCACTCTTTATTACTCCCGGAACAAATTGCATAGTTTCAGATGAATTACCTTTAGGGCAAGCAAAGGCCTTTGCCAATGTTGTTCCCTTCGGGCAGTAGTACCCAGTGGGACATCGTGAAGGATTAACGACTGGACCTAATGCAGGATTACAATAATATCCCGGTGGACACTCATTGCAACTATCTTGACCCGTCATATTTTGATATGAACCATTCCAGCAAGACTGCGCTCCTATCGAACCACGTGGACAATAATGACCAGCAGTGCATATAAATTCAACTGGTGATTTGTCACTCTGACCGCCAGGGCAAAAGTATTTTGCAGCGCATTTGTCAGTTGGATTAATGTTCCTTGTTCCAGCACAATAATAACCACCTAATAAAAGAAAACAAAAGGATCACAACACAACCTAACTCCAGCAAACAAATTAGAATTTGGACAGTTCAAGACGACAAAAAGCAAAGCAATTTATCATCATGCGAAGTTACGAAAGACAATCTCTCACATTTGAAAGCCGCAAAAGTGACACCGCAAATGACGTAACTTTTTCGGTTAAATGCAGAAATATCAACCAGAAAGAAACTTTTTATCCTTAGTTGTCTTTATCAGTCATACGAACCTTTAGGCTCAGCGCTCGCATAACACTTCTTTTTACTAAGACAACTCTTACGGAATATAACGTCCGGACAATAGGGCAATTAAGCTATTATCACCTTTTTTGATTATACGGCACACTAACAACACTCCCAAAATAACTAATGATAAAAAATGCATTTTAACTCGATTCATCTTACCTTCACATTGTTGACAATCCTCTCGCTTCGTGTTTTTAGTGGTATTAGAAAATGTGCCAGCTGGACAAGGCACAGGTACCCCGGTACCTTCAGGACAAAAATGTCCCATTGGACACTCGTATTGGTCAGGAACAGTGGAGGTGTCATTACAATAATAGCCAGAAGTGCAGTTACCAGTGGGCTTATCAAGGCCGGCATTAGCACAATACATACCAATCTTACAACGAAGGGGTTTTGTCGATGCTTTGGGGCAATAGAATCCGATTGGACAAATACCACCTTAAATACATAACAAACAAGTCAGTATTGCTGAATGAAAGTTGATATCTAAGGGAACGAACTCAGCTTAAAAGAACATCTGCCTGTGGCCTTTTTTCTGTTTCATTGTCAACGAAAATAAACGGTTTCTGAATTTTATCCTCACTCTCAGTCGAATGGCTGACAAATTCAGTGACTTGAATCACTCCAACTCAAAAACCGAACTGTGTATTTGAAGAGAATTATATGACTACCTGTGGTAGTGTTCAAGGCTGGACAAACACACTGGGAATAACAGGAAACGTTAGCCGCACTAAGATCAAGAATACCAAAGTCACCAGGACGTTTCATTGAAGCACCACCAGCACAATAGAAACCAGGATCGCAAACACCACTGGGTTCAATCAATCCTTCGCCACCACAATAATATCCAGGCCAACATTGTTGACAGGAACTCGGATGTGTTTGCGACGTCCTGTTGTTAAACGTACCCGATGGACAAAGGTAGTGTGTCGCAAACATAGTGCCATTTGGACAATAACTTCCGGCCGGACAGTCAGCTGGTACTATTGTTGTACCATTGCAATATTTTCCTAAACAATAGACGGCAAAATATCAGCGTTAGTTTCTTTTGTAAGAGCCTGGTCCGCACCAGAACTCTCGCCTGATGTAATGACTACAAAAGCAGTACGACGAGCTAAAAAATAACCACACAGAGAGAAATCGTCGCACAGTTGATAGCTTGAAACAAATAAAATTCAAAGGTCTGTCGGTGGTAATCAGTAGTAAAATTAATCAATTTGATTTTCTATTCGTCGCAATGCTTAAACAAACCCCGTACAATATATATAGTATAAGTACAATATATATAGTATAAGTACAATATATATATAGTATAACTACAATATAATTATATAGTATAGTGTTTCTAATGGTGCACACACCTTCAGGGCAGATCATACAACTTTTCATCATCGGCAAGGGAGCATAATACCCCTGTTTACAGGGAGAGGGATTTCCTGTTCCAACTGGACATTCATGGCCAGGGTAACATATTCCTCCATCACCAGTATTTGTTGAGGATGGCGTTGAAGTGTTAACTCCAACTTTACAAAAATATCCTTGAAAAATGAAAAAAAAATACAATACCTACTACTGGGGGAGGTTCAGAAATCAGGTTTGTCACACTTGCGAATAAGTGAAATGTAGGAATCTTAGAAGAGACTTGTTATTGGGAAGAGAGTCAGAGAGACAGTTGGGAATGGGGATGACAGGACATAAGGATGAAAAAAGTATATTAGTTATTCAATCGATACTTACCACCATCACAGGGTCCAGTGACATTTGATTTACCAGAAAACTGACAGTAATGACCAGAAGTACAGTCGGTACATTGATCAACTTTAACTAATCCAGCTCTTTCACCAAATGTCCCCACAGGACACGGTTGAGTATCAAAACCTGTACCCTCAGGACAGTAGGAACCAGCAGGACATATATCTGCCTTTGAGCCCGTCGTACAGTGATATCCTTCTGGACAGCGGTAACAACTACTAGCCCCTATAAAAATATATTTTATATGAATACATTAATTTAGGGCCATTTAGAGAGACAAAGATACAACATTTTCCATGTATACAGGACGTACATTGACTAAAAAGCTTCAAAGAACAAAGTGCACTTACCTGTGTGATTCATGAAAGTTGCATTAGGACAAATAGATGGCTGTGATGTCTGTTCAACACAAAAATGGCCCACCGGACAAATATTACCGGATATTCCATCCCTCGGTTCGTTTGTCGTAGCATTTGAAATACAGAAGAATCCTCGGTTGCAGGATCCAGTAACAGCGTTAAGACCTGATCTTTCACAATACTTTCCTGGATCACACGGAATACAATCACTGAAACTGGTTTTACCAATATCTGGCTGATAGGAACCTGCAGGACAATCTATAGGCCTAGGTGTGCCCACAGGACAGTAGCTACCATTAGGGCAGCGGACACCATAGGAGGGATCGTTCGGTGTTGGAATATGTGAGCCCGTTTTGCACCAGTAACCAGCGGTGCACTTTAGTGTAGGCACGACAATTCCTTTCGTTGGACAATAGTATCCAGGCAGACATGGCTGGCAGTTCGTTACATTCTCTTGACCTGTTTTGTTATTAAATGTTCCTAAAACATACAAAAAAGGCCATATACAGGTTGCTCAAATTGTGGAATATTTTACTATCTATCGTTCTACTTTTTAAGAAGACTGCAGAGCATAGACGTCAACAGTGAAGAGTGAAACTGAACGCCACATTCTATATACTGCATATCACTACTTGATCTGACGTTAGAAAACATTAGCCTCCTAACTTTCCGTGAAGTTTAGGAAATATTCTAAGAAGAAACGTATATTATTGGATATAGCATAAAATTAATTTTAACAGAATATTTAACACACCTTTAGGACAATTTTCTCCTTCCACTGAACCAGCAGGACAGTATTTGCCTCGGCGACACGGTCCTCCAGTTATGCCATCTTCAGGAGTGATATTAGAAGCATTTTGCTTGCAATAATATCCTGAAAATAACACAAATACATTGTCCAATAAGGAGTAAGTCTTTTTCAAAGTCCATTTTACACAGAGAATTACAACTGAAGAACTGAAATTACCTGCAGCACAATCTCCAGTTGGTTTGATATTGCCATATCCTGAACAGAACTTTCCAGGGGAACATGGATCACATTGAGATTTAGATATCAGGCCAACTTTATTACTGAATGTTCCGGGTGGACATTGGTATTGTCTTTCTGATCTTGTGCCAGGTGGACAATAATTACCTTAAACAACGATACACGTATTGCTATTGGAGTGGAAGACTCTCTTAATATTTCCTAATATGATTATCGTTCATTAGCAAATTCTACTCAATTTATCAATAATATTGCAGAGCATTAGGTTAATCTTCGTATGTCACAGAGCTTCTATAAGTAAACAAATACCTTCGGTATTTGGCCATGCCCGAAAAACTGATATGATTTTGGTGTATTTGTTTTCAGGCATTTTTAGCCCTATGGTTATTGCTGAAAGCAAGTATCTTAATTTATCTTCAAATATTTCAACTATGTAACTAAATAACTATTTAAAAATGGATACAAATAAAGACATTATGTTATGTTAATTTCTTTGCCTCAGGCAAAATCAACACTGCGACACAACAAGCTTGCGGACGAGCTCATCGGTGCGACTTAAAAGGCCAGCATATTGAAAGTGCTTTAATAAAAATCTAATATAATTTACGTTTATGTTTGACGTTTGTGTTATATAATTTATGTTTGACGTTTCATGCTCGCTGGCATAAACAACAGTTTTGAACGAGGTTTTGTCGTATCAAAAAGCATCAAGAATAAGTTTATGATTCTTTATGCAGTTTAATCATATAATAACTCTTAACCCAAATTATGTATGGCAATAAAACACAGCAGTAATAAAAGCAATGAAACAGTCCGTGACATTGTCAAAATCATAAAATTTTAATATAGTAATTTTACATCGATGCAAAACAGTTGTTCTCATATTAACCCATGCATGCCTAATGTAAAACAACAACGCACAAGTGAAGTGTTGTGAAAAAAATTGGTCCACTTCGTGCGTGCAGTAAAATTCCTTCCAATCGTAAATAGCAAGTTTCACAAACATACAAGATATACTTAATTTGAAAATATTGAAGTCTGTGAAAAGTTGTTATAATTAAAGTGGGTTAAAAATACATAAAACTCCGAAAATTAATCGGTTTTAATAACGTCCATATTGACATGAAATAAATTTTATATTTGAAACTGGATATTACTTGTCTTCTTGATGCAATAGTTTACATTTGCAAGAGTGAAGAAAAATTAATCATTTTCAGATATGGAAGAAAAAGATGACACGAATGATCGCCAAAGTATTCGAGTGAATTACATTCATATTTCGTACTTCGTTATCTGTTTCATTGGCGTCGTTTTACATTCTTTACTTCTAATTGCGTTTTTCAAGGATCCTTTAAAATGCTTCAAAAATTCTGGCACAATTCTGGTGATAAACCTGGCGATTTGCGACTTGCTAACATGCTTGATTGCCCCATTTTATTTGTGTGTAAAGGTAACGGGATGGTCAATGGCTTTGAAGTTCCTCACCTATACCGTGGCAAACGGTTCGATCACCACATTAGGTTCAATTTCCATTGACCGCTTTTTACTGGTCGCTTATCCAATCAAACATCGTTATTTGATAAAGGGTAAAGTAATAGCAATCTGGCTATCCTGTCTTTGGTTTGTGAATGTTCTATATCCTACGAAACAGCTGATATTCGGAGCACAAAAACGCGACCAGGTTTGGCTGAATATATTTGGTTTTACAATAACTACATTCTCAATAGCAATATACGTCGTAACTTATTTCAAATTAAAGAAACAAATGCGGAATTTACAGGGTCTGCGAACTTCAATTGAAAGTCGGGCGGAAAATATGCGAATTCTTAAAGAAAAACAATTCTTGAAGGCAATCATTATCATAGCTTGTGTTGCTTTCATTTGTATTATTCCTGCAATTGTTGTGGACACCATCCACAAGTTTATCAACACTGGGACTACACTACTATTATCTTCTATATTCTCTGGTATAATATATCTCAATTACTCAGTAAATCCTGTTATATATATCCTGCTTTTGCCAAATTATCGCAAAACATTTTGTGTACTGTATTATAAAAGAAGCTGAAAGCCGATACTCCTGTGGAATTTTGAATAAAAATGCCACAAAGTTTGTAAACGGGTATACTTCATAATTACATGCACTGGGACAAACTATGTATTAACTGGCTGTCCTAAATAGTGTAGAATTGTCTCCGTCAAGATTACCTAGTTGTTCATTTTTGAGTATAGGTCAGCAGGGCCGTAGCTAGAAGCTTAATTGGGGGGGGTGTATATTCATGTACTCGTCTTATGCCCGACTGATTTCTTTTGGAATATACACCCCCCCCCCCCGCCAATTAAGCGGTCTAGCTAAGGTCAGCCGAAAAGCGCAGTGAAGTTCAAAATCTGTTTCAATATAATTTATGCATGTATATCTTCATTGTTGTACTTCATCTTCGGTCTATCCATCGAATTAGCTGAATGTTTGAAGATTTTTTTTTTAAAAATCACACATGTTGGCTGCCATTAGTTTTTAAACGGCATATTAATGGCAAAGGATTGGCTAATCGGAATCGTGTAATCCAGATTAAACTACAATTAATCTACCTAACATTTAACTGCCTAACTCCCCCGGGTTAGAAAATTTAGTCATAAATATGGGTTTGAATTATTCTGTTATTAATTGTTGTAATTACAGTACTTACCTGCAGTACAGTTTGAAGGGACTATAACACCATCAGCAGGACAATAGAAGCCTTCAGGACATTCTTTACATTTATATTGTCCTTGTTCGTTTTGATATTCTCCTGCTGGACACGGCTCAGGTCGAGGACTACCACTTTCGCAGCGATGTCCCAACTTACATTGGATCGTATCGTTATGGATCGAGCCTGATGGGCAATAATATCCTTGCATACATTTAAATGTTACTTTGGTCTCAGCTGGTCCTGGACAGTAGTAACCTTCAGTACAGTTTTGACAATCTGCTAGAGAGGCCTTGTTCGTATCAGGGTTAAATGTCCCAGGTGGACAGGGCTCTTGACGTGGAGTTCCAGTAGGGCAATAATGCCCGGCTTCACACACGACAGGGTTTGATGAGTTCGACCCAAGCGCGCAATAAAAACCTTCGGTACAATTACCCGACGGGTATGAAAGACCCTCTGTGTCACAGAACATTCCTGGTAGACACAGCCGTGGTTTAGCTGAACCTTCAGGGCAAAAACTGCTAACAGGACAAATATTTCCAGTTTGATTAACCAAATAGGCAGGGCAAGTGAAGTCCAAGGAATTGTTGTAAACAAGATCAGAAAGTAGGGTAGGCTTTTTACTATGTGCCCCTCTACTGCAGTACCAACCGGGATGACAATCACCTGAAGGTGAAATCAAGCCGTATCCTTCACAATATTTACCAGGTGTACATGGTAGACAGAATGTTGGCTTGGAGGCGCTGGTAAGATTGTTGAATGTACCAGGAGGACACTTCAGTGGTGAAGCATTACCAAGAGGACAATAACTGCCACGTGGACATATATCGCCATAACTTTCATTGACTGGGTTAGGTTTAAGCGATCGACCAGAACAATAATATCCGGGATAACAACTACCATTATAGATAGCCTGACCAGGGTTAGAGCAATATTTACCACCAGGACAATCTAGACAGTTTGACAATCTTCCCTGTTTTGACAATGGCGTGTAGGTACCACTTGGGCACGGTTCAGGTTTATGCGAACCTACATTGCAATAATGTCCGGGCGGGCATGGTCCTCCTTCATTTGTTGTTACATTATCATTTGGTAATGTTGCTTTGATAGTACAGTAATATCCTTCGTAACAAACTCCACTTGGTTCAGTTATACCAGATTTTTTACAATAGTGCCCTTTCAAACAAGGTTCGCATTCATCAACAGTTGTTAGCTTACTTCTATTTCCAAAGGTACCGAGTGGACATGGGAATTGGAATTTAGTGCGAGTTCCATTAGGGCAATAGTAGCCACGAGGGCAATCAAGTGGATAAATCACTCCGTGGGTTGAAGAATTGATACCACTGGATAAGTTAGCTCTGGCATCAGCAGGATCACAATAACTACCTTCAGGGCAGATATAACAAATTCCCATACCTTTGTATGGTTGATAATAACCTGGTGGACAAGGCTCATGAGTTCCAGCTCCTTCAGGACAGAAGTGTCCAGGTTGACATTCCTTATCTGGTGGACTCTTCAATACCTCTCCAGCAGGGCAATAATATCCCTTAGAACAGTTACCTTCAGGTTTATAAAGTGCATATGATCCACAATATTTCCCTGCATCACATGCTCGACAGTTATTACGTCGTTGATTTTCATATCTAGGTGCATATGTTCCAGGCCAACAAGGATTTTGGTATGAACTTCCTTCAGGACAATAATACCCAGGTTCACAAATTCCTCCATTATCCTGACCAGTTGGTTTACGATTTACAGTACTGCCATTACAATAGTAACCTGGAGAACACAGTCCAGATTCTTTATCGAGATAATCTTCATCACAATAATAGCCTGGTGTACATGGCTTAGGTTGATCACTTCCTGGTGGACAGAATGTTCCTTTAGCACAAAACCCTCCAGTCTCACCTAACAAAGGACATGCACTGTAATTCGCAAAAATTGATCCATTTAATGGTTTATCCTCCCAAGATCCTCCACGACAATACCATCCTGCGGCACAGAGGCCACGAGGTTCAGCTTGGCCGGCAATAGGACAAAACTCTCCAGGAGGACACATCTTACAAGTACTGACATCATTTCCATGTGAATAATTTTTGTACGTGCCTATTGGGCACGGTTCTGCATGGCCACTGCTGTTTGGGCAGAAGTATCCACGTGGGCATCGGGTGTATTCGTATGAAGCATTTGGACAGAAATATCCAGCAGGACATGGTAAGCAAGTGTCCTGCCGTGATAGCGGGTTATATGTTCCAGGTTTACAAGGTATTGGGGTGATCGTTCCATTTGGACAGCGATAACCTTTTGGACATGGTCCTCCAGTTTCGGATACATTAGAGGGGTTTGGCGACGAGGAACCTTTCTTGCAGTAATAACCAGGATAACATTTACCTGAGGGCCAGCTTAAGGCAGGTTTTCCGCAATAATGCCCTTCTAGACATTTTGCACATTCTTTGACATCTGAACGATGGGTGAGGTTATTAAATGTTCCCATTGGACAAGCTCTAGGTGACAAAGCGTCGCCTTTCGGGCAATAATGACCTTCCGGGCATATTCCAGCATCACCTTAAAGTGGAAAAATGACAAACGTTAATAATGCGTAAACATGCAGCATGTGGTTGGAAGTTTGAGGCAAAATTTGCATCTTTTTAAATTTATGCCTCGTTTTCGAAAAGGAATTTAACGTCTTACCATTCGTTTATTTTCATAAAAAAGTTTACTAAAATCTATCAAATGATACCTTTATTTCCACCAGATGGTGTTGGTGAGTCAGAACCATTTCTGCAGTAAAATCCACCATGACACGGGCCATTTGGAGTTGTGCTGTTAAGAGCGTCACAGTAAAAACCTGATGAACACGGATTACATTCTTGAGGCAACGAGAGGTAGAAACTGTTACTGAATGTTCCAGTTGAACAAGGCTGAAGATCGAATCCAGTTCTCTCGGGACAGTAGAAACCTGGAAATGAATTAACAATTAGGAAACTGTATTCCGAATGCTGACTCAATTTTAATGAGCAATTTCAATGAGCGAGAGATGAAATCGATTATACACGTTATGACAGTAAGATCTGATAATGAGTATCTTACCCGAATCATTCCTTCCTACAATGACTCTACCCATGAATAGAGTGATAACGCGCATTAAAATATTATACAATGCTATTCATACTGGGTAATGCATATACGATTTTTACCTGGTGTACACGGCACTGGTTTTACTTGATTAGTACAGAAATACCGCGCGGGACAAGGATCACATTCAGCGGACTGGGAATGATTCATGTAATATCCTGGTTCACATGGCTTTGGAAGACTGCTTCCTGATGGACAATAATGACCGATTGTACACTCGTCACCTGTGAGAAGTGAAGCATACTTTCAAGTGGACCTGAATGAGAGTACTACTTTTATAAACATATTTAATATCAATCTGCACAAATCCTCTAATATTTATAGATAGTGGACATGTCAATATGACCTCTTGACGTTTAACAGTACTTAAGCAGTACTGTTAGTGAAGCACCTTGTGGTACTTCTAGTGAAGCACCTAGAGAGTTGATATCGCAAGAAAGTAGCAAATGTAAGTAAATGGAAGAAGCTCTTCGCAGTATTTGTGTTGGATTGTGCTTCGTTGCAAATATGTGTAATTTCGTTTCACTTGTTCACTCCTGTGCTGCATAATCATGATAACATTTCAGCTTGACCATGCTCAAATATTGATGAAAATGCTTTATGAAACCCGTTAATACTTTCAGTTCAAACAAACCTGTAACCCCATCCACCGGTGTTGAGCTCGTGGCATTTCCTTTGCAGTAAAAGCCAGCAGAGCAATTTCCTGATGTATCATTAAGACCATGTTGTTGACAGTAGTGTCCAGGTGAACACGGCTTGCATTCTGAAGATGACTTTAAACCTTGTACAGGAGAAAATGTTCCAATAGGGCACGGCTTTTCGACTACAGTACCAGCTGGGCAGTAGTATCTATGAAATTAATACAACGGTTAATGTTTAAACTTTTAAAGAGGCTGGCAAATTGGGTAAGCGAATGACACATAATGAGGCTCAATTGTGTTAAAAATCTCAGCTGTTTCCACCAGGTAAGACAATGCAAATAAAAACGAGGAAACAAGGCATACCCGGGAGAGCATCGACGACCAGAATGACCATCAGTTGGTGCTTTGTGACTAGCTCCCTGTATACACCAATAACCAGCTTCACAATAACCATCCCAGATCTTATTCGATGTTCCAGAACAATATCTTCCTGAGGGACATGGAGTACACTCATCACTGCTCTTTAAGTGAGTTTTGTTGCTATATGTTCCTAAAAGCATGGAAACAAGAAACTGATTGTTCATTCATGAACATTCATAAAACATACATTATAATTCAGCTAGCGATAGATGACAAAAAATGGCTAACAGAAAGTTGAAAGCGAGGCTTCTGCTAATTCTGTAAAAACAGGTTTTTATTTCACTAAGAAAGAAGTGTAATAATACAAACCATTTGGACAGCCATAGGTGAAATATTCTGCTGTACCATTAGGACAGTAGTACCCCTGTGGACAAGGTCTAGGGAGTTGAACACCATGTATACACTGAGTAACATTAAGTATTGTAGCATCACAGTAAAACCCTGCTGGGCATTCTTTACATTTCCATTGACCATATTCATCTTGATAGCTGCCTGACTCACACGGACGTTCCACAGAGCTTCCATTAGGGCAATAATGACCAGGTGTGCATTTGAACTTTGCAGGTCGTTTAGAAAACTGCCCAGGAGGACAATAATAACCACGATCACATTCCCCGGTCGGCGATACTAATCCCCCTGTACCACAGTAACTGCCTTCCGTGCAAGGTTGGCAGTCGCTGACGTTCTGATTTCGTAATGAATTAGAGAATGTTCCAACAGGACATTTCACTGGAAAGGGTGTTCCGATAGGGCAATAATGACCTTGATGGCAGACATTTCCGGTGATATTATCACGAGGGTTTGATACTTTTGCCCCAGCCAAACAATAATAACCTGCATCACACGGCCCAGTAACGTTTGATAAGCCTGGTGTTTCACAGAAATAACCTGGAATAAGAGACAATATCATGTTACAAATTCTATCCCAATTATTTGAATGGAACAACTTTCAAGGACGATCGAAAATTCTAATGATGATAACCGAAAATTGAATCGATTTGGCAAATTGAATTTATTTAGAAAGCAGTCATTATCTCATACACAATACACTTCCTATACTACCACTCCCACAAGCCTGTTTTAGATGATGCACTTTGCAATAATTTGTTCGTTTGATGTTAAGCAGGACATAATGGATGGAGGATGTTTGGATCAAATTAATTTCTGAAATCGTATTGAGCACGCCCTACGTTTTGATGGACCGAATTAAACATATTTCGGATTGGATTATATCATTTCAACGAACACAAAAAAGTAATGCAATGGTAAGGATGAAAGATTTTATACCTGATTTGCACGGTGTTGGTTGTGGTGAACCAGGAGGGCAATATTCTCCTGGCTGACATTCTCCACCAGTTGTTGTGTTTGGGCAGTAACAAGACGTGGTATTTGATAAACAATTACCAACATGTACAGGCTGTTTTGACCATGCTCCACGAAGGCAGTACCAACCACCATCACATTCACCACTAGGTCTGTCTCTTCCTGCAGGACTACAGAACTTCCCTGGTGGGCATAACTCACAGTCACTGCAAAAACAAAGATCAAATGAAGAAAAAGATTCGCAGGAAATATACTGATAAAAATCATTGTAAATGTACCAATAGAAAAGATAAGTGCAATGTTTTTTTACAATTATTAACAGTTATCCTGATAGCATATTTTTTATTAACGAATTAAATGTTGCTCATTACGAATTATGCCAAGACTTCGAAGTGTGAAGCGAACTTATTGCGATATTAAGTAAATCAAAACTAACCTGACGTCAACACCACGAGATTTGTTGTTGAAGTACCCACGTGGGCAGGGGAATTGTCTAGCGTACTTTGTTCCCTCTGGGCAATAATACCCTGCAGGGCATGGTTTGTCACATACTGATGAATTACCATCACAATAATGTCCAGAACAACATTTTTGACATGAAGATTGACCAGTTTGATTGGTGAATTCGCCAGGCGGGCAACCTTTGGGATGTCCAGTACCAAGCGGACAAAAACTTCCTCTAGGACACGGTCCTCCAGTCTCATCACTGCCATCTGGATTTCTTACTTTTGCTCCGCGTTCACAATAGAAGCCTGGATCACAAAGTGTAGAGTAGTTGGTCAAACCAGTTTGACCGCAGTAATATCCAAACCAACACTTTTCACATTGACCAGAAGATATTAATCGCGTTTTATTTGAATACGTTCCCAGTGGGCAAGGTAATGGCGATGTTGTATTCTTTGGACAGTAACTACCAGCTGGGCATGGGCCAGCCACTCCAGTAAAGGTTACCTCTGGATTTGGAATATCTGATCCTTCAGTACAATAATAACCAGCGTCGCATACTCCAGATACACTTGACGCATTAGGAGATCCACAGTACTTACCACCATCACACTGTCGACATTCTATGACAGAAATAAAAAATTTCGCAAGGTTGTAATCAAAACACCTTGATCCAGCAACTTCAACTACAAAACCTGTGATAAGACGCGCTTTCAATTGCGTCTTCTCTTATATAAATTCAATGACTTTGAACGATCATAGGTAAACACATTAGACAACGTATGCCATAATTTAATGACAAATCCTATAATATAATCATGATAATACCAACAATTCAGAATAAAGGAATACTAAATGGTTTCCGTGCAGAATTGCGTGATACTGCCCTTGGGAAATTGCTCTACTTTCGGAAAGCGTGAAAAAGCACGAGCCATATATTTTTTTAATAAAATAATTACAATGAAACGACGGTCAAATTTCCCGCACAAAGCGGCATTGTAAACTTTCCGTGCAGGATTGTCTCATACTGCACGCCTACGAACCAATCAAATTGCGTGTTTTATTGTAGTTATTATATAACGAATCTTACCAGATTGTTTCTTGAGCCCAAGTGACGTGCTGTATGTTCCTCTAGGGCAAGGTGCCCAGTCATAACCAGTACCATTAGTACAGTAAAATCCAACAGGACACGAAACAGGATCTTGGCTTTTATCTCCAACACAATAAAAGCCTTCAGGACATATCTGACATTCTTTTTGAAGATAATCCTTGTTGAATGTTCCATCCTATAATAATAATATATAAAACGTAATTCTTTTAGGGACACTTTTGTACCAAATGCATAAGCTGATTTCATGTGACAGACGAGCCCGGCTGAATTATGCCACAAAAAACTTTGTTTAGTAACTTATTAGTAACAAATTCATATCTTCTAGAAATAAAACACATCCGTAAATTTTATTTCCGAAAAGGCTCCAAACCCGGGCGCGATCCAGCCTAAAATCTGACTGAAACCTAAAGGATAAACCTAAATCAGCGAGTCCATTTTCCCTGAAACTGCTCTTTTTACTCCATGTGGAAGATTTTACACCTTTTAGCTTTTCTTTGGGCCTTAATTGAATGAGCATTGAAAGGTATGCACCCGAATAAAATTTTTTTAATTGCATTAGGTTTTTCATCGAACAATCCTGAAGGAAGACGAATTTCATGTTCACAATTAACCTCAGAACTACTAGAGCAATATTTTGTTACGAACAATCTAAAATTTAAAACCAAATTACAGTACACTCTTTATAGATAAGATTTACCTGACATGGCAGTGGTTGAGGTGATCCTTCAGGACAATAATGACCTGGTATACATACACCACCAGTATTAGTATCATTAGGTGTTGCACTGAGAGACCCTCCTCTACAAAAATATCTTGCAGAACATTTGCCATAAGGCTTTACTAATCCAGGACGATCACAATACATTCCTTCAGTGCATGGTAAACAATCACTTCTTGCTTTAAGACCAGTTATATTAGCGAAAGTACCAGGAGGACAGTTGTCTGGGGCTTCAGTTCCTTCTAAACAGTACTTTCCTTTTGGACAAGCTTGGCCAGTAACGTTGTCTGTTGGTGTCTTAGTAGAACTTCCTCGAATGCAGTAAAATCCAGCTAAGCAATCTCCAGTAAATGTATGTGACGAACCTATACAACCAAAATATTGTATTTCAGTAACTTGTGCTTATAACACCTTTCCCAAGCATTATATTAATAATTATTAATAAATAAAGCTGACCTATTAACAGCACGACAACTGATGTGTTTAATGACTTTACGATGAGAATTCTATTCTTCCGTAAAACTAATATAATTTGTGTCATTTTGAGGAATGTAGAATTCATATTCTACTCTACCTTTACAATATTTTCCAGGTGGACACGGCAAGCATTGATCAGAAGAAGTAAGTTGTGAGTTATTGCCATAGGTTCCATTGGCACAGCCGAATTCTTTAGCAAATCTTGTTCCATTAGGACAGTAATATCCTCGTGGACATTTATAGGAGGAGAAATCACTGAGATCATCCTTGAAGTCACAGTAATATCCACTAGGACATGGTTTACATTTGGTTTGTTGCGTTTCGTCTTGATAAGATCCCGACGAACATTTCGTTGGCCAGGGACTTCCTTCTTCACAGTAGTGACCAGGAAAGCATTGATATGCCATTTTTGAGAATTGACCTGGAGGGCAATAAAACCCGGGAGAGCATAGTCCACTTGTAGCACTTAAACCTTGGTCTTTACAATATGAGCCAGCTGTGCAATTTTGACACTGGTCTTCTCTAAAGTTTCCAGTACTGTTTGAAAAAGTTCCCTTCTTGCATTTCTCTGGTATGTATGTTTGTTTAGGGCAGTACCTTCCCGGTGGACATATATCGCCAGTTACACCATCATCAGGCTTAGGTTTCCATGCCCCTTTTGTGCAATAATATCCAGGACTACAGACATCTGTCACATTAGTATTTCGAGTTCCTCCACAGTAATATCCACCTGTGCACGGTATTGGTAAATCACTGCCTTCTGGGCAATAATGTCCGGGAGGGCATTCGCCACCAGTGGCATTACTTGGGCAAACACAGTCACCAGAAGTAAAGTTATCTAAGTCCATCGGTTTATCAATATATGCTTTACTAACACAATACCACCCAGCAGCACATTTTGCCGATGGACGAGTTAAGCCCGATTGTTTACAGTAATATCCAGGTGTACATGGTGTGCAGTCTGATATGCTTTTAGCCATTGTTCTGTTATTAAAATATCCTTTTGGACATGGAAATTCGTACTTATTCTTGGTACCGTTTGGACAATAATGACCTTCAGGACATTCGTACGGCGTGAAATCTGTTGAGTTCTCTGGGCAGTAATAACCTTCCCTGCATTCAAAGCAATCTTTTTCTCCAGTATTTGGATTGTACGTTCCCGCTCGACAGCCTTTCGGATGCGAAGTGCCATTTTTGCAAAAATGAGCCGGTGGACATGGACCGCCTGAAGATGTCACAACAGCAGGATTGGGTGATGAAGAACCACGAAGACAGTAAAATCCCGCGTAGCAGTCACCTGAACATAAAACATCGTGATTTAGATATAATTTTCAAGAGTTTTCTTGGTTTATAGTGGGGATATTGCCCCGTACTTGACAGGTCGAAAATGTTTTAGGAATTGTACTTCGCTACGGTCACTACGGTCACTAATGTTATTAAATGTTATGATGTTATTAAATCAGAGAAATTCAAGACCAAAAAACACACAATTCATCTTTTTTGTGTATGATTTATAGAAGATCGTACCTGAAGGAGATGTCAAATTCTTTTGACCACAATATTGTCCATAAGAACACAGCTGACACTCAGACACGTTTCTCAATCCTTTTACGTTAGAGAAAGTTCCAGCAGGACAACCGATAGGATCCGCAGTCCCTTCTATGCAATACATTCCCGTAGGACACAACCCTCCAATACCTACAAAAACGTAATAATGTTATCTGTGCTTATTTTATGTTTATACCAGTAGTGTTGAAAGGATTTGGAAAGAACACCCCAGGTGTAAGGGAAATTAGCTTTGGAACTCCTTATAAAAACTCAGAGCGAAGATCAACATATGTATCCCTTGATCGGGCTATCATTAATGTCCATTCACTATGAGGGCTGAGGATTTTGGGGGAAGGTCTCTATATATAAACGTTAACCCGAAAGAATTTCATTTTAGCTAATCTCAAATGCATTTCCTATGACGATAAATACTGCTTTAAAAAAATATTTACACACCAGTGAAATTCGCACTTGGCGTAGGAGTGTTGACACCACTTTTACAGTAGTAACCATAGTGACATAAACCACTACCATTTCCTGACGAGAAGTCTATTACTCCATAATTCTGACAATATCTACCAGGTTTACATTTCAGACACTGATCTTCGCGACCAAGTCCTTTCTAAAATATACCATATCAAATGCATTCATTAGTTACATGTTATTAAATTATCTTTAGCTTGGCTTTTATTTTGTAAGGTCTTTAGGTCAATACCTAAAGTCTGCTTACACGAAGATCCAGCTAATTGGATCCGACAAAATTGGATCCTGTGAACAGGTGTACAGAATACTACATTATTCGCGATTTGTCTGATTACAAATTGTTCTCTGACAGAATCTATCGGTAAAATATTTTCAGTGTTTGTCACTTCTATTTCATTCTTTGCCTAATGCAATTTTTGTTTGGAAATTGTTGAGTGTGTTGAGTTCATCATGGTATATATCCATGTCTAATCATCTTAATCTCGTTAAATCCAGGATTATTGAATACTCACAGAAGGATTCCATGTTCCAGGAGGACATTTCCTCCAGTTACTATTATGAGAACCTGCTGGACAATAATGACCTTCGGGACAAGGTACAGGATTCTGACCATCAATGCAATATGATCCCTCTGGGCAAACGACACATTCTGCTAGACCAGTTACATTACTACAAAAATAAATAGCCATGTGCATGGAATTAGACAAAAATTAACGGCAACCGAAATTGTTTTCCCTTATTCTTAAACGGGCAGAGTATCAGTCACAGATATACGTCGTTAATTATCCCTAGTCTGTGGAGGCCCTAATAAGCTCAATTAGGGTATAGGGCCTATATGAAATACCTTATTGAAAATTAGAAAATCAAAAAAGGAGAAAAATTCGTTTCCTATATACGCATGCACTGCCTAGACACTGTTGGATAATTGCCATTTGCTGCCGCCGAGCTTCTTTACGAGTTTCTAAAAGGCAGTTTTAGGCTTGTGTAGTCACGCGTGGATATTACGTTGAACTAAATCTTTTCAGATTAATTAATGACATTTTTAGAGCAAAACAAAAGAAACAACAAACCTGTACGTTCCTAGTTGACATTGCTTAGGTTCGCTAGTGCCATTTGGACAGTAATGGCCTTTAGTACACTGACCGCCAGTGGAAGAATCAACTGGCATTGGTGATTTTGCGCCACTTTTACAGTACCAACCAGCACGACATTCTCCATTTGGAGCACTAAGACCTTTTCCATTACAAACTCGACCACCATCACACGGCTTACAATCCCCGGGCTTTTTTCCTCCAGCATAGGCATTATATGTTCCATTCTCACATGGGTGGTCGTAAGGGCGAACGGTTCCCGCACGGCAGTAATACCCCGCAGGACAAACTCCGGCATAATAAGAGAAATTACCATCCAATAGCCCGTTTGTTAGGTTTCCCTAATATGAGAAATATATCACTTGAACGAAATTCTGAAACTCAACGCGGCAACAATGTTATACGAGTTTTATGCAACAGAAATTTACAATGATAATGAAATCGAGACGTTGTTGGAGACCCTAAGGCTAAGCGCCGCTTTATAGCTACAAACAAACGTTTAAGAAGGGCTCTGCATGGGTATACGATTATTATCTAAGCGCATAAATACGAGAAGAATGCAATTTTTCCTGGCGCCAGCAAGGCGCAGTTGATCCAGGATGCTATTCGGGATCTAGTTTTGAATGAATTTTCTCGGAAATTCGGAGTTTTGCCATTATACTTACAGGATTTGGATATGGTGATCCCTGTATACAGAAATATCCTGCGTAACAATCGCCTTCGTAGTTCGCAAGTCCCTGTCGGCTACAATATTTACCCCCCATGCACGGTTTACAAGAAGTTTCTGATTCTTGAGCTATATCACCGTTGTATGTCCCCTAAACGGAGAAATGACTATTAGACGATTTTAACAAGATCTTCACAACAAAGCTATGTTCTAATCAGATGCAGAAATAAACTTCAAGGCCAAGGGCCGATTGTTCAAAAGCCGGAATATTTTTGAATATCTAAGACAGTGCACACAAACTAAAACACTGGATTAGAGTTTAACCCCATGCAGGGTTAGCGCTAACTCAAGATGTTTTCTTTGCATCCAACTCAATCGATTACAACATGCAGAAATCGAATCTGCGACCCTGCATGTACCTTTTACTTTGTGCCAAATATAAAATGTCCGTCAAGTATTACACTTAATCCCAATTGTTATATTTAAAATTCAATAAAAACGTTTTCGAAGCAAATTGAAAACCACTATATTATAATATGGTACGTATTTATCTATAAATAAACTATCAAATAGATAAGCTAGCGCTATGCAACTTTATGCTAGATACTTACCGCAGGACATGGTGTAGGTAATGTACTATTGCCAGGACAATAATGTCCAGTTGGACATAGATGGGCTTTGACAAGTCCAGTTTCATTACAAAAAAACGTTGGGAGACAGGTATCACATTTATCCATACGGTCAGACTAAAACAAAAAATATAACTACTGAAGTAAATCAAATAACCCATCAACTTATAGACGTTTTGCTTAAACCTGCATGAACTTCTGAAAAACAGGTACAAGCTAGTTTTTGAAATGAATTCTACCCATTCTCAATATGTGTTGTACCCCCTCATTCCAGTCGTCGGAATTATCTGAATTGTTTCTACATCATGCTGAGGCCGGTTTAAAAACTCCTACATCGTTAATGTATATAGGATACCAAATATTGATCCCTCCCCCCGCTCTCCATAATAGGTTATATGAGTTCTAGCGAAGTCTGCACATATACTTGCATTATGCATATCACCATATTTAATACGCGTGCGACCAAACTTTAGACTTCAACTCAATATGGGATATGCTCTTTTCTGCTTAATGGATTGAATTTCTAATAGGCCATCGGTCTATTGCCTACTGTATATCTTCCCTATACCACTTGCAAAATGGCGCAGACTACCACCAAAACCGTGACTAAACAAAGTATACGGTACCTCTTGATAGGTCCCAACAGGGCATTTCACCATGTAGGCGGACCCTTCCTTAGCATAATGGCCTTCTTCAGCTGGATGTTGTGTAGGTGTTGATGACGAACCAGTGCAAAAATATCCTGCAGCACACTTCCCTGTTGTTTCCGGATTTGTATCTCCTGCGCAGTAATATCTACAATATATATTGATTTTACTTAACTATTGTACTAAATAGCTAATATGCATATACAAAAACATAAATACAGGTTTAATAAATAATCATAGACACTCTCAAAGCTCATTTAGCATAAATAAAATATATGTTCAATATCTTTATCATTGTACAAACGTCTGAGGCTGAGTGGCGAGTGCAGATTAGTTGTTGCCGATCTATAGACTCCTTCAGTATGAAAGCATACACTACCCAATTATCTGGTGTTTATCATATATTCATGCAGGCATATAATTAAGCTATGATATAGGTTCCCTTACCCAGGATCACAAGCTTGGCAATCTGCTGCTGAACTAGCTCCTGGTGATTTTCTGTAAGTCCCTACGGGGCATGATTGTGGGGTTTTCGCTCCCTCTGGGCAAAAGCCACCTGCGGGGCATAGACCTCCGGTAGGACCATCTGGCGGAGCCTGGGAAATAAAGAAAATACGCATAATTAGCCTTTTTAGGTTTGATTTTGACACGTCACAAAAATTCTTTTTGGGGAAACGTTTCCTTGGCTCTGGTACACAGTACCACGAATAATAAAATAGAAAGACTACTTTGACTAGACTGATGTAAGCACAACATCCTGTGGTTGATATTCGTGACGAAGTATAGCGAATAAGCTAACATTTTTGAGTTAACGTTATTTATCTATATTTTTGGCATTCAAATCATAATATTGAAACCTAAATTGATGTTATTGATTTCAACCAGCAGTTTCCAATCCATTTATTTATTCTATTATTCATTTATTATCACAAGGTAGAAGAAACGTGATGATTGTGATACGCATATCTTCATCACTATTCTAGGCTCTATAAAAAATTCGATAATCTAAATATTACCGAGGTAAAAGCCTTCCCTTTGCAATAAAAGCCAGCGTCACAAAGCCCAGTTGGTTCCGTTAAACCAAATCCAGCACAAAATTCTCCCGCCGGACATGGTGCACAATCCACGCTTCTCTTCACGTGTGATGAATTACCATAGTAACCATTAGGACAAGGTTGAGGAATTGTTGTGCCAGTAGGACAGAAATAACCCTAATTAAGTGAAATATGCGGTAAAAAAACATATTGATAATGAATTTCACTGAAGACATGAAGTGAATCTTAAGCTGTTACGATGATAAACTAATTTGCATTAATCTAACTTAATCATGATTGCCAGTTAGGCCATTACACAAAATGAACAATTAAATTAAAAGTAACCGTTACATTTTTATTCCCTTTAACCAACACTTATGAGGAATCGCTAACTTAAAGGCTGTTTTCCATTGCATTTGCTTTCCCGTACGGGCGAAGCGGCCTTTGAAAATCTGCATGGGCACGTGACGGTCCACAAAAACAAAGCACGTTCCACCCGTACGTATAAGCGAAAGCCTTGAGTTGATTGACATAGGATTCACCATGGTTGGGCAACACGCAAGAATATATTATTAATTAGATTTCTAGAATAGCTAAAAAGCACCCCCCCCCCCCGAATTTAAAATTAACCTTTCTTAGTAACTGCTAGGTTTAGAGTCAAAAATTTATCAAAAGCCTACAATTTATATACAGAAAAGCCGGATGATTATAAAATTATACTTACAACAGGGCAAGGTTTGGGTAACGGCAGTCCTGTGCTGTCACAATAATATCCCGCATAACAAACTGAACAATCCATTTCTGATATCGCAGAAGAAGCGTTTCGATAGAAACCAATTTGACAGGGAAAAGAATATCTATTAGCCGTTCTAGGCGGACAGTAGTGGCCAGATGGGCACGGTCCATCCTAGAGAAAGCATCATATTAAATATGCAAATCAGTTGGAAACCCAGGTTTGCTTTTGTCTGGAGACACCAAATTGGTATTCAAATACGTACAACGTCTTCTAAGCCTTTTCCTTCACAGAAGAATCCTTGTGGACAACTTTGACAATCTCCAACATGTTTTCGACCAGTGAAAGCATTGAACGTTCCATTGGGACACGGTACTGGATACGCATTCTGCATAAAAAGCAAAAATAAGCACTCGACCTGTTTGATAGAATCTCGTGAATCTTCTTTTCAAATTATCCAGCACAAAATTCTACAATATTTCCTCTAATCACGACGTTATATTTTTAGGTGGTTTATCTAATAATTTAGGTGGTTTATCTAATATCACAACATATTAACAGGTACATTTAGTCCCATCACAGTGAAATCACTGGTTATAATGATACAGGTAGAGTATGTGATGTAAGAAAGAAACTAATTTTTTATATCAACAATGTGTATCCATAAGTTTTTAAATCATGCAAATATAGCTGAAATATTCTGTACCTCATCTCCTCTCAAACAATAATGTCCTTTCTTGCAAGCATTTGCGACCAGATCTGGTGCACGTTGACTGCCTGATGGACAATGCATACCGGCTGGGCAGATCATTGTATTCAACATAACGACACGACTAGTTGCCTCATCAGCACAATAAAAACCTGCTTCGCAATTACTGCAAACGTAGGCTCCTGGTGACTACAAAAAACAGCAAAAAAATTTGCCCATTGTCAAGTACATAGGAAGAAATTCAGACTCTAAATATACCAGACTCTAATAGCAACATATAAAATACTCTGCTATTATATTCTAAGAAGGTTGCCAGTTGGTAATCACCGTCCCAAGGCTTCATCTTAAGATAATAAGTACTATACTAAAATTACTCTGACTAGAAAGTATTACCAAATTTGAGACTTACAGAGTAATTTCCTCTCTCACATTTTTCAGGATAGATTGTTCCTGGCTCAGCACATACATAACCAGCCAGACATGTTTTACACTCTTGAGCAGTCTAGAATAAAAAATGCCCTATATTATTACACTTTACACCTTACTAAAATACGAGATAAATACTTCGATGGTTCATGAGTTCGGAGTAAAGATCAAAGTACGATTTGTCGGGCCGATTCAGATGCACGTCCACGATATTATATATAATATCTGACAAGTGTTAGCTTGACTTATGGCTTGACGACATCATCCGCTACCAAAAGTCGTCATTGACAACTGGCAATACGCAAAAATCCATAATTATGTAGCTATGTGTTTGTGTACGCCAAATTTGGTGTATATGAACGCGCATTGAGATTTGAAAAACATTTATAGATTGAGGACATTGCATGCAATTCAGTAAATGCCGCTTTTCACACTGATAATTAATAATCGCCTTTTTGACTGTAATCCTACCTTTGCTTTAGTTACATCAAAGTATGTTCCTCTTGAGCATTTCTTAGGGACAGATGTTCCAGCTGGACAGTAGTGACCTTCAGGACAGTCTTCACAGACTTCCCATCTGACATTGCCAGTGCGATTTGAAAATGTCCCAGCAGAACAGGGAAACTCCGTACCATAACGAGTGCCTGGTTAGGGAAATTCATCATTGTTTATGTATTATATTCAAAATTTCCATACGTACTTTGTTTCAATTTATCATTTAATTTAACCATAATGTAGAACTGTACACAAAAATTTCCTTTAAATTGGATTGTAGCATTTTATATACTATTGTTGAAGACAACGGGATGACGCCATAAATGTGCGATAAAAACCGACCATCCCAGCAAATTCGTCAGTGCTACTAATCATTTCAAATTATGTGACCGCTTAATTTGGTTTCATTGCCATTTTGCTATGATGGGCTCAATTTTATTCAATGCATCCTGATCATGCGCAGTAGATAAGATTGGTTGGTACATATAGTGATTCATTTCCATACCTCTTGGACAAAAATGTCCAGTTTCACAAAGATCAGTAGGTTTATCACTTCCTTCAAGACAGTACCAGCCTTTGGGACATTGATAACAGTCGGCTTGCTTTTCAAGATTCGTGAGGTTGCCCCACGAACCTGCCACACACGGGAACTGTGTGGGTTTTCTAGTACCCATAGGACAATAATGACCTGCGGAACAGAATTTAACAATAAGTATAGAATCAAGCCCGAATCCTCTGGGGAAACGAATTGTTTGATTTCACGGAGTCGGGTATCCGCCGGTAAAAAAAATTGACGACACTTCATTTATGATCGACCGAGGCTAGAAATCTTGCATCCAAAAACTGACCAACACGTTCCTATGTTTGAATGCATGGAACTTCAATGCATGACTGTTTATTATACTCACCTCTAGCACAAAGTTGGGGAGGTTTTTGCTTTCCCCCAGTCCCAGCTTCACAGGCTTGGCCAGCAGGACATGGTGTACACTCTCGGGAATGAGTTAAATTATGATAGTCAGTGTATGTTCCAGCAGGACATGCGTTTAATGTAGCGTTTGGGCTGGATGATCCTGATGGACAGTAATAACCCGCGTTACATGTCAACGTTGGCCATGATTGCGCAGAGAGAGGACACGCCATGCCTGAAAAGCAAGGCCTATACAACAAACAGAATAACATTTCATCAACAAACTCATGATTCTATATACAAACTTTAGTTGACACCTTAAACACTACGCAGTGGAATGCAAAACACTGTAATAGAATGCACAGAACACTATTTCAAACCTGCAATCTACTAGGGCTGACTGTCCAGGCAAGTTGTTGAATGTTCCAGGAGGGCAAGCTTGAGGTTCAGCAGTTCCACTTACACAATAATAACCGACTGGGCATGTCTTGCATTGAGATGAACCTAAAACACATCATGTCTATCCATAAAAAGGACGCCGGAAGCATGAGAATTTGAACTTTTTCCCTAAGAGGACAACGTTACCTCAATTAGCTCTTTAAAATACTATACCAAAATCAAGCCCCGAGATGAACTTCGTGGGTCAGTTGCACAAAAGGTGGATAGTCTTTTAATTTCACAAAATTGCCCGTTGTTCGGTATGACCAGGATTGAACCTGATATAGTATGACCAATTTATGGATTCTTTGTGATCATAGTTAGCTATTAAGTCTCTAATTTCCTTGTTCTTCCAGCGTTTTAAGAACGGTTGAGAAAATCATTATCTGATGAATAGCGCTATCAAGCCTTCGTACAACCGACCGAAACCCTGAACTCGGAACGCGTAAGATACGTTGGGTTATTTGCTCAATCATACTCAATTTTAAAATTTGACTTTTTAGCATACGAAAATACATTATGGAGTCAGAAATCATACTTGCTCCAAAAACAATCGAGGAGACTAAAATATGACAATCCATTAACTGTCACAAACAAGTCCTAATTTGTAGTGCAATATCCCTAAACTTACTTGTGGCCCCTTCCTGTTCAGTGAATTTTCCAGCAGGACATTTGCAGGGAGAAATATTCTTAGTTCCAGTTCCTTGTCCAGTGGGGCATGACGTATTTGCACGAAGACAATAATGGCCACGTGGACATAACTTATCACCGCTAGAATCCCCTCCTGTACATGTGTATCCAGCATTACACTGTTCACATTGATTTTCTCTTTCCAATCCCCATCTGTTATTGTACGTGCCATCTGGACAAGGGGACTGGAATTGGGTTTTCGTTTCCAGCAGACAATAATGCCCAGGAGGACATCGGACGCTGAAAAAGTTGAAAAACCTCTGTTTCTAGAAGCCCTATCTTCGAGCAATATGCAAATATATCGAACCACCAGATAACGCAATTTTCGTAGTCGAAGTGAAATATTACTAGGCGTGATTGCTAGTGAATGACAAAATATCCAACTGAAAAGCGAAAATTCATATATGAGGTACTTACGACATAGTTGGATATCCAGAGGTTCCTGCAGGGCAGAAGAAACCTGGAGGGCATGAGTGACAACCCTCTTCTTTGGATTTAGCCAGGCTTGTATTTCCAAATGTCCCAGCTGGACAGGGTTCTTTCTTTAAACCATCAGGGCAAAAATAGCCACTTGGACACATACCAGCACCTAAAAATACAGCTTGCTTGAAACCTTCTCAACATAAATATATTTACTAATAATCGCAACGAATGATAACACTCCAGCATTTTGACGACGTGGTGCAATGGTAATATTTTAAAGCTAATTTTATAATATGATTAAACTTAGGCACATGCGGCTGAAAATGTCATATTTTTAACTTAAAAAATTCGGAATTAAATAGAACGATGCATGAAAAACATATAACTATAATATTCAGTTCTATTCTAGAATTATCAGTTATTAAAAAATATATTTAAACTATTCAACACAAATGACCAAACTATATATTTAATATATAATATATAAAGGGAGTTAGATAAAAATTTATCATATAGCTACCTGGTTTATCAGATCTGCTTCCCTCCGCACAAACATAACCCGGGCTACAATCTGAGCAAACAATTGCAGATGCGTTGCTATACTTTCCAGGTGGGCACGGTTTAGGTGACGAATCAACTACATCACAGTAAAATCCAGCTGGACATTCCCTACATTTCGTTAACCAGCCAAGTGAGTAAGAGCCTTTAGCGCAGGGAATTGGAGCAGATGAAACATTAGGACAAAAGTTACCAGCTGGACATTCTGTGCAAGTCTATAAATGATATTTATTAATTTAATCAATATCTATTGAAATCACATTATACAAAGGGAACCAGTTGGTGAACATGACGAAACAAAGGGGGCGAAAACCCGATGTACGAGGTTGGACGAAATGTTGTCGGACAGTCTTACTAAACAATTATGACCATCAAATTGAATGGAATATAATATTACATGTATTGTGAAGAATAAACTAGGTCGTTCGCTAAGGGAAGAATTAAAGCCATTAAGAGTTAAATCTGTGCGGGTTGGTAGGTAAAAACATTTCATACCATTTTAACGCGGCCGAATCTACACTTTAATGCTCACTCCCAGTTGACAAAACGAAATTGGTTTTGGTCTAATCGTCTGTTTTTGGCTTGACCAAAATAACACTTCCTTTCATCATTTTTTTCTAATATTACGTAACTCTTCAACCCAGAAGCACAATTCGACGTATATTAAAAAGACGTTGTATCGTATTGATAATTTCGTGTGACAAAGGAATTAACAGTTTTGTAGATATATTGCTTACCCTAGCTTTATTTAACGTGTAACTTCCTGGATAGCAAGGTATTAGAAGATCATCTGTTTTTGATGGACAAGCAAAACCAGCGGGACATTCTGTACAGTTTTGTTTACCACCGATACTATAACTACCATCTTTACATGCAATCATATTCTTCTTATCTGTGTCTGGACACCTGAAACCTGGCTGACAAACTGTGCACATCTATATGAAATGAAGAGATGCATTTTATATTTACATACAAGACAGCTACACGTACCCATACTGTTACTAAAACGTTGGACTCGTGCAATTAAACATGGTATGGTAGAGCCTTTTCTGATCTTTACCTCACTCGTGGATTTGACTCGCAAGTACCCTTGCATTACATGACTGTGCAATAACTGTACTGAAAAGTCTTTATCATTTTGTCAAAAAATCTGAATTAAGGTTGCATCTCACCGTCTGTTTCCCACCAGAATATGTCCCAGGTTCACATTTCGTTTTGTCACTTGTATAAATGGAAGTGCAGGCATATCCCGCTGGACAATCTGTACATGCAGTCTGGTTACCCATAGAGTATGTACCCTAAAATACATCACTGGAGTCAGTCAGGTTAGTTAAATATTCAATGTCGAAATGCCACCTGTACTACTGTATACGTAAGCGAACATTCGCCTGTGGTATCAGAGCTCAGGATACGCGACTTTTATTAGTACAAGGAGGGGGGGGGGAGCATTGTACTTTTAACTGCTTTCTAAAAATATATCTCATACTATTGGGCCAATGAACGTAAGTGAAAACAGTCAAAATAATTGGTATCAATGCTTACAGGCAAACACCTAGCATTGCCAGACCCATCCTTTGCCGAACATTTCCATCCACTAGGACATGCAAGACAAGCATCAGCCCCACCAAATGAATACATTCCAGAAGGACAGGGTATCTCAGTTGCATTGGTGATTGAAGGGCAGTATTTACCAGCTGGACATATTGTACAATATTGAGCACTTCCTATTGAATACGTTCCTAATAAAACAAATATATAAAAAAAATACTATAACAAATTTTATGTGAAATCGTCAAATATATGTTTGTACTCCAAGTTGCTGGAACGCAACTTCTGAATATAATAATTTTTTACGAGTCCATATACAGCTAATACAATAAATGTCAATTTACAGGTGGATGAGACTATATTAATCTACCTGCCATGTTAATTGAACGAGGCTTTCTGTATGAAATATCACACAAGAAATTAGGCACTTACCTTTGCGACACAAAAAGTTGTCAGATTCTGCTACAGATGGGCAAGCTCTACCAGGTGGACAGGATGTGCAATTCTCCCAGCCACTCAAACTGTATTCTCCTGGATTGCAGTTTTCTGGTTGTTTCTAGTATAAAATAAGTAGATATGGGAGTACATCTGGGTTTTCAGTTTTCAATATATAATACCACCACTAGTATGCGGGCGTTGCAGGCTGCAATATGAAACTGGACACAAATACTTCAGGCTACTGTGGTCTATAGGGTGAAACTGCATGTTATTAATAACATTTTAACAAAGCTACCTACATTTTTAGCAGGACATTTGCTGCCTGCAGGGCAGATAGAACATTTCACTGAAGACCCAAGACTGTAAAAACCTGCATTGCACTCTTCCATTGCACTCCTACGAAGAAAAAATCGTAAAAGTCACTAACAGGTTTACCAAAAACATTTACACCGGTTCTGCCCCAGTAGATGGGGATGGGGCAGAGTGGCGAAATTTTCTTAGTAAATATTGACAATATTACATTTCAGTGACTAAAGCTTTGTTCACATGTTGAAATTTTATATGCATAAGCGCAAAAAAGAAAATCTTTGTCGTGCTCATCTCACATCTTAGGAAAATTTCAGTAGATTTTAGTAGTATGTTATTGTTTTAACTTATATAACACGCGGATTCTAACAAAATATGCATGCATATGCATGTGTCTCATAAATGCTTACTCTGGCTGTTGACATTGGAACCCAGCAGGACAGTTTGTACAATTTGTCGATCCTTTCTTGCCATTGGTTGTTTGGCCTAGCTGACACTTGAATGGAATTTCTGTAGTCGTTGGGCATGCATAACCAGCGGGACAAACTGTACAGTTAGCAACACCGAGCAGAGAATATGAACCTTCTGAGCAAGAGGCGATACTAGCACTTGCTTTGGGACAACTGTAACCTGCAGGGCACTCAGCACACGACGTAGAACCCTGAAACAAACCATGCGTCAATCTTTCCAGTAAGCTATAATTTGAAGGGATCTTTTGAAACATGCCAAATATATCTGGTAGCCAAGGTTAGCCAAGATTAGGAATTTGTTATTTTCTAACATCAAATCAGGTTTTCACATATAGCCCAGGCTTTTTTTTACGAGCAGGGTTTGCGCAACCACACCTCAAACTAATGAATTGATTTCTTCCATTGTCAAAAGGTTAATAATAACATAACTTACCAAAATACTGTAAGTTCCTATCGGACAGTGTATTGGTAGACTGGCGGGGTCTGGACATGCCTCACCGGAAGAGCATACTTTACACGAGGAATTCCCTTCAAGCGAATAGTAGCCTGGTTCGCAAGGTACTGGAGGTTGGGTGGCATTGGTACACTCGTATCCAGCTGGACACGATACACATTTAGGAATCTGCACAATATGACATTATGAAATTATTTAGAAAAATTCATTGCTTAGAGGTATACGACAAAAATCTAGCTGTATAATATATATATATATATATATAATATATATATATATATATATATATATATATATATATATATATATATATATATATATATATATATATATATATGAATTTAGTACCAAATAGAGAAAATACATGTTGGTGCACTCTTTCGTTTGTATCTTAGTATTTAGGCTTTTAGTATCAATTATCTAAGGCATATTCGTCGTTCGAAATCCTGTTTTCGAGAAAGCAACTTGAAAAAATATTCTAATTAAAAGACGTTTAGGGCTACCGATAATATTATGACACTTACAGTTCCTACATTGCTCCAATATGTTCCAGATGGGCAAATACTTGGGTGAGAAGGATCATCACAACTATACCCAGCAGAGCAAGGTAGACATGTAGATGATGCATTACCACTCCACGTTCCTGAAAAGAATTATAAGGATTTAGACAAAGAAGAACATCGAAAAACATCCGTAGGAATGTAACCAATCGTGTGACCAATTGTTTTTCAGGTTATCAGGTTAGAAGATGCAACGATATTTTAAAAACCTTTGGTATAAACAGGACGAAGTGTTAATTAGTTTGTACACCACGTAAGTATTTAATACTGCAAAGCTTTCGATCCATTAACCCGGGCCTTCATCAATCATCAGTGCATGCAATAGGCCCGGGTTAACGCATTAAATACTTACGTGGTGTAGGTACAAGCTAATGTACTTATTGATGTCACCATGCAAACATACAAGAATATTAGTACGAAGTGTACTATGCAATTATTATTTTAAAATTTATAATTATGATACCGAGAAACGTGCATGATAAACATGAAGGTGCATGTCAATCAATACCAGGGGACTAATTTTGATGGTATATGTACTTTGTGTGGTCGACTTTTTATCAACGAGTTGAATCTTTATCAATGATTAATTAGGTTTCACATATATTTACCACTCAGACATGTTTTACAAAAATCTTCTCCTTCCCTGCTAAAAGTACCAGCCGGGCAATCTACAGGCGAGATTATTGTAGAGGCGACGCGACATTTTTGTCCAGCAGGACAAGGCAGACAAACGCTTGCACGTGCAAAGCTGTAATAACCACGTGCACAATCCTACAAAAGAAGAAAGAAAATATGCCATCTCACGTCTTATGCATGTCTTGTTTAATATTTGGAAATCGAAGATTAAACTGAGAATTTCTGGTCCTGAAGGTACGTTTTGGAACCAACTTTGGGTAAAAAAAAATAAGTCACCATTTTCAGTTGAAGGTTACAATCTAATGATGCTGTCATAGACAGTATATATACATTGGGTAAACAAATATACACAATACTATAAACTCCCTGTATCATACCTTACAGGTTGCATCCCCGGCAATACTATACTCTCCTTTATTACATTCTTTGGGAGGATCAGAAGCATTATGACACGAGTATCCTGGCGGACATATATCACATGTCACAGCTCCTCTTCTATCTGAATATGTACCATGAACACAGGAAAGAGGTTGGATAGTCATGCTTGGGCAATAATGTCCTTTGTAACAACCAACACACGATGTAACATTACTGAATTCACCAGCCTGAAGATAAATATAGCATATGTAAGAAAGCAAATAAAAAATGGGGATCGACTATTAGCCGTTCATGACAGGAACAAGTGGAATAAATATAAATGTGATCTTATATTCGAATAATTAATATTAATATTATTTAAGAAAAAAAAAACTTTTTAAATTATTTCTTAATTATCCGATCACGTTGTTAATTTGCTACCTACTATACAGTACACCTGCATGTATGTGAACCAGTTAACTGATGGGTTTTCCCCATGTACATTCTCCAAATATTTTGGTTCGAAGTTTTACTAAGACTAAATTTTAAAAGAGGGTATAAATACCTGGCAAAATTTCGGTTCGACGTCAGGTGAAGTACATGCGAAACCAACTGGACAGGAAAAGCATTCCTCGGAAGCTTCAGGTGAGTACTAAAGACAGAAGATATTTTATTATACTTGCAGTATTTGAATAAAAATTTCCACCCATTTATCACTAACATGAAAGCCACAGTATATCGCTACTTATCAAAAGTAAAGCCGCATTTTGATATTTGGGACATGAGTTATGTAGTATGATTAAAAAATATGAAATTACAAACTTTGCTACTTCTATATCGTGCCACCTGACCTTTCTATACTACTCCCCCCCTCCCCTCCTATTTGTAGGTGTCCGCCCGCCTCGCGTATCTGACACATTAACTAAAACCTTATGTTTTATAGGAAAACCAAGCTCCATATTCAAGGTAACCTTTCTGGATGTATTAATAGTTCACTAATCATGGCTGTAAAGATTTTAAAACTGTCCATACAAACAAATACCTGTCCGGGGGAACAAGGAATGGGTCCTTGAGTTCTATTTGGACAGCGTGATCCTGCGGGACAACTTTCACACTGGGACTGACTTTGTTTGGTGTTGTAAAATCCCGGTGGACACTGAGAAAAAAGTAAGAATATAGTAAGAAAATTAAAATAAAAGCACCTCGTCTGATATATATCAGCTCCTTATGATCATGATTTAACCTTTTGTTTATTTATTAAAACACTTAGAAATAACGCAGCTGTCTATAACATGTTACGCTCTTCCGTATACGCATGTATACTTACACTTTGACATACAGTTGAACCCCTCACGTCAATGTAATAACCAGCATTACATGGAATTGGTGACTCCGACGGATTAGGACATCTGTAACCTGCGTGGATTATCATAAAAACATGACTAATTGTAATGGCAAAAAATCGAGACAAAAAAGATGGACAAGCAAATTCATTCGATTTCCTGTACCCAGCAATCACACTGCAAGTGGTTGCTGTTGCTATAGTTGTTCTGGAATAACTATAGGCTGTATTGTTGTTTGGCCCGGGTAACTTACTTACAAAGGTGGAACAAAAACACGATTTGCAAGTTACTAGCTCCTAGAGGTAAAGTTTTATATATATTTATTGAATACCTCGTTCGCACTCCATACATTCTTTTGATGTATTTTGGATACTGTAAAATCCTTTTGGACATGGCCAGGGCGATTCTGTACTCAGCAGGGGGCAATAAGTACCAACAGGACATTCTTCGCAATTCTTCTGACCCGATTTTGAATAAAATCCATGCTTGCAGGTCACAGGGTTATCTTTTTGCTCGCAGCTGCAAAAATACAAAGATATAAATACATGTTGTTTAATTTAGATTAAAAAAAAGAAACAGTTGCATTGATATTTTTTACAATTTGCATTAAATTTCGACAGATGATTTCAGGCAACAATAACTTCATCAAACCAATCAAATCTGAGTTGAAATTCAAAACATACAGGCTACTTATCGTTTAAAACAGAAAAAATTGAGAAGACGATCAAAATCATCGGCGCGTATACCTGAATCCAGCAGGACATTCCAAACAGTAAACAGCACCGTCACCACTATAAAATCCATCGTTACATGGCGTGGGTGTCAAGCGTGGATCGCCACAATAATAACCTGCTGGACAGGTTGTACAATCTGATGAACCAGTTTTGTTAGCGTATGTACCATTGCCACACGAAATTGGCGCTCCCATTCCATCTTGTGGGCATTGGAAACCAATTGGGCATTCTTTACAAGACGTTGCACCAGATTTAGCAAAACTACCATTCTTGCATTTTTCTGGAGCAGAGCCGTCAATGCATCTGAATTTAAAGATTTCAAATGTCAAATTATTAATTAAAGGTTCCATATTAAGTAATACATGATGTATTACTCGATAAGGTATAATCCTACCTGTATCCAGTAGGGCATATTTCGCAACGTGTTATTCCGCCAGCACTAAAATATCCTGCTTCACATTTCTTTGGGGTCTCCCTGGGATCCAGACACGTGTTTCCAACCGGACAGATTTTACATGTGATGGATTTTGTTTCATTTGCAAATGTTCCGTTTACACAAGGTAAAGGAGAATGCATTTTCGGGTCCGGACACATAAATCCTTTACTACATTCTTCACAATGAGTGCTACCAGATGTTGAAAATTCACCTGGTTGGCATGGACTCGGTGGAGCTGATTTGTTGGAACAACTAAAAGCGGACATAATACAATATTTTTATTATGTAATATTTAGTGGTACAAATTCGATAAATCTCTCTATAGCAATTTGAATGTGTGGTCAGGGCTGGAACAAAGATACAACAGCACTATTATAAAACATAATACGAATACAGAAGCTTCAACATGCGGTATATAAGTTTCGCAATGTCATGCAACAGTAGTGTTGCCAGCCTGGCGATTTAGTCCTGTTATTCTAATCTTTTGGTGTTCATGCATTGACTGTGAAAACAAGAAATTTCTAAAGAAATGAATAATTATAATAATTTGAAATTTGCATAGCGGGACTAAATTTTCAGGCTGGCTACGTTACCGCATTTACAACTTGAGACTTATCTTTTGAAATTACTTAGAATTAACTCTTACCTGTGTCCATGAGAGCATATTATACATTGTGATGCTGATCCCAGACTATAATAGCCATCCTTACATTCCACTGGAGTTTCATCAGCATTTGGACACGAGAACCCAGCTGGACATGTTTTACATTCCGTTGACTTTGTTCCATTAGAATATGTTCCATTTAAACATTTCATTGGCGATTGCATTTCATTAAATGGACATTTAAATCCTTTATTACAGTCGTTACATTTACTTTCACCAGTATCAGAATATGTTCCTGGGGTACATGGTACCGGGTATTGTGATCTATCAGCGCAACTGTTTAAATGAAGAATCAAAATTAATTACCGTTATTCAGTCATTCAGTACATCTCACAATAAATTTAGCATCCCATTTTTAGAAATATCTACTGCACAACATTTTCTGATGCTAAAAGTATAGTTTTCATTTCCAGCTTCAAGCTATCTCAGTATTTTGAAACTTCTTTACGAATCAATTTTTTATGCACCTCTTTCACTTAATCTTTATTTGTCGCCCCACAAACAAAATTTATGACCATGCATGTGAGATTTACATCTCACAAAATATAAGTATAGGCAAGTCGGCAATTCGGAAATTACCGAAAATCCTAGTTTAGAGTTAAACAGATTAATTTGTTGCATTAAGTAAATTCAATCATCAAGGAAATGTAATTTTCACAAATTGAAGTATTGATCTTTATTGAACAAAAGTTAGAAAGACTTTAGTTGGAATCACATCACGTTTTAAATGACTAATTTAATTGGTTTATAACCGGTTTGCATGCCCAGGCAAATTTTCTTGATTTTCTTGATATTACAAATATTTTTCTAATGTCAATTTGTAGTTTGTATAAGAATTTGGTACAACAAAAAATCAAATGCTTTTATTTTCTAAAAAAATATTTCTTGTGTAGAGGGTTTAAAAGCAGCGTTAAAACTTTAAATTGACCTATGATTTATTATTATATACTTGATATTTATATACCTGTGTCCACGAGGGCATATTATACATTGTGATGCTGATCCCAGACTATAATAACCATCCGCACATTTCACTGGAGTTTCATCAGCATTTGGACACGAAAACCCAGCTGGACACGTTTTACATTCCGTTGACTTTGTTTCATTAGAATATGTTCCATTTAAACATTTTATTGGTGATTTCATTTTATTCAGTGGACATTTAAATCCTTTATCACAGTCGTTACATTTAGTTTCACCAGTATTAGAATACGTTCCTGGGGTACATGGCACAGGAGATAGTGATTTGTCCGCGCAACTGTTAGAATAGAGAATGAAGAATTTGACAATGAAGATTTTACCTCAACCGACATTATAAGAAATAAAGTAACGTTTACGAAGTGTAGGGAAATTATCATTTGCTATCCGAGCCTATTAAAAACTAATTTATTAAAAATTATCTTTCATGCACCTAGATGCTCTTTAATATTGCTCGTGCAGAACCAATGACATGCAGTAATGACTCTGCGTGTGCGATGACGTCACATCTCTAGAATCAACCCTAACGAGAACACTATAATATAGTTTAGATCGCGGACGACCCAGCAAAAATGGGGTTAAAAATACGGTTTTACTATAATTTAGAATAGTAAAGAATTAAAGGGATAAGTTAGAATACAGCATCACGGGTAGAAGAATATGTGAATGTTTTACATGCATGCACTGGTATTTTAATTTAATTTTTAACTTTTACTAAATTAATCTACTTAGGTTTACCTGTGTCCATGAGGGCATATTATACATTGTGATGCTGATCCCAGACTATAATAGCCAACCGCACATGTCACTGGAGTTTCATCAGCATTTGGACACGAAAACCCAGCTGGACACGTTTTACATTCCGTTGACTTTGTTTCATTAGAATATGTTCCATTTAAACATTTTATTGGTGATTGCAATTTATTGAATGGGCATTTAAATCCTTTGTCACAGTCGTTACATTTAGTTTCACCAGTATTAGAATATGTTCCTAGGGTACATGGCACCGGAGATATTGAGTTATCTGCGCAACTATTTAAATGGAAGAATGGAGAATCAAAACTTTATTGAAGAATTGTATTAAACAAGTTATATTTATGTAGAGTACTCATATAGGCGAGTTTGCATTATACATTATAGTGCACACCGTGGCGGTGAATGGGGAGAAATGGGCGCCAACTAGAAATATTTTGGTGGGGAAAGATCTTATTATAAGTAAAGCGAACATCGCATAAAACTATAAACTATACTTAGCATCAAATGTTGAATAACAACTGCCTAAAATAAACAAAAACACTTCCCCACGTTTCGACCTGAGGGCTTTCGTCAGTAAAAATTGAGATTAAAAAGTGCGATTTTTTTTAACTTTAGAGTTTCCATCTATTCACTTTAGTTTAAAAAATTATAAAAGGAATATATATTAGAACGCTCACACCTAGAAGAGAGTAAGACATTAGCAATGCATGCACAGGTATTTAATTTATATTTTAGAATTTAGAGTATTAATCCGCTTATATTTACCGGTGTCCATGAGGGCATATTATACATTGTGATGCTGATCCCAGACTATAATAGCCAACCGCACATGTCACTGGAGTTTCATCAGCATTCGGACACGAAAACCCAGCTGGACACGTTTTACATTCCCTCGACTTTGTTTCATTAGAATATGTTCCATTTAAACATTTTATTGGTGATTGCATTTTATTGAATGGACATTTGAATCCTTTATCACAGTCGTTACATTTAGTTTCGCCAGTATCAGAATATGTTCCTGGGGTACACGGCATCGGAGATATTGAGTTATTAGCGCAACTGTTTAAATAAAGAATCAAAATTGTATAGATTTTCACTTAATAGCCGACATGAACTTACAAGTTACGAAAATTCTCATTTACCATGCATCGATAAGCTATTTGAAGTTAAAATTTCTCAATTTGAAACTCCCTTCCATGCACTCCTATGCTGTTGGTTGTCCGAATAAATTTCATTAATTCGGTGTTTCCAAATCTCAAAGTGGTTTCTGCAATTACCGCTTAAAGAATTTATGGAATGAGTTAAAATACACTGTCAATTTAGAGCATGCATGTAACATTTAACATTGACGTGTAAATATAAATCGCTTTTAAATTAACTTTTACTGAATAAATCTATTTACCTGTGTCCATGAGGGCATATTATACATTGTGATGCTGATCCCAGACTATAATAACGATCCCCACATTTCACTGGAGTTTCATCAGCATTTGGACACGAAAACCCAGCTGGACATGTTTTACATTCCGTTGACTTTGTTTCATTAGAATATGTTCCATTTAAACATTTCATTGGCGATTGCATTTCATTGAATGGACATTTAAATCCTTTATCACAGTCGTTACATTTAGTTTTACCAGTATCAGAATATGTTCCTGGGGTACATGGCACCGGAGATAGTGATTTATCAGCGCAACTGTTAGAATGGAGAATCAATTTTATATCAAAGATTTTAACGTAATAGCCTATTATATACTCTGCATTTATATGCAAAGTATATTTCCAACAAAGGAAATATACCTTATAAAATGCCAAATTCAGGCATTCATGCAACATTAAATAGTTTAACAAGTTAAGAAAATTCTCATTTACCATGCACCGGTAAACATTTTTGAATTTAAAATTTCTTAATTTGAAACTCGCTTTCATGCACCCGTCTGCTGTTGGTCGCACGAAAAAATTCATATCAATGATCGTAAGTGGGAAATGATGTTATAGAACACACATGCATTACTATGGAAAGCAGGTAGAAATTTTAGAATCAATCTTTACCCTATAACTCTAACATGAAAGCACTAAAAAACAGATGTTTGGAATGCATATACGGTGTCTTCAAATTTCAGAGTGCATATAGGTAATTTTTACTTAAATATATCAAATTATCGCTTAAAAAATATATCAGGATGAGTCAGGATACAGTATATATTATATATACTTTAGTTTAAACCATCAACAGCTTGTGACATTTAACACTGACGTTTAAATATCAATCGCATTAATTTAACTTTTAAATAATCAACTTTTATTTACCTGTGTCCATGAGGGCATATTATACATTGTGATGCTGATCCCAGACTATAATAGCCAACTCCACATTTCACTGGATTTTCATCAGCATTTGGACACGAAAACCCAGCTGGACACGTTTTACATTCCGTTGACTTTGTTTCATTAGAATATGTTCCGTTTAAACATTTTATTGGCGATTGCATTTTATCAAATGGACATTTGAATCCTTTATCACAGTCGTTACATTTAGTTTCACCAGTGTCAGAATATGTTCCTGGGGTACATGGCACCGGGGACACAGATTTATCTGAGCAACTGTTAAAAAAGTAGAGATAAAAAATATTATTTTAATTATTTAGCATTTGGTTTAGTTCACTTTTAACACCTATATATTATAAAGACAACATCTTAGATATATAGCTAGTATCGGCTTTCAGAAAGTTTCGTTCTTCGAGCGCGAAGCGAAAAAGAAAATAATACATCTTTCCTTTAAATTTGGAATTTAAGATTATAGTTATCTACATTTTAGCCAATTATTTAGTTGAAAGAATCCAATGAATTAATGAGACATACAATAGCACGTTTCAAAAACCATAAAAAACTGAAAAATATTTAACTTTCACATGTCAGTTTTCGTGTCTGAATATAAACATGGGTTTTATGTTAACCTATCGACGTTTACCTGTATCCACGGGGACATAGAACACATTGTGATGCTGATCCCAGACTATAATAACCATCCGCACATTTCACTGGAGTTTCATCAGCATTTGGACACGAAAACCCAGCTGGACACGTTTTACATTCAGTAGACTTTGTTTCATTAGAATATGTTCCATTTAAACATTTTATTGGTGATTGCATTTTATTGAATGGACATTTAAATCCTTTATCACAGTCGTTACATTTAGTTTCACCAGTATCAGAATACGTTCCTTGGGGACATGGTACCGGAGATATTGTGTTATCAAGGCAACTGTTAAATGAAGAATCAATTAAATTTTATTAGAAATTTTTCATTTAAAACATCCTCCATTAATTCCAAGCAGGTATACTTATATTGCGTGCATGTCAACAACAAAAATATACTGTGCAGTGCAAAATTTAACAAGTTAAATAAATTAATTTTTAAAAATACCTTTTTATATATACAAGGCTGGTATTTTCAATCTATGACTATAGTGTGATGGTTTTTTCCGAATTCAAGAATGATTTCAATTTAGTTAAAATTTAAGGAGTCTTATTATAAGTTAAAATATCAATAATCTTAATTGATAAAGTGTGAAATATTTAACTGATTTTAAGAATTCATATATTTACCTGTGTCCATTAGGGCATATTATACATTGTGATACTGATCCCAGACTATAATAACCATCCGCACATTTCACTGGAGTTTCATCAGCATTTGGACACGAAAACCCAGCTGGACACGTTTTACATTCCGTTGACTTTGTTTCATTAGAATATGTTCCATTTAAACATTTTATTGGTGATTGCATTTCATTGAATGGACATTTAAATCCTTTATCACAGTCGTTACATTTAGTTTTACCAGTATCAGAATATGTTCCTTGGGTACATGGTACCGGAGATTGTGATTTATCAGAGCAACTATTTAAATGAAGAATCAAATAACTGTTATTAGAAATTTTTCATTTTAAACCCCCCTCATTAATTTTCAAGTATACTTATATTTCATGCCAACAACGGAAATATATTATGCAGTCCAAACTATAATATAAAGGAATGTTCACTTGAAATATATAGGCAAGTTCCCATTTACCATCTTCAAGCAGGCTTTAGATTTTTTTAGTCTCGGCGTTAGCGGTTAAAATGAATTTTGAAGTCTTTTATGGGGTATTTAAATCTCATATAGAGTTTTGGTTGTCAATAAGTTGAAATAAAATCAATTTTAAATTGCATGTTTGTAAGTGTGAACTAATATTTGCTTTTGTTTACCTGTGTCCACGAGGGCATATTATACATTGTGATGCTGATCCCAGACTATAATAGCCATCCTTACATTCCACTGGAGTTTCATCAGAATTTGGACACGAAAACCCAGCTGGACACGTTTTACATTCCGTTGACTTTGTTTCATTAGAATATGTTCCATTTAAACATTTTATTGCTGATTGCATTTTATTGAATGGACATTTAAATCCTTTATCACAGTCGTTACATTTAGTCTCGCCAGTATCAGAATATGTTCCTTGGGTACAGGGCATCGGAGATATTGAGTTATTAGCGCAACTGTATAAGAATGAAGATTCGAACATTTATTACAGAGATGTTTCGCTTTAAAAATCCTGCATTTAAAAATCCTGCATTTAGTTAAAGTACTTATAAGCAACAACAGAAATACACGGTTACAGTATATGGGCAAGTCCTGTATTGCATCTCTTCTTGATTTTTTAACATTTTCAAACGTTAGTTGGAACTTATTTTTTAGCGGATAGGTTCTCATACAAAAAGAAGTGTCTTTAAATCAATATAAAATGGTTGTCTAACAGATCATATATCAATTTTATGAACCCACATAAATGGGGCTATACATTATACCTCATGAACTGTGCCTTTCTGTTATAGCTATAGCCTATAGGCTACTATGGTAGGGAATATATATCAGTGAGGTAGTGGAATATATACATGACGATTTTCCAAACTCAAGAATTGTCTTAATTTGAAGAATAGCATTAATTGAAAAAATTTAACAGCCTTTTAAACAATTTATATTTACCTGTGTCCATGAGGGCATATTATACATTGTGATGCTGATCCCAGACTATAATAACCATCCCCACATTTCACTGGAGTTTCATCAGCATTTGGACACGAAAACCCAGCTGGACATGTTTTACATTCCGTTGACTTTGTTTCATTAGAATATGTCCCATTTAAACATTTTATTGGCGATTGCATTTCATTGAATGGACATTTAAATCCTTTATCACAGTCGTTACATTTAGTTTTACCAGTATCAGAATATGTCCCTGGGGTACACGGTACCGGAGGTTGTGATTTATCAGAGCAACTGTTTAAATGAAGAATCAAATAACTATTATTAGAAATTTTTCATTTTAAACCCCCTTCATTAATTTCCAAGTATACTTATATTTCATGCTAACAACGGAAATATATTATGCAGTCCAAACTATAATAAAGGAATGTTCACTAGAAATATATAGGCAAGTTCCCATTTATCATCTTCAAGCAGTTTTAGACTATTTTACTCTCAGCGTTAGCGGTTAAAATTAATTTTGAAAAAATCTTTTATGGGGTATTTAAATCTATATAGAGTTTTGGTTTTCAATAAGTTGAAATAAAATCAATTTTAAATTGCATGTTTGTAAGTGCAAACTAATATTTGTTTTTGTTTACCTGTGTCCACGAGGGCATATTATACATTGTGATGCTGATCCCAGACTATAATAACCATCCGCACATTTCACTGGAGTTTCATCAGCATTTGGACACGAAAACCCAGCTGGACACGTTTTACATTCCGTTGACTTTGTTTCATTAGAATATGTTCCATTTAAACATTTTATTGGCGATTGCATTTCATTGAATGGGCATTTAAATCCTTTATCACAGTCGTTACATTTAGTTTTACCAGTATCAGAATATGTTCCTGAGGTACATGGTACCGGAGATTCTGATTTATCAGAGCAACTATTTAAATGAAGAATCAAATAACTGTTATTAAAAATTTTTCATTTTAAACCCCCTTCATTAATTTCCAAGTATACTTATATTTCATACCAACAACGGAAATATATTATGCAGTCCAAACTATAATAAAGGAATGTTCACTTGAAATATATAGGCAAGTTCCCATTTATCATCTTCAAGCAGTTTTAGATTTTTTTTAGTTTCGGCGTTAGCGGTTAAAATGAATTTTGAAAAAATCTTTTTATACTAATTTAAATCTATAGAGTTTTGGTTGTCAATAAGTTGAAATAAAATCAATTTTAAATTGCATGTTTGTAAGTGTGAACTAATATTTGTTTTTGTTTACCTGTGTCCACGAGGGCATATTATACATTGTGATGCTGATCCCAGACTATAATAGCCATCCCCACATTTCACTGGAGTTTCATCAGCATTTGGACACAAAAACCCAGCTGGACACGTTTTACATTCCGTTGACTTTGTTTCATTAGAATATGTTCCGTTTAAACATTTTATTGGCGATTGCATTTTATCAAATGGACATTTGAATCCTTTATCACACTCGTTACATTTAGTTTCACCAGTATCAGAATATGTTCCTGGGGTACATGGTACCGGGGACATTGATTTATCTGCGCAACTGTTAAAATCAGAATTTAAGGTTAATTTTGTTTTTTTAATACAGAATGTAAATATCAGTTGCTTTACACCAACATTTGCTGAACAATAATAAACTAACTATAACGCCCAAAAGTGCAACTATAGTAACATTGAAATGAGTACTTATGATATTAGCGAGCCCACACACATTGATCTACCTGAGCGCTCTGGTGCGACACTGGTGCGCACGCAGTCATTGAAAGTTAGAACAAAACTTTAAAAACACCAATCGACAAGATCTTTATATCAAAATATAATGTCTTAATATATTCTATGTGTCATTATTGTTATAAATATCAACGCAATTATCCTTGAAATGGATAATTACAAAAGTTGCTTCGATTTAAGTGTTATTTTCTGCCGAGAAATCATTTCGTTTTTTAGATTATATATCTTACGTAAACGTACTTTTTTATGCTTTCCAGGTTTGCAAAAGGTTTTTGATGTTAAAATTTTAGTGCTTTTGCATGATGATATAAGGTTTTTTTATTTAGTTTATTTTAGTTTTATTTTAGTTTTTGGGCGAGAAATATTCGGCAAAAAGTGGATTTTAATTAATGACAAGTCAAAATTTCGCTATTGCAAATAATTTTCACGAGCAGTTGTGCCAGCAGGATCTATGTAAATTACTATTAAGGGATACTGGAAGTTTTCATAGATTAAGAAAACCAGATATTTTCGACTAGCATACTTTTATACCCCGTGCATGGAGTTACGAAGCTGCAGTATTACCTGTGACCTTGGGGACAAAGAAAACATTGCGGTATTCCCAAAGGACTGTAAAAACCTTCAGAACACGTGACAGGAGCATGACGAGGATCAAGACACATAAAACCAGCAGGACAAACTGTGCAGTCAGTTGAGCCAGTAACGTTGGAATATGTTCCATTAATGCAAGGAATAGGAAGATTTGCTGACTCTACATTAGGACACATGTGCCCCAATGGACATATTTCACATGCCATCTTTCCACTGGGAGAATACCACCCAGTTTTACAGGGAACTGGGGCTGTAGATTTATTCATACAACTGAAAAGAAATTTTGGAGAATAATTCGATGTTTCCATTTAGTGTTTTCAGTGGGTAACAAGTCATGCAGACCTCATGTTGCTCCTTTTAATGAGAAAATGTCAATATTTGTTGTGCAGATGTCCTTATAATATCCTTGCCCCTTATTCCCACCTAGCACTTAATCTTACTAAACCCTATCATATCCAAGTTAAGCCCTGTGCTTTTAGTAGCATTAAATTTTCAACAAGTAATCACAACATTTATTTCTAATTTAAAGACAATACTTTTTTATATACACAGCATAGGACTGCTAGTGTATAGTAAATGGGGAATGCCACTGGGGTGACTGGGGTTGTAATTGTGGTAGTACAAAAATATTTACTATTTAGATGTGAAATTTAGGGATGCAGGTTCAGAATCATAGATGGTTAATTTGGTCAAAATCTGTACAAACCTGAATCCAGATGGACAAAGTATACAGGTGATTGATGCCTGTGAACTGTAAGTGCCATTAGCACAATCCTCACAAGGCATACTATTATTGTAAGAATACTGTCCCGCAGGGCATGGAATACATTGAGAACTGTCAGAACTTGGCTGAAAACCTCCAGGACAAACCTATTTATAAGGAATTTTCTTAGTTACAATTGTTTATTAATAATTAGTTACATACAATTAAGCCTTATTAAGCCCCAAAAGAAAGATCTCTGCTGAAATAAATCTAAGAAAAGATTTGTTATACCTTTGGAAGTTCTGATGGAGTTGGACAAACATATCCAGGGGGACAATGTTGACAAGAACCATTACCACTAATTGAATAACTCCCTTTTCCACACAGCATTGGAGGCCCAGTTTCAGAACAACTAAAACCAGCTGGACAAGGTGCGCAGCTTGATGGCCATGCAGAAACACTTGTATTAAGATTGCATGTCTGCAAATTGGAAAAAATGAAAGAGTGTAAGTTAGATTATAAAGCCTTAATCCCTTTCTTTTTGAATCTGTATTTCCACCATTGATCGAGACATTGCAGGGCAGAAATGGACACTACACTGCAAGTATGCTTACCTTACACAATGTGGGACTATTTGCACCTGTTAATTCATAGTAAGTTCCATTTGGGCATAATTTAGGTGCATTTACACCTCCCTCACAACTAAATATAGAAATGAAAATTAGAAAACTGACAATAAGAAACAGCCATTAAATTGGACTTGTTGTTACTAGAAATAGCAGGGTCATGATTAATTTTTATTGGGCTTTGATTACAGTAATTTTAATAAGCCTTGTCAAGTTACATTCAATATTTCAATTCAAATTAGGTCTAGAAAGCAGTGACATGGAAAAACATATATAGCAGGAGATTGTAGTTTTGTCAATTAATTTATGATAAATAAAGTCCTTAAATAATTATATGAAAAGAAAGTACATAATCTACAATATATAAGATTTGCCTGATTTGGGGAAACAGCTCTACCAATATAAAACTTCACACCGTTTTAAATTTAGAACCACCTTAAATGAAATAGATTTCAACTTTTACTCTCACGAGCTATGTGTAAAGATGTAAAACATCCTTCTTCAACACATGCATGAAAAAGATTTTTTAATTATTTTGACCAATAAATGTGGAAATAACCCATAACACGAGAACAAGGCTGAGGGGCCAAGACCGCGAGCCTTGTTCTTGCATTATGTCGCATTTCCAGACTTATTAGTCAAGATGAACTCATTCATGTGTTGAAGAAGGATGTTTAGCATCTTTGCACATACTTTGTGATAGAAAAACTTCTCATTTAAGAAAAGTCCATTGCTCTAACATTAGCTGAGATTGAATGCATGTTGAGAAAGCTAGTACATAGATTTATACCAACAGGTTTGTTAAAGAATAGGGGAGTAATTATATTGCAAAACATCATATATTAATATCTCACTACAGCAAACAGTCTCTCCACTGGCTCATATCTAGCTATTTTATAATTCTATTTCGTCAATTCAATTGCTCCCTGAACACCATAAGTCAAACCAGGTCTGGTTCTGACTGGGCCACAGACAAACCCTGTTGTCGCTATATTTTACAAAACGATAGTACAACTGTTTTATATATACCCATTGTAAATTTTCACAATTTCTGACGGCAATTGTTAAAGTCTTATTTTTCATAACTACTTTTACTTACAAGTAGCCCGTAGGACATTGTAAACAACCGGCGCCATTGGCCCAGTACGTTCCAGCCGTACAATTGAATGAAACACAATCTATTGAACAATTACACGTCGTAGCAACTGCAATAAACACAAAAAATTAGTTTGTTTCTCACAAGTTTATTGATGTTTATTTCAGACTGCAGTCTGGATTTATGCTACACTATCATTTAATAAATTATTCTCATACGCATACCTGTGTCGCGAACCAACAGAACGGTAAATATGCACAAACATGCACATATTACAACAGATAGTGACTTCATTTTCGGGTCTTTTATGTATTTACATCGAAACCATCACATTGATTTAAACTATGGATATGTATTACAATTCAAAATATAGCTCTCACGTAGAACGAGCGCTTTCCTAAGCACTCGTGTCGAGTGTCGACAGACAATTATTCCACTGCTACATCGCGGTGTAAACCATCTTTTATGTCAACCGAAATATCCAGAATTAAAGTGATCTTCTCACGCTATTGCCACAGATATCAACAAAAAACAGCGTAAGAGTAAAATTTTTATTTTCAACAAACAAAACGTTTTATTTCTTAGAATGAAATATTCTCGAACGGGACAGCCACTAGACTTGGTTACAAATTTATTCCGACAATGAATATCCGCGTTCGTCGCTAGGAGATTGGACAATGATTATGTCTCGACATTAATAATTTATAGCCGTTAGCACTGTTGATTTACATTATGAATTTATGATCTGATTATGATCGTTCTTGCAATTCTCATTTATCTGATTACAATAATTAAGACTTTCATAGTCGTTGGAAAGAATGAGTTACCTCAGTTAAAATTCTAATATAGTGCTCTGTCATTCTAATTCAGTATTTAGAATTTCGTTGATCTTATCCACTGAGCTATATAATAATTCACATGAAATTATGGAATATTCAGTGAGTTCAATGGGAATTATTATATAGCTCAGTGATCTTATCGTGTGGCAGCACGGTCAGCACCGCTGACCCTTTTACAAACTCTGCCAGTACTCTGCCAGTATTCTGTGAACGCGAGGTCCACTTTACAGGTGTAACACTGGAGGGGGTACCTTTTAATCTGAGATTCGTGATCGATGCTTCTACATGAGCGTGAGCAAAACTTTATTGGCGACTTCTGAACGAAGTGCTAAAATATATGTGAATTTATTAGTTCTCTCGAATTTTCCTGGCTTTTGAACATTTGAATATTAATTCCTTATCGCTTAATGATGATGAGGCTGTGCAGATGAACTGTCGACATTCAGAACTATACTCGTTCTAGCTGATCTTCAGTATTCAATCAATAGTAACATATTTTTAAAATTATTTGAAAGTAAAGCGGACCACAGTAATCAGTCTACAGAAACTCTTACACCCGGATTTGTTTGGTGAAGTGGTGAATGAAAACTATCACGCCTTACCAACAACTGAATTTGAAATAGATTGCTCAATACAGAATTCAAATGATATCTGCATTAAATTATCGCATAGGTCTTGTGCAGTTTGAAAAATCAGTAAATTTTTTGAGTTAAAAAACTATTTATCCGTGAATATCTTTCGCATTTTTACATGAATCGTAATCGTTGAGAGTTTAGTGTGACCGTGAAAGTTTTTAAAAAGGGGTGTCGGTGAGCCTCTATGAAGAAGACGTTGGTAAAATGATTTTGCATCATTTTTGCAGCTCATTTCAATCATCTCACGTTGGTCGTGTTGCTGTAGCCTTTAGACTAGTATTTGGCAGTTACAGAGCACAGTGATCATCATTTTCTGCTCCCACATTCTATACCTTCTCAAACTGGTCTTTTATCAATCTCAATCTACTGCCTCTAGGCTCAACCTATAGGTATGGTCAATAGCATATTCTTATTTACTTGATAGTTGATAAACTGAATCTCATAGTGCACACATGTAGTCTCGTCTGATGAATTCCGTATTGATCGTGCAGCTGCAGGGTATGAAGACCCTGGGTACGAGGTTGGGTATGAAGTTTAAGCGAACCGCAATTTATGTAAAGAAATAAACGTTTCGTTGTTTAATAACCGAAATTACATGACGGATGATTGGAATTCAGAAACGTGCTTCACCTTATTGCCCTTGGAACCAATTGTTTTAAAAAATTTTAAAAAATGGCTTGACTAAATTACCGAGACACCGAATCAATACTTAGAATTGCATAATAAAATAATTTTTACGAGCTTAATGGACAGAGAGGGGTTAGGACAATGAAATTTTATTCAATTTCAGGTTGATGAAGCAGTAACCAACGTAAGTAAACACCAAGTAGACCTGTTGCCACGCCTGTTTCGTGTGAAGAACAACCATTGTCAAGTGTTCTGTCGTACAAAATCTTTCTCATTGTGATTCGCGAGAGTAATTGAGTTGCATCAAAGTCTGAAATTAACAAACTACAGTTAAATTATAAGGACATCATGCACTAAGTATATTAGCCATAGGGTGGGTATAAATATCGATTGCACGTAGCTAATATAGACTACTTCCTTCTTCCCTGATCTAGCCATACTGAAATACAGCATTATTACTGATTTTCAGGCAGCTTCAATCGCAAAATCAAACAAATATGAATTTCTTTAGTACTTGTAAGTTGTAGCTTTTACTGAATGCTTTACCTGAGAATTAGTTTTCATCCTTCCAAAACAACCAAGCTCTTTATCTTGCCAAATGAAGATATTTTCAAGTGTTGTAGGATCGAGGAAATTTTCAAATCCCAGAATTGCGCATACCAAACCTTGCTCCATGAATAAATCAGTATTGTAACCCATCACAACGTTCTTACTAAGTTTTTTCATTTCCACAAAGATCTGCGCACACTTCTTTTCGAAAAAGTCATCAACATTGAAGATATGGTTTTGCTTGAGATATCCATGGAATTTCTGGAATTCCTTTTCAATAATATGACGACATCCAGTTTGCAATCCAACGAGAAAATATAATATCTGGTGTGTATTTCCATAACCTCGCAATTCATTGCTTGTCATGAGCTTCAGACAGTCTAACGATACTTTGCAAGGATTGTGCGAATGAGCACTAGTTCCAGTCATCTCCGTCATACATTTATCTGATATTTTTTCAGTAAAGTGCTGTGTAAAATGTTTAGACTTAGCATTAGACTTAGTGGAAAACGTTAATGCCATGTTTTTCACTTGTCTAAAGCCAGAGAATAATTTCCATGGTTTCTCCACGATAGGTTTAAACATATTAAAATAGTTGCGTTGGTATTCCTTCAAATATGGAAGCGATTTTTCAGCGGTATTCTTCATGACGTTATGCAAGGATTTCAATTTGTGAAAACGATGATTATCATGGAGAAGAATACTGGCTATGGCACCCTGACCAACACGGAGGCCGTAGATAGAATCTAAATTCACTTTGTCAACATTGTTCACGTAGAAGCCGACAACGTTTTCTAATGACTTTATTGTGCGATCAATATACCTTTCTAACTTGTGACTTGTAAGTGCGAGGGAGAAATTAGATAGCATGATTAGCATCAGAAACAGCAAGGCAGCAAATAATCTCCAAAACATCGTCAAACTGATGATAGGCATCCTTCGCAGCTATTGAGGATATGGTTTGTGTCTAAATTGCTCTTTATTCCTGCTAATTAAAATTCTGAACGAAAAATAACATTTTACAAGCTTTATTTGAACATATGTCAAGCTGAACGGTTACGCATTGAAATGAACGATCACCTTTTAAATTAATTCAGGCATGATTTTCAATTTCAGTTAGGGACTTAAAACTCATTTGCACTTATGTCGCCGTATGAAAGGTTACATTCTTTGACAAAACGGGTACGTGTAAGGTTCCACATAATAATATTCCGAAGTTTCCATGGTTTTAAATATACGACGAAAAAATGTTGTATTTGACATGTCTTGAACTGCATTCTACTCTTCTCCAACGATGTAGGCAGTATTCAAGTGTTTGATGAAACAATAACGAATTTAACCACCCGTAAGGCCTGTTTTCCACTTCAACCGTATCGTAACGTAACGTAACGTAGCGTAACCGTATATATCTTTGTTTCCGACGCATTCGATCAGAACTAATGACTTTAAAACAATGAGATACGCTACGTTTCGCTACGATACCTTAAGATCGGCCTTAAGTCCTTGTATTCAAACTAAAGTAATGAGATTATTATGGTAGTCACAGGAAACTGAATATGATAAAATTGAGTATCAAACTGACAAACAAGTCCGTGCTAACACTAAAACAGCAGTAACCCTACTACGCCGATCTCACGCAAATGGCTTATTACACAGGTGCTCATGAAAAGATTGATCGTCAACTTCATGTTTCAATGTAATTATTAGTTTGAAAGTCCATCACATGCACTGCGTATATATATTTTTTGCTGCGAAGCAGTTTTGATCCGCCAACCCGGGCCTACATTGTAAGAATACTTTTTAAATTTCAATTCAATGCATGTGAGAGCATTTGACGTAAGTAAATCAAAGCGGGACAATCAAACTATCTTTCTTGAATTATATATCGCTCTATACAACGCATAATTATTTGCCGGAAGAAGTTAAAAGCTGCGCAAAATCTATCAATATGTTAATCGCAACAGTGTAATTATCAATGGATGAAAGTTTTTCGTTAAATGAAATAGATTGGAGAAAAAAAAGATTCAGGAAAAGCTGCAACTAATTTCCTTACTATAAATAGACGCAGATCATATACATTGCATGAATTTATCTTGCGTGTTTCATCAAAAAAAATTGTTAAGAAATACAATTTCGTCACCCAGTTAATATGTAATTTAAACAGACTTGTCAAACATTTAATAAATTTAAACACTGGCCGCAGTTTACACGAGTAATCACGGATACTCCATGCACAATATATCTTAAATGTGAAATTAATTACTTACAGCTATCAAGAAAAAATCTTATTTTTCAAGAGTTTAAACTCCCCACATGAGCCGCCACATCTACTCCAATCAGTATTTATGTCATTGAAGCTGCTAACAGCAGTATTAAAAAAAGCACCAACAGCGGACAACTGTGATTGTTGTTGATATAGCAAATGAACAATAGATAACTAATTACTAGGAGAAGTGAAGAAATAAGATTAAGAGTTGGATACACTAATGAAAAAGACAAGGCACAGTCTATTGTGTTTAGTGAAAATCAGCTCCACGACTGTAAACGTCGTGTATATATATAACTCGTTCACAAGCCCGAGAGTTACAGTTGCAGCTATTGCATCCTGTAATTCTGTGTGGCTCGCCGTGTGGAAGATAAATCACGTTCAAAACCCCTTGTTTGTTGAATGATTTCCTATTGAAGATAAAATAATTCGGACAGGCGGAGAGATTATTTCTAACACAGCATGCGTCTACTCCCACGGAAGCGTCTTTCTTGCAGAAACCATATATGTACATAAGGAAAGAAGAAGAAAGTAAACACAGCATGGCCCTCACCCACATACATAATTACGATGATAATTATACATGTAACAGCCCTTGAAATAGGGGCATATAAATAATCCGCGAGACAGAGACGTTATCCTAGAAAACTTTATCGTTCAAGATGAAGTTGTACGGTCGAATCACAACAAAATTTACCCAAATTCTACTATTTTCCATAGCGCTTAACAGCATCGTGTTTAACTTTAGCCGAGCATTGACGATCAAAAGAAGTGAAAAAGGCCAGTTTCTGGAACGAGCTGTCTTCGCATTAGAGAAGGTCCTATTTTACTATGATCATAACTACGAAACGATAACTATAGATTCTCTCTTGGGAATAAGAGTTGCTGAAGGAATATTGCTAAAAATTGTGACGGACAACAAACATGACATATTAGATATCGGAAAAATGAAACTTATCTTTCTAATCGAAAAAATGCACAGAAGTGCCAAACGTATTTCCAATAAATCCCTATCAGTTGCTCGTGATGATAATATAAAAGCCTTCCAAATGTTTTACAAAATTATTTCCAAACCTTGGAAATTATTTCATCGATTTCAAAAAATGAATCGTAAAAATTCAGGATTGAAAAAACCCCTTAAAAATATTATGTTTGACGGTCCGACTTCAGATCATTGTATTTCACTTTTGTTAAAAGATAAAGACGGATACGGCTTGTGTAACATAACAGATTCCTGTTGGCAGTTCGAGACTCAGAAATACGTTGATGGCTACACACCAACACATCAAGTCCTATATTTCCTTTTTGGACTTAGCGAAAGTTGTGGAGATGCTATCAAAAAGAAGTTTCAAGGAACTGGTTTCAACGATACACAAGAGTTTCTTCTTGAATTGTGTGAAAACATTTTACAAACAGCGGAACAGTTATGGCAAGATGACAATGTGTTGGAATATGAGAAAGATCTGTTCATGGAGCAATCTCTTGTGTGTAGTTTAGCAGGTTATGAAGATTTTCTGAATGAGAGATATCTCAACACGATTCTTAAATGGCAAATTGGTGTCGGATGCTTTGGAACAAAGGTATAAGATAAATTGTTACATTAAAGGCTAAAATAACTCTTATTCCCAATTTGACGGCTTACTTGTAAGTTTTGAAATTCCATAGACATATAGATTCCAGAATTTTTTTTTACCTCAGTTTACATGTTGTAGCTTAGATTACGCCCGGTAAATAAACAGTTAAGGTTATATTTAGCTTCCCAATTGTAGAGATACATTGATTGGCTTATATCTTTCAATTACAAAGGTCCATGCAAAACAAAGTACAAGAACATTAAGAAAACCCCGATACGCTGAAAAATTGTTCAAAGACGGTTGCTTGAATCATGAAACTGGTGTTGCTGTGGCTCTCTTAGCTCAATATATACGATGGATTTTAGAAACAAAATGAAATGAAGAATTTAAACAAGATATGCGGAAAACCCAACAAAACGTACGTGCATGAAATCATTTTCGCAATCAATGTAAACTTAGTGTAAACGTATAGATGAATTAATGTATAATTATATTTGTGGCAAATAAATGAAAATTAGAAATGAAGGCAAATTTAGGGGTAATGTAACTCCTTATATCAGTAGAAAACAATATACCATTTAACGAGAGAAGAGATCTAGTCCTGATAAATTACCAGTATAATGCATTAGAGATTACTAGACGACATTTCGACGGATCTAAACTCGTCAGATGCAATCTTCAAACTCTCTTTATCAATCAACTCAATAACCTAGCAGAAATACGGAGACACCTGACAATATTATAGATTTAATACTTACAAATAAACCAGAGTTCACCATCCCTATAAGCGAAGTCCGTGATATTAAACATTTCTCTGAATCACAATTCCCCGCTGATTTACAACAGGTACCGGCCCTAGTATATATTTTGCTATGACGATTCCAAAACATGCTTACTTGTATTAAAATAAATTCTTACGGTTATATTTTCAACAATTCTTTGCGGTCTAAATTCCAATTAGGGTTTAGAGCTAAACACGTACTCATCTCTCTCTCTCTACATTTTTTGGGATCAATGGATAGTTTTCCGTTCATGAGACCTCGTTACAATCTGTTATTCTAGTATGATTCAAACTTAGTTGGTCTCTTGTTATAGTGAAAAAATTGTGCTTTTATCAAGCTAACAGAATTTTAGGATTCATAGAATTTTATCTAATTCAATCTGGGTTACATCCTCTACTACCATGAATTCCTATTATACATAAACTATATGCCTGATTTGGTAAGTCAGTCAATAAGCCCTGCAGGCTGAAATTCCTACCTTGACAAGAGTACGGATGAAAAGTTGTCCTGGGATAAACAGATTGATTCTTTCAATAACTATATTGATTACCAAATACTTTACAATAATTCTGCTATTATAAAGCCCACTTTATTTATTGCAGCCCAATTTGGGATAAGTGTGGAATCAGCCTCAAAGATGCAAATAAAAAATCATGCAAGAAAATGACTGGGGTAACTCGGTCATTTGATTTACACAAGAACCTAAATTGGCAACCCCTTGATGTAAGACAAATAATTTTATATCTATTTTTGTCTAATATAAAATTCTGATTCGCCATACGAAAAGAAATATTTCAGTTAAATATAAATAAGAGACATGCATATAATTTCAGAAAAAATGTGAAACATGCTTGTGTTAGATTTTTGTATATTCTTTAAAACTATGTATTAATTGCAAATAGTTAATTTTACCCAAAAGCCCAATGCGGGTATTGTGATTATATTAAGGGTCTCCATGCATTTAATATTATAGCTAAATATATTAATCAACCCTAGCTAGCTTTTTAGACATTGGCATTACAATCATACTATACTAATTTGTAAATCATTTATATATCATCTGGATGTTGCAGTTCAAATTGTTCAGATGTAAGAACAAGTTTTCCAATGGTTTTACCTGACTCCAAGTCACTGTGTGATTTACCTGCATCTTTTAAAGGATACTCTTGTACTTTACACACCATTAGAGAACCATCCTCTACCCATGAGAGTAATTGTTGCATAGCATCTGCTAACATCTCTTTTTCACCAAAAAGAAAACTCAAATTGAAGGCCATAATACTTTTATTTTCCTCTGTCATCTAAATTCAAACATTAAAGTTGTTGACAAAAATTGATTTCAACAAAGATACTTTAGCATGTCATTACCTTACCATATTTCTAGTATAGTGCTATAGTGTTGAATTTTACCTGAAGCGGATTAAAACGAGGAGTCCAGAAATAATTCCAAGCAATTTTTAACCATTGCCACCATGCTATAGACCCATCAGCTGTGTCACTTGATCTAGGCAGCATTGTGTGAAATCCTGAAATATGATAAAACTTAAAAGTTCCAGTTGTGCAAATTCACTGTCAAAAAGTAGGTGTCTTTCCCAACCAACAATCTCTTGTTGCTTAGATAAGAAATAAGGAATAACTTTAAGAAGTTGATACATATAAGCAATAGATATTAACACATATTTTAATTTAGGTAATAATTAGAAATCTTGCTTTTTGATTATCTATCTGGATAAAGTAGCTTGGTTGAAGAAAAGATTGATGTTGGCCCCTTGGTCCAAGTTTGTCTTATTTCTATTAACCGTGTCCAGACAAATTATCCATCCTGGGTATAAAATCTGTTGCTTAGATTTCTAGGCAACAGATTATCATCAAAATATAAATGCAGCTTAGGATGCATGTATGTTGGTCTTTGGGTAAGAATAGAAAATAAATAATACCTACCATATACAATAAGTTTGCCCATTGGTGCCAAGTGACTATAACTATCATTCAAAGTAGCAACACCATTTGCATCAAAGATTGCATGGTATCCATTTGGGGAGAACCTTTTTGCACTACTCCACAAATCTTCACTAGACTTATCAATGACTTTGTCACACCCTAGAGAAAAGTGAATTCTTCAAATAAATGTAAATGTTTCGACCATTATATTTCTTAACTAATTGTGTTATCACATACCTAGTGTTTCCTTGACTATCTTGACCTTATGCGAAGCACCAACAACACCAACAACATTGCACTTTGCTATTTTTGCCATTTGAACTAACATGCTACCAACCCCACCAGCAGCTGAATGTACTAATATCCAAGATCCAGGTCGTGGTTGAGCAAGTTGGAACATGGCATACCATGCTGTTATGGCAACTGTTGGGAAACCTGCAGCTTGTTTGAGTTCAAGCTTTTTAGGCATTGAGAAGATTTGATCTTTTGGTACTTTAATAGTCTCAGAATAACCACCAAACATGGTCAGACCAAATACATTTTCACCACATTCAAATTCAGCAACATTGGAACCTTTTGCAATGATTTTGCCACTGAACTCAAATCCTGGTGTTATTGGCCAGCCAACATACTGTTTAGCTGATTTATAAACCCCCCAACGTATACATATATCAGCATAATTAACACCAGCAGCACATGTTCGTATTGTCACCAAGTTCTCTTCGGGAATATTGCTATGTTTTACATTTGCGCCTATGGAATACTCGTCAGAAGACAGTGGAGTATATTGGAGTTTATCATATCCACCAGGGCTGCTGATTTTTATCATTGTAGAAAAAGGATATATAAAATTTCTTTCGAAGATTTCAATAATGAAACTTTGTGCATTAATGAAATTAACCAACTGGTGCAATCCGTCCCTCTTGTTGGCACCAAATTGTTCGAACGCGTTTACTATTTACTAAGTCTAAATAAGTGTCCAAAAAATTACCAAAACGGGCAAGAAATTACTAAATGTCGTCGTGGCTCGTGAACAAAAAATTGCCAGCGGGTCACTTCTGGGGGTGTCAGGGGAGTGTAAAAAATTGCCAGCGGGTAACTTCTGGGGGTGTCAGGGGAGTGTCTCCTCGCAAATTGTAATTAATTTTAAAAATTAGAGCACAGCAGATGCGATTTCCTCCGTTTTCAGGAAAGGAGGGAGGTTTTTAAAATATATTATAATATATATAATAATAATAAATCATATATTACAATACCTATAAACTCCCAAAAAATTATTTCCAACAATAGTTCAATTCTATTCCTGTAGTATTTTAGGGGCGGCTTAGGGCAAGTTGCCCCTTTCGTCCTTCTCCCCTCTCCCTCTGGCCCAGGGTGCTATCATATTGTACGTAATAATACAGGCAGGCGATAGACATATAGTTCAGTGGTTGGTCCAGCCACATGTTTGTATGCAATGCATCACTGCTTATCGTATTGGGATTACGGTATTCGACCTACCTCGATCAGTTCGTAATTTTGAAAGTACTATAAAAGTAGTGTCAAAAATGATTCGTGTGGTAAGACCATTTGTAAACAACCGAATGGCGGTATACCTGGCAAAAAAAATATTTAATTTGAATTTGAATGAATCATCGTCATCTACAATCGTGAAAGAATTAAACTCATTCGAAGCGAGATGTTTTTATTTGCGTGGATCCTTGCCAAATGATCGAGAACGGGAATTTACGCTAAAAGTTTGTAAGTTCGCTGATTTAGGTGAAAAGAAAGGGATAATAGATGAATTGAATGATGTGATGATCAGATTAAATAATCGTGGCATACCATGCTCAATCCCCCAACAAACATCAAATGGCCAGCTTTATGAAATGAGAAAACTGAGCGCTACAAGAGACCGTCATACGCATGAAGCACACAACAAATCAGAAAATTCCCCACTCGATTGTGTTGTTCGTTTGCTATCTTACATTCCAGGGGATAATATGCGAGGGGTACCCTGCGATTTAAATATGTTTTATCAAGTTGGCTGTCTTGCAGCCGAAATAGACAAAGTTTTAAAGGTCTGTATCACTGTATGCTAAATATCGCAGGTCGATTGTAAATGTATTTACTTTTTATATTTAACACCTTATTGTTAATTATGTTTTTTTGGTCGCATCGAAAACAAAATTGTGTTTATTCGTGCCATATTTTAAGAGTATCTTTATTTCGTGGAATCATCGATGCGAAACCAAACTAGTTCAACATGTTGTGATAACAGCACCCCATAATCTTTGCACACGTGACACGTTCACATTTTTATGGTTCACAAATTGGTAAAAAGGTAGAAATAATAAATTCACGATTTATGCCCGAATTCAGAGATAAAGTACGTGGACCTGAACTAATTGAACATGAATTATGCATTTGAAAACACCACTGCCCATATGAAATAAAAAAATTGACCTTGTGGTTGTTTTGATTATAATTGCATCAATAACAAGTTCAAAATGTAGATTTTAGACATTGGTTTTTAAATCTGGGTTTCCATAGGGTTTTGTTTGTCCAACACTCCAAACACGAAGTCTGCGTTGGGATCTCAACAACCTTCCCATGGCCACAAGTGTGAGTAACATCATCAAGGAACCTGAGTACAAAGAACTTTTGCATAATGTTGAGGATATTTTTGAAAATAGAATTGAACCAAAACTTGGTTACCTCCCAAAACAATGTATTCATGCAGACATCAATGAAACAAATATTATATTCAAGGAAAACTCTAAAAGATATGATGCAGCTGGAGTAATTGACTTTGATTTAGCATCTTATAATTGTCGCGTATTTGAGGTTTCTGCTTCGGCAGCATACATGATGACAATTCATTCAGAGGATCCTATTGAAGCTGGTGCATATACTGTAGCTGGCTATCAATTAAACAACCCATTAACAACAGAGGAAAGTGACCTGATCTTCTATCTTATTCAAGCAAGAATGTATCAAAGTGTCTGCTATGGAACACTTGCCAGTCAAATCTATCCTCAAAATTCAAATTATTTGCTTTATACAGTGCAAAGAGCTTGGAAAACCTTACAGATCTTGGCAAATACCAGCAAATCAAGATTTGATGATAGATGGCAGCAACTTTGCTACAATCAGTCTCAAACTCCAAAATGCTTTGGCAAGATTAAGTGGTGACTTTTTCATTGTGTCAATGTGTACTTGAAGTTGTCTGGACTAATGGGTATTCAGCAATAAAATACATACACTTTGGTTTTATGCTTCTTGCTAAAAAACAGTTTAAATTTATTGGTTATTGTTTATATAATAGTTGCACAAAACTACATTCATCATACTAGATTGAAAAAACAGGTTATTTCATAAGACAGACTTGCTTACTTCATTCATTTTCTTTGTGTATAGATCAACTAGTGGCAATACGTAATTGTAACAACAAAAATTGGTTGGGCAAAAGCCCCTTGTCACTATAACCCCCTTCCCCCCCACCTAGCGCTCAGATTAGCAACTACTAAAGATTGTTGTTACAAGTTCAAAAGATCAAATTTAGTTTAATAACACAAGTTAGTGTAAGGTCTTAGGCCAGTTTAAACCAAGTTGGAATATTTCATCATATAAGTCACATGGATATCAGTCACAGGATTGGGTCTTATTGGCAATTCATACAGTTTGCAATACTTTGTCTGGATCAATAACAGATAACACAAAGCATATAGGGTGTATAAAAAAAGGTAACCTAACCTCAGTGTGCTATTGGGCAAAAAATTACCTTAATAAAGCAGCGCAATTTCTTGAATATTACGTATGTAAGATAGATCAGGCTCTTCACTGTTGAATCGCCTAAATGACTGTTTTTTGTACCGTATAGGGGAAATGAGGTAATACAGTTTGTTTAAGAACCTTGTCTTTATAAAAATCGCGTATTTTTACATATGCGCTGAACTAAAAAAGCAATTAATCACGAATTTGTCAAGACTGTCCAGTTTCGTCACTTTTCAAATATGGTATGAAAAAATGTTTCATTCAACTGCGAAAGCCTAATGATCTGCCCTAATTGAAGCGCTTGTTTCAATCAAGAAAGTTACGCCCATGCACAATGGCATGCTGGATTTAATTAGGTTGCCATTTTTTATACATCTATTGGAGTTGTATTCATGGAACACTATTAATATTAACTTTAATAAATAAATAAATAATTATACATTAATGAATAAGATAATTCAATTAAATATGTATACTACATCTAGACGGCTAGGATTGACTATCTTGTAAGAATATTAATTGCTGATGACTTGAAGTCAGCAAATTTTATACACGGCACTATGCAATGTTATAACATCGACATATTACAAAATTGATTAATTTTTTTATATGGGTAAAAAATTGAAATCTAAATACAATAAGATATATATACAAATAATGTATATACGGAAAATCAACACTACATGCCAAGCAAGTGCCACCACTTAACTTTCATTTCTTTCATAGAAGAGAACATATGCTTGTGAACCTCGAACACTGGAACTTGATAATGAACCCACTCTATAAAACAGGAATAAGGAGCATTCATCGTTTTTGCATGGGTATAGTACCAGAAAAAAATTATTGATAAAACACTCGGGTATATAAAATAACCTTGAATAATCATTTTTTGCATTTGCCTTCCAAAAATTTCAATTCAACACAATCATTTTCACTCAAACCCGGGAAAATGCGCGTGAAGGGCAATTCTGCCAGGTTTTTGAAATCATCGAGGCTGTGATGCTCTTTCTAAGATTCAATATTTCAAACAAACATGATATACCTGGAGTCATTAAAGCTATGCCACTCCTTCGTTTCAGGGTGTTTACAGTATGCTGTATAATGCCCACCAAACGCACTACCACAATGATTGGATACGGCAAATAAATTATACTTGATAGAAGAGTAATCTAGTTTGAAGAAGATAATGTGATGTATCAACATTGCCATTCGAATTTACCACCAACAAGAATGTTAATTAAACTTTCCTAAAAATACTATCCTAAACTAGTTTGTTCCAAGGGATTGAACACCAAGGATCATTCGATAAAAAAAGATGCATAGAATATGAATATTTAATGTTAAAATTCGGGCAAGTTGTATAATTAAAAAATTCGGGTGATTACCCCCCCCCCCCCCAACGAAGTTGCGCCCGTACGCCTATGGACGAATGTCGTAATTCATCGGCGTAATTCGGCGATATCTATTATCGCTGGTCATTGATACGTAAAAAGCTCTGTCTGTCCAAAAAATTACGTACGAATGATGAATTATTACCCTTTTAAAAAAGAAGGTAAAACATGACTTAATTAAGTACATGAACGGCGAGACCTTTTACCTCTATCAGAGCATTCGTCTGAACATTCAGAAGCAAACTCAGACATATCCAAATCGTTTAATGGGAACTCCACATCCGTTTGAAGCTTTGATCGGTAACCGAATCCCGAAAACCTTTTTAAATCTGCACAAAATAAGTTAAGAACTTGCAACTTCCTTAATTTTATGGAGTATTTGCACAATTTGATATTTCAATCTGCAAAAACCTCATGGACCTTGGGGTTTGAAGACAGATAGCTGCATGTGACCTAAAAACAGGTATACATGATTTTAATTTCTAGTAACACCTGACTATATTTATTGATATTTTTTGCGCTTCACGGCCTTTTATAAGTGTTTTGCCTGTATATAGCTTGTCATATTTTTCAAACCATACCAGAAAACAGCCGGGAAACTGAGATTCTGGCCTTTAAATGGCAATTGCGAGCACGCGTCAGAATTAGAAGATGTGTGCGAAAAAATGATGCAATAATATACAGCTCCCATTCGAATATCCCCCATATTTGCAATCAGTCAAATCGAAGACTTAATGTTGTTCGGAAAAAGGATACGAATAACTAATATTCTGGGAAATCGGTGAATCTTAATTTGTTTTTCACATTTCTGCCGTGTTTTGCATTTCTCACATTTCTGAAAAGATATGATATATAAAAATTAGTAAGTCAACTGTATATATGGACCAAAATCATAGCCGAATTAGGTGGTGAATCATGAACAAGAGAAAAGTAAGGGTGGGGACATGAACCTCAGGAAGACGCAGCATCGTAACCGCGTGTTTTACAGAAACCTGGGGATGAGGGGTATGCGACCTTCAAACTGAATTGACTACCTGGTATCTATAAAAGTATGGTAGTAACAGACTATGAAATTACTTCGTGCTATGAAAACACCAGTTTATACCCTATACCGATTTAACAACGACAAGAAACTACCTATAAATGTAATGTTCCTAGCTGGTTACTCACTGGTTTCTCATCTCCGTCTAAATCTTCTTTCTTCGTGAAAAGCCTTAAACAGTTCGAATGTAACAGCATCTGAAATCTGCTGTTCGAAGCTGATACGAACCCTAAAAATACAAGATGTACGTTACAATCTAGCATATCGTACATACCGCAGGGACGCGGAGCGGAGGGGGGCTTCGTGACGAACTAAAGAACCGGCGGCCGTTTGTAAGCGTTGTAACTATACATTTAGTGCGAAAATTATACAGTTTGGTACACTTGAAAAATATGCACATAGAACATTGACTGTCGTCTTTTTTATTAACTCGATGTTTTCATATCGCAAAATCAGATTGCAACCTAGTCTTCTACTGTTTATACCGAATGTGAAACGTAAGTATATACAATACAAGCAACCCAAAAAATACAATATTTGTCGAATATTTCGAAGAAAATATTAATACAAACCCTTGGTATTGACAAAGAAAGATCCCAAAATGGATCAAACGTCACAGATCGATGTTTGCACTTAGTACACCTCAGAGTACTCATTATTTGACCACAGAATAGATCTGAAAAATAGATCAAAATAAGCAGAGTGTAATGTAGGTGACTGGGTGAGTCTGTGTTCTCATTGGGTCGTTCTAACTTTACTTATTTTGAATTATTTGAATACGACCTTTCTGCGCATTGGCTCATTAAAAAAAACCAATTAACCAACCAAAGAGTTTCAAAAGAGCTGTCAAAGAGTTTATGGTTCGGGCAATGAAGCATGGGATGTGTCAAATATCTTGGTGTGGTTAAAAAATATATTCATGCAGTCATCAGGAATCATTATATATATCCACGCTTACACAAATACGTTGCAAGAAGAAAAATTCCTTACCAGTAACTAAACTTTCATCCCTTAGTTTATACTGAGCCCACATGTAATCTGACAAATCCTTTTCACTATAAAAAATGTATTAAGTTTGAGTTCACACTCAATGATCATCATATTAATTTAGATACAATTGATGTGTTCCAGGCACGGACCTAGAAGCTTAATTGGGGGGTGCATATTCATATATTCAAGTTTAAAAGAGGGTAAAAACAATCGCTATCAAAAGAAATCAATCGGGCATAAGACGAATATATGAATATGCACCCCCCCAATTAAGCTTCTAGATCCGTCCCTATCCAAAACCAAAGTTTAGCTGTCTACCTCCTTTTACTTGTTGAATCAGGAGATACTTGACTTGCACTTGATCTTTTACTAGCGTTCACTGCCTTGTTAAGATCTTCATTTATCCCTTCCAGGAGAAAACGCAGAAATTCCTGGGAATCTTGTTGCCTACAGAAGAATAAAACACAGTTTATTATAACTATAATATCAAAGTTGAATGCATTAAATTTGCAGTGATATGTATAAGAGTGAGTAATTCCATGGTTTTAGTGAAAAAAATTAATCATTCTGTAGAAATCTGAAACTCATTACCAAAAAATTAACTTTTTCATATAGAAAGGTTGTTTTATCAATTGTTCAAGATCACAGTTAAAATAAAGGAAAACCCTTCACATTTTACAAATAAAACTGCTTTTTGTTTTCATCATGCAAAATGTTTTAAAATTAAACAGATAATAGTAGAGGGGAGACAATGCAAGCTTGTGCAACCTTTCCAAGAAGTAAACATTGCAATTTTCTCCAAATTATTTTTTCTATGATTGCAAATGTTTTCTCCCTGGCATCAAGTAGCTGTACCAGCTAGTAGGGCAATATTTGATTTTTATGTGATTCACGTTTCATCTGAACCCACAAGAAGTTCAAAACATATTCATGACCTCAGCTAGCTTCCCCACCAATGCTATAGCTTCTAAATATGCAAGCAATTTATTTAAAGGAATTGTTATACTTACTCATAACCCACAAATCGAGGAGAAAATCTTTGAATCTGCATTTTAAAACTGCGTGGGGAGACTTCAGTACCTGTCACATTTTTGGACCACATTGTTTGGATTAAATCTGAAAAAGCTATAATTGACATGTAACATAATTTAATTTAGAAAGCACGCTGGTAACTTGTTTTTGCAATACATATTTTTACATTAAGACAGCGCATGAGGTTTTTGAAAGTAGAGGATAACTGAGGATTACTCAGATTAGGTAATTCTAAGCACTAAACTGTCAATATCTGACGAGTAATAATTAATTAAGGCTGGAAGAAATGGTATATAATGTATGTTCCCTACTTTTGTGCACATGCTTAGTCCAAGGCTAAGCATTGTCACAGTTGGTCATTTTTGTATGATAGTCCCCCTAGTAATTAAGAGAGTACTTACTCCTATGTGGTTAGATTAAATGTATTGATAACCTTACTCCTACATGACACATACCACAAAACAGCTTTCCTTTCATTTTACTGTGTCTATTAATATGCTGAAGAGAGTCATCACAAGAAATTATTTTGTCCTTTAGAGGCCGGCAATGGCTGAGACATTGCAAAATTGAATTCATAAAACACTAAAACATAAAAATAACATAGTTTGAAGAAAGAAAACTTAAAAAGCTATTTAGTTGTGATTCTAGGAATGAATATATATAGCAATACATCGCTTTTAGTGATTTTGTATAAAATACTTGGTCTGGGTATCATGCAATGATGACTAATAAAATTATCAAAACAGATAACCCACTTGGTGGTATTATAGGGAGATGTATTTTGAAAACTTGTTGACTTATAAGTTATATATCCATGAGTTATTTGAGAAAATGTGGATACTTACAGTATTCCCCAAATTTTGCAACCCCACAAGGCCATTTGATCCACTTGTTGGCTAAAATAAATTGAGTGACGTTAAGAATTGGAATTGGTATGAAAATGTATTGTTTGTATGGGTACATTCATATTTTTTATAGTTCTTTTGATTATTGTGTTGTAATTAATGACTAATAAACTTTTTCACCAAATTATTAGTGGTCATTAGTTTATATGATTCAAGTAAACTTTGGCAAAAGTGATATCAGCATCGGAGCAATTATAGAATACCTGGCCAACCCACATCTTATATATATCTAGAAGACTATATGACATTCATCAGTGAATTGTCATATAGTCTTCTAGATACATGTACCTTGTTTTGTTACTTAATCCATGAATTAGACTTCCAGAGAACAAGAATAAACTCTATTTTTAAAGAACAGGGCAGTTCTATATTTTAAAATTGATCCTGTAACAGATCTTTAACATAATGGATTATTGGCCTGGTATTCTATAATTGTACCAGTCTTTATCCATATATACCAAATTGCAATAAAGTCTGAAAACTCAATCAGATGTCACAACCAGGAATTTGGCCACATTGTCAATATTACTTCCTGTTTGTACAGTATAGCTGATAACACTTGCATAGGCACTCACTATACTCCATTGCGCATAATAAATCCAATTTACTAAATAACTATGCTCAATTAAATATTGAGTATGAGTTTTGTAAAATCAAATTCTACAAAAGCCAACAATACTTACAGATCTAGGCAACATAGATCTATCAGTCACATATGAAGTAGACCTCCTATAATTCAAGTCTAAACTTCTGCTACGGCATCCACTTGTGTCAGTTCCTTGGTAAGTTTCAGGCTTAAAATTCCTATGCGACTTGAGCTGACTATAATCGCTTTTACCCAATTTGTTGCAATCCTGTATATTTAACGGTTGAAGCTTGTTTGTTAACGCAGGTTCACCCCGTGGTTCATAACCTTTTCCAGAACTGTTATATCCACTATCTGAAGAATTACGTCTCGGGATGTAATTACTGCTCAATATTGAGGTACTGTTCGACGATTTCCCTGCAAATTGCGGTAAATCGCTTCCATTTTCAAAATTAAGTGTGTCTTTGTGGCTTACGCTACTTAATGCTGACGAATGTCTTCTCCCGGTCGCGGTTGGTGCTCTTCCTCCCGTACTTCTCAGAGTATTCCCCATAGTTGTTCTGCCGGCGAGATAAGGCAAATCGCGTCTTTCCTCACTTTCTCTTTTCAGATTCAATCCGCCACTCTTACTTTCATATTTTCTATTAATCATAGGTCCCACGAAAGAAACTTTTGGACATAATATAAACTCTTCGCTGGATTTAAAAGGTTTCCATCTAAGTTATACACGCAAGCATTCCAAAATAACAATATCGTTGTTTCACCTTTGCTATGAAATTTTGAGGATGAAATCATACTATGCAGTTTTTCGTCACGTGATTTGTGAAATTATCATGTTGTCCTAGCTACGTTTTCGCCCACACAAAACCGCTGTGTTAAACAAAATTGTGTTTACAAAAATACACATTACATACTTCAAGTATATGGCCATGCCTGGGGCATAAAATCAGACCAAATTTTTCTATACCTCATCACCATCTATAGAGAGATTATTTTCTCTCTGCCAAGCTAAAGTTTAAGTCTACTGCTTGGCCCTCACGTACACACAGGCAACAGCCCCGCACAGCTGGTAGTGTAATTCAGTGGTTAAGCTCCACAAAAATAATCTCTGCCCACTTTTGTAACTCACGCTGTAATTTGCAGTTCAATAATAAAAATATGCTAGCACTCAGAAAATATTGTGAAAATAGGAATAAAATGTAGTTAAATGCTAAACATAAAACACAGCATCTAATGCAATTCTACTTTTGAGACATGTAAATTTGGTAACTAGGAAACTTGTGTTTATTACACTCTACAGATGTTCTGCAGTAATCTACATTTTTTCAAAAGTAGAATTGCATTGCAAGTTGCAAGAAAAATTGACCTAACACGGCCTCGGTTTTACAAAGCATTGTTCCGTTGCATGCTGGTTACGATCATATACGAAGCACAACCATCGTTGGCTCAATATAAAGAACATAAAGTCCACTACTGCAATCGACTGGCCAGTCTAGCACAATGCACGCTTTTACACAGATCTACTATTTCCCAAACTGACGTGATACAAATACTATAAACGTTCACACCAGACAAATATAAGCCGAATGCTACTGTACATTTAAAGGGGGCGGGCTTAATTTTGGCGAAATTCGTCGATCTTGGAGGAATTTCTTAATCATTAGTAAATAAATATTAAGACTGTGTGTGTGATTTTTTATCGCCTTCTTCTTTTACTTCTTGTCATTTCTTCGCCATTCTCAGGGATTTGTTCATTTTGTAAATATTGGAATGTATCACGAACAAAAATTGAAATCTGAAGAAAAGTTGTAAACATTGCACAGTGGTCTGGAATATACATGAGATCTCGGTAGTAATAAAAACGCTTACCTTAGAATAGTACACGCCAATCACGAGTGCACCGAGAAGAATTGGTAAAAACAGAAAAGATGTGTGTGATGCTTCCTGATCTAAGAAATGTTTCTGAAAAAAATCGTTTTGATTAATTTATTAATATTTGGCAAGACTAGGCACTGGCCCGAAGATGTGGGAAAAGATTCATAGAACTAAAAAGACTTCAAGGATTCAAGGCCGGAGGACAAGTCCTTTGATCACGACACTGCCCATGCACTAGGATTAATATCGCGTCGTGCGCACTAAAATAAGCAACAATAGTAAACTTACATTTGCGGCAACATACAGATTAAGATTATATACTATTTCATATTCGTTAGCTTACCTGAGGTCTAAATTCTAACTTGACATGAACTCGATGCCCGGAAGCTGTAAAAGCTGTCTCGGGGAATTTCATTTTGTATTGATGAGAAGATAAACTTGATTCTAACTTGATCATATAATTCTAGAAGAACGGAAACATAATGGAGCAAATAAAGTTTGTAGAGGTGAAAACAAAATGAGAGCGTTTGTAGTTCTTTTGCGAGGCTTTGGTGGGGCCAGTCATCCGAGCAGAAACCTGCCACCTCTGAGATCGCGTGGCCCTGTTTCTTGCTCCGGATTAAAGAGTCTGTTAACCGTCTACCATTCCCTCTTAGAGGGAAAGTTGACACTCACAGAATCGGTGAAGATACGTAATTTGCAACGTAAATTACCGACGTAATTTAAAACGTAATTTGCAATATTTGTAAAGGTAAAAATCGTATACGCAAAATACTTGAAACGGGAAACCGATGTATATAACTGCAAACAAGCGATTGTAAAAACGCGCCTTTTCATGAATAAGAAAACCACTATACCTGGTTATCACTTGCTATCGGTGGGAATTGAAAGAAGCCGGTCAGGCTTGCCGTGGTTGAATGGATTGGTGAATCCAGGTTTTTCTCGCGATACAAGAGAAGCTTGAAAAATATGAATGGAAAAATTAAGCATAGTTAATAGTGATTGGATTTTAATTTTGACTTTCCAAAATCTGATTACGCCAATAGACCCTTTCGACCCTTTCAAAACATCCTGGAAATAAGTCGTAACACTGAAACGAGGCTACCAGGCCACGACCGGCAGCCTCGTTCTTGTGTTATGGCTTATTTTCACGCTTGTTTGTCATAGTAAAAAATTCTTTCTCATGCATGTGTTGAAGACGGATGTTTTGCATCTTTCCACATAGCTTGCGAGAGTAAAACTTGAAATCCCTCTCAGTTAAGATTAAAAACGATAATGTTGTGAAAGGGTCTATTATACACACTAAGCGCACTTTTTAAAAAAATGTGGGGGAAAGGGGAGATATAAATATGGCGTCTTACCATGACCAGAACCCATGCACGAAGAATTTGGTTTACCTTAACTGAAGAGAGAAATTGCGAATCTGTGAGAATATTCCCGGAAACATCCACTAAACCAGTCTCTCGGAACACAATCATACGAACATTTTCCAAATCATTTCTTAATACCTATTATCAAAAAGAATGATTGTACTTTATAGTCCTTTATAGTCCTTTATTGTACTAATAGAGAATGATTGTACTTTTTCGTCAATCCGCCAACAATAATATTTGAGTTAAGATGACGTATAACTGAATAAGCTGCAATTAAGTTCACAACACGAGTTTTTCCTACCTGAATATCAATGTACTGAGGTGTAGATCTCTCAATATGCGCGTTCATTTCGCCTGCTTTCACTCTTACTCGGTACGTAGAACCAGGCTAAAGTTAAAGCAGAAATAAGGTAATGGTGATGAGTGATGCGTATGATGTTAAAAAAGATTAGCATTATCATTGCATGGCTCGCATATATTTCATCCCCCATACACATCCTTGATGGTATTTCTTTTAGTATACCTGCAATCCTCGAAGTCTATACTGTCCGTCAACATCAGTCACTGTTTCTTCTTGGTTGCCCTCGCAGCTGTCTAAACCTACCGCCTAAAAAACAGTAATAACAATACTTGAACGATTCAAGTTAATGCTAGATATGGTTCGACATGACAAAAGGTGAACCGACAGATGAAAATAGAGTCTCAAATTTCGGTATTTACTTCCCTACTACCCTGACATGATAATGATGACATTTACATTAAAACATTAGTCGTGAAGTATTTTTGATGCGAGGTACATTCTCCCAGTATAAAATTTCTAGAGATTAACGAATATGTATATGTAAGCGATTTATCCGAGAATTTCTAGAAAATGATGCTTCGAACCTCTAAAGAAACATCCTTTTGAGGTCTTCCATTAAGCGATGTGACGGAGCCGTAACAACTGAAATAAAATCAAAACACAAATTACCTTATCTGATAAATATGATGATAAATCTTTAACATGTTAATTAATGGTAATTTAATAGAAAACGTTCTAGCTACAAATGCTGTTTGCATATTTTTTAAGATATGGTTGTTGTGAAATACCAACTTCCCGAAACGGTCGAGCTCAGTTGGTAGCACTGGACTAGAAAAAAAACTACAGTAGGAGTTGTAGGTACTATTTTAACCAAAAAGAATTTAAGCACCTGAATGCCACTCTCTTGCCTTCGGATGTTGCAACTACCGTCGTTCCTTCTTTGAGTTGAACAATCTTTAAAAAATCAGAAAACTCATAGGAAAACAATCATAAAAACATAAAAAAATCATGTGCGACCTCATAGATTAATATGTTCGCCGCGTGTGCTTTACTTAATGTTAAGACTGAACACTTAATTATATAAACACAACTTCGCCTTACCTGAGAAACAGGGGAAAAAATAAATTCCTTGAGCATCGGTTTAAAAAAATATTCACCAGGAACCTGAAAAAATATTTATCAAGATTATTGGATCAGCATATTTAACATGTTGCACAAGGCTGGGTTATATAGTGGCGAGTTATACAATTAATTTTCTTTCTTTTTTGCAGAATTAAAAAAAAAAATCATACTATAAAAAAGCTTACCAAGTCAGAAAATATTAGTGATTCGTTTTCAGTTGTTATCCGGTTCTGACGAAAACTGCTTCCACTTAATGATACTAAGACTCCCGATAGCAGACTGCCTGATTCATCTGACACCTGAAGAGAAATATATTACCTCAGGAAAAAAAATATTGCTCATTCACTCTCACATACTCTGTGTGAACGTTTGTTTACAGTAGATCTGACCGCTCAATTATAAGACGGGAAAATAGACTTCGAAATATATTTCTATATGCATCAGTCAAAAATGTTTAATAAGTCAGTTAAGATTTAAGCATATTTCCAGCGGAAAAGCGACAGTAAAAATACGTACTTTAATTTCTATCTTCCCTAGTTTGACAGCCTTGAAGTGACCTTTCTCTCCTTGTACTGGATTGAGAGTGTATCCTTCTTTCGTCGCAGACTAAAATTCAATTATAGTTACTACAATACACTGTATGTAGTTCATTTTAACTGTTAAAACAACTTTAGAACTAAGTATATACCTACGTACCAAGTCATATCTCAGATTCCCATGAAGAGGACCAACTCTAAAGATGAAGGAGAGGTATACTGTATAATGACAACTAAGTATAGCGCTGAACTGTGGGAGTTCCCAGTTTCATTACAATTCACTGACCTGGACTTAGACAATTCTATGTTTAGGTTTTTTACTGAGGGAACGTCACAGTATTATGAGTCACCGATTCAGTCAACTTAATCTGAGGTTACCTGTATAATCCCTGGGCATCACTAGACACAGTCATAGTCTCCTTGGATCCCTCAGATGAATCAGATTGAATAAACACTTTGACATTCTCCAATGGGGGATCAATACGTCCATCAATAAATACACCAACTTGCCCATCGAATTCAACACTTCCTCCAGGACATGCATCTGTGATATACAAGACATTGCACTGAGAATAATAATAACCTCGATGTCATGGCTGCCTGGCTGGTTCAACCACAGCAGAATTACTCGTACCATGCAGCTGCGAAATATTTTGTGAACAAAATTTGCACTTGGGGTGACGGTCGATAATACGCGTTAGACGTGGATCTCATTAACCGGGTGAAGCCTTTGATCAATTTTTTTAATTTTAAATAAAGTCTTATGCAACTGTCTCTATCAACAAACCTTTGATTACAACAGTTTTCACAGGAGGATAGAAAAGCAGTTCTGATGAAACAGGTGTGATTTCAAGTTGTTCATCTTTCCTTAGAAATAAGAAACACTGCACGTGATAATATCTTGAAACGCAAAGTCGTGTAATTCTTACGATCTTTATTTTATATTTGAAAAACTGAGGTCAAGCATGATTTTGGTGAATGGTTATACTTAATATATGTGTATATCGAAAATGTTCGCTTACTTTGCCCAATAGGAAACTTCATATAAATATTGTTTATCTTCTTCCTTAGCCGCAGTATCGTTGCCCTCAGACCGACGCTCTTTTTCTTTCAGTACAGGTTCAACAATATCCTCAGTTTTTCCCTTTAGACGTCTGCAAATATAATCATTTCCGAATTTACCTAGATTTAATACACACAGAAACAATTGTAAAGCAAAACTGATGATTTTGGTGAAGTAATATAATACCTACCTTATTTTTAATTTTGAATCTTGTGCAAGTTGACTCGCACGAATTTTTACGGACAATAAATGTTTCTTGGCAGTAAAAGTTAAGAACGTCTGGGCTGAGCTATAACAAATTAAAGTACAATGTATAATTGGATAGAGTTATATACACATTCCACATCACCGCACATGTATAGGCTAGTTGGTAAAGTATTAAAGAAAGCAGGGTACAAGAAATCGACTTTTATCGAGGCAAAGAAATCTTTAGTATGACTGGTTTAACGACATAAAAAATCAGAAAACCGGTTATTACTACGACTAATACCTACGTGTTGTATTTATAAGAATCTTGGTCAAAGCGGTGACAAGATTTCGGAGTCAATGTATACACTCCTTCAACGTAAAAGAGAAAAGCAAAAATTTTAGTAAAATCTTCGGTAAACATTTTTTTAATAATTTCTCATAATTTATTTTACCTGGTTCATTGAGGCAAAATATATTCACGCCTTTTGTCAAGTTGAACGAGCCAACAACCTCAGAGCTTCCTTCTAATGCAAAGTGCTAGAGACACGAATGATTTTATGGTTCAGGTTACAATATAACAACTAAAAAGCTATTTCAGATTAACAACGTATGTTACGTTAATTCCATGCAAAAATGCAAGTTTAGTGAGACGTTTTTACTTATGTTTAGGCAACCGCGTAGACTTATGTACTCACCAATGTTATATTGTGTGTCAGAGAACATTTTAGAACATAGCCGGACTGAATAAACTGCATGTCAGTAACAACTTTCTCCATGATCATAACATCTAGAGATTTATTCTTCCAACACCACAGGTCTTGCAGTACAACAGCTGAAGTAGTACAGTATTTCACTTCAATAAGGTACTCAAATTTGTACACGTATGTCAGACCATCATTCATGGTCAGAAGCATGCATGGAAAGTGGGTGTTATTGCATATCGAGCGTGTCAAAGAAATATATGCAACCCTCAATAATAAACAAGCCAGCAAATAAAAGCCCCCCAAAGAGTCTAAGGTGTGGCAGTTTTGAATTTTTGCCTTTACTGACGAAGGTAATTAAAATATAGCGACAGATAAACAATTAAAACTGTAGCTAGAGGCAATGTAGGTACTCACATACCTTTGTACTTTCCTGGTAGAACCTTGGGGAAGACGAAAGTGCCTCCATTTGACCCATCTTTGACCTACATTAAAATTACATGTCAAGTCGACAAGCATCAACAGATATTAGGGAGGGGGGGATAGAAGGTATATAGGGATAAATTATATTGAATGCGTTTTAACCGTAGCGGTATTGCTCGTTCCCCGTGATCTTACCATAGCTGTGAGTTTCTTTTGATCAGTTTGACGTTGAGACACTAGTGAGATACCCAAACTGCCGCAGCTACCGTCTGGAAAATAAATAAAAAAATTCAATAGAAGAGACATATTCTTTTGGCAATATGTGAGCTGGGAATTGTTAGCGGTCCCTCTGGTAGCTAATTAAACATTGTTATATTGAAGTTGTTTCTCTTCAGGAAGATTCGTAATAGACTATATGGTACAGTACATTGCTAGAAGACAGTATACATTGAAATATCAATGGAAAGGCAGAGTAAGAATGAAGTCGAAGGAATTGGTAAATGTTCAAAGCGTCCTTATTGGGCTTATTTGTAACTGTATAGATTGATACGAACCTAAACAATGAACTGTTCCACTGACACTTGCCAAGAATTGTTTGAATGTTACATCAAAACGTGGTTCGTTTACAATTTGAACATTGTGCTCTTCGGGTTTCAGAACCAGACCGGCGTTCATTTCTGGCGTTAGTACAACGGGCTTAAGGGAATAAAATTAAATAAAGAAATTGGCAATGTTAAAATAATATCATACGCAGTTATAAATGTATATTAGGTGACGACAAGGCGACATACGCAAACTAGGGGTTGATGACTATAGATTTTAGTCATTTTACATTCATATTTTTCAGTCATAAAAATTGTAACGCCCTTCAGCCATGTTCAAATCGCGCAAGAAATACTTACCTGAACACGATATTTTCCGGGCTGAACCTGGAAACAAAACTTTCCTTCGCTGTCTGTTGTTGCTGATATCGCGTCTGTTTTCTTTCCTTCAGTTGGAGCCAGAATAACTTTTCTCTTCGACATCTTAAGGTTATAAAGAATTAATTGTCGAGAGATCACGAGAAAGTATGTTCATGCATGTGTAGCTGTGACTACCCGGCGTACCCGCGTACATGACATTTAGTAAATTTAAATCATACACGACGCCTAAATAGGTAAGTTTGGACTGTTTAAAAGAGACATTCCTGGGACAATGGTTAGTAATCGAGCTAAATCACTTTGGCTAAATGTAGCAGTGTTAACTTGTTACAGTTATCAAAATACTTTATCAAAATAAAGTAATCCAGTATAAGAATGACAAAGTTCATGGGACTCAGGATAAACCAAATCATCTGAGGCAATAACATCTTACCTGCAAAGATCCAGTCGGGAGTTCCTCAATTTTTAACTGACCACAAAGATTGTAGCTACAGTAATATAATAAAATACAGACTAAAAAAACATTTTTGGAAACATGAAGGACGTTAGCAACCTATTCCAGCAAAAAAATTTTACAGTTGAATAAACATCATGTATGTTCAGTGGAAATGGCTGATTATCTATTACGGTGATTGTTAAAGCGTCCATGCAGTTCCGCACATAAGAAGAGCGACGTTTAAAAAGTGTCAGCATAGGCATGAATCGATTAACTTAATTTTCCAGGGGTTTTTTTTGTTTTCGGGAATCAAAAATGCAGTTATATACTTTGCAACAAACACCCTCACTCCCTACCACATATAAAATAATCTGACACGTGTATACTCCCTCGATTTTGATTTATGCATTGCAGAGAATTTCACGTTGATGCATGACCTAATTGAGTTTCGACAGTACCTTGATGGTTTAATATCCGTTAAATGTGGAGTGTTAGGATTAATTTGAACTTTAACTGGCTTGAAGAAGATGTTCGGTTTTTCAGCCTAAAAAGAAGAGATTCAAAAGAAATGTTTGTAGAACCACATAACATACCATATATAAAATTATGCAATTAATAGAGAAGTACAGTACATGAATATACCCACCAGGATTGTATAATGACCTGAAGTAACGTTATCCAATACATAAACTCCATCATTGTTGCTTTCAGTTTTATAAACACCGTCAAGGGAAACCTTTGCATTTGCGATTCCCTCGCCCTACAGAGAGAATGAAAGTGTTCTTACAGTAAGTGTTCTGAAACAAATGCGTCCTTGACTACGGACAAACAACATCATAAGAAGATGACTTGCGACTGTGAAAAAGACTTACGTTTCCTAAATTTACAATTTTTCCACTAACAGAGAAACCATGCACTTCAAAAGGAGTCTAAAAACATAAAACATGTGAAAATTATTATCTACATAATACCGGCGATATGAGTATAAGTTAAAAACGATGATTTGATTAATAGCTAATTAGATGTTATATAATTTCTTCACCTTCAGAACAACGCTTTTGTAATTGACTTTGAATTTCAGTTTAGTTGGTACAACGTCAAAAGTTATAACTTCGCCCTCGTAGAACGGCACCTAAAACCGAAATGAAAGTCACAGGTAACCATCGAATAGGATCATACGTGGCTGAACGTTATCTACAGACATTTTTAAAACATGGTATTTTAAACTCTCTTCCATTTTTGCCCAACATCACCATATGATTACATTAGCAAAATGAGAAACCTACCAGTGTGTATTCACCAGTTGGAACACTAGAAAATAAAAACGTTCCATCCTTTTGAGATTTTGTCTTGCATAATGGCTTCCCTTCAGCTTTCTTGGAAATTTTTACAAGAATTCTTGGTTCAATCGGATCACAGCCACGGACATCCTGTCAGATAAAAAATTTCATGATCAACAGATGTTGTAATACTGTACTTCACAAAAAGAAGGTACGCCATCCCCGCTAAGCTGTGCAAAAGCTAGAGCTGTACAAAAGTACCTCCTACGCTAAGTTGTTCAAACGTAAAAACCACAGGTATAAAGAGCATATTAGAATGAGTAAAACAGCAAATACTTGTGACGTCTTTTGTAGTCCATGAAAAATTCAACCCACCTCTGCTTCGAGTGTAAGGGAAAAGAGAATAAAATCCACTCCTTGTATGGCTTGATGTTCACTCAAAACATGACCCTGTTTTCAAAATAAGCAATTGATACCTCGTTGATGTAACCACTTGAATATTCCAAGGAGAATAAAAGGAAAATATACGGTTCCCAAAGGATATTTGCAATAACAATTACTTTGAAGAGGCATTCAGTTAAGTATATATCACCAAACCATTTAACACACGAGACACCATCAACATGCAGTTAATTCATTTACAATCAACACAGTTAGTAGTACCTTTACATCATAACCAGCAACAATAAGTTTATCCATTACTTCAATATTATTGCTTACAACTTCTACCATGGTAACAGCCTAAAATATGCAAATGTTTTTTCCAAAATACCAAGTCAAAAAATGGCAAATAACAAACCCTTAGGCTTATTTACACATAATTAATATACATATATTACATATACGTACAGTCTGGAATGTCCATGTTGGATGACTTGCTGCCAGGGAATATTTTCCAGGGAGGACTCTGGAGAAGCTGAAACTAAAGAATTGAAAAATTCTTTGCACTCAATTACATACAATTCAATGTTGAAACACAGAATTTTGAGAGAAGTGTATTTAATGTCTTGAAAGTAGAACATACTCCGTGAGTAAAAACCTAAAGAGTTTCACTCATTTACAGTGGTGGCATCAAGGGAAGACATTTGATATCTTGGATAGGTTTACATCATATCAAACTTACAATCCTTCCTCTGTTGTTTTAGTTTCTCTCTCAGAACCTAAGAGGAAGAGTTAAACATATCAGAAATCAAACGTATTTTGTTTTGGGAAATATTTTCTACAAAGAAACATACCAAATTTTATTCCACTGATTACAAAACTAAATACAATTTGCAAGCAAAAAAGTGCAAGTTTAGAAAATATGACTACTAAAAAGACTGCATTGAAAGGCACAAACCTTCATTTTTCAACAAAATTTTAACCCCAGATGGACCAATCTGACGTCCTTTACTAACAACCTACAATTAATATATTAGGAAATGTTATCATTTTTACATGTTTAATAAGAAAAAAACAGCCAGAACTTATGTTGTAATATGTTTCCATACATAGTCCACTAGTGAGTGATAACAAAATGAAAATATTTGCAGCAGTAACCTAACCTAATTTAGCTCATAAATGAGATGGTACCTGCCTTACTACAGAAGTATTTTACTCATTTTGACAATCTGTCAGATGATTTTACTTATCAGTGGAAGGGACTTTTACATCTGTTTGCAAATTTTTTTATGAAGTTCCAAATGTCTGGTTATAGAAATGTAATGTATATAAAGTTATAATAGAAAATTATGTGTTGATGGTTTGTTGGAAGGATCCATACTTAATCTGAAACATTGCAATATGTTGCTTAAAGTTTTGGGGTTTTTTATTCATTTAACTTTTACCTTCCCAGACATTGTAAAACCAGTAAAAATGAAATTGATATCTTCTCCTTTAGTGCATTTGTCTGTTGTGCCATCAATATGAAGATCGACACTTAAAGGATCTAAAAATTACAGTAGGAAAGTTACAACAGGACAATATATACATGTAAAATATGAGTTTAATCTAATAAAGACAAAGCTAGTGCTGATATTATTATAAAAGCTAGTGCTGATATTATTATAAGACTTAGCTAGTGGTTACCAAGGATATATTATGTGACAATTGTCATAGTCCCAACAACATATTTTTATACTTACCAAAACTCCACCCTTGAGGAGGCTCAACCTTTAAAACAAAATCTCCCTATAGAAAATAAGACAATGAATTTAATCAGCAATAAAATTTAGGTATTCCAAGGTATTGCTTTTTTCATAAACTGTATATCTGACCCTTATACAATTCTATTAGACTTCTACTTGATGTCACTTGTCTTTCGATCAATTGGATTGTGAGACAAGATGCATTGACATTATTTCATATCTAACTGATTTGCATTACCCTACATTCCAACAATGAATTAGGTGTAAATATTTCTACCTTGTCATAGAGAGGAATAAGAAAGTAACCATTATTTGGAGCACAATCTGTTTTATATTTCAAGATACCTTGCTTTGTATAAAGCTTCATCTGAATAAAAAGAGCATACAACATGTATTTAGGAAAGAATTCCAATAATACTGGTTTAAATTGGTTTGAAGAATAGATTTTATTACCCTGTCCAGGTCTTATGAAAATGCTGGATAGCACTATTTATTGAATAGGGTTTTTTCAATCCCTTTTAATTAAAAACTAACTCATACACGGCATGAACTGGGCTTAAAGTATTTGTTAGTTCGAGATTTGCTTTATTATAATTAGCTCCAAATATGTAGTTTTATTACTTTTCAAGAATTTTTACAACAGGTAAAAACTATATCCAGTGGATACAGCTATATAGCCTTTGTACAACCACCCTCAGAACAAATATATTACATTTGACACTATACATGTGAACATGTGTATACACTATATGAAAGGACTGGTGGCCCCCTTCGTCACACCCAAATGCTAAAAGTGGGAATGTTGGAGTGTGTTTGTCTGGTGTGGGCCCATAGTGAAAATTTGTAAAAACACCCATACCTTTCCATTTTTTATTTGAAACTTGAGAATAAATTCTTATATTGTCTAACACAAGGCCATTTAGATTCATTATCACATGCGTAGACTTTGTTCTTGGGATATTTCACACTTCAAGTGATTTTCAAATAATTTTTCAGAAACATGCTGCTTAACTAATTTTGTCGACTCTACCGTTCGCCGAAAAAAATCTGAAATCTATAATGGAGTGATTAATACGTGTGTACGAACTGTAATCGTGGTAGGTTTATACATACCTCTATAAAAGAATAATTTATATCTACATCTGACTTGACAAAGCCTCCACAACCGACAACATCATCAGCTAAAGCAGCATCCACAACGAACAGAAATAAAAATCCCGTAAATATATCCATAAATAATTGTCTAATCTTCAATGAATACACTTGGATATGTCATTTAAAACATTGACTATTTGCAAAAGGGAACTTTTTTATTATAATGTAACTATATGCAAGACGCTAACCACTGAAATTAAAATAAAATTTCAACATGTGCGTGAGCCCACTGTCAAAGGTCCAGCGTTCGCCGTAAAAAATTTTTTTTTTAGAATCTTTAAAAAGGAAAAGAGAGAAAAGAAAAAAATACTATTGTGCATTTGACAGTTGCTCTTTTGTGCACGTAAAATAAAATTATGCAAAATTTGCATCTTCATAATCTCACATAAATCAAAATTAAGTCTTGTCTGGAATCATCTGTTATATACTGTAAGAAACGTCTAGTTTATAATACAGGTCATACTATAGGCTCAGGGCCACAGCCAGACTGCTTAGTTGGGGGGGGGGGTGTTATTCATATATTCATGTTTATCTATAACAGGAACAATAGTGTACAAGAAGAATTTATACACCCCCCCTCTCCCCAATTAAGCTTCTAGCTACGGCCCAGTATAGGCTCAAGTAATGCCAAGATTGCAAAGTTCAACTGCAAGTTGATTGCAAAGTTCACATATACAACCTAAGAAAAGCTTTATAGTGGCTTGGAATACAACCATTTCTGGAGGGTAAAATCTATAAATAACTTTTTCAGCGCCAATAATTGCCTCCGTATTGATCTTGGTTTGGTGATGTGTATCCATGCATAGAACCTCTGTATGGTGTGGGTGAGGAATGTGATCCTGAATTTGAAGGTGATCTTCCATATGGAGATGAACCCCATTTTGGTATTCGAAGGGGGCTGGGTGAATTTCTGTATGGTGTACTATTGTTTCTGCCGCCTGTTCTCATGTTCATTAATTGTTGAGTTACATGATTGGGAAAGTTTGAAGCTGATGAAAAACTTCTGTTAAAGCTTGGTTGACTAAAAGAATTGTTTCTTTGAGAATTACTCTCTTCCGTCCATTGATTTCTTCTTGGCTCACTTTGTGGTCTATGTTTCCACTCTTCATATTTGTGATAAAAATCTTGGTAGAAATCACTAGCAGGAATCACATTGCTGGGCATATATCTGGGAGTGTCAGTCTTTTCAGAATTCCTGGGTCTAACAGTCAATGAACGGTTATACAACCTGATACCATCAAAGAGTTCCCATGCATAATGTGCTGCAACACTAGAATAGAACTCAACAAAAGCAAACTGTTTTTGCTTTCCAGTATCTTTATCACAAGGAATGTGAATACTCTTGATGGGTCCAGCCTGGAACATTGATAAATCAAGGAAATGGTGTACATTTGAGTAAACGCTTGCTATGAAGATTTTATTTGTTCTACAGTATTTTAACTGCATCATTTGGGATGTCAAGAAGAAATTAATATTTACCTGAAGAAACAACTCCCACAATATCTCCTCTGAAGCACTCGAATCTAAATTTCCAACAAATATTGAGCACTCTGTATCAGACCTATTGTTCCCTTGCATGGCCATAGTCAAATTATTATTTAGAATGTTGTCTATCGTCAGTATTAAAAGTTTTTTATGTTGTATTGGTGTACTTTTGGTGTACTCAATAGACAATAGACACACAAAAATTCAGTTTCCATCTTGAATTTGACAGCGCAAAGACCTGGATCCGAACTGTCGTCTGACTGCGTTAATTCACGAGATTACCGCAAACTGCGTCAAAAGACAAATAAACATGTATTTTGGATGGTCAAACTCATTTGGGAGAGAATTATTTGGGAGCAGTGATTAGGAGTGACACTCGTCAATCATATGGAGCACTGAAGCAGTGTTTCATTCCAAAGCTTGAAAATATCGGACGAACAGAAAGAATAGGCATGAGTTCGCGCATGAAATTTAGAGTTTTGCGTTTTTTAAAATGCAGAAAAAAAAGTCATTTTACTGCCGATGCGTTTTAGTAGATGGTTTTGTTAGTTGTCACAATCCAAAATAGGATGTTGGTTGATCAGTTGGCATGGCAAAAAGGGTTCTGGCACTAATAGTCTAACTGGGTCTAAAGGCCACTTACATTCTCCCCCCCCCCCCCATTTGAGACGATTTTATGTAATTTTGACGAATTGGAACGCCTAACTATAACACAGAAAGGAAGCAACATCAAAATTTATAATTAATTTACTGGTATAAAAATTTTGTAGACATTTACAAGATTTAAGTTAAATCTATTTACAATTTTTAGCGAAGAAAGTAAGCATATCAACCCTTCCTGGTTTCAATAGTGCTCGTGATGAAATACATACCTAACCTATGGTATCATACCATAATGCTGTAGGGTGGGCTGTGGAGAAAAGGTACAGCAAGGTTGAAGACGAAGTGATTTTTGTTCACACTAACCAGTTTTTAATTTTATGTAAGATATGTATGGCATAATTGTTATCACTACCATTATTTCTACTCTTAATTCAATGATAAGACTGCTATTCAGAGAATAAATAGTGTGAACTATTAATTTATATACTGGAACAAAAAATATTATTAAGGTTAATTATTTAGAGTTTCACTATGTAAAGGGTGAAGATACACAATCTGTAGTCACAGTAAGTGAACTGTTAGGCTTAGGTCAGTAAATATTGTTAGACTTGTTGACTTAGGTCAGTAAATATTGTTAAGGAATGCCCTTTCTCCTTTCACAACATTGTGATGGTGGGACATTCCAAGAGTAAATAAAGGACATCCTGATAAACTCTTCCTTCATGCAAAGCTTTCCATGATTTTTCAACATATTAAATTTATCATACATATCTTTTATAGATTGCTTATGACTGACAATGTGAGCATTTTTGCAACCACGAGACATCGACTCTGTATCAAATCTTGGATCATGCACCCTTGTTAACTGAATTGGACTGAGCCAAGTACCTGCAAATGGTTTCAAACAATATATTTTTAAAAAATGAATGAGTGAATATTGTTGTAATGAATAAGCAGAGGCAATCAAAATTTTCGCAAGAAGTTTTTCGGTAATTTGTCAATACAATGGAATAATAAGTCTATTGAAGAAATGTTTTTTAAACTTGAATTAGGGAGTAATAGTAATTGAGTAACCTTGTTAAAACCTGTTTGTTTTTGTCTTGTTTTGTTTGAAGGTGATTTTAAAACATGTTTCTACACTGGAATTAAAATTTTGCAACAAACCTAAAAAATACAAACCTAATGAGACATCTTCACTATTGTATAGTACAAGGAATGATGAGATATTAGCAATGTATTCAACCAGCTTCATTGACAAAATGTAACCTCCACCAAGGGCATATGGTAAATATCGATCACAAAGTATCCATTTAGGTTCAGCCCATGGACCACTTTTTTTTACACTTGCGCTACCACGATGAAAACCCCAATATAAATTATCAATCCCATAATACTTTGTTTTCAGTTCCTGTTCAATGACTAACAAGTTAGCAAATGTATCATCATCGACTTTCATAACAAAGGAAGATTCTACATTTTCATTAATCCACAATAAAGCACTCAGTAACTTCCTAGTGAGCTTGTTGTATGCATCCTTTAAGTCTTGCAAGAACAACATGTCTCCATGCATTTTTTGTTCTCGTTGAAGTGACATCTTTGTCTTGTTGTCCAAATCATAGATACCAATAACAAATCTCTTACTGACAGATGTCAATCTAGTCGCATTCAACCAAGTAAATCTCATCGCATTTCTTCTTTCAATATTGCTTGGCCCAGTCAATATTATTATCAGCAAAAATACCTTCGTGCGCTTAACCTCAGGATTTAATCTATTGCTTACTTTGAATTGTAGCAAATTATCCTTATTTTCTGTTATCGGCGTTTTGTTTATACAAGTATTAGTACATCCACAAAAAGTGTTATCAACAATAACAATGCTCGCCGAATACAATCCAATATAAAATATTAGGGCTACGCCAGCCAAATACAACACTACAAAAAGTGATTTCGAACGAATCCCAAACATTAAACGCAAACGGTGAAACACTCGGTGAAACATGTTCTTGAGAATAATATCAAAAACTACAGTGCCACGTATGTCCACTGCCACCGGTTGTGCACTTTTACACCAGCTGAATCCATAACCTGTCGGACACTACCAAAGTAAATTCCCTCTTCTTCCATAAATAGCATAATTTCAATTATTGTTGCCACTATCACGCGAGAACAGCAACTTTTCTTGAGAATTTTTCACCAAGCAGTTAACCTGGACTCTGGAGTATGTTCTATATTTGTGTCTACATTCCAGACTTTCCAGCTATCCAGTAGCCTGAACACAGACCTTCGACCTTCGTTTCGCCCGCCTTAAAATTCCCGGGGAGACGCAAAGGTGAGGGGGGGGGGGTGTAGGATTTAGGAAAATTGGTAGTCAAAGTTATTAGACCAAACGTGCCAGTGTTGCGAAAGAGACATCGTTACGAAATGGGCCAAATCTCAGGCCTCAAAATAAAAGACTAATTTAGCTGTGAATAAACCATGTCTAAGAACTATGCCTCCTCTCACACGGTCAAAGGACACCACCGAGTACCAAATTTAGAGTCTAGACGGTTATTGGTGTAATGGTGTTACCGTAATTTATGGATTTTAATCTGAATCCAAGCAGGTCCAAGACGTCTATGCCGGACCATGCGGACTTGTTGGTCACGACATCAACGTTTGCCGTTACCCAGCAAGCTTCTAGTAATTTCTTTTTGGTTTAACGTATTCAGTGTATTGGAGTATCAAATAAAAAATCTTCACAGCCGAGAAAGGGCTATCCACTACTATCCACCCTGTATCCACCGATTCACGCTATAAAATTGCCCATAGCAAATATCATCCAGATTAAGGATTAGTACATTCAGCACTGACTCCACTCATGTACTTTTATAGAACCAGACGAGTTTGACATTTCATAAAGAAAAATACACTACGGATTTAGCAGGTATTAACTTAATTCACATAAGCACTGGATTTTGGGGGGTTATGGTTAAGGACTTTTTAACAAACATCTGATGTTAAAACAAAAAAAAAACAAATTGTAGAGATAATCTCGATACTTACCTAACAAGTTAGCAATTATTGTAGCAGCATGCATATGCATGTCCAACAGCCTGCAGGTAATCATCGCCTGGCAACATACAAGTCACGCAGATGTTCGGCAGACATGGATAAAGTGGACAATCTCGCGTGGAATTGAATTCGACACTGACCATACTCTAACATTCGTTTTCACATCTAATTCCAATTCAAACGACAACTGAACTTTCGTAAAATATGTCCTGTCGGTACTAAATCACTCCCATTTGTATGTCGTGACTGTAATCTTGACCTTCCTTCATCATTAATTATTCAAATAAAGAAACAACAAGAATTAGTTATAATTCGCTAATGCTGAAAATATTATTCGGCGAGCAAACAGGAAAGATGTCACCAAGTTTGAAATATTGTTTTGGTGTATACAAACAAACGTACCTATTTTAACATTGTGACAGTGTACAGTTATAGTGTAGCACCATTCTCGCAAAATATATATAATTTAAGACATTTATAACGTATAATATACAACATGGAGTGTAAAGCCATTGAACAACCTGCTAAAAACAAGCCAACCATTCTAAAGTCAAAGAATAATAAACGCATTTTGGAAGCAGTGAAATCTGGAAAAGCCATTGTTATTCAACAATATGACAAAAAGTCTTTAGTTCGTTACGAACACAACGATGATGAAGGCACAATAGTAGTACTCGCAGAGAAGCTGCCGTGTGTTTCGGGAAGAACAGAAAAGGTTGATTTCAGCTGGCACAAAGTGGTTACAGTCTATACATCATGACACACAGCAAAAACCTTCTTTTTTTGTTGGAACCTGGAAAAATACAATACAAAAACCAGTTCAGTTGTATATACATACTGTACTACATTTTAGCTTGCATAACAATTTATATTCAGGAAGCCTACTTGCTTTTAAAACAAATTATATAGTTGTTTTTTTAATTTAGTATATTCGACGTGAAACACAACTATATAGATATTTCAATTTTTATGGAAAAACTAATATACAGCATAGCTAGTTAACCACTCTAAATTTATCAGATCGCTGGTCTTATTCAGAACAGTTGTCAACATTTGAAACACAACCTATATTCTAGAGTTAATGTAAGTTAATATTTTGTTAAGCACAGTCTATGGACGTTACTTTTCTGTGGATCCGTAATATATTCTTAAATATACTATTTACAGTTCAATTATTCATACTGCCTGGCCATACGTTTGTCGATCTTCTCGCATATTTTAGCTGGTAACGTCGTATATTAATTTGGAGGCGCGCTAACGAAGACTCTAATAATCTCTGCGGAATATTCCAACAACTGTGTGTATTAATTGTTTAGTTTGGGTAAACTCTTTTGTATACAAATTCTTTTAATGGCCATTCTACTCTTGAATCGGTCGTGTGATTCTAGTATGTGCTCTGACAATATGTACTGAGTTACAGTTGTAAAAGCCAACCCATGTCTCGTTAAAGGTGTTCCTAATTATGTTTGGCAGCTAGCACCAGTATCATTTTACATGGTTCAACGTCCGATGGACCAAGAGCTTTTCAAGCCTCCACCAAAATAACAAAATTATTTTTAAATTAAATCAGAAATATCACTGACCTGGAAAGCTAAGCATACATCATTTTCTCGCGTTCTATTTCTTCTTGTCGTTTTCGGATTTCTTCATTCATTCTTTGAATTCGTAAAATCTTTGCATCAAGTTCTGCTTCTCTATCATTGTGGACTTCTACAACAAATTTTCTTGGTGTTTCTTCTTCGTCGTCGCCATTTTCTTCTTCTTCATTTTCATCATCATCTTCTTTTTCCTCAATCACCTCTCTTCTATTTTCTTTGTTCTTTTTCTGTTCCACGTTTTCTGATATTCCTCGCGATCGTGGTCCAATCCTCAGTCGGGCATCCACTTGGGATTTCCTTGTAATAATGAGTTTCGTGTCGTTCTTCTTCGGACCCAATCTTGATCGAAGGTCAAAGCCAGATGTATCAACTAAAAACGAAAACAAATAAACGTATCACAAACGGCATTACATTACCTGCAACATGCAGGCAGACATTATTTCTATTCAAGTAATGTATGTTGATATGAATGCTAAATCATGTTATAATGAACTGGAAATTTGAATAGAAATGGAGTTATTGCAAAACTCTATTTGTTACACCAAGTCCTCTACTTGAGCAAGAAACGGCTGGCAGTCGATTTAATAACATAAAAACATACCACTTGTGTTGACTTCCCGATTCTCTCCCAATCTTTCCGACTTTTTAAAAATCGACTCCTTATTGCCTTCACTACTGCCAGGCTTTTGTTTAACATCAATTTCCACAAAATCATCATCTGTACGTGATAAATTATTTTTATCCGAAGCGAAGTCTTTCTTTTTCTCGTGTGATTTGGAACGAGAACGTCTACCGCGAGGCCGCTCTTGTGGTTTACTCAATCGTGTGTCCCTTTCTCGTTCTCTGCTACGATTTCGACGACGATACAAAGGGGAGCTAGATCGCCTTCCCAAGCGGTTTCGGGGGGATATACGTTGGAGATGTCTCGGATTAACGTCTCTTCTATCATCTCTATAACGATTTCTTCTATACCGATCATCTCTGTCATAAGATCGCTTTCTATCAGAGTATCTGCGCTCTGGGGGCAACCGTCGACCACGCAGTGATTGGTGGGGTGATCGATGAGGTAGATCACGTGGAGAACGGCTGCGCCTTTCTTTATTTTTTTGTGACACCACTGACCTCATTGTGTTTTTCTCTACAGAACCACCAGTTGAGTAAGAGTACGAGCTTGAATGACTGGAACTTCTTGAACTATGTTTACTATGTTTTGAGGTCTTTTGATCATCACTGTCTGAATTACTGTCTGAACTACTACGACTGTCACTTGATGTTCTGGATGAAGATGATGAACTGGAATATGATGAAGATCCTGAAGAACTTGATGAACTACCAGAGCGAGAAGAATCACTTTCCGATCCACTGCTGTCACTCTCACTACCATTGTCATGGGATTTCTTTTGTTCCTTTCCAGCATTTGCTTTCTCTGGAGCCTTTAGAATTTTGTTATTGGATTCCTCTTTCCTCTCAGATTTGGGGTTTTCTGTTTCTTTAACACATTGTTTTTCCTTATTTCCTTCTTGTTCGTTTTGATGGACAATTTTATCTTTTTCAAATTCTTTCACCTCCTTTTCTGTTTCAGTTTTTTCTGTTTTTTCTTCTCCTCCAAGATCATCTATAATTTCATCTTCTCCCTCTTCTATTTCTCTTACTTCACCCTCTCTGCCTTCAACATCATCCATCTCTTCATTACTGTCTTCCTTTGTATCTGCATCATCAATTTCATCACTCTTTTCTGTATTTCCTATCTCTATTTTCCTTACAGGCCCACTTTCTTTTTGAACTTCCACTTCCTCAGTCTCATTATTCCCAATTACCTCAACAACTTCATCACTTCCGTTAATTTCTGATGCATTTTCTAACTCAACATCATCCTCAATTTCTATTACCTCAATATGTTTATTGACTTCATCATCAACAGCTGTACTGTTTTCATTGTTCTCATCTAAAACAATTCGAACATCTGTATCCACTTCAAGTAAACTTGCATTTTCTTTGTTTCCCTTTTCTTCATCTATAGTAAAAATTCTTTGGTCCTTTCCAGTACTTGTTTGCTTTCCACCCAGGGATAAAATTCTACAATCACTTTGCACTTTTTGTTTTTTTGGTTCGTAAAAGTCTATACTATCCATCATAGCACAAGGCCAATGTGTGTTAGAATTATCTTCATCTTTTGGAGCAGTTGACTGTCTTGCTGAACCAACCACAACTTTCCTCGTATTGACAAAAATATTTCGTTTGTCACCCGAATTTATTAAGGTTACTTTTCTTTTTCGCATCTAAAGGAGAAAATAATTCTTCTTTGTATAAATAATCAAAATTCAACATAATTTGAATTTCAAAAATCATTTGTTGCAGTGGCATTGTTAGCAGTAATGCTGGCATGATCAGAAATTCCCCCCTAAAATCCTATTCTCATATGTGCATGGAGATTTATGCAAAGTGGAATTTTGGAATAAAAATCATTCTGCACTGAGTAAATTAACTTTATACAATTTGTTTGGATATACAATTTTTTTGACTAGTGAAAAAATATCTTACATAAATATGGTAGTAAGGAATTTTAGCAGCAATTTGTTTCCATTTTCCCAAATTTCAAAACATTTTTACTTTCAACACATAATAAAATATCTTGCTGTTGCACTTATTTGATGATACTTTGTTACTCATGTTGTATTAACAATTCTTGCTAAGAGCATAAATTATTGCTACAAGCATAATATATGCCTATGACCATAATATATTTTTTGTTGATATATATAGGATGGTTGACATATGCACATGCCCAAGGTAAGGTCATTTTGTATGTTCATGCATTCCCTATTCACATGACTTGAAGTCTTAAACACTAACAAAGTTCACTTATAATAACTAGAATGCAATAGAAAAAAATTATAATACACTTCTGTGTATTAATCCATGCATCAACATTTAACTGTTTTTGGATGTATGAATTAACACTTAGTATCTAGGCACTAGATTCCCTTTCTTTCTCAAAAACCTAATGGCCACATTCATAATTTTGCCTCGAACCACATGACCACGAAGGTGACCCTCAGATCCTTCAGTATAACCTATCTACACAATTATTTTGTTACAGATGCCTCCAAATAACCCCCTTACATGTGTGCTTTAAACATTTGAAAACTTTTAAATTATAATTTCCATAGCTTGCTGGCACTCTCTCTCATTTTCTAAAAGATGGTTATGCTAGCTAGTTCACAGACTATCAATCTTACATTGGATGGCCTGGTTGAAAGCGCTGCAACTCTTAGTCGACTTATTTCTTCGTCAGATTCAAAATTCATCCCTTTCCTAAAGCGAAAGAAGCCTGCTATATATTTTAATAAACTAACACTAAAATGTTAACCAAATGTTTGCAGTATACATCATCCACAACCGACAACGTCATACTATCGTAAGCAACAGGTTTAAAAAGGATATTACGTCTTGTTTATGAGTTATTACGAAAAGGAATTGTCACTCTTTGTATTATAACCATTTTGTAGAAAACTGGTATTGTGTACAGTTGTGAAAGTTCCTCTTTGGATTCTCATATCCTACCTTTGTTTCAATATATTGTGGCTGAAAATAACTTGTGATGCAACATTGAATAATATATGTACGTTGAGACTCTCCAAGAAAGCTACTGCGTGTTCATACGGTATAATTAACGTCAAGGACAAGTGCAGAAATCTACATTCTTTCTCTATAAAACATCGTATTGTCAACACGAGTTCTATAAGAATTAGAATTTAGAACAAGCAGGAGCACATATGCGCATGCGCGTAATTGGCTTAAACAAAAAATGGCGAACAATTTCATGAAATCATGCTGTCCGACTCGATATCTTTTTGAAATTGAGCTTTTTTTGTAGTGCATTCTTTAATATTTTGCTAAACCTACGGGTGTGTAAAGTTGAAAAACGAGACTTTTGACTTTATAAAGTAATCTTTTTTACTCAAATAATTCAAATTTTATCTAAGGCTTTGTACTTGATATCAAAGGGGTTACTGGACTGAAGACTACAAGAGCATATCGGTATGAAAGCAGTCTTAAGAGAGCCTTTCATAACGTATAAACTAAGGGTGAAGCTTCATAGTTGCCATGTTCGCCCTTACTGCACCAGGCCAGCCCTTAGGTTTAGCCCGGAGCTGGCATTACTGAAATAATGGAACACACTGACACGGTAGTCATAGCCACGTTCAGTACACTCACTACGACACTGTCACTAGGCCGGTGAAAAATCATCAAAATCAAAGAGAGATTTTATGCGTTTGGAGGGAGCATTATTGCAATTTTATTCGCGAAAGGTTGCCAGGGGCCCTTCCCTCAGATTCCACTTAGCTATACAGCCTTCTCTATACTGTGTGTTTCTATAATACCATAGGAGAAACATTTGTAAATTACGCAGTATATAATCTAAATACTGTTGGATACGCGCCATTATGATTTGATATAAGTAAGTTGACTTGGCATTAGAGGGGAAAACTCTCGTCTTCAATTTTGTTTTAGAATTTGAAGGTGGTATATTACTGGTAGATTAGCATATTACGTGGTTGTGGCCAGTTTTCTTTAGACCCAACCCCTTATTCAAACGTTTATCACTAATACGCAGCTGATATTTATTTCCATGACGAATAACGTACGTAGTTCTAAATTTGGTTGACCTTGCTCGTGGTCCTGCGAAGTCGAAGAGGTGATTTATATATTCATAATAAACTCTTCAGTCCAAGCGACGAGAATCACAAACTTCATAGTCTCACAGCACCTATGAGTTAATAAGGGGAGGATCGAAAATAATCTTACGAATGATATTTTTTATGACCAACATTACGATACCGAGTTTATTGATTATTAAATGGAAGAGCTTGTCTATATATTTTTATTGCAACTATTATAATCTTTATCGTCAAAAGGACTTCTCAACATAAAATATAATCTGAGGATCGAGCTGCTCAGTCCTTCGTGTTTGCTTTTGCCTCCACCTCAGTGACCTCACAAGCTCGGAGCTGGCATTCACCTAGTGAGACAAACGGTAGAACACAGCCATATTAAAACTTACGAAGTGAAAAGGTATCTAAATCAAATCGAAATTTTGTGTTTTTTGAAGAGGTATAATTTCAACTTTATTCAGTGGATAGGGGCATGGACCTTCGCCCGCCAGACTCCACTCTGCTACGGCGCCTACCATTCCACCATTTTGCTGCCTCCTTTTTCTACAGTGTGTGTGCTGGCAGTGTATTTATAATACATTTGTAAATTATGCAGCGTATGATCTAAATATTGCTCGATACTGTTAAACGGCCTTTTTTTGTATTTATCTTCTAATACTTTAATGATTAGCACAAGAGCTTAGATTCTCTGACTCTATTTTGTATTTAGTGCTGTGTGCTCACGGGACCAAGTCATCAACAAAACTGACTAATCATTAGATCGTGTTAATCTTAAATTGAGTTTTGGATAGAAAATGTTCAACTATCAAGATAGTTTTCTACAAAAGAAATCAGGAAACATCTATGAAGAGCTGAAAGACTTTAGTTACTTCCTATATTAATTTGAAATGCATGCTATATTACGTGGTTGTGGTCAGTTTTCGTAAGACTTCACCATTATTCAATCAGAATAGTCACTAATGCAGATAAAAGCTGGTTTTATGTTTCCATGACGAATAACGTACGTAATTCTAAATTTGATTAACCTTGCTTACGGTTCTACGAAGAAATTGAAGACTGAGGTTATTAATATCTTCAGTTCAAATGACAAGCCAGATCGCAAACTTCCTAGTTTTACTGCCACTCAAGGCTAAGGGGACGACCAAACTAATCCCACTAATGAGGTATTTTTGAAATTAAACTTTTGTTGGATCGCTTTATTTAAAGGCTAAACCTACGGGTGGGAAAAGTTGAAAAACGAGACACAAGTAATCTGTAAAGTAGCTAATCTTTTTTATTCATTCAAGACTACGAGAGCACTGTAAAAAGTCAGTGTGAAAGCAGTCTTAACAGACCCTTTTCAGTTTTCTAGCATATATAAACTATAAACCTAAGGGTCAAGCCTCGTAGTTTCCATGTTCGCTCACACCACACCTCACCATCCCTTAGAGCTGGCCTTAAAATGATTTTAAAAATATCTATGAAACAAACGGTATAGTCATAGCTATTAGCTACATTTAGTAAACGTAGCTACTAGGAGAAAAATTATTAGAATCAAACAGATTGAGTTTTATATGTTTGGAGGGAGCATTATATATTCTAAATTTAATCGCGAAAGGTGGCCAGGGGCTCTCAGATTCCACTCAGCCATACGGCCCGGCTTTTCAGACCTTTTTCTACCGTAATACCCAGAGTGTTTCTATGATGCTATGGGAGAATACATTTGTAAATTATCCAGTATATTATATTATCTAAATATAAAATATCGTTGGATACGCACCATTATGATTTGACATAATAATTGTTAATACAGGGGAAAACACTCGAAATAGCTCGAAATAGCTTATAGTTAATAGCTTAGCCCAGACGAAATAGCTAATAGCTTAGCCCAGACGATTTGAAGATGTTATTCTAGACTAACATATTACGTGGTTGTGGCCAGTTTGTGGACCCAACCCTCATTCAAACGTTAATCACTAATAAGCCAGCTGGTTTCTTATTTCCATCATGAATAACATACTACATTTGGTTACTAAAGGATCATAAACGTCGTAGTTTTACTGCCACATACTGAACAGGACGATCAAACATTATCTCACGAACGATGTTTTTTAACCGACATACTAAAACACCGTACCACTACAACTAGATCAGTCAAAAGATACAATTACGAAATCAGGTTTATTAATTTTTTATTGGAACAGTTTTTCTATCTTCATTATAACCACTATAATCTTTATCACCAAAAGCACTTTTCAACGTAGATTGACGTCTTAATACAACGAAAATTGACGCGAGAGAGTGAATCTGATCGACGCATTTTGTAAAGATTTCCCTCCTACTATGTCTGCTGTCGTATACCATAAACGTCAGTTCATTGACGTATGGGCTCGAAACTTAATTACAGCCCCCATATAGGGAAGGACCATGGCAGGGCTATATAACAGCTGTTTCACTGAATAGATGCCCAAGTTATGTCTAGAAATCGAAAATAAACTTTTAAGAAGAATTGAAAGATGGTGCTCTCAAGAAAGGCAGTTCTTGCTTGGCTTCTATACCTGGTGTTGTTATTTTGTGGTATGTAATAATGTATGTTTTGAGTGGCGATTCAGGCAATTTCAAGTTTTGGTAATGGAAGCGATAGCATGGGATCGCCTAACTCAAAGCAACGTTCTGTTGCTAGTTTGGTTTTCGTTTCATTTTGATTTTTGCACGAAAAATTAAAAATCGTCCAACTAGGCACTATTGACGAAACATCCTTGTTTACGCGTCCACACGTTTGATCGTCAACCAACAAGGCCAGGGTGTTAACACATCATACTGCATATGTTTTTTAGAATATCCCATGCACCTTATCAAAATCCCGTGCGTGAAGACAGTACCCTATATATTGATATAAAATACACAAGTATGATATTATTTCCATCCTTTTTTAATATTAGATGTCAACGGGAATGTGATTCATCGTACAACCTTGTCTCCTGCTCAAAATCGTACAACCTTGTCTCCTGATCAAAAAAACTGGAATTTGTTAGCACGACATATGCAGGGAAATATCACAGAAAGAACTTCAAATCGGAAGCTTAATGTCTTTTCTAAGATTCTTCTGGCAAATATTAAAGCGCGAAGCGGTAAGTTCCCAGTGAATTCATAAAACTATAAAATGGTTGTAATTTACGTCAACCATTTATTGCTGCAAAAAACTGTCAAATGTCTCTTTAAATTTAACAGAATATTGGATTCGCTGAAGTAAATAAAAAAAACTACTTAACAAAGTTTCTTGATCCGAACTTTTCAGTTTGTGCATGGTTGCTTTTGATTTTTTTTTCATAAATTTATTGAAAAGGATTCCCAATCGAAGTGTTATTTTATAGGTAAATAAATATAAGAATATTCAGAAAACCATATTCTGTTTGCTTCGTGTGTATAGGTAAGGTCGGAAGAATGGATGATAATGTATATCTCTACCAAGGCGATATAAGCATAGATCCAAAGGATGTGAGCAAGTTTGAATCTCGTCGTGGAAATAAAGGACGCAAAAAACGAACTCTCGTGAGTGACAGGACACTCTTGTGGCAGTCACCGATTTATTATGACTTTCATCCTGATCTCAACAGTATGTGATTCTTAAATTATAATTCTGTTTTTGATATAATTGGATATTCATTAATTATTCATAGGCTTTATGTATCCATTTATTGATCATGTACTACTGAATTCCAGGCGACGCCAGACAAGCAATTGCAAGTGCAATAACGGAATGGGAAAGTGTTCTACCGTGCATACAATGGATTAGGGGAAAGACGTACACAAGTCATCAAGGATATCTTTATTTCATACAAGGGGTGGGGTAAGAAATCTGGTCTAAAAATCGTGTTTCTACTTGTGAACTCTTAAAGATTTACTAAATGTTGTTTCAGTTGCTATTCATCTGTGGGTATAAAACACGGCTATCAAGAACAAGTAATATCAATAGGAAATGGTTGTGAAAAACATGGAATTGCAGTACATGAAATTGGTAGGTATATCAGTGCCGAGTGTTAGGGAGTGTATTGTGTATATGTAGATTTCTTCATGCATGTTGCATATAGATGTTTTTTTTCAGAGAGCTGCCACAACACAATTGACCGTTTTTATCGACCATTTCAATTAAATCGATTTCCAGTTTGTTTTCTTGCACGCGGGCTATGGGTTTCGCTTAGAAGGAACTTTTCAGTTTTATCTGCCAACAGCTCGTTAGAAAAACGCCGTGTTTCGTTTGAGGTGCTCCCATGCATGCCCTATTAAGTAAAAAGCAATTCTTCGCCGCCATCTTTGTAAAAGAAGCAAATGTGTTATACAATGATGTTTCAGTTCTGTGTTAAACAGGGGGTATTACTGATATTTAAGAAGGTTTATTTTATCCCTGCATGAACATGCAACAGCTTTTAAGCCGGTGAGGTCAACTGCGCGATGTCTAAGAGCAGTTGCTAGTATATCAGCGGTTAAAATAATGCAATTACAATGAAAATATAGTGATAAAAATCTTAATAAGGGGATTCTTAGTATTAAGTGGTCCTAAAAACTTTTTTATATTTCAAATGTAACAGCTCATGCATTGGGAATTGGGCATGAACAATCGCGACCTGATCGAGACCAGTATGTTCAAATCCAATGGGATAATATTATACCAAGTAAGTTCTATTATATCTTCAGTAAATCATTGGTTTGTAAACAGCGGGGGTTTGTGTTTTCTTAAACTGCACCGAAATGGGCAGGTATACACAGTCTCTGATCGCCAACTCCAAAAAAACCTCTCGTAAAAATCCTTTCTCATTTATGATCTACTACAAAAGAATTTGTACATAACTTCAATAAGTGGGATCAATCAAGAGTCGACAGTTTTGGCCAGCCATACGACTTTGATAGTGTGATGCATTATGGAGCATATGCTTTCACGAAGCAAGGTGGGTTTAAAACAATTGTAAGTTTGGTGCCTGGGAAAGTATTTGGTGGAAAATCCGGTCTAAGTCAAATTGATGTCGTACAAGCTCGCTTGTTATACAATTGCACAACAGGTAAATTTTCTTTCAATTTCTTTTCAGTGCATGTGATAGTATCAGGTGCAGTCGGAGGTGTTACCTCCACCAGGTGTTCCCGAAAAATTAATGCTCTTATAAAAAACGAGTTCCGCCTAAATAAATCAAGTTCAACTTGTTTTACTTTGACACATACTGCATAAAAAGTAAAAAATCCTACTAAACTATTATGAGTGCTAATTATATTAGTGTGAAAATGCAACACGTAGTGATGCACCAGAGCCAAACCTGAATGCGATAACTAGTGCTTATCGTGGTGTATATTTCATGCATATAATCATCTTATTAATCTTTATTTCAAACGTTGTATAGGAACATCAGTTACACCACCTCTACCCACAACTACATCTCCTGGTGGTTCTGGATCTGGTGTTGGTCCTTCAGGTTAAAGAATTAGCAAGTCAAGTCGCTGCAGCCATGCACGGTTACTGGGAGTAGGGGACATGTTCACTAAATATCAATATCTTTGACTTTTTTTAATACTGTATTAGAAAACAACATTAATTGGGTGTCGTTTGTATATTAGTTTGCTGATCAAGTTAGTCTTAAATATATACTGATTTAAGTCGGTTTAATAAAATATATATGAATTATACTTTTTATCTGCCAAATTCACATGGTCTCGAAATCTTTTCAAGTTGTTTTACGGTGTCTCTGTCTACAGAATATTTTCATTTGGCAGATCATGTTAAAGCAATCATACTTTTGGGAGTAAAACTCGCTTTGCCGTGGCCGGCTAATCTTTGTCGTGAGCGCAAGCGCAAAAAGCAGTTCAGACATGCCATTCACCTTCATATATATAGTGTCGGTAAATGAAAGCCTTTTGTCAAGCCTCGTAGTCCCTATGTTCGGTCCCACTACAACCACACTGTGCTACAACACACCAGCCTTTAGCCCTGTAAATGTGAAAAATTATCAAAAGCTATACGGCTTTCAACCTCGCACTTCAGGCCTTTTTCTATCCAAATATACCATGTAGGCAGAGTGTTTCTGTAATACCATGGGAGAATACATTTGTTAATTTTCAGTATATGATTTTAATATTGTTGGATACGCACATATAATAAGCTGCCACACACATGCAAGGATGTTTTCTACAACGACCATTTTCATGGACCATTTCCAATACCTATACACATTCGTATGAAACAAGTATTATTTATATTTGATGTAAATACGTTTTAATGGCAAAAACAAGAGCCATGCATAAGCCTCGCTCTCGTGTAAACCTATTTCCTCTCAGGACTTATTTAATCTGTAAAACTGAACACTTTCGTTTAGAAGGAACTTTTCAGTTTAATCTGCCAGTTACTCGTTAGAAAAACCGTTCTCGTTAAAAAAACGATGGCGTGTAGCAGTTTCTTTGTGGCGACATGTGCAAGGGATATTATTGATATATTTAAGACGGTTTATTTTACTCCTGAACATGCATGCAACAGCTTTTATATAAGAAAGCTAAGGTCAACTGCGACTGAGCGATGGTAGCAATAAGCAATTGCTTTTATTAGTTGAGAAATAGTTATATCTATATACAATGAAAATAGTTATAAAAATCTTAGTAAAGGAATCCTTAGTATTAAATTTACCTAATTTTCTTATATTTTTTATGTAATATAGCTGATATGCATTGGGATTTGTGCATAGAGACCAGTATGTTGAAATCCAATTAATATTATATCATGTGAATTCTATTATATCTTCAGAAATTAGTTGGCTTAAAATTGTAAACAGTGCGGGTTTGTGTTTTCTTAAACGGCAGCGAAATGGACGGAGGTACGGTTTCTAATTGCCATCTCCAAATAAACCTCTCCTAAAAATTCTATCATAAGCCTTATATATAACTCTCAAGAAACCGCATCGGGCTATAAACACAAACCTTACTTTCCTTTCTCGTTTATGATCTACTACTACAAAAGCATTCGAGTTTAACTCCGATAAGTGGGAACAATCAGAAGAAGCAAACAGTCTTCAAGACGAAAAAATACAATTTAGTTATTCATATTTTTAAGAACAGCTTGCATATATTAATTGTGCCGAATTTGAAGGTTGTATTTCAGATTAACTATATTACATGGTTGTGGTTAGTTCAGTCTTATACAGTTATACAGATATAATACAGTCTTACAGATAAAAGCTGGTTTTAACTGAATTTCCGTGACGCGAATAACGTACGTAAATCTACATTTGATTAATATTAACCTTGCTTACGGTTCTACGAAGTTGAAGAGGTAGTTTATAAATATATAAATCATAATAAACACTTCATGGCTCATGCAGTTCAAACGACAAAGATCACAAACTAATCTCACTAACGATAGTCGGAATAAACAAACATATAACCTGAGGAGAAAACATCGAATTTGACTTTAGCCCCGTTTACACTACACTCGATTTAATGACACGGCACGGCTAAAATGGGTACCCGTGCCCATTTTATCTATGCTCGGCCTTTGTTTTGGTTGCCTGAACACTAATAAAATTGGGTACGGGTACCAATTTTAGCCGTGCCGTGCCAATAAATTGACTGTAGTGTAAACGGGGCTTATATTTGAGGGTGGTATTCTAGACGTGGCATATTACGTGGTTGTGGCTAGTTTTGTCAGACCAAACCCTTATTCAAACGTCAATCACTAATAAGCCAGCTGGTTTCTTATTCCCATGACGAATAACATACATTGACAACCAAACAACGATGTTTTTTAACCAACATACTACAACCAGTACTAGATTCAAAGATACATTTACGAAATCGCACGGGTTTATTAATTTTTAATTAGAACAGTTTTTCTATCTTCATTACAACCGCTATAATCTTTATCACCAAAAGCACTTTTCAACGTAGAGTGACGTCGTAATACAACAAAGATTGACGCGAGAGAGTGAATCTGATCGACGCATTTTGTAAAGATTTCCCTCCAACTATGTCTGCCGTCGTATACCATAAACGTTTCATTGACGTATATGGGCTCGAAACTTAATTAGTTAAACTCCTTATTAACGCACACCCCCCATAGGGACAAACCATGGCAGGGCTATATAACAGCTGGTTCGCTGAATAGATGCCCCAGTTGCGTCTGGAAATCGAAAATAAACTATAAAGGGAAGGAATCTTTGAAAGATGGTGCTCACAAGAGAGGCAGTTTTTGCTTGGCTTCTATACCTGGTGTTGTTATTTTGTGGTATGTAATAATGTACGTTTTGAGTGGCGACTCAGGCAAATTCGAGTTTTGTTAGTGCGAAGCGATAACATGAACTCGTCTTAAGTAACGCTCTGTTGCTGGTTTGATTTTAGTTTCATTTTGATTTTTTGCACGTCCAACTAGGCACTATTGGCGGAACATCTTTGTGTTTATGCGTCCACACGTATTCCGATCCGCTGCGTTTTTGAGCGTCAATGAACCAACTAGGCTACTCAGGGTTAATACAGTCGAGAAAGCAGGCGCAGGAAAGACAAGTCTGGTTAAAAAGCGTCGGTATTTTACTTTATGATATATATGTGCTGGATAATTATATGCAGCCCATTTTAAAAATAGATTGCGCACAAAATTTAAACTGTATATTTCACGTCGCGTAGTGCTCAGTGCAAAACAACTGTGAAACTGACAGGGATGAAGTGCAAATTAGGAAAATATAAATAAACAAGCCACATATTGGATACGAGATGATGTCGGACACAGACGTTGCAAACGAACTATCGTTTGAGACAATAAATGAAGCGGGTAGTAAATCATGCCTCACATCTTGGTTAGATCTGTGCGGGATTGTGTGATTTATGCACGCAGGAACGATAGGATGTCGCCAGACGTTCAGAGAGCCGTTGGCGAGTTAATAATTTATACGCTTTTCAACATTCCAAGCAACACATCATGAATTCTACACAGGAGATCGAAACCACTTGGTTGTTACTAGCCTGCAACGCAGACTATATATTGGGGTATATACCCAATATATAGTCTGCGTTGCAGGCTAGGTTGTTACATGTTTTTATAAAATGGCCACCTTTTCAAAATCCCGCGCGTGAAGACAATACCCTATATTGATATAAAATAGAAAAGTATGATATTATATTTCTTTTCTTTTTTAAAATTAGATGCCAACGGGAATGTGATTCATCGTACAACCTTGTCTCCTGGTCAAAATGGTAGAACCGTGTCTCCTGCTCAAAATGGTACAACCTTGTCTCCTGATCAAAAAAACTGGAATTTGTTAGCACGACATATGCAGGGAAATATCACAGAAAGAACTTCAAATCGGAAGCTTAATGTCTTTTCTAAGATACTTCTGGCAAATATTAAAGCGCGAAGTAAGTTCCTAGTGAATTCATAAAACTATACAACTGCATGCAAAGGGACTGGGTACGCACTACAACACACAGAGCCTTTTAGGGATTTATGAAGGGGAGGATAGACCCTTCTCATAAAAAAGTCCCCCCATTGAAGTGAAGCTTTTGTTGGAATTTGGATGCATGATCAACGCAGCTAGCTGTAGTGCGTAAATATAGCTTAGTTATTAGGTTGAGGCATTCAAATAAAGCGTCTTGCTTTCGACTGGCTTTATCATCTCATAATATTATAAGGCAATCAGATTCTAAGAAAGGCTTGATTTCAATAGAGGGGAATTTTTGTTGCAAAGAATTCTATATCGACGTATTTTTTTAGGTGCGTAAATCAAATGTAAAAATATTAAAAAACCATATTCTATTTGCTTTCGTGTAGGTAAGGTCGGCAGAACGGATGATAATGTATTTCTCTACCAAGGCGATATAAAAATATCTCCCGCAGATATGAGAAGGCTTACAGCTCGTAACGGAAATAAAGGACGCACAAAACGAGCTCTCGCGAGTGACAGGACACTCTTGTGGCAGTCACCGATTTATTATGACTTTCATCCTGATCTCAACAGTATGTGATTAGTACTCATAACTTTGTTACACATGCATGCCCTAATATGCATTAAGTTTAATTTATTTAAGTTGAACTAGTACCTATAGATTTCCCTACTTTTCGTTTGATAATTAAAATATAGACACCGTTTTCTCCAGTATTTCATGCACGATCCGATGTGCCTGATCTCTGGCCCTACGATATATACTGACATTTCTTTTATATGTATAACAAGCTGGTAACCACAAAATATATGCTTTGATTCTTTTTAATGTCTTTCCACTCTTGCGTTTATGGTATGGCACTTACGTATATATTGTCATGTATATTCCAGGCGATGCCAGACAAGCAATTGCAAGTGCAATAACGGAATGGGAAAGTGTTCTACCGTGCATACAATGGGTTAGGGGAAAGACATACACAAGTCATCAAGGATATCTTTACTTCATAGAAGGGGATGGGTAAGAAATGTGGTCTAAAAATCTTCTCGTATTTCTTCTTGTGAACTCTTAAAGATTTACTGAATGTTGTTTCAGTTGCTATTCCTACGAGGGTATAAGTGGCGAAAACGAGCAAGAAATATCAATAGGAATTGGCTGTGAAGATCATGGAACTGCAGTACATGAAATTGGTAAGTATCATGCAGTGCCGAGTGTATGTAGATTTATTTCCTCATGTTGCATGTTTTTCAGAAAGTTGCCACACAATGATTTTTTCTACAACGACCATTTCCATCGACCATTTCACTTAAATGAATTTCCAATTTGTTTTCACGAGCTATGTATATGGGTAACACAACATACGACACTAATTCGACATACGTATGAAACAAGTATTATTTATATTTGATGTATAAAATGAAGTTTTAATGCTAAAACAAGAGTCATGCATAAGTATTGTAAGGACTTACTCAATCAGTCAATCTGTAAAACTGAAAACTTTCGTTTAGAAGGAACCTCCAGCAGATCGTTAGAAAAACCGTTCTCGCGTTAAAAAAGATTTCTTATATTTTTTATGTGATAGCTCATGCATTGGGTATTGGGCATGAACAATCGAGACCTGATCGAGACCAGTATGTTCAAATCCAATGGGATAATATTATACCTTGTAAGTTGTATTATATATTCATGCAGCAGCGCGGGTTTGTGTTCTTTCAAATATATTAAACTTTCTTTCCTTTTTCGTTTATGATCTACTACAAAAGCGTTTAAGTTTAACTTCGAGAAGTCGGATCAATCAGACGTCGACAGTCTTGGCCAGCCATACGACTTTGATAGTGTGATGCATTATGGACCATATGATTTCACGAAGCAAGATGGGCTTAAAACAATTGTAAGTCTGGTACCTGGGAAAGTATTTGGTGATAAACCCAATCTAAGCGCAAATGATGTCGTACAAGCTCGCTTGTTATACAATTGCACAACAGGTAAATTTTCTTTCATTTTCTTTTCAGTGCATGTGATAGTATCAGGTGCAGTCAGAAGTGTAACCTCCACCAGGTGTTCCCGAAAAATTAATGCGCTTATAAAAAGCGAGTTCCGCCTAAATAAATCACGTTTAACTTGTTTTACTTTGACACATACTGCATAAAAAGCAAAAAATCCTACTAAACTATCACGAGTGCTAATTATATTAGTGTGAAAATGCAACACGTAGTGATGCACCAGAGCCAAACCTGAATGCGATAACTAGTGCTTATCGTGGTGTATATTTCATGCATATAATCATCTTATTAATCTTTATTTCAAACGTTGAATAGGAACATCAGTTACACCACCTCTACCCACAACTACATCTCCTGGTGGTTCTGGATCTGGTGTTGGTCCTTCAGGTTAAAGAATTAGCAAGTCAAGTCGCTGCAGCCATGCACGGTTACTGGGAGTAGGGGACATGTTCACTAAATATCAATACCTTTGACTATGATTAATACAGTATTAGGAAACAACATTAATTGGGTGTTTCGTGCTTTGTATATTAGTTTGCCGATCAAGTTAATCTTAAATATACTGATTTAAGTGTTTATTAAAATATGAACTATACCTTTTATCTGAATATCATTTTTCTGTTTTTTTTTCGATATTTCTGGATGTTCAATTAAGGATTATCTCAGAGTATTCAAAACGCTTCACTCGTTCACGTTCGCGCCATAAATCGCCGCAAAAATTGCAAGTGTAAGCGGGCCCTAAGTTCCCTTACTTCTTAGCGCGAAAAACAGTTCAGACATGCGACCTTCATATATAGTGTTTAGTTTTGATGGAGAATCTTTGACGTTGCAACGTAGTATGACACTAACTCTAACACTAACTCTCCTGACGAGGGCCCTCAGGTCGAAACGTCGAGAAGTGTTTTGTCTATTTTAGGGAGTTGTTATACCACATTTGATGCTAAATTGCAAGGATTAGACTTCAACGAGGATATAGAGTGTCCGCTTCTAACCAAAGTACAGCAGCCTAGTTATAGGAGGCCTAGAGACTATACTCAATACGCTGAAGGTTACAGTGATCGCCTTACTTTCTTCAGAGCTTGTTTGCTTTTACCGAATGTTCGCTTACTTTGCCCAACTTGGTCTCTACCAAATACCAACGTGCTAAAATCTCGGTCGTAGTTGAATACAACTGTGTTTGAAAACTTCTCGAAACAACAACCCTTTTAGAAACTCAAACTACGCGAAATGTGCATATTATTTAAAAATGAACGCTTATTATTCTAAAAGAACTCGTTTTAGAACTTTAACGTTGTTAAAACTACAACTCGGCCAAAAACAAGACCCCAATAGTGCAATAAAATAACTTTTTCATGTACAGTATAACATTAGTACAAATTTGAGGATGAAAAAAAAGGAGCTTCTACATTGATGCGCTGGTTTATGAATTCTATAGTTCACAAGGGCCTAGTCCCTATGTATTCCACCGGGGCCTGGGAACGAGGCCACCTTTGACTGACAAGCTCATGCATTCTCATGCACACTTCCAGTTACATTTTCCAATGCTAGCCCAAATGCAACAGAAATTGCCTGTTTTTAATGTCAGCTTGGTTCTTGTTTCAATCTATTACTGAAACAATGCATGTCACCACCACTGGCACCACAAAGGCTAACATATATGAGAAATTTTAAGAGCATATGAAATGCCCCCATTCAATGAACCATCTTGCAAATATAAGTTACTTCAATACTAAAGATTCAACTTTTATTTAATTGCACCATGCAAATGAAACAGACTTTAGACCACATAAGGATCAAGAACTCTGCCTTGTCTTAAAGATGAATACTGACCAATATGCTTAAAGATATTTGGTTCTACATATATTGCACTGTAGCCAGACTCCCCAAGGAATTCATCTAATAAAACATCCTTTGCATGTCCAGGGTAACAAACTTTACCAGACATTGAATCAATGACCATCTTAGCACTCTTATATGTATACAGATTTGCTGGTGTACAGCAACTTGGTGCATTAACAAATGAGTGGAAATATGGGGAGAGAGTACGGATCCCTAAAAGATTTGGCCGTCCTATAGCAAAGGCAAGGAATACCACATAAATGCATGCTTGTATAAGAAAATTCCATGAAATGCGACTCCTGAAAGTCCTTGTTGGCACAATAGAGGACATGCAAATCAATATAATGGCACCTGCAAGTTCAAACAATCTGTAAACCTCAGCACTGAGAAAACCAAGCAGCCGCTCAGGGTGATACAATTTAAGATAAGCAACCTTTCTTCTTCTATGAAAAAATTCACTATATTTTTCTTCAAATATGTTGTATATTCCATATTCCAGCACAAGTAACATTTGATCTTTGGGGTATGCATCATCTTCCATCAGCAACACATATTTTGGTTGAAATTGAAGTGACTTCTGTAAACAGTACACATAATCCTGTTTTTCTTTCTCAAACCTGTTCATTACCTTGTTTGGTTGTTTTGTGTATTTAACAGTTGTATGTATAAATTTTGAAATTTCTTTTGCTTCTGTATATTCATTTGGTAATGAATCCACATTACAAACCATCACACCATATGTGAAATCCAATTTAGACGCATCTTTTCTCAAACGTTTTAGTAATTTACTCACAGTCTGAATTAAGTAGTAAGGGTTATAATCTCCTCTCTCCCTTGAAACAGTAATCAATGTAATGACTACATCTGTAAAATTATTTGGCTCTCTAACGACTTCATTGCTCTTCATGATATTTCTGAACTCCTGTTTAGCCTCCATTAACCGTTTATCATTTTCCTCTCTCATTCTCAAATTCTCCTCGGTTATATTTCTATCCCATAGCACTCCATAATACATGGAATATTTAAGGCGATTGCACAGCAGTGGCAATATTATCAGAAAGGTCGAACAATACCACACCGAAGTGATAAAAAAACGATATCCCATATTCCTATTTAAAAATACTTGAGATATTGAATAATAAATTTCGATGCTATCAAGGCAACGTCATGTTAGATGTAATATACAGCAACACAATATGATCAGGGAGGCCAAGAGCTGTTTGTTTATATGATCCCGCCTAGCCGGGATGATTCGCGATAAACATACATTTGGAGCATGTGTATATATTGGCATATTCGTTTTCTACAATAAAACATACAGTCGAACGAACCTGCACTACAAAATGAACACCATATAAACACGCTATCCCGCCTAGGCGAGTTTCCCGGCTAAGCGGGATGAAAACATCCCGTCCCGGCTAGACGGGATCTTATAAACAGGCCCTAAAGGCTTGGGCGCGCCCCTTTCATAAATTGCCAGCATCTCCCTTGGACTGCTGAACGCAAGCCCCAGACCACAAACGTTTTTGTGACGTGGAATATGTATGAGAAGGTGTTCGTATTGAAAAGATAATGCTATATCGCCTATATGTCTTTGTTCTTTACCAATTTAGGTATTAGTCATTACACCAGTCCAATATACTATATATCAGTATATTAGACACTTGTTATTTTTACTACCCGGGTCGAGTGTACCATATATATAGGATATTACACGGTTGCGAGTAAATATGGATTTTATGCTCGAGTGGCAAAAACAATATCAATATGAGATACCGTTTTTGACACGAGAACATTAAGTCCATATCTTCGAGCGAACCGTGTTCTGTTTATTATATGGACTAAATCAGAGTGAAAAAAATTCACACAAAGACGACAAGTAAGATGCCGCGAAAAACAATTATAAAAGCGAATATTTTTTAAATCATAGCCTTTAAATTATAACTTTAAGGAAGAATAAATTTTACTTATCTAAAGATTTCTTTCAAGTGTTTTAATTTGTATTTCCAACGTTAATTTCGCTTTATATACGAACCAAAGAAACTCGTTATGTCACCCCTAAACGTGACATACGGAAAATACGCGCACAACACCTCGGATGTAGTGGCGTATGAGTTTTACGAATGTTTTAGTTCTCAGTAAAATACCCCCATCCGTATAATAAACCGGTACATTCGAACTGAAAAGTTGTGGATGTAGTTTCTTTTGGTAAAAAAAATTCACTTCATTAGGTTTTTGGTCATTTTTTCATGCATCCTGGCAAATGCATGTCATTGTAAATTATTTACGACTGTAGTCTGCATGCTTCATTACACAGAAAATAACGCCGGTACAGCAATGGTTTTGGGTTGAAACCTCCTTTAGCGACATCTGACTTTGGAAATTACTTTAGGAGTAATCCCAAATTTGGCATAACCTGGTTTGCATTGCAAGTAGTCATAAAAGCTGTTTTCTTCAAACATACACCCAGCCTACGTGAAAGCAACAGAATATAAAACTATTGAATTCCAGCGAAATACACTTTATTTTCATGAAAAAAAGTTTACTACATTAATGTAATTATTTTGAAAAATGTTCTCACTCTACTATTGATATGTTGAACCATGAATTCATGACCAGCACAAATTACCGTTCAAAATACAAAGTATGGAATTGAGGTGCGTGGGCTTTGAAAACCCAGCGTAATAATACTTTCCACAGCGCACATTTTTTACACTATTGCTAACATTAAAAATAATTGCCACTAAATCTGCAGACAGAACAAAGTAAATAATAAAAAATACTACATAATTCCAGCATAAAAAAGTTATTCCCCAAAATAGATTTGTCTAAAAGATCGTATTGCGCAGGAACGAATTCAAGAAAAAATGCTACGCCTCCTTAGAGCAGTGACTATGGCACTCAAGCACTCACATCTTACACTACAGAAGAACTATCTCATACTTTAAAAAATTCACTGCATTTGAGAGTGTAAACAGTTTCTAGTCAAGATAACCCAAATAGAGATTATATGAAAAGCTTTGGTAGAACATATTCTATGATAAATAACCATAGTTCTATGATGCATGGTTACTGTCATAGTGGCGTTTTTTTAAGAATCAGGTGCATGCAACTCCTGGGAACTTTTTCTGTAATTAATTACAGTTTATTGATCGTAAAATCTCGAGCATCTTTCAAGATAAAACTCAAACTGGTAGCAACGTTTTCAATAAAATAATAAAATATTCAGACGATTCAGACACATAGCCAAATATATATACACACAATCGTACATGTCTTAAAATTCAAGCCTTTTTCACTCTTTCTACCCTCTCTTTCTTCGTTTCTCGCGACATCTCTCCTAGTCGCCTAGTTTTATCAAAGTCAATTTCGGTATAATCAGGATTGGCCCTTCTTGAATTGAACGAAGGATTCTTTTGTATCGGTGTCGGTGGTCCGGAACCAGCCACCTTAATATAGTTTACAGACGACTGTTTTGCTTCGACGTTAATATAATGTATCTCACTGCGACCGGCTACGTTCTCATACGAACGAGCATCCGGGAGTCGACCAGCGACATTTTGATAGGAATTATTCAAGGATGTCGAACTCACAGTTTTCTCTGATCCCGGTACATTTTGGTATCCAGGTTGTCCAAGTACCTTATCCAAATGATGATAAACATTTTCCTCGCTGTCGTATCGATCCCATTCACCAGGTTGAAGTCTAGCCACCTGCTTCACCTTTGGTTTTTCCGGTAAATTCACATACTGATTTAATGATGGCTCACTGCCACTTTGCGTTGGCGTTATTTCAATAGTTAACATTGGTCGTTTCCCGCGGTTGCCACTCGTGTTTCTACGCGCTTGTATACCGGCGCCTTCGAAAGATCTTCCTTCTGGGGATGTTACTTGTGAGTTGTTATTCCCCTCGGGGTTTCGTTGCGGTGGATCACTCAAACGTCGATCGGGTTCTTTTGTTTTCATGAGTCCTTCACGAATCATGTCGTCTGTATTTGGGAAAAAGGCACTCCTCCGTTGCCAAATTGTCGGATCTTCGTCGTCTTGGTGATCGCCCACAGAGAGAAGGGATGATGGGACTACAGTTGTATCGCTCGCATCTTTCAAAGAAGCGCTTCTTGCATGCTCACCAACTATTATACTATCCTTAGCTTGATTGCTTTCCGTCATCCGTGCTTTTTTGATATCTTCAGACGATGTACTCTCATCGCCAGGCTCATGACTCGATAGAACTCCATCTGAAGTAGACGGTGAAACACCAGGAGATGAAGACATTGCACTTTCTTGGGATTTTCGTTTGTCAGGTGAATCCGGACTGAGGTGATTCCCTGAACCTTTCGCATCACCGTTTTTTGCGAACACTTGTCCCAGGCTTCCTTCGCTATAGTTTGTGTTTTTCTCCGGAGAGCCCGCTGAGCTACAACTTTCAATTCCCGCGCGGTCACTAGTTTTCTCCTTCCACTTGGGAGATTTCGGTCTTCTACTTTTCCGACGAATGCTCAGCCTTTGCATAAAACGTTTGAACCCTGAAGGCTCACTCATTGACCTCGGTCTTGGAGCTCTTGGTGAATTTACAGGTCTTTGCAGACCTTCTATACAAAGACACAAAACTTGCATTAGATTATCACAAAGCAAGCAGCAGGCGTTTAATAAACGTGCGTGCATATGACCTAACTTATTTTATAATACAAACAGTTAGCCGTATACGTAAATAATTGTATTTGCAGATGTCAATCAAACGGCTTGTTGTCGTATCCTACGAATATTCCTACGTGAATATATTTTGGAGATAACCAAATATAGAAACTACGTATTGTAAAGTCAAGTTGATTGCCAACTGAAGACTACGATCACAGTGAAAGCCAATAAAAACCTCTTATCTAATATAAACATCAATATCAGCAAATAAGGCACTAGAGTGTTTACGGGGAAAGCAATTTGCAAATTTTGCTTTTTGAGACGTGACCTGAAAATAATTATGAACAGAAATTACTAGAGTAACCTTTTTAGTTCAGCTCCACACATACACCGACAAATTAGTCTAATTCAGTAAATACGCTTCATTTATGCAAATTATACACAGCAAAGCGTATGTATTCGGTCAAGGATAAAGATGGAATACACTCCTGCATGGGGGTTGCAATAACATTTGTGCAGGTTCAGCCGTTGTTTTTGTTTTAACCACTAAGCTAAGCCTCACATATGGTGTAAAGCCAGGGTCTGGCAGGGAACATATATATATATATATATATATATATATATATATATATATATATATATATATATATATATATATATATATGCATAATTAAGCGAAGCCTCACTGTGGTGCATGTAAAGCCATGCAGGGTCTGGCAGGAAATGTATAATAGACCTTGGCGGTAAAGAGCTAAAGACGATAAGAGAACATAAGTGTCATATATACTACTATGTTGTAGCATAATCAATACATTCACGGTACAGTAAGGTTACGGGAATCACTAATGATTCTTGCAGTTTTTCAAGATGATAACAATGTAAAAATTTATTCGTCAATACACCGCGTAGATTTAGCATTGTGGCACCGCAAGGTATTTCCTCCCGAAAATGATCCCCCATTCGGTAAATTGTTCTTGGCAAGAAACAAATGAGAGCCAAGGTACGGTCCTGGCATGTACGATAGTATATACGCGCATGTAAAATAAGCTGAAGTACATGTATGAGGTCGATTTCTTCTATGTTCTCTCTAACTTGCATGCAACCGCTCATTGAACATGGGAAAACCCTTCCATAATGCGTAATTGGTGAGACCGTGCAACCATTACTTTATATACAGAAAGAGTTAACAGGAGGTACATATTTCGACGAAAAGCATGACTGTGAACGTGTTAAGTTTCTAATAATAAACAAATGGCTTTTTAATGCCTGCAATGCATGCATACACAAACGATTCGGTAATCATATAGAGAAACGTTTTTCTGTTTTGTTTGCCTCAGTATTTACGTACCCATGCAGTGATATAAAAGCGCCATATGATATCTTATCAAATAGGACGCGGGAATTTTCCTACATTAGTTGAAATGATTCGTGGAGCCTTGGGTAAACAGGAATGAATTGGGTAAACAGGAGTGAATTTGGTCAACAAGAATATATTTAAGTGGTTTATCCTCAAACAAAAAATTATATGTTCTCGTCCAGAAAGGTTCAAAAAATCCCCTATATAATAAATAAAGTTAAAGCATCGCAAGTCCTCTGGGGAAATACAATATCAATGCACATAATTTGAGATAATATAATTGATAAGCTGTATTTTACTTCGATCTATACTTTAGATCACTAAACTGTGGGTGCATCATTAGGAACAAAATATCACACGATTGCATATTCGTGAACCCACCACTCGCTCTAGCTATATTTTACCAGTCTTTATAGGTAAATCCATGCAAGATGCCTCCAAAAAACGTGCCAGCCCCCTTAACAGAGAGTTTACGATTCACGACACGTCTTGTGTGATTCAGACGCGTACTCTAGATCTACGACGGAACTTTGTTGATTTTACGTTGTGATCACTACGCTACGAACTTCAAAAGAATATCGAATATTTTTTCATTCAAAACTGGAAATTAAGTTCTTTCCTTTTATTGTTTGATTAATTTATTACTTTAACTACATTTTCTGTGGTATCTAATCGGTAAATTTCGTACAAATCAATTTGTTTGTCACATTGTATTTTTAATAGACATCAGTAGCGTCCACATTTTTATCCTAGAGCTGGAAGATTACTTAATTAAAACTTAAAAGCATATCCGGGATTACAGAAATTAATAAACAACGAATTTCAACTCAGACTCATCATGCCGTTTCGTTTTCGCAAAGTTCATTCACGAAGTTCGTTTTCCATTTAAATTTGCTTTTATACAAAAACCCGCATAACAAAGATTTTGAAAAACCAAAATTTTCCCGCGTCTTCTCTAGCCGCGTCGTGAATCGTTAACTCTCTAACATGAACAGAAAATGCAAGATGCGCAGGTCTAGTCCGAGAGTCTATATATAATCCCAGTCCTTTTTCGGCCATCTCAAATCGCCTGTACACACAGGCCGCATGCGTGTCGCTTGTTTAAGCGGCTACATCTATGAGATATACTACGCATATACGTATATATAAATTATATATTTGCAATCGTCTACGAAACCCAAAATGTTGCCGTAGTGAATTTTTTTCTTAACAGCTACTTTCTTAGAAATGGGTTATCAAACAGATGTTTTAAAAAATACCAGCTGCATGCATATATACATAAAAAGAGAATTGTGTTCAATGAGAAAGTAGTATATACATGCATATATAACAGGGCCAATACAGACGTGACTTACTTAGCATATTTCGTACAAACAAGACAAATGTACAATAAATAGATGCAATCTTATTTATTCATTTGTGGAAGAAAAAAAAGAAATTTGTTTTGCAAAATTTGTTTTGCAAATTTTAGGCGTACATGCTGCATGCAGGAAGAGAGAAAACAAAACATCGAAATATCAAACACTAACTAGTACACTAACTTTCCCGATGAATGCCCTCAGGTCGAAACGTCCAGAAGTGTTTTGTCTATTTTAGGCAGTTGTAATACCCCACATTTGATGCTAAGGTGTTTGAAGACGCTGCCACGCTGCTCCCTGGTTATATTGGGACGTATCTTTTATTTTGAGTTGAGGCAAAATTTCAAGTCGCTTTTTATGATGACCGGCTACGTTTTGTCTACAAACATGCATGTCAAAATCGACAGAACAACTGAAATCAATATTTCTTTGAATACGTATTGACTATATCCGCAGACTATTGACTGTATTTTTAGGTTAGAAATTGCGTGCTCAAAATGTGATTATGCCGAAATCACGTGATATCGTTACGCGTTCTTTTTGGCCTATTGACATTTGACTTTCTCTACCACACTCCCCGTGCATAAGGTCTCGGCGACAGTTGAGGTTCAAGGTTTTTTCATTAATACATGATTAATGCATTAACCTAATCTTGCCAATTCTTGTCATTTGCAGTGTTAGCGCGTCGTTGCGTACCAAAGCTTAATCGTTCAATCTCTTTGCAGGCAAGGACATCTTGCAATTATGGGACTTAGAAAATTAAATAACAAAGATTATTGCAAGGCATCTAAAACGAATAGCATCTGCTTAATTTTCGCTAGTGCACGAATAGCTTACTCAAAAGGAACGAACAGGAAAGAGGAATTGTAAACAAAAACGTAATTCATGAACATGCATGTCTACATAAATGAAAAGAAATGAATAATTAAAGACCTATGGAGGTTTTAGACGTCTCGTTTTGTTTACAACGTCCACTAATTTTCTTTACAACGGCAAATTTCTAATTTTCACATCTTGTGTAAACGACTAAATTTCAAGACACATAGAACGCCACATAAAATTCAGCCTCTATAGAATGGTACCAAACATAAACCCAATTTTTGCCAAAGATATTCATACAACTTATTTTACAATTGCATATATTTGAGGGAGTGTTTCAGCGCGTCGTCATATCAGAGCTAACTTTTTATCAATTGAACTGCAGTTGCATGGACGCTAAACATGGCAACACAAATTCGTGAAAGTATATCGTACGATACTATCAGCGACAGCAATTACTATCACTATAACGAAAAGTGAGACGAACATCAAGGAGTTCCTAACTGACACCATATATATGTTGCATGCATTACATATGTTGCATGCATGTCTAAATGCTAAGTAAAGTATCTCGGAACAATCATTTACTAAAGTAAAGTGATCCTGTTCGTAGTCAACATTAACTCATATACTCACTTCTAGCCAGAGGAAAACAGTTGCAAACACTCATTGAGCTGCTTTCATACAGAACACATTCATGAACGGTCGATAAGGCATAGTCTGAGGAGTTAGTATCTACATTATTATATATGTCGTTATCCTCCAGTCAAAATCCTTCAACTGATAAATTTCAGAAACGTAAATTATAAATGGTTCAATTTTAAGTAGATACAAATTACGTCCAACTACGCTATGATGTCAATGAGATCAAAATTACATATTCTTCCACCCACGGAATTAATTTAGGTGTATTTTTGACCGAGCCGGTATTTTACGACATGCACTTGTTACAAATTTAGACTTTCTGACGTCAGAGCGTTATCTTCCAATCCTCTCGGGTTATTCATATCTCAAGGGGAAGTGATTCATAATTATTTGTCTAGTTGGTTTAACAATGTTTTTAGATGTATGCGTTGTGGTCACTGGTTATAATCATGTTGCCGTCCACATTAACAGTTTAATTCATAACAGTAACTATATGAATAGTAATTTCCACTTATTGACATGCATGCATGCATGGGGTAAGTAGGTGTGTCTACGGCAGTTGGGGCAAAACTCTACATGTACATAAGCGCACCAGGGCTCATATTAGAATATCAACATTTAGGATTAATAGACCTGAAAAGCACAACTTGTCAGTGGCATACGGAAGATCCAGCAGATTTCACAACCTTTGCGACAGATCAAGCTCATAAACGTAAAATATAATTTAGTTTCCAAGAGAGGGGGAGCCAGTGTGGGCACATTCTTAAAGGATGAGAATTGTGATCAGATCATGACCCGCGGAGACGGGGGGGGGACTGTGGGGGCCTTAGCCCACCCACATTTTTTGACGACCAAAAATATTGAAATAAAAGTCAAGCAGTGACTGGCTAACATTTAGGACTTAGCCCCGCCACTCTCTGATACGCTCTGCGGGCCCTGGTAATCTAGACAGGAAAACATAACAGGAAGTCTTTTCAACAAAACTTTCGCTTGAAATGTCAGTGCGATGCACACAACGCATCTTCAATTTCTACACATGCATGGATACAATTTCTACAAGTTGACGTTTTAACTTTACGCCACAAAACAGCATGAATCAGCATGAAACATCATGACTTCCCACTCCGATGATTAATACGGGGCTTCATATCTGAATAAGAGAACCACCTCTGCTCTGCTTTCGCAATCATGAATTTTAAAAGATGCATTCGTCGTCGTAGTTTGCGTCAAAAGTAAAACCTCTTTTGTACTAAACACAGCAGTGACGACAATTTTGTTAAATTTATAAATATAATTCATATTTATAGTGTATCGTGTTTGTTTATACCAGAGCACTTACACACATGCCGACTTGGGTACTTAAGCTTCTTACTGAATTATCAGCTGTGCCTGTGATGTGTCCCATGACTACAGTGGGAGAAATAGTGGGAGAAACTACGCAATGCATATACTTAACTTAAAACTATTTTAGGAAGCGATGAGCTATTATTGACGAATTTCGCGCCGAAATTACAGTAATGACAATATCTTATTTGATCGCAATCGACAAACTATTAGCAATATGCAACAGATATTTTGCATGCATGAAAAATAAACTGAAACTAAGGCAACTTTCGAATCGATTTCCTTGTTCAATTCTTTATTATTTGATTCATGGCAAGATGAGGGAGTACAAGACCAAACCTTCAATGGCTCTATTGAAGTTGTGATTTTGGCATTCGTTCGGATTCTTGAAGGAATACGACAATATATGCTCGATGTATATACGTACAATTAAACAGATCGTTGGAATTTCACAAACAAGTTTAAAACCCGAAGCTGACGAAGGATTAAAAGTGTTTTATTATATTTAGCCGAACCGCTACTAAGAACAACGTATATAAGTATTGTGTATTATAAAAATAGGCTGCCGTGACGTCTATACCGTGTCATTTTTTAACTGATTGCTGCAAAATCATGCAGGAGGTTTCTAATACGATTCTTCTGCGATCACAAACAAAAATGTAAACCGCGGTGCAACAATCGCATTTACGTTAAATGTTTGTTTGTAGACCTAAATAACAGCCCTAACCCTTCTAATTCTATATTGTAGTCCAAAATGGCGGATGGCCGGAGATACGACTATGCACGACGACAGTTGCAAACGACCAACATACGGACATTATTGTACTCTGTTGGGTTCGATTGTTCGAAGCCAGTATCACGTATTGAGTGCGAGTCGAAAATAAGTAAAAAAGATCGGCCCTTTAAGGGAAAACCGAACAAAGTCTATAAACAGGACAATAACACGTTTGCAAATGCAAATTAAGTCCATCAAAAGTAAGTTAAGTCACGCTTAAATTCACGTGTCGCGTGCATGCACATGCATGTGCCATTTTGGCACTTCAAAAACACGAGCCCCATCAAAAATTTAGCTACCTCAATTTACGACATCAGCTGAAAGTTTCATTGATTAGGCTATACATGACTTATCAACCAACCAAATGACCAACCTTAAACCCATACACTGCAAAACAATTATGAATGATTAAATAAACACTTACCAACACTGCCATACATATGTTGGGCGGTCTTGTAAACTGTATCAAAGGTACGGTTAATTTGCTTCTCCAAAGAGGTCACCAAAAGAAATGAATCTGGTTCAGAACTTTTTTCCATGTCATTTTCAACGCGGAAAACAAAGCCACCGTCGACTGGCCCATAGTTAAACAACTGTTCAAATTTCCAGCGACCAATACAACGCGAATTTTGCTTGCGTATCAAGGTAAAGAAGTTAGGATATATATGAAGGGTCACTTCACCTGATTTCAATGGTTGTTTACTTGGAAGAATACCATCATAGGTTACATCTAAAAACAAATAAAAAAAATAGTTCTCAAAATCTCGCTGTGAAGACATTAAAAAAATTCGCATACCCTTCAGAACTTTTTTCTTTAATTTCGTTAAAATTATGGGCAGGGCATGGTTTTTGGGACAGTGATTTACTCACCCCTCCCCCCTGATAATTGAGCCTGTTTTTCGTAGGCAGGATATACACGTCTTTAGACAGCACATATATATCTAAGCCAGCTTCTGGCGAATTAGCCCCTATAAGTCGGCATACATGCAGAACTGCCTACTGGTTATCCTATAGCGCTTTATACATGGATAAGGAAACGTCATTGGACAAAAACATAACTAACTTGCTTTACCTTCTCCGAAACCTCCCTCACTGACAATGGTATCAACCCAATGATCTCTGTCTGCTTGCTTCTCAAATCTCAATGAAAGAGCTTGTGACTCAGTGACGATCACCAACTTCGGCTGCTTGTTCTCTTTATCAATACTTTCCGTACAACAGAAATCTCGAAGCGAAAGCAAGAATTTTTCTTTATGTTTGCTTATAGCACTCAAACGATCTTTGTAAATGTACAAATTTATTCTTTCTAAATAAAGAAATGAAATGGAAAATGTTTTCGAGAAATGCAATTTAAACTTGGGCTTGGCGCAGGGGGGACGAGAATTGTGATTGCTTTTAACTGATTAGGCATCACCACAGTCTGCTAGAAACGGGAAGGCAAATGCCCATTTCATAATGAAATACAATAATCATTTTATGAAGCATGCATCCAAACATTCCTATTGGCGTCCATGGCTCAAACGGTATCGTCACAAGTACATTTGTGCCAAGATGTCACACTCACGACAGTAGCATAGCAACAACTACAATTAACTACAGTCTACAGTAATATTTCCTGAACCGGAAGAAATCTTCTTAAAACATGGTATATCATACCATAGGCAACCCAGAAATATTTTCGTTCGCGTACACGCGCGAGCGCCAAGAGAATGAAACCAATTCTGGGCTTCCTGTGCCAATACGCGTATTCTGAAAACGCCAGGATTCCAGGAAACGACTAGTTTCATTTTCATGTCATTTTCAGCGATGTGAAAGAGGCGTAATGTAAATTAGACTTTCTGTATGTACCTTGCCATGGTTCGCGTAAACGGACCACAGAAACTAATGAGCTAATTCCTTCGGGTTAACATATCAATAGAAAACATGATATAATGTAAGACTACACAACCACCACAAATGATATTTTACACACGCTGACACTGTTATGAATAATTTAGGGAAGATCAAATGATCAATATCGTAGACTTTCTATTTCGCCAGCATGAATGTCACGGTGACACTTAAATCCGGCTCATTAAAACGGGGCGTAGATACTGTAATTTCCACGAAACGCTTCAGAATTGTATGAAATTTCTAAAGTGTCTGGTCTATCCTATTAACTTTATTATTGCTTTGACAAATAATAATGGTCAGGAGAGCAGGAACAGGAAAATGATTGTAGAATAACTAAATCAGCATAACAAAGGTTTGCCCTTGCTTAACCTGAGAAATCTCATTTCTCATGAAATGCTTTTTAAAAAAATGTATGCCTCAGCAACCCAAACCAGGAAAAAAATAAATAGCAAATTCAACACAGTGGACAGTGCTAAACCAAGCATATTCATGAGTCCTCTTAATAATGACTCATTTACACTCCTTGCAACATGCAAGAAAGGAAGATTTCACTGCCAACTTTGATCTATTATAGTAACACCCCCTATAGTATGAATGTACCTGGCAAAACATTCAAATAGCTTGTACGAGAATGCCTAGACCCCCTTCCCCCACAAAACTGCTATAAACTTACTAGAACTAGCACACATAGAAACCACATAAGGATACAGGACCAAATGAGGTAAATAACACAGTAAATGTTAAAAATGCATACATTGTAGTTGTAAACAAGGTCAATATGTTGAGTTCGTGATAGCAGACCTGCCCTTCCCATCGGCCATCAGTCTAATTATAGGAAACCAACAAGACTTGTACGTTTGGAGTGTTCAACCCTATGGTTTGAATCTTAGAATAAAAGACTATGATGGCATAGAAACATGATTACAATGATTACACTTTTTTAGAAACAGATTGACCTTGAAACCTGGGTTGTTAATGAAATATGGCAATTTTTTAGGGTTTTTTAATCGTTTCGATAGGCCAGTAAAAATGATGACCACCTTTGAATATTGTTTTGGACAGTAACAACACTAAAATGGGTATAGATAAAGGTGGCCATGATAAATAAATTTATAAGCTCTTGTAACTTGTAATATTCCAAATTTGAGTACTTGAGTTACAAAGTCAATTATTTTATATACACAACACTCTAGAATGCAAGAAAATTTAACAAAAACTGGCAACTCTTTAAACAAGTAGGAAACTGTTGCGTGCAATAATATTTACGAAAACTTTCTTGAATAAATGTCAAGTCAGAAATTCCTAACAATCACTTGATAAACATTGACGTTGCGTGACATTGACATCTCCCCAATACTTTGTGTTTACGTCGAGACACAATTTATTATTCAAATGAACATCTTGAATTTCTGTCCAAAAGATCAGCTATTAAGCCATATGAGATGGCACAAAATAAACACCGAAATTTCTCTTTTAATTTAATACGAAGTTAGAAAAACAGCTATAAATACAAATTTAATGAATATTAAAATGTCGTCTTGATAGTGTTCGAGTAATTAGAGACTATATTGTTTTTAGCAACTCTAAGCGACAACATTTAGAACGGAATACAAGCACAGTAAATTCATTTTATACTCATTCCATGCAGTCATCCTGCTCTCATTAAACCTATAAGTGTAGTCTAGAACTGCGGAAGTGGAACATAAGAGTATGTGTGAAATATTACGACTTCCCTCGTACAAAACTGCGGTTTCATATTAGCTGAGATTTAAGTCCATTAACGAACAACAGCTTAAACATTCACTTCATCTATGTATTTTAATCTTGACTGATAGTTTACATGTTGATGTAAAGTCAACTACATACCAGATCCTGGGTTTACTCGTCGTAAAACGACCCAGCGACTTTTCCACTGTAATAAAATCAAGGTTTGAGCACAGATTAGTCAATACGTTTTCTCGTTTGTAGTCTTTTGTTAGCAAGCGTACATCAATTACCTTTCGCTTGATCTTGACTAAAAGATTGCATTGTATAATATCCATAACGGGGGATGAGTATACATAAAACGTCAAGGAAATCAAACCTAGGAACAAATGTGTGTTTCCCAGTTTTGTCAGTGGTCGGGTTTTGATGGATGCAAGTTTCGTACCGTGAAAAGCACCATGGGATATTATGAGATCAGTGCCCTAAGGTGCAAGGGAAGTGGGTGGGGAAATGAAAGCTCTATTTCTGTAACAAGTCCCATGAATGATATGGTCACATGCAATTTCATGCATATCCTGTACCAAGAAGCAGTTAAAAAATGGCTACTATTATCCTACTGAGATTAAAAATATTAGGAATTTCATTGACATATCCCACCTTTGGATTAAGGATTACATTGCCATAATTATGAGATATGTGACAATTATAGAAGCGATAAAAAAGCGTTCAATAATATAAAACTCAATCGGTTGTAGAACGATATCATCATCCGTTTATTCGTCTTTTATTACCTTCTTTATTGTTATATCAAGTTTAACCCATGTCTAATATAAAGCCTATTGTTATATAGGTGTTTTGTATTTTAAATGTGATCGGTTCATTCATAGTCACAGTTACATTTATCTAAAAATAAATGCAATGTTTCCCGCCACTGAAACAAGTGAAAAATTGTTGTCCACTTCTTGTCATAACAAAGTAAATTGGGTTTCTTTTTTAAATGAAATTGTTGTGTAACATGTATGTTTTCGTTCCTATATATAGTAACAAAACACTTAATGTACACTACCTCAGGAAATAGTGAGTTTTGTTTTCCCTCGAGTCTCAATGTTTCAATTCAGATTCTTGGGAAAACAAAACTCACTATTTCCCTCGGGAGCATACATTAAGTGTATAGTATAAATACATAGAAGATGCCTGCGGAGGAGGCTATATCAAGTTCTCTAATTAACCTTTATAAGATTTACAGCGGCTGAAATAGATCGGTTAAATGCCGTACCACGGTATACCATATACATAATCGAACTATTATGTACCTTGCTTCTACACCACATATGACATATCAGTATCATCTAGGGACGAGGGGAACGATGCGAGGGCAAAAGGAGGTGTTTTCGTGAAAGGGCACGTCTATAACAGCGCTGACAGAGCATACTGAAAAATATTTGCAAAACAACGTCTGTTGAGCCTCGTTTCATCGTGTTTTCTCTTTCCAAGAAGATTTAGGTGCCTGGGAGTTTTATATTGAATATAATCCTCTAAAATGAAGGGGCATCTTTGCCCCCCTTGCCCTTGCTGGTCATTGTCCCCTAGCTTGTTGTAGATGTACAAGGACGGGCAGCTGGTAGCAGGCCCTATAAAGGGCTAACTGGACATTTGCTGGCATCACTCGTCCTAATTTTAGGCATGTACCACGTATGCCTATGGTAGACGAAGGATAACGTTTTGGATTGAAACATTGAGTATGCATACATATTTGAATAGCATTATGGGCAGCAATAGATCTAGGTTTCTAATTTCTAAATCTTTTGCCAACGACACAGCCTACAGAAACGAAAGTCTTTCTTTCAAAATAAATGCTTTCTTATATATGCCCTAGAGAGATGACCAGTGCACGCTTGGTTCTCGGAAAAAATGACCTCACAATTTAAATATTTTAATACGTAAATTTAGTTTTACATTTTCTTTTACTAACATATGCGATATGCACAGCAGTTGGTGATTTCCTGGTGAAATGATAATTATGAGTGATTTTTTTGAATTCAGTAACAACTCTACATAGAGTCACTAATGAATTCAAGCCCTTGTGAAAGTAGCTACTCTCTAATACAGTAAAGGCCTCTCGTGATCTTTTATCTAATTCTCGGAACTCTATATCCCACAGAGCACACGTGATCATGCTCTAACCCTCTCGTGATCAAGATCTGACTTTGTATGGTATGGACAGTATGGTAATTAGGGTAGCCTATGTAGGTGTGTTTGCATGTGGAATATCAGAAAAAAACAGGAAACGGGGGAGGTAAGGCGCGGCTCATTGAAATATTTATCCTCAATAGCGGTTTTGTAGTGCAACGTACAGAAATATGCATGTAGACATCAGACGGAAGATACAAGAACGAATCAAATATTGTCGTTGCATATATTGTATTAAGTTGATCAAATTATTTGCATGAACTGATCAATTATAACTTTCTGTTTGCCAGCATGCTTTTTCCAATTGGCTAACTGTTAAGTCTGTTTCCATTTTATTGTAATTGCCGTAAGCATGTCAATGTTGTTGATGCATTTGAATATTTCTCTTTGTACAGTCGAGGGAGGACTAGTAGGGCCACTTTAGTCGCGCATGTTGCATTATCCATGGCGTGTCGCCACCTTTCCAGCCAGTTGATGATACGCTCAGCTAGGTGGCGGCATTTCGCTCACTGATAAGGATAAATATCAGAGGGTTCATAATTTTCCCAGGCATCGCACAGACGTAGGTTTGATTCCGGCCGGAGGCGGATAGCTGAAATTTCTCGACTGCATCCGGTCAGGTCAGTATACAAATTCTTCTCGATTCTCTATCAAATATGAACCTTCTGTCAGGCATTATAATACGCGTGTTTTTGACACACTTTGTGTCCCTGTAAAAGGCGAATGTGTCCTTGTAAATGGAAAAGTGTGTAGTTAAAAATCATGCTTCATGGACAAAAATGTCTAATATAATTTTAATTTGACTATTTAAAATAATTATTGTTTCTATTATAAAATTGACATTATTGAATATATTATATATTAAAAAAGGCTAGAGACTGACGGACCGTGCTTTGCATGGCTATGCTCTTTTTTATATGCTTGCGTGGTAATTTCACGTTGTAATTTCTTAGACTAAGTGATTATTGAACCTAAAGACAATGTGTTTCCTTGTAAAAATTCCGTATTATAATGCCTGCCTTCTGTACAGATAAGCATACATAATCTTCACTGAAAAACATTATATACGGCAGTAAGAGCTAGTCCTGTTTTTAAAAAAATTAGGAAAACTGACGTTCCACATTCTTAGTCTTAGAGAATGGACCTTGCGCGCGTGGTGCACATGTCCTCATGTTTTGTGCATGTATAAGTTTTCGTTTGATCTTAAGTACAGTACAACGAGTTGAGTCAACAAACACAAGGAAATACAGACCATTGGAAAAAAACAATAAACAGTAAGGTCTATCATCTTTCAAAATTATTAATTCCACTCGAAATTAAGACCCTTTGAACCTTTAGAATTTAACTGCCTCAAGTGAAGTGCCAAAAACCATACAAAAACCATAATTGATTTACCCTCACTTATTCCCGGCATTACCATCATATACAAATTAACCACGCTTGCTCTTGTCAGCTACCTCTGTACAGTAGCTCAGTGGCAAGAGCATCGACTCGTTCTACCATCAACTGTTCCTCGCTTGAATTTGAAGTGTGTATAAATTCCACTCGAAATTAAGACCCTTTAAACCTCTAGAATGCAACATAAAACTGTAGAAATGCGACTATATTTTACATTCTTGGAAAAAAATTACCTCTCACACATTTTTCTTTCTTCCAATATTTAAACTACTGTAAGTTTACACTAGGTGCAAATTTAACTGAAATTTGTGTACGCGCTGTGCCAGGACTTGTATAATATTCCTTAGCACAAGTTGTAACAATGCAATCATTTTTTCAGTCAATTTGCTTTAATTCATCATAGACTAAAAAAACGTATGCTGCATGCTTGTTTCAACATGTTTGTCTTTACCTTCACCAAAACTAGTGAGGTAATGTAAACTTTGCATACAACCTCATAACAAGGCTGTATACGAAGTTGCATGTTCTCATTGAATTATACTTCTCAAATTTCTCTAAAAATAATCAGCAACAGCCACAAATTTATCTAAAAATGATTAGCAACAGCCTAACCACATGGCTTTACTGCAAGTATTTCTAGTGAAACCATGTAAAGTCATCCTGAGCTTTACATATCAAATTAAGTTACCTGAACAGGATTCAAACAAAATCTCAAGTGAAGTGTGTAAACATTGACATGTTTTCAGCATGGATAGTCAAAACACTAGTTAAGTGATTTTATTATTCATGCTTTCAATGTAAGTTAAATAAATAATTACCCAGAAAATATACCTGCTACTAACCTTGCTAAATACATTACTATACCAATGCATTATAATATTAAATTCAACATGTGTGTGCTTACTTAAGCTATGTAGCTCATGTATAAATTGTTAGTTACTATACAATATATTCAAGTCATTTAGACCATACTAAATTGGCCAGATGTTTTTAATCCGAAAGCAATGAACAACATAAGCACATTGCACATGCCCCAGCCATCATGGCTAAGCAGGTGTCTTCGTCACCTTGTTTTTGTTGCTGTCGTCGTCTGTCTTCATACACATAAACAGTCTGTGGTTGTTGACCGGGTGGATAATGAGCTGCAGTACCATATGGACCCGGCCCCCTTGGTCCATAAGGTCCAGGTGCATAAGGACCCTGGCCAGGTGGTGGTGCCCCATAACCTTGTTGGGGATATGGTCCTGGACCAGAACTATATGGTGGGGGTGGTGCCCCTTGTTGATATTGTTCAAAACCAACATTACCATGGGGTGGGGGGTATGGTGTTTGTTGAGGGTTATATGGGGGCTGGCTCATTGCGTACCTTAATTATCACTCTAGATATAGCAAAAAATATAACAGATTATATAGTGTAACCAAATTTAACCTATAAATAATCGGGAATATTAACATAATTAAAGATGATAAAAGGCCATTCTGTGCATATGTTCCGCTTGTTAACTAATTAAGAAACATTCCAAAAGTTGCCCTTAACCTTTGGAATTTTATTGTATAATACATCCCCTGGGATAGGTTGTTCAAAGCTAGGTTAGCATTTACCCTGGGTTAAATTTTAACTCAGTGATTTAGTTTATGTGCTTCTGAACCACTGTTCATTTTAAAACAATCACAAAATATAACCTCCATCATATATGAACATGCCTACTTAAAACTTAGTGTACATGCTAGGCAAACTTTGACAAATAATATAAAGCATACCCATGTCAACTTAGTGCTTGGAGTTATCAGTATGAAAAAGTAACCACAGAAATTATATTCCATTATCAATGGAAATACAAAAGTATAAACTAGAAAAACAAGCCATAGGTTCACTAATGACTTTTAGTGTTATTAATAGAAAAAAACAACCCAGAAATAAAATCTTAATCAGACCGGGGCATGTGCCTAAAGTAACACAATATAATAGAAACTCATTTTGTCTACTAAGTACTAAGACATCATTCTCAAGGTACAAATTACTTGCACTAGTTTTAAATAGAATAATCAAGTCGGTAGCAAAGTAAGTGTCACTGTTTAGTTTTGCAAGATGCAGCAAATACCAACTTATAGTCAAACCAAATAAACTTGCTTAATTAAAGCATTTAACGATGTAATATTAACGATGTAATATCCGCAATGCTAGAAAACTATACTGATCAATACAAAACGTAAATAAACTGTATCTATAAGAATAATTTTGTATAATATCAGTGGAATGCACTAGAAACGGTGAAAATAAATTCATTCCGTTGTAACGGCAATTCGACAGTTGTCATGTATGATGTATACAAACCTGTATTAAAACCTCGATTAAATAAATAAAATTGATGGTCGTAAGAATGATATATAAATTCTGCTTTTAATAAGCGTACCTTATTTTACCTCTCTCGAATGATTAATTGGATGCCTACACTGGAAAATGATGATAATGATAGACTTTAATAATTGAAATCCAATAGTGTAACGAGTAAAAGTATATCACTATTTGTTGATGTGAAACGAGCTACGCCAAAGAAATATTCGTTTGAAATGCGCATGCTCTAAAGTCTAACCTCCGGTTTATAGATTACATCATCTTCGAAAAACTAGTGGATTATTATGTTGGTGACAATGGCTTGATTGGCTTCCACATATAATCCGATCTTTAGACTTTTAGCTTTCACTTTGCTAGTTTGCTTGGATCATCCACATAAAGCCTCATGAAGATGTAAACGCAAGCTGCAAGCAACACCTGCTTCCGCTTAGTTTCTGCCAAATTCATCCATAAAAAACAAGGCTTGCTTTTGATTGGAAAAATCATAAAAATGTTCATATAAATATATCAACCGAAGTTTCTCCGTAGAAGTTCTAAACATATGCCGTGCAAAATCTACTTCCCCATATGATTTCTGGGGCCGGTTGTATAAACCTCTTACCTACATTTTGCGTAGTTAAATCGTAGTTAACTCAGAAATAAATTCTCTGATTGGTCAATTCTGTCACTAACTATAGTTAAAAGTTAATTTCGTTTTTATACAACTGGCCCCTGTTGATTAGCTAATCAAGTACATAACAAGGTTGCCAGATATCACTGATTGTCAGACCTTAATTAATGAGGGCATAACTATGATTAGCCATCAGGGTTTGGAATCACAGGCGTTAGGGCTGTAACCGTCTAAGGCTACTCAAGCCTCGCAGGTAAACAGCCACGTTGCGATTTGGCTGATTACTAGCACAGAAAAAGCAGACATCTCTTCTTATAATTTAATATTATTCTAAAACAACAAAATCCATCAAACAACTCCCGAATAATTTATTACCCGACTATTACCATTCCTCAAAATAAAAAAATGATCATTCCCCTGTTGTTCCTGGGGTGGTCCTATCGGGGCAAGAGAGCTTTATCCTCTCAACGGGGAAGTTACGTTACCGGGGGTTTTCCGTTGAAGAATGTCTTGGAAACTCATCTAACCTGCCTCTAAAATCTAAGTTCCCCGTTAGGAGTCTTAGCTCCTGGTCAGAAAATTTCTGGCACCAACTCCGCTTCGTTCGTCAATTTAAACCTGCGCATAGTGAATGAATTAAATTGGACACAGAACTAACATTTAATATCAGAATATCATTGTAAATGCTAACTATACCAAAACCTACATGAAAGCGTATAAAAAATTAATATGCATTAAAATACTGCAGTCACTTCAATTGTTATATATCTACCAAAGGATAAATTCCTGTGTATATTAACACCTTATAAACCACTCAATTTTACATATCAAATACAATTCAACATCACTGGATCAGTCTTCAGCTATGCTGCATATTTCTTTAGGTATACATTTCTAACTGATTCTTTCAAAGTGCATAATAACAAACTACTAAATTCATAGAAAACAATTTAAACGTAACACATAACTAACATGTTGTCACTCATCCCATGAGCCATCTGTGTCAATAGCTACACAATTGTATGCAGCATAACGGAATTTCTCTTCAGCTGCAGCATAAGATGAATAACAGGGAAGAAATAAAGTACCAGAACATGTTGCAGCTTCGGGTAATGAATCAATAGGAGCAGTTGATTTTGCAGCACACAATGTCATGTGTGCAGGCAATCGACGTCTGCCAGTCACAAATCTCAGAAAACGACTCCGGTCCTCATTGCTGAAACTTTCCATTGCTTTCCAGAAAAATTTCACTCTCTCATCCGTCTCCAACAGGTCTTCACAAAATGTTGTCTTGCGAAGATCTTCAACATTGACCTTGGGATTTCCGCATACCTTTAGCTCAAGTTCTTGCCATGTTAGAAGTCCAAGCAAGGAAACAGGTATAACTTTAGTTAACCCACAACGAATTGCACTGATTTGCTCTTTACTCTCTTTCATTCTTGCATCTTGAAGAAGCTCGGTGTACTCTATGCGATTTTCATATTTAACAGTTTCATCTTCACCTTTCGAGTTAAGAGGAATAATTGTGCCATTGCTTAAAACTGTTGTATATGTGAGAACATCACTAAACTTTTCCTCAAACTTTTCCTTCTCCATTTCTTTAATAGATTCGACCAACTTCACCAATGATGCATCAACTGTGACAAAATCTTCTACCCATGATACTTTCTCACCAAGCAACTGTTTCCACACAAATTTTGGAAATGATAACAATAAGCTCTCCCTTCCACGCAAGTGCCCACCCATCAACATTCCAAGCCATTCATACTGATCAAAAAATTTACATGATGGGTTGGGAATATAGCCATCACGATAAACATTAGATGAATCATATAGCTGGTTTGGACTGCGAATAAATAAAGGCAATGGCAGCAACGAATCTGCAGAACTAGGACAAAGTTCTTCAGCAAGATCACACAGGGAATCACGAAAGCCACCTCCTTGGTCAATAATACCCTCTGAGATAAACTTGCATTCCCACCACTGTTCATAGCGGTTTGACCAACGAAAATCTAGTGTAACTCCACATCTATCAGGTTTTAATGCTTCATATAGCTGATAAAAAATTGTTCGCTTTCCCTCTGGGTCACTAGCGGGGTTTGCTCGATGTTCTGCAGCTGTATGACGGTTGAGAACAACTTTTGGAACATTTTGGAGGGTAACACATGATTGTGATTCAAGGATAAGCTCATCAATCAATGTAATCCTACGATGCGAGAGTGGAAGTAACTGCCTAATCATTTCAAGACTTGTGTATGAGCCAATGGTAAACTTCCAAATTGGAAAAATGAAAGGAAGGACACTGTCCAACAGAGAAACAAATCTCAATAAACTTCTTGCTCTGTGATATAATAAATCTGCACGGACATGCTCCAACTTAGGGAATCGGATAATCTTGGTCTTATTCTTGAAAGTGTCTGCACTCAAACCTGGTTCTTTCTCATCAGTTGAGACTATTTTGATACCATGGATACGGGTATCAATTCCATCATCTTTACAGTCCTTTATCCATATTTGAATAACAGGATGGTGCTGGGTCATATCTTCAAGTATTAGAACATTACCAGTTTTGTCTGAATCTACAGTGACATCATTCAAGACCTTCAAATTGCCAGTTTCTCCACCTTGTACTTGAAATCTACTTGGCATATAATTATCATCATTACTATTCACATTCACAAACAACTGTTTGATGATTGTCCCAGTCTTCATTTTAAGACGTATCCAATGTTGACCCTGAGATCCATCGGATTCCCAATATGTTACAACATCACCATCTGTCAATGCTGAAATATATTGACTTTGGGATGACACCTCAATTGATTCAACATACTGACTTAGATTACCCAATGTTGCCTCTTTCTGAATTGTAACATATTGACTGATAAAACGAGCCAATTCCTCGTCAGCTTCCAGGCTCCAATTCTGAGGAGGAAACTTTAACTTCTTCATGGCCTCAAGGTCAGCTTGTCCATGCAACTCAACATTTTGAGAAATATTCAGGGAGTAACATGTATCAACTGCACTTTCCCAGTTTGTTAGAACAGGGTTTGCATGTTTTTTCTTCGAGCTCACGGTCACAACATCAACTTCGTCTTTAACTTTGCTATCACGAGATTGAATAAATACCCACCCTGCTGAGTGATTGCTTTCTACATCAAATTTCTTTAAACTCTCAGGAATAAGTCGTAGCCACAGACCTTCATCATTCCAGTATTCCTCGCCACTGGTGGTAAACCTAGTACTTACTTTACAAGGAATTTCACCAATTTTTGTTGACGATGAAGAAGGAGAATCTCTAATTACAAGTGGAATTGTCCTTTCACTTTGAAATTTGTAGTCAACACAATTGGGTACGAAGCACAGAGCGTCTGGTAACTCTTTCCCGTCTCGTATCGACTGTACGCAGTCAAATAAACATCTAATTCGTGCTAGACGCTTTCTAGCATCGTCTTTTGTCATTTTAAACTCAGGTCATAGCTGATTTATATTTTTTGCACCTTCAAAACTTTTAACATATGTAGCTTCCCACTTTATTTCACAGGTAATTTATGATAATTATCCAATCACAATCGGAATTTCGTCGATTTATTTAGATCGGCAACGAGACTTTCCGAATGCTCACGAGTCACGATTAAATTCAACATGGCGGATTTGAGTGCTTATAGAGATCAACGTTTTAAGGTAAAAAATAGTTTTTTAACTCAAATTTTTAGAAAAATCATTAGAATCTTCTTATTTTTTATAATTCGTAGGGTTCAAGGGGTGAACAGGAGGCAAAATTAGAAACTACGTGCACACTTTATGTCGGAAATTTGGCATTTTTCACAACAGAAGAACAAATTTATGAACTGTTTTCAAAAGCAGGAGAAATCAATCGGATAATAATGGGCCTTGATAGGCATAAAAAGACACCATGTGGTTTTTGCTTTGTTGAGTATCCTTGTACTAGCTATTCATCACTTTTTTTTATAACAATTCTGGTTATTTTTGACTCATTCAGATTCTTGGTGATCATTGAAGATGGTAATGCACCAATGCACCATAGAAAGAGAGTCAAACACCAGATTTGCAAACTGTATGCAGTGATACATGTTTATTTCAGTTTGCAAATTGTGAAAAACAGCCACAGCTAACTTTCTAGTCATGTATATTTTTGCCTTTTAAACACAATAAGTTGGTATTTTTACTTTTAACATTGACTCCTGAAGGGAATTCATTTCATGGAAATGGTAATAACATTAGCAGTTGGGTATTTCAAGTTTGATTGTATTAATTAATTGCTTCAATAAACCTCACCCTCTCAACTACCATACTAAAAGTAATAAAACTAGACTAGGTTATTCTTAACAGAATATAAGATATTATGAACGTGAAGATGCCGCAAATGCAACACGATATATCAATGGAACAAGACTTGATGATAGAATCATAAGAACTGACTGGGATGCAGGGTTTGAAGAGGGTAGACAATATGGAAGGGGAAAGTCAGGAGGACAAGTAAGAGGCCTTAAATCTATTTTAAGTTTATAGTTAGACATATTGCTTTAAAGAATATTCCTGTAATAGCAATGAATGTGTAGATGCTGCATATGAAAAATAATTAACCTTGTTAATATCTGATATTATAGATACGTGACGAGTATAGAGATAAAGAAGATCCAGGTCGAGGCGGTAGCAGGGCTTCAATAGAAATTACAACACCATAAGTGAAACACATTCTCAGAAAGAACTGTTGCAAACTGTAATGAATTCGGATTTTCATCTGTACTCCCATTCTCATATTCTGTAAATTTTTTTATGTATAATACATATCATATATGCAATTTTAGTGCAGTATATTAATATGAAGGCTTTATTGATTGTAGCAGTTTAATTTTAGTCCTTTTGCTTTGCTTTTGTGGGTATCCATACTTTAAAGAGTTTATTAACTTGTGCAGTAATCAGTGTTAGTTGTACTTGGATGTTAGTAATGTCTCTGTTAGAAAAAGGTGTCATTGTCTATAGCAACGGTTCAGTTTTTTTCCCAATATCAAGTGGGTAAAGGACCTAAAGACAGTTCACTGGTGAGACCTTTATGCAACAAGGTTACTTCTCTTTCCTCTCTTTCACAATTCCTGTTTTCATTTTTTTGTGAGGATATGCATGTGCCACTCCACTAAGGTACAGTATGAATATACACATTTCCACTCTCCTCCATTTGCATCCTGGTGCATATTGTAACTTTGTAAAACTGGCGACTCTTAAGCCTGCATGGATCAAATGAGGACGCAAGGGAAATTGGGAAGATTAGAAGAAATGTAAAGTCAAAGGCATCATCCTGTCTTTGCTTGTTTCAAGGCGAAATGATGCCCTAGTCATTACAAAAAGTCTAACAAGACTTTGTGACTTTTTCTGAAAATCAAAACGCATGCAAAGTCTAGTTTAAAGTAAATGAAAGTCATGTCAGGTTCTTTGGCCAGGTTTGCAACATAATAGACAAAAATGAACACATGCACAGTATTCCTTTCCCATACAGTCTCTTCTAGGGCGCTTATAGAGTATAAGTGCCCTGGTCCCTTCCTTTATAGTATACGTGTGTACGTACGTTCTCAGTCTGCACCAAAAAAGTTTCTTTTGACAATGAAGCGAACGCACTGCAACATAACATTTCTTTCATGGCGAATATCTGACGCTAACAGCTGAAAATGGAAACATGGATTCATTTAATTAGACGCATTACCATTACCCAGGCCAGAGTAATCACTATTTGACACCATCTTGGTTGATGTTTTAAAACGTACACAAATACACTTTTCTATAGTTGCTTTATTTGCTGATACTACTTAGGATGTACACAGAAAGCGCGAATCAAATGAGGAAATCATATTTTCATACCATTTCCAAAATTGTTGGCCTCGCACGGTTTGGACCTGTTTTATTCTATAATAGAAAAATTAATGTTAATAAAAAAATTCATTTTAACAAATTTTAACGTTAATCTGCATGTGTGTCAATATTTTTAATGTTTACCACCAACTTATCGAAGTTGGAAGGTTGCATTTGCTGGCTCGTGTACGATGCCGTATTGTACCTCTTTACGTTTCTTTTTTCGTCTGTCTTGATTTTCCTTTCTATCAGTAATCTTATTAACATTCCCCATTAACTTTCGTTTTTTACTTTCAAATTTTGCACAGTGTTTGGATGGCAAAGGTTTTTCGGCAATGGTCGCTAAAAAAACCCAACAAATCTAGTATAAACCTCATGCATTAGCACTAAACGAGCTCAGAAATCTAATGTATTGTGGGCCATTTATGTTGAAGCTGATGAGCTTGCCTCAAGTTATAACTTGTGGATTAAGATTACATTATCAATGTTTCTGTGATCAGCAAGAGTTTTGCAGTAAATTCAATGGAAAAATTGGTAAGTTTTTTACAGAATCTGTACCAAATATTAGAATGAAATAACGCAGTGGTAAATAGTGTAATATTTGCCTTACATATTTTCAACAAATCCTTTAAAACTTTTCAGTTCAAAAATTCCAACTGTGATCACAGAAACGTTGACAGTGTAAACTAGGCATAAGAGTTCAGACGTGCCTTTGTTTGTAAATGACGAGAGTTTACTGGGAGTCAAAGGTCCAGCATTCTGGCGACTCGCAAAAAACTCATGACTGTTTACAATTTACAAACCTGTTTGTTTCACACTGTTACCATCATTTTCGTTTTCATCACTCGAACTTGATGCGTAAGAAGCAGCGAGTGAACTGAGATTCAATAACCTATCTTGTTTTTCATTACACCCACCTGCAAATTAAGAATCATGGTGATGTGACTCAAAATTGTGACTAACCGATATTTTTTCGATGGTTATTCTAGAATGGATAATTCTTCCACAACATCTAACCTAACGAATACATCAGCACAATTTAAATATGCCAATAATACACGAACTTACTGCTTGAATCAGGCAAATTTCCATTCTGGAATGTGCACTTCTCGTTTTGTTCCGCAAACGTTGGTAAATCTTTGTTTGGTAACTTGTTAGTTGGTAATTCTGTCGATGGAACATCACTGTTTCGCTTTTGGTGAGCATTTCTCCTCTGCTGTTTCCAACCCTGTTTTCTGTTGTACCTAATGTGCAGTAACAGTCAAAGAATTCATCCAAAATTATTTGGAATATAGTCCACAATTAAACTGCAACTGACCATGAAAGTGTCAAAGTTAGTCAAACTTAATTGAAAGTGAATATATCTGAGAAATACTCCATGATAAAGTTCAGGGTTGAATAGTGCTTACAACATGCAGGTATAATGGCCCCAAAATTGTAAAGATTCTAAAGAAGAGATACAAATTGATTCCATGCACTTTATATCCAACTATATAAGTCTATATTTAGTGACCATGGATCAATTCCAATAATTTATTAATACCTAAATCCTTTAGTTCTAACTGTATGACCACTTTTTACTCTATCTTGTTGTTCAGCTTCTTTTCTTGCCATATTTGTAACTGTGGGGTAATTCCTACATCAGGGATTAAAAATCCCAGGTTTGAAGATATTGCAGTATCATATTAAATAAGCAGTTGAAGGATAAATGCAAATTGAGTAATGTAGGTGTGTATCAGGTTTTGGTAATATTATACTGCACCTTCTTCTCTCTTCCCTCCATTTAAAAATTTGTTCTGGCGTGTTTAAGATGATTTTCATCTTCCCCTCTCGGTGACACTATTTTAAACAGACAAATAAGGAAATTTAACATGTATTAAACTTCAAGACATGATTTGGTTGCCCTGCATCATTGCAGGTTCATTTTCATGCAGTCATTAATTAATATATAGTCCTGATATATATTCCAGTCTCATTACATAACAATGCAATACAAGGTCAGGAAAACCTCTTCTGTATGAACAACACTAAAAAAATTTTATATTCAAATTTCATGTCTTTCAAACAAGTGATTACTGAAATTTCTCTTTCTAATGTTATTAAGTGAATTATGTACACATATACATATGTATAACTTGGTGGTGTAAAATGAACTACTGTCAGTTAGGTAATAAAGTACAGTACACCAGGAGAAGAAAATGAGTGTTAAAATCAAACTGTGTAGTTCACTGAACCTGTTTACATCACTATACCTGTATCTCATGTAACTTTAAACTTTGTCGTGATGCAATGAAAGAACAGTTTGGAAACTCACACTGAAAAAGGAAATTTATGTGATTGTTGGGTTTCCTTTCTAACCTCACAAGTAAGTTTTTTTTATATAGAAGGAAATAAACTGCTTGACCAGAGGGCATTAATTGGAATGGTGCTGTAATACTAATAGTAAAGAGTTCTATAAATGGCAACCAAACATCTGCTTTTCATAATGATGTTACATGCAGGATGTAAATAATGTCAGACAAAGTTTGAGGGTTTCCCAAAAACTAGTAGCAATCCAATCAAACTTTGTAACATGAATTTCTGTGCTTGATGTCATTAAGAAAAAGGTTTATATAAAATGCAATATATGGGACTACAAAGATCAATTCCTAAGAATAATTAATGGCAAACCTTCACATGAGCCTTTGAATGTGCCCTAAGACTGTTTTGATCTTGAAACAATTTCTTACATGGTACACATTGAAAGGAAGAGTTGGGGGACAACATATTTTGTTTACCCTAAAAAAAAACATTATTTATACATTATTAAATTTATATATTTATTATATTATATATTATAATTCTCAGTTAGTTCTTTTCATATATATATATATGAAAAGAACTAACTGAGAGTCTCTCTTTCACTTCCCCCCCCCCCCCTCCAACAACGTGATCCTTCCAGCATTCCTGGCATTTGACTTGGGGAAGATTTAACTGGACACCCCTGGTCTGTACCTCACTGTCACTGACCTGCCCCTCACAAACATCCTTAATCCTATGTCTCCAACTCATGACAATGAAACCTTTGTTGCCAAGGGTTGGAGACATAACGGCGTTTGCGAGGCAAGCTAGCGCCTCAATCCCTTCGTAAAAAAACAGGGGGTAAAAACACCAAAGAAAACTTGCAAAAAATTCATCCACAGTGACAGTGTCTGTAAATTTACTAAATTATCATAACATGAAACTTATTTATAATAGAAATAATTATTCCTTCATGATCTCAAAGACCAGAGTACGATACCCTGCCAGTACCTGATTCTGACTACTTTCATTGTGGTTGACATCCAGATACTGCTGAACTGCCTTGGGTAATGGTTGACATGGTTGCTGAAAATTAAATCCATTTAAAACCATCGGTGGTGTTGTTCCAATATTAAACGAACGTGATATTTGTGGAGGTATGATGGAACTATGAAACGGTCTAATACCATTTGCAGATAATAGACCGAAATTAGGCAAGGCATTCATCGCTCAGTCGAATAAAAAATTGAAGGTATGGTTTTCGTACTATTTTTTATACGACGTCTCCTCGTGGACATGCGAGCCTACGATTCTCCTTGGCAACTTGGTGTAAGAGCCAATGACATGGTGTAAGAGCCAATGATATTCAGCTCCGGGTTCGTGGCTCCGGGTTCGCGAAAACGGAGCTGGAGTGGTTAGTTTTCATACAAACCGATCTGGCCGCTTCGCTTTTAATGCAAATCGAAAAATTTAAAAAGCCCATTTTTCATAAAAGGCCATGTTCATCAAAGACATAAGAAATTTATTTAAATTAGGGCGACAGGCCGGACAGAGTGAATGATATGCGTGTGGTAATAATGAACTGATTATTGATGGATACTTTTTAAAACCTTTGTATGGCATTTCCGTCGTTAGACGATATCATGTCAGTATTTTCGCAATATTAAGTGTGATCAGATTATTTGGTAAACAGTATTCACGCCCTTGGTACATGCCTGTACTGGTTACTCATGATCGTTACAGTTGCTTCTGATTCACTTAATATCCTACCAAAAATAGTACAGTGAACAAAAATTATACCAGTGGAAGAAAGATAGCATGAAATATCAGGCTAAGGGTTACTCCCACCTACCATGAAAATTGGTAAACCAGGTTGCAATAGAAACGGAGTAAAAAAGGAAGAAAAAGCCAAAAGGGACGTGCTTGTGTGGAAATAGATCCGGCGTTAATTCATCATTTATTGATCGACATTTGTATTAGTATTACAATTGCAAACAATAATAGTAACAAATCGACACACAACGAAAGTGCACTTTAATATAATTTCTTTTCCCGGACTATAGCTGACTTTTCGTCTATTGAATTTTTGTTCTAGGCCGAGTTTATCATTGCTATCGCTTTTTTGTCTGCTCAAAAATTTTCCTTTATCTGATTACAGTTCATGTATTCTGATCTTTCGTATACCACGGCACTCGCTACATTACAAGCACGAATCAGTTTTGCCTTACTCGCAATTGCATGGTGAACGACTACCCTCAGATTTTCACAGTGTCAAATCGTAACATGCATGAATCAGGATAATGATGTTTTCATTCCCTCTTTGATTTCGTCATGGCGTGTTAATGATTTAACGGAGTTGCCCCTTCAGTCCGTAGACTTTAAATTTCACCCAGTCTGAAGGGATCCACTCCTCGTCAGGAGAGCGCAGAATAGTACGTTTGTTTGTAGACATATATTCCAGGTTTGTTTGGCCAATAGCTTTGTTCAAAATCTCCTGTTCCTTCAACAGATTTTTTCTGCCATTCATTTTACACAACTTGATGTACTCAGTGTCTGCAGGTTTAATTCCGTGGCATTTCTTTGCCACCCTACCAGAAGGCAAAATATCGTTAAAATCTTCGTATTTAAGATCAGCTTCACCACGGTTAAGACAAGGTACATTTGATATGGGAATTTTATCGTTCTTGTAGTCGTCTTTGCCACTGACAGACGCACTTGCACCGGAAAGGAAATCAATTTGTGAGATGGGTGGAAGGGTAGTAAACTTGTATGGTTTCCTTGGCATTTCTCCAGAGAATGGTCTCAGAGGATTGCGTGAAGTCACTCCTGGAAATGTTTTAGCTTTACGAGGAGGAGTTGGTTCTTTTCCCTGCTTGTCAGTCAGACAATCTATATTCGAAATTGGAGGAATTACTGTAGCAGAAGGAAATTCTTGTGTTCCCATCAGTAAGTCAGGTCGCCGCGGCTTCTCAAACATTCGTTTCACCATGTTTACTAACTTCAGAAGATGTTTGCCAACATTTCTTTGAAGTAATGTAACGAGGATCTTTTAAGTCTGATATATCGACTGTTACCAAGGGTTACGATGTCGCATCATTAATTCTATAGTAGATTTGGTGTTCCACCTGCTGTAGCAACATGACTGGTTCAAGTAAAATAAATATAATTAATAAACAAAGAAATTTCTCCACATAGCTACGTGTGTATAAACTTGACAACTTGATAAAGTCTGCGTGTATATTTGTTGAATATTAGATAAATAACCCAGTTCAGTTCTTGCTCCATTAGAGACAACAGACTTATGTGAGTTAGAATTACACAGTGCATCATTATCCAATTTAATTTTAAGCCTAGCTGCAATTAAAACCAGCTGCCTGACATAATTACTGCGCAATTAAAATACTGAGCCCAATGCAAAATAACAACGAAAGAGAGAGTTTATTTCATTGTATTCGTCTCTGCATAAAGAGAAATGTCAACAGCATACAAAATGACATGTTCAAAAAACATGAAAATTTGTTACGTGATGAGAGTAAATTTAAACTTAAGAGTGGTCATTGAACTTTTTTTTAGTAGAGATTGAGCCTAAAAATTGCATCATCAGGAAAATGAAAAACATCATCGTGCATCGCAGAAATTGAGTATTTTAGAGCGACTGAGTTTTTTCCAAATATTGAGGCTTTAGATTGTGTAACGACGTTTTTATTTATAAATGCATGGTTAAAAATTGTTTTTCAGATTGATATCATTCATTTTGTTTTTGTCTCTGACACCCGATCCCGAGAACAAGTTTCACAGTTGTAAAATTATTAGAGATCGATCGCTCAAAAAATAAAATTTAATTTGGTGAGGAAAATACACTGAGCATGACCAAATTTAAAGACGTTAATAGTTCAAATTATTCAGTAACAGTTCAATAACTAAAAACATTAATAAACCTCTCCGTATATATACTTTTCACGAAAACAAGCTGCCATGCCGAGATTATCAATAGATTGTCAGAAAAGTGACGTCAACGGAAAAATATATTTCACGAATCTAAATACTTTTTGTATTCTATTATATATAGACACCTGCGTGTATACGAAATTCATCCAGGGGAAGTTGGAAATGACGTACTGTCTTTTCAGTTAATGGATGAAAATGTTAAGTCCCTGCATCAGCGAGTCACTCACAAGAAAGTGTAACTGAATTTTCAATTAAACACAGACGTGCTAAACCTCACAATTTATAACGTTTTTTCAAATTGAAATGAGATGAACAGATCTTTAAAAGTTCACGGTCATTGAGGAGCCTTACGCAATCTTAATATCTAATGACGTCCGCTGGGCTTGCTTTCGTATTGCCACTCATTATACAAAAGGATAACGGAATTGCGAACTAAAACGGCTAAAAATAGTCTAAATTATATTGGCTGTGTGTCTCAACGGATGCATGTTTTTCGTGCATATATTATTTCGCAAAGGACAGTACAACTAGCACACATTACTAGCAATATATTGCAGATAAAAAGGTTTGCTGCTATGTATAGAGTCTACGTAATGACGTAGTTTTCTGATTGGTCAATGCGGTCAGTTGGCCAATCATGAACACACTATGTCACAGTCTAAACTTTTTGTCATGCATGCATGGTGATTGAATCACTATCGATGACGCAAGCTAAACGCTACAGGGGTTAAATTGTTTATTTGACCTTAGAGGTCCATTCAACAACAGTTTTCTTTGAATATTATAGGTGTTACTTGTTAGTACAACCCTTCTCGTTTTGGGTCTACATCTTTCCTTAACTTTATGTGGCACCAGTGTAGCACATACTCTCTACTTTTAATTCGATGAACACATGAATAGATAATTAAGAATTACTCCACAGTAAATAGAATTCAAGAGTAATTAGAGTATCAATTAGTACTTCAAGTATCATGTATGAACTATGTGGTGCTACTTGTCATTGTTGTAGTACGTCAAACGACAAACGCAATTGGTATATATTGTCTCAAAAGCGACGAGACGTGCGTGCAAGAACAAATATGTCATAAGACATAAAGTTATCACTTAATTAAGCTGGGCTTCCCAGAGTTTAAGTTTTCAATTGACCTTATCTTTTCTCACGCCGACCTGACCTTCAAAAGACTCTGAAGACGATTCGTGACAGGTTAAATTGGCAAGTCCATAAAAGGTGAACCAATAATATGTGTATTCAGTTGTTTGCACAACGATAATCTATTCACAATAAAAACGTGATCACTTTGAATGTGAACGTGCACGCTGTCAATACTAATTACTGTAATTAAATACCAGATATTGCATATATATGCCTCTGTAAATCACGTTCTTACTTAAAATTGCTTTCCATCACGCTATATGAAATTCATTCTCACATTGATGAATTCTAATAGAGATGTCAAGATACTTCAGTCCTGGATTAGGACGGATATTGCTATTTTTCATATTTTTCCCCTCACGTTGGCTTGTTCATTGAACCGGGTTGCCAGAGCATTTGAATATTTAAATATTCATCACTTTTGTTCCCCAAAATCCTAGAAAAGTTTTGTAGAAAATACCAAGAGCACTGGTATATAACAAAACACCGAAAGGGCCCCATATAACTTGGAATCCTCCGGGAGAAAGTTATACAACACGATCCATCCCAAAAAGTTTGGGGGGGGGGGGGTTGGGGTGGTTGTAAAGACCAAAAATTTCCGAAAGAAAACAGAATTTTTCGAATAATTCTTTTCGCATAATTAATATGAAGAATAACAAGGTGCTATAAGTATAAGGCTTGGTCTATAAAGGCATGTTTACAAAAAGGGTCGATAAAACGGTTTTTCCGAATATGTCAATTCCACAAAACTGGTTGGGGGGGGGGTAGCTATCCCCAATACCCCTCATCGCTACGGCCCTCCATCTGAATAATAAGGGACAAACGCCAATATTCTCCAACCGCTTCCTCAAAATATTCATCATTTAAACCAAATTTGCCATATATATATGTTTTATGAAGAAAAATCTTAGTATACAGAGTCAGAGAAAACTATGTAGCGTGGCAATGCGTTTCATTTTTGTTGCCGGCTCGCTATAGATCTGTTTTGTTGTTTTGTGTCAGCACTTTACATGCAGGTATATCAGTCAAATTATAAATGGCATTTGTCGGCTACAAACTATTCAATGTTTTTATTACACTTTTCATCAACCCACTGCATTTACTGTCGCCTCCGCATGCACGTATATATATATATGTAATAAGATGAATTATGAGAAAAACATTTAAATGTTATGATGCTATCGCGAGACGGTCATTCAGCTCATTAATGCATGAAGTAGCTATAAAAATATTTTAATTTTGCTCCGTTTGCATTCCTTACACCATTCCAAACATGCTCCAACTCAAGAATGAATGTTTCAAAAATAGTTGCACGTATAATATCATCTCCAGTAAAACAAGTTACGAACGAGTTACTTAACCTATTTCAAACCACATCAGTAATAAATAAATTACGAATACATGTTAGCCAAGACATCAATCATATCAACGTTCTGCATGCATAGGTAATTTAGACTGCATGATACAATGGCGATGGAAACATTTACTTGCGCTGGTGTTTTTCTAAGCACTGACTGACCCAAAGAATTTCGGCACAAAGTACTTAAAAATAAGAAAGATAAAATAAGATAGATAAAATAAGATAAAATAAGAACGCGTATGTATGTGCATGTATATGCAGTATGTACGTGTGTATGCAGTATGGGCATACGATCTTTTCGGGATCCACTTGACTTTTAACGTATATATGGAATTTAGTTCGTCAATTCATGAAACGGCAATGGCAATGCATTTTACTTGATTGATTTGTTAATTGCATGTAATGATTGATAAAAACATGCATGCAGCATGCTTCGGCCTTCGGGTAATTTGCTTGTATAATACGTCTCACGTCGGGGTTTCCTGGGTAATTTTCACGTCTGCTATATAGCTTCACTATATAAATATGCTTCAACACATTTTATAAATAACAGGTCACAGCAGTCGTGATTTATCTCGACTATGCTTATTTTAGGATAATTGAAGTTTCGTACGTGACGTTTCATACTGAACAGGCAATTACTAGGCTTTTTCAATGTTTTTTTTTTATTTCTTGGCCACTATTCTCCCTGCCGTTTTTGTCATTCAAGGTAATTCCCGCAAGAAGAATCGCACTCGAGTCGTGTTAGCTCCAGCTAATAGGGGTGACAGAACCATGACAGTCATTTGCAATTTTAAAAGTATATTATTATACGGTTGTAAAAATATTTAAATTTTAAAACCATGAAAACCTTGCAAATACGCACTTGGTCTACCAATTTAGTCACATCCACTGTGAAGTCACACTGAACCCAATTTTCATCATTCGTCGAACTTCAAAAAGAAGTAGTTTGTGTACCATCCGCATTTCATTGATATTCAATACTCAATCAGCAGTTATGACTTATGAAAAGAATTCAATTTTCACAAGATATTTCAACTCATACCTGCATGTGTTTTTGCGGTATTTAAACGAAATTTGTACGAATTTGTACGAAAGCGTGTCGTTCGTAAGCGGCTGAAAAACTGACATAGCTATACATGTACATTTATACTGATATCATTTTTGACATTGCTCCTACACCATTATTCGCCGGTTGTGACAGATTGGTTTCAGGTGAGTTCTATCAATCATTGAAAAAGTTTTTTAAAGGTGTATAGGATACGTTTTGAATGAGTTTATGACCCCATCATGTCGTCATGCTGGAGATACCGGGTGTACTTCAATATCATAACGTTTACATCTAAAATGACGACATGTTGCTGTGGGCAAACGTACCATATGTTAGAGGTCATAAATTTCCTGTGACGTTGGCTATATACCCGGCAACTCGGCAAGCTAGGTTCTTTGTAAACAATGACCATTATTTTGGCATTATCTATATAAGGGGAAAACCAATGAAACTAATGTGATGTGGTTTTTAAAACACTTTGGAGTAGCAAGTAAAAAGGACATAGTTTTGTAATCTCACATACGTGAGAATGAAATTATCAATACGTGATTCTTGTAAATACTAGTCACTATAGTTATGATTTTCTTTCGATAATTATCATTCGTAGAATGCGTTCAAATAAATCTCGAATTTTCCATACACCCACGTGTCATTCTCTTACTTGGTATCATACATCTAGCTATCTATACGTAGGCTAGAGTGGTATATTCAATGGGGACCGTGTTATCAATTCCTGTATCCATGACTCTTGTTTAGTCGTTCTTTATAGCCAATATTTAGAATTGCGATTTTCGTTTTGTTAATGTGTTTGCCAACAGTTTGCGCATATTATACATCAGAGATTTTGGATTTAATTCTGAAAATCTATCATCTCGTTTGGCGGGAAGGCAGGTCAGGTATGAAACCGCAAAGTATCGAAACGCGGTGTAAATTGAGCTCATATTTGAGGGCGAGATTCACTAACCGGATATTGAGTGTCAAATCATAACGAAACAACATGCATCATGTTTTATTAACCACAAAAGTCGGCTCGAATAATGCCACGACACGACTGAGCTTCACCATGATTCCACAAATTTATTGGGACAATTATTTACTTAATCTAAAGCTGAATGTTTTTGAACGCAGACATCTAAAACGATCAATTTCTTTGTCTCAGACCAGACTGGCTTGAGCCATAATAGACAATTTGCGTGACGTCAATAGTGGGTGTTATCATGCAAAAACATTACAGGTCCCGATCAATGGTTTAGCTCAGGCATTTGATTGGCTGCTAGACTCATTGTTGATTGTTTTTTAAAGAGCGTTTGACTTCCTCTGGTAAACCAAACAATATACGTTAGCATAAAAGGTCACTCTCGTCATCACACTGATCAGTTGTGCTTAGTTGTGATTGAGAGAGTTGAAAGGCTGAAAGTAAGAGACTAGAGAAAAATCGTATCATAAGAAGCTAAGAATGAAACATAATTTTATGAACACTGACACAGAAATGAGCCAAGGAAAGACTGGAACATTGTATCTTAGAAGCGACGAGCGAGTTGGAAGACTGCAACGACTTACAGTGACAGTGTATCGTAACACTCCGAGCCCGTTTGCTGTTTTCACTCGCGACGGCAGAGCGAAGGTACTGGCTGGGAAAAATGCTGCATACCTTGCACTGGGTGACTGTGAAGTACAAGCCTTAGACGAAAAAGCTTTCACGTTTTGTTCGAAGAAAGAGCGAATTGGGAAGGGGCCATCATATTTGACATTTGAAGCTAATTCAAAAGAGGAGAGAGACAGTTGGTTAGATTTGTTTAAATGTCCCGACGTGAAATTAAACAAGACGGCACGCTGTTACAGTTTCCTACCAACAATTGAAGAATACGAGGACAACGAGGAGCCGAGTCGTAGAATGAGCCATGGGAAAGCTAACCTCATTTCAGTGTGAGAACATTATCAGAACTCGCTATGACTTAATGTTGATCTAAGTGCGCCTAATATTTAATCAGTCTATATGCATGCATGGGGTCTGACCACGAAATACCCATGCAACAGCATCAAAGCCATAGCACTAAAACAGGTCGAAGCTGCAGCGGATGTCAGGTCGTGATTGAATCTTTTACGTGGACATCGCAAGAGTATCTATCGCTCAGAACATGTTCGTTTTGTATTTAGAACAATGCCATGTCATGTTACATTTTAGTATAACATCATGCATAAATTTACACTTCAATATTGAACATGCACAGCGGACTTAAACGCGAATGCTAAGTCATTTTTGGCATAAAATGAAATGAAATGAAAAATGAAATAGAAGAAATGTTGTAAATATGTAAATACGGAATATAATATATCAGCTCTAGACAATTTGCTGGAAATTCATATTTATAATTGTAATATAAATTTAATCCTGGTAATAAACGATAATTTAAATAGAGATGTGCGTGTGGCTTTTAGTTTCAGAGTTTAGATGTAAAGTTTTCCCCGAATTGTTTATGTTATGAACTAAATTCATGCGATGATTTGTGGTCGCTACGGAATTGTTGGGTGGGTAATATAATATCCGGTTTAAGACTTTCGTCTTCCTGTGTATGCACGAAGCATTTCTAAACCCTCGGAATTCTTTATGACCTCTAATGACTCTCCTGGTTACCAAATACTAGTTTACCACAAACTTCATCTTGTGTCACGAATTTCTGTCTTCTTAATAGTTATAAGTTTCCATTCAAAGAGACATGCAAAGACGTCAGATCAACATGCCTAAAATATTATTCCTTGAATAATAACACAAGGGAATGCACGTACTTTAGTCATAAGAAAGAGTCTTTCAGTTATACAATATCTTTATGCATGTAACTGTAACTTGATACCAGCGCGCTGTCTAACATAATTCATACAGCGAGGAATCGCCATTGTGTCTGTTAATTCTTCCTATATTATATATATACTTTATACCATGGACAGTAGCATATACCTTTGCTTTGTAAGCACAGATATATGGCATTATTGTTTCTTTTAGTTCGTCTTTTATTACACTGAATACTTACTAAGGTGTCAATGTTGTAAAGAATAACAACACATGCAATTTAATCAGCATGCATGCAGTAGCTAGTTTTCATTCATGAGGTCGAGGAGAACAATTGTATAGATACAACTAATCGTTTTACAGAGTGTATGAAAAAAGTAATTCAACTTCTTAGTGTTTTTGTGCGTCAATTTCTTGCTCAACGACATTAATTCTTCTCATAGCCATAGCGTTCGCAAAAGATATATTGCTCAACAGCTAGACTCTATCGTTAATGTAATATTTTACGAGCGTGTTGAAAGTATATTGATTATTGTCTTTTTTTATATACGTACTTTTTTATTCTCAATTTACACAAAGCCATAGAGGAAGAGGAAGTTTAATTTATCACGAATTTGCATCTGCTCTGAACACAAAGACAAACTCAAATAATCGTCTCCGTCCTATACCCATGTCAAAATTTATTTTTGTAAACGTTCGCCCTCTTACGCCGGGTGAAGGAATATTCATTGACTGCCGTAGACATACAGAGTGACACACTATAATCGTCTCATTTGCAACACATCGTGACTGGGTACATGCACACGCGATCCTATCTCAATCAGATACTGCCAATTGCCGTAAACTGAATGCATGAACACATGAAAGTTTGGAAAGTTTGTCGTAAAACGTCGCTTATGACCTCAAAACAGATAATTGCCTGTAAAATAACAAGACACTTAGATAAAGACTTTAATTTTCAGACGTATTCCAGCTCATACTAGTACTCGTGCACCACCAACACGGTCCAATAGCGCTCTATACGTATAGGTCGTTCATATATAATAGCTACTGAATTTGACTGAATGACTTAATCTTTTTATTATTTTGCCTTTTTTAAGTCATTCTAACGTTGATCAGACGCGTAGCTGCAGCAGGGAATAAAGCTTATAGTTGTTTGAAGTTGCATTTGAAATTTCAGTGTTCGGACAAATAGGAAACATGCAGAAACTGATGCAGATCTTCGTTGGGACAGAAATTTATCGTTTCTTCATTTATCCTGTGATTTATCGTTTCTTCAAAATACCACATGCAATCACCGCACTGCAGTCATGATCAGCCTATACAGATTGGATAGAGATCACATGACTTACGAAGCTTGACATTTTTATACGTCACATCAACCAATGGCATTAAAGACTATATTTAGATGGAGTATAAAACACAACGCATGCGATACACCCACATAAGTAATAACTCAGTACACTGACTCGGATGCTTCCCAGGCGTTCGTGTCTCAGCGTGTGGGAAACATCTACCTATGCATTGTCGTTCATAGCAACGACATCATAGATCGGAAATTATTACCATTAATTCAACGACGGTATATAGTCACCGTCTAATTAAAAGGTCTGTAAAGGAACTGTTTTCGAAAGAGTAGGAAGAGTTGAAACTTTCGGTATGTGTCACCCACAGGGATTGGATCTCACCATATTTGATGAAGATAATGCCGCCGGTATGTGCAGTAGTTTTTAAATTCCTGATTCGTTTTATTTATAGAATGCGGACAAAAATGAAAGCATCAGGCGATTAGCTTACTTCTATTATCTACAATATATCATACTTAGGACGTGTACAACTTGTTAAAGACTTGTAAGTCGGATATATAGGACTTAAAAACCATATTATAGGCTATATGAAAAACTATTTAGTTGCTTTAAAATGTTTCCAGAAGTTAAAATTTACTAAACTATTGGTGCGAGAATTTGCTGTAATTGCAGGTAGGTGAATATGACTGCCATTAGAAAAGGTGTGAAAGGATATTGAAAACGGAAATCACTCAAATTGTTATATAATATATAAATTTTTAGAATATTAAGTATATTTTACGCCTTTCGTTTGTGTGCAATTTCCCATATTCGGGCATAGTAATAACGTTCTAATAGTTCCTGGGAGAAACAGATTATATAATGCTTAAACTCGCATTTCAGAGCTGTATAGAATAATCACCGGAAATAGCTAGTTGATTTTTAGTCGCTATTTGAACCTATTAGTGAAGAGAGTACGGAGAGTCGACAAAGGTCTCTATGTCTCGAAGGTTCTAAAACATACCATTTTTCTCATTTTCTCATCCTTTGTCGGCTTTGATGAGATTTGATATCTACTGCAGTCTAGTGTTCAAATCCGCTTGTTCTGTATAATTTCTAAAGAAAATGTGAAAGAATTATTTGTATAGTCAGGAAACAAAGATTACAGTTTTTTGTTAACTACCGTTATAGTATTCAATATTTTTAAGTACTTGTATCATCATTGCTGAGTATAAGCCGATTAATATATCTTACTGCGTTCCTGCCACTTCTTATAGAAAACTATGCATACTATGAGTCACGCAGACTGCAGAGCTTTTTCTATTTGGAAACCATAATTTAATTAAAAAAAAACTTTCTGGGAAACATATGGAAAACCAATAAATTCAGAAATTAGTGATATATGATCAGGTTCGTATCGGTAACTTTGACGAAGGTCTGGGTCAACAGAGGCTGTCCAAGGGCACAAGTATATAGAACAGAAAATCAGTATCATAACAGTTTCATGGAATGCTTGCCCGTGTAGTGCAACTGTAGAGTGTACAACTAGCACAAAACCACCCTACTTAATATATGAGCAATTTCGTATAAACAATAGCAACCATTACTTATCTTATTTATATTCATTAACTGCTACATCGCGTGTATGAAAATCTGAAAAAAAATTCAAAAGAAACCTTTGCTAGTGACAAGAGTTTTAGATACAAAATGTATATTTACGTTTAAAATAAATACATTTATCTTTGTAACAATATGAACATGCAGAATAATCCATTCCAGTAATTACATTACAGAACTGAACCGTGATTTTAATGAACTTCCCAATATGGGAGGTACAATTTTCTAACATCTCCGTTGATTGCAAAATACATGGATGTATCGGTTAGCTTTAGGAATGAACTTATTGTCTTGTAATTGTATAACTTTTGCTCATAATATTATCTCTTTATTAGGTCCTCACAAACACTAGACCTAAAGATCTCAAGATATGCACTGCAATTAATAATCTCAGCTCAAGATGCATTGTAAACACAAATCCTTACATTCTTTATTTCTTGTGCAATAAAATAATGGATAATTGGATATAAAATGTATGCTAATATGTACAGAAGACTAGGTCTATATATAATTCTATACCAAATTCTTACATCTTGTGCTATACATGCGTCCTTGAGAGGAACATTTGTGCGTAGCAACCATGCAAAGTTTTCTAGAAGTAACTTGAACCTACACGAGGAAGAGTTAATAGCATTTTGTCGAGGTTGTTTGTCGAGGCGAGGTCAATCGACGACAGATATTGTAATAATAACAATTAGTGAATCAGATCCTCTTTTCTCCGCAGAGACGTCATGTTGGACTGGAATATACGGCGATCGCTAAGCTAGGAAACTTCTAGCGTGTCATTCTAGTAATTTTAGTGCGTCGATCAGTAATCAACCAAACCATTTAATCCAAGACCAATTCGAATTTGTCTATTTACTGAGCATGAGATTATTACTGAGGGGTCATGCGCATAGGTTGCCAGCGCGTCTGTGCCTCGTAATTTAAAAGAACGAGGGCCTCTGCGAAGGAGAGGGATCACATGCTGAAATGAAGCTCCTCGTGTTAATTCAGAAAACAGTTGGTCTGTCATGATAGAAAAGTTATAACATTCTATTATATCCTTAGTTTCCTGCCTCATAATTACTTTTAACAAGATGCAAGCAGTATGCTCCAGGATTTGACTATAATACGAGTTTAACATCCCATATATATCCTTGAAAAGAGACTTGCTGACAGCGCAATATATATCTCTGACAAGCTACGCGGCCTATTGCGTAATTCCGTACGTAGCACAGTACACGGCGTCTGTGTAGCAGTTCATACATGCATATGTAGATCCGTGGACTAGACTTTCCAAATAAGTAAATGGTTGGTACTGTCTTCACGTCCAGCAGATTCATTCGCAGTAGATTTAAAGTCTTCATAACCATCTCCTCCACTAATAATAAAGATATTTTCACTGGGAAAGGGAAGATTAGCTTTCTCAATATTGAGCTGCGAACGACGAGGTGATCTGTTCGCAGATTGACCACTGCTTGACTCATCTTTTTCCTCGGGCTTGTCTATTTCGACAGCGGTTAAAAAGCGCACATGTCCAGTGTGTCCCTGGCTTGAGGCGGAGACGTCAAGAGGGGCCTGGACCGAGGTTGCATTTGGTGCAATGATTGGTAACGGCAATGTTAGTACAACTCCAGCACTCGTACCAATCCAGAGCAAGTCTTTACATGTGAGTAATGCTGTGACACGTAAGCACGCGGCTTTGTGCTGCTTAATTATAGCGTCAGAACCTACAGAAAGAGAGAATACTTTAAATCAATAACTTCTACAAATGATATTGAGCTTAGGACTAAATAAGCGAGTGTAAACGCGAACAAGAAAACACAAGAGTGATACAAGAGTGACCTCACGTCTTCTGATCCATTATAATAATGATTAGGTAAACAATTATCGCTATAATATAGTGAAGACAAACGCCATGGGCAAGAAACACTGCATAGACAGTATTTCACCAGTCTTTCCAATCAGATACGCTATCACTAGTTTTGTCGTGCATACAGCCTGGCTTTTGATAATCAAAGAAGCAAGGCGATTGGCTCGCGATTTAAGAGAACGAGGCTTCCACGCGGCTTAGCGAAGCAAATACTACCTGTATTCTATTTACCTGCAAGCATTTTATGAACTGCATCCTTCGTATCAACATCAGCCAAATGTTCAAATGTGCTAGCGTGGTACAGGCGAATGACAGATAAACTTTGTACAGAGATCCAAACTCCCATACCGGAACTTGCCATGGCATGAAGTGAACGACTGCTGTCAACACTCGCATTGAACTTTGTCTGCAAAGAAATAATGTTCACGGTCTTGTTTTAGTTACTGGTTGGTCATCCCAGCATAACCCGTATGGCAACAAAGTATCTTTGACAAAAGTCAAAAATAAAATTTAAAATTTAATTCATACACTTGTAATTTTTGCGCAGTTTCCCTCTTGATTTTCTACTTTTGACAGATGCAACCGAGTGTGTAGTTATGAAGACTACACGTGTAAGTGCCTGAGTGAGAGGCAGTGCCAGTGGTATTTGAAAATCCGTAACTTATCCACTCGATCACATGTCTCGAAAGAAGAAAATCGCTCGCATAAGTTGGCCTTTACTGGCTTTACACATACCTCTATTTCTAAGGTCGTGGTATTAACAATGACCACTTGGTTATTACAGCCAACCCAGAGTCGACCTAATACCGCAGTCATACAAGTAATACGGGCGTTGCTTGATATCGTGATGTTTCTTGGTGTGTTAATTTCCCAAGTATAATCTATTAAACAACAAATTTGTATTGGTTACAGGCACGTAGCTACGTGCTTCAACCAGTCCCCACGTATACAACAAAATTGGTCAAACAGTCCAGAACTTCCCTTCTTGGGAATGAGAACTACTTATTTATAAAAAGAACCGCACATTGCTAGCCTTGATTGTAAGTTTTGTGAACACCCAAGTAAATTCAACCACATCTATACAATACAGTCTTGAAAATAGGATGCAAGCTATTTTATCCTTGCAAGCTTGTTCCATTCCCTTATTAGTTATGAGAAAGAGAAATATTCTGCATCCTTGTTCAAATACTGAAGTCTTTTAATTCCTTTACTGATAGGGAAGAGTCTGAAGAAGGAGGATTCTTACTTGGTAAACGTTTAACTTACTTGGTGAACGTTTATACACACAGAGATCCCCGTTAGCTAACCCGACAAAAACCTGATTCTCTACGTATCTACAGAAAGAAATAGTAGAAAAGAAAATACCATAATTATTGTAAGTATATCTGCACATACCCTCCATTGATAGCGAGTGCCACCCCGTTCATCAAGACGGGAGCAGGGAGAGGTCATTACGAGCAGACTACATTTCGACCACGCTAAAACCATTCAAAGTCTATTTCATAGACAGACTGGGCTGCTTTGCATGTACGCAACTAACATGGAATTAGTATAATAAGCTACCCTGGAAGTTTATCTATAAAGAGTCTACAACTATGCATCATAGAAGTAGGAATAATTTTTAAAATTCATACACATAGCACATAGCACAGAAAATCAATACTTACAATATGCATTGTACGGGTGAACCTTTCTGTATCTTAGTCTTATTTCGCCGTTGTTTTACGGCACTTGTTACTGGAAATATGTAGATACTGAAAAGAAAAGGGAAAAGATCGCATGTGAATGCAGATGGAAAAAACACACAATAAAATAATGAAAACGAGCATCAAGTTAATATTTTCCTGTGTATGAGCGTGTATGATACTGTAACTTTGGGAAGTCAGATGTGAATTATGATCCTGGGAACAAAATTAACCAATATCTTTTTTATAAATGCTGGTAAAACTATACCCGCGATCAGGTACACTTGCTCTGGGGTTTGCCACTAAATAACCCCGTGCTCAGCAAAGTTTAATAACAAAGACGGGGAAAATGAAATGCATGGTGGCAACCCGCGATACTGAGTGAAAGTATGAAAATCCTTATAATTGGACTGCAATCGTAGTCGAAGCGAATGCTTTATGACCAGCCTTGAAGAATGTGTAAATATTTCCTCGGCAATATCGTTTTTTCATATATAATAATAGCTAATTGCTTCATGAAAGAAATTTCAATATAATAGAAGCAAAATATATATCTTACTATCCATCTTCAGCTCCCATCCACACAGTTGGTTGTTGGTTTGCCTCGTCAGCGTCGTCACAGTGAGTGTCAAGATCTTTTTTCTCCGATCTTCGTCTCGATTTGCCTTCGTCATCTGTCGACTGATTTTCGTGATAATCAGAATCATCTCGACCATCACTACTAAGATCTCCGTCTAAACTTCCGGCTGTACCCAGACTGCTACCTTCTGGGCTGAGACGTCCATCGAATGAGGGAGGGGAGGGTGAGGCAGCATATGAATCATCACCCATATCATCGTCGTCTGTACTACTATCAAATGCAATAATCTCCTCTCGTCCAGCTTTTGATGTTGTCACATTTCGTCGACTAGTTGATATATTTTCATCGGAATTATATCCCGATAATTTGCTTCGTAATGTTGAGTTATTACTCTCCACTGGATCTTTAAATTCGTACTCAACATTCGTCGTGTTTATTCCAGCTAGTTTCCAGCCTGGTACTGGTGAGATTGATAGAATACGAGCTTGACATGGTGAATATGTGGTCCCTTGCTACAAGAGAAAATTCGTGGAGATGTTTATACGTGTGCAAGAAGTTTATGAGCCATCGTTCTTCGTATAAGATCAAATTCTCTTCCTTACCTCAAATTCTCTAAGCGGAGACAACATGGAGACCTGACCAACACAACCATCACTACTTGCAACCCATAAATCCCCAGATCCGCAATGTGTCCCTCGCTTTGTCAAACGTGCCGCAACAGTTGGTGAAGCGCACGTGAACTGAAGCAAAAGACGTTTTAATGAAGATGATGCATAATAAAACTCGTCAAAAATGAAGAGAAAAGGGATGTTTAGTGGAATGAGTAGAAACACGGAGGTGAAATAAATATAAAACACACAAACAAACACGGCTTGTCAGAACTTACCTGCAAGCCACTTCTGGATTTGTTGATTGGAATGGCGTTTTGAAAGTTTGGCGAAGAATCCTTTGCGTAAGCTAAATTGTATTTCATAGAAGATTATTAATTGTAACGTATGTCGCACAACTGCACTAGCGTTAATAGTCACAAAACACATTTTCATTGCCGTTTTTCTCGTGCACAAATCAAACATACTATATTGTTTCAGTCCAATTTGACAATTTGTGGATATAAACGGTTGTTAAGTTCGTGGCAAATAATTGAGGAGAGCAATTAGGTTACCGACAGAACTAGGTTACCGTTAATACAAGAAGGTTATTGCAGAAAACCAGTTTCTGTGATAAACAATGTTACTATTTAATATATGCATAAAACAAACGAGCATGCAGTTAACTTACCAAGTTGTTGTTTGGCATCCAGGAAATAGGCTTCCCAAGATGATTTAATTTCTTTACTGAGAAACACGAACGTGTATTTTTCAGGTTCTCTGTAAAAGTAAGTATTTCATTTTAGTTTTAAAGTATGATTCGTGACACAACCAACGAGACTTATTTCGAGTTCATTTTCTAATTATCTGTTTTGTTGTTACAGAACAATTTAATGATAACGAATTCATGCAATCCGCATGTTAGACTAAATCTAGGTCCAATGTAAATCTACAAGGAATCCGCATGTTAGACTAAATCTAGGTCGAAGAATGGACGCTGGAACGCCCATTCCAAAACGGAGTGTGATACTATTTTACAACGTGAAATCATTGCTAATCCTAAGTTATAACTCAATTGAACACATTTAGGATCGTACCCAGCTTTCGATATTGATACCAACCTTGATCCGACGTTCAGAACCACAGTATTTTCATATGACATAAATGTTGCATTTGAAGAACGTTGTGAATGGTGTTCCACAAGTAAGCGGTTAAGTTCTGATGCAAGATCGCGTATGGCATCGTCAAGCGTCTTAAACAAATGAAATCGCACGTAATGTTTCCACATGTATAGCCACATATGAATTTTCTTTCCCATGCACAATACATTGCATTTTGAATGAATAAAATTTACACTTTCACACATTCCAGGGAACCAGGGGGAGGGACTGTAGAGGGACTATCGTATATAATATAATATAAAAACTATATTGTAATTATTTGATTAGCATTGGAAATTCATTTTCGCGAAAATTAAGATCATCTCGGAAGGTTTCGTTGAAAACGTGTAAATCACAAAAAGTATATCAATCTCTCTCTCTTTGCCGTGGCCCTTAGTCCTGGATATAGTGAGCATTCCATGTAACATGGAATACTTAATCTTAAACATTGCGAATTCAACGCCCACCTGTTTCATCACTTGCAAATGAATGGAACTACAAAACCCTTGGGGTCTCTCCCATATAGATATATCCCAGCCCACCTAAATTCATTTGAGTACATCATAATAAATCAACACACCTGATGTGCAACTGAGACGGACTCAGTCAGTTTGCTGATAGTGCCCACAGTATTTAGATCCTGCTCCAATTTCTCACGGTAGGTTTGGTCAGGATTCTTCAAAGGACTTTTCAGATCACCGTCAGCTTTATCAAAGAAATATTATTAGATGACGACCTATTTACAAGTATTTTTCTAAGTATAATTAGGAATTTATTGAAAGCTATTGCAAAATAGTTTAAAAAGGCATAAAAAAAACTCATCGTCTCCTTATCAATTACAAATCTCGTGATAATAATGTCCAAAAAATACAAAACATGCATGTTAACAATTCAAGCATTTAGTTATTTTCAAAGGTTCAAGGCTATTTGAATTTACCGTTTTCGGAGAAAACTCTAGGTGATAAACCTTTTTTTGGTCCACGAGTACTTGTAGCCATTTTGAATAAACTTTTTTCTTTATAGAAGGTTACATATGCATGTTTGTTAATATTTGCAATTCTTACTTGTTAAGAGTTCCACATCATCCAACGGAGACTGCCACAGATATTTGTATTTGTTCATCTCGGCTGCAGATTGGCCAGAAAATCTACAAAAATTGAAAAAGGTTCCTAATATAGAAACTGTTCATTGGTAGAAGTATAATGTGCTGCATGTGAACAAACTAGTTGTACACAGGTGTATGAGATCAGTTGCGTAGATGGTATCGGGGGGTCATATTTGTATTGAATAAATGAAATGAATAATGTACAACACGACGAATATATGAATATGTTGCGCACACTCATGTACGATTCTAACATTTTAAAAGGGGGGGAGGTCGTTAAAATTTTGCCGCAAAGATAAGTTGTTACTCATCAAATCTTTTTTTAGATTAGACCACTAAACAATTTGAACAATTTACTTACAGACTGAGAGAACCTCTGCGAAGAGAGGTCTGCTTTCGCTTGACTGTGACACATACCAACAGGTCCGAAAATAGAAACAAGCATCTATCTTTCTTTGACAATCCTCCTTTCTGTGTGAAATAAATGAACGTAGACCAATGAAATAATCAGTTTAACTAAAAAAGCTACCCTTTTAAGATGAATGATTTGAATTTTTTATCACTCGTCTATAAATATACGTGCTCATGACAGCTACAGAAAGGAACTTGGATATGTGTAACAAAAGGCAGATGTATGCGGCACTGGAATGCGGCACTGGTGGGCTGAATTATGTAAGCAATTAGTAGTACCAGTTTGGCCAAGCCCTCCCCCCCCCTCCGCACTGGATTCATCCCTGACTTAGGTATCGATCGAACCATATCTCTCCTCATTTTAATGATCATTTCACAGATTAAAATGCCACGGCTTTAAGGCCTATTTAGACTACACGATAAGTTGTATGCAATTATCATTCTGACGAATCCAAAAGAGTGTCTATATGCCACAATCTTCATTCAATTTTGTTTTAGAATTTAAAGTGTCACATTTGTACGTGTGTTGTTCATACGTTCACATACGTCAGGGTACGAATCGTATACGATAAATCGCATGGTGCAAATGGGCCTTTATACGAATTTTCGCATTTATTTTCGGGTGGTGCGGGTAAACTATACCGAAAAGCGCATTGTTCACGCCTGGTCTCAATCTATAACGGCCAACTATCTTCAATCGTCATTGTTTAAGAACTTAATTTAAATTTGGCCGTGTGACCTTTGATAATGTCAGCAACTGACAAGGGGATAAATGATCCTTATATATTGACACGCGAATCCAACTATCCAATGTTGTGCGAAAAAAGCAAATTTAATATAAGAATTAATTAATAAGCCGCAACTGTTATTTATCCGTCTTTAGAAATAGGTGTACCTTTCATATTTCATTTTATTGCACTTAAAAGTGAAGCAAATAGAAAATTAACAAATAATGCGTGGGCAGAATTTATTACAAATATTGCCAGACGGATGATTTCTATCTGGAGATATTGCTCGATTGTAAAATTGAAATTACAAATGAGAAATTCATATTTTGGTGCATGCGCAAAAATATGATTTCAGTGTTGGGAGAGAAATTTCAGTTTTGTTGTAAAATAAAATAGGAGGTATTTCGATTAAACCTGAGATGACATGCAAAAATTTTCTGATGAAACGATGTTTCTCATGAAAAGAACAACGCTTATCTCGCCTAATGATTAAATGCTTCAATATTATTTGCAATGGTAACTTTCACTATTTTGAAGATGGTCGACGTTTGCTATTGGCAAAAACGTACAGAGCATTATGAGACAGACATAGAGTAACTTGTCTGAAGCCTTGGTGCAAAGTTAACAATAATAAATGTTAATCTTTATTTTAGGTAAACATATCAGACATCAGAAATTGATACGCGCGTATACTAATGACAGTTAGATAATTTCACTCTGCCTCCAGATTGGTATAACACTCGTAAGTCAACATGCAGCGGTCGAATGGAAGACATTATGCAATTCTACGATTTGTGACATGTTACATGATATGATGATAAAAACAGAACCCCACATTCCAAGCTTCGCATCTTGGTTCCATAATATTGTGAAACATACAGCAGTGCATCCATGAGTCTTTATGTCTCACCATATCTTTCAGCGCAAGATTAGATTTTTTAAGCGAAGTTTAGGAATACCGTTGCATTATATACAATTAATACAAGATACAATTATCCAGTATCTCGTAACAGCCTAACATGAAGTGCGTGCAAAAGAGGGAGATCGAAATTCTTTTATTGGTGAAAATTTTGGTCGCCCAAATTTCATTTCATATTGCTGTAACACGACAATCAAGAACGGATAATAGCCATCTGATGGTCGTATTTGCAGAATTGTACTGACCCAGGAGGAACCAAAAGTTTTGCGAAATTGTTCAGTTTCTAAATTCCTATTATATACGGGAAAATATTGTTAATGTGGGCGCAGATGACAAAAGGTTGCTACCTTAAATTGCATTGGACAACAATAAGCATGTGATAATTAACTACGAAACTCATCAACATAGTGCCAAAAATTTCAAACATTTTCGTCATTGGAATTTAACACACAGTGCTTATTCACATTACTGACGTCACTTTTGAGGTATACGTTAATATAAAAGTAAATTATGTATACATACCATTTCTGCAACCAAATCTTGCCTCTTATACTTTCGTCTTGGCAGTACAAGCTACAGAGGAAAATGATGTTGGGAGAATCAGCTGATAAACAAAGTAGTAAGGTGACAGATACGCACATCCATGCAGCTATATACAGCATGCTATAATTATTGTCAGTAGAACAAATTTGCCTATAAGCTTAATTTTTTTGCTTGACGATTGTTTCCTATTCGTGATTTCTCTGGTCGGCACCTTTGTGGTGTCTAAAGTTCGACACTTTTTTAATGACCGTCTGCCATCTGAGCTTCCAATTCTAACATGTTCAGTAGTTCCGGAGATTTTTATTAGGAGGAAACCAAAGTATCTGTAAGAAGTTCCGTGTATTGCTTAAGCAAATAGCAAGCTCTCTTCTCATAAAGAAACGAATCATATGCAAACCACCGATTGCCCTACATGTATAAACCACTGAGTCACAAACTATATGTATTAACTTACTCCACTGATGCCCTCAATGGACGCCTCCATATCTCTCAGCCTTTCTGCCTCTTTCTCCGCCTGATCGATCTCCTGCTCTCCCTTATTCATTCGTTCTGCCAACGTCTTGATTTCACCCAGTCCAGAGAGCAGGTTCCCGTGGTCAGGGTGTTCCGCAGGTGTGTACTTTAATAAATCCTAAAATTGTAACAAGTGCCATGCGTACATCAGAGGAAGCAACTGCGCTAGGGTAGGAATAGTCATCCAGTATTTCATGATATAACTGCGTTGTGTATATATAACATCATGCTAGAATCGGTGATTTGCTTCAGGGACATTTGTGATAACATTAACATGACAGAGGTCGGAGCATCTCGTATTACAGCGATTGAATTATATCAGCTTGAAAAGTGTGTCACTCATGTTCAAGGGATATAAAGTTTCTGTTGGGTGTCTGTTCAAAAGGATGTCATCCCAACTTTTCTTAAAACATGTATGAATGTATTTTTCATTTCATTTCTACACTATGTATTTTCATTCGCTGCTTTAGGTTAAATCATTGGTAGAAAGAACCTCAATGTAGTGTACATGTAGCATTACATATGGTACAACTTTCAAATACGGATCTGAATTAAATTAAAAGGCTCATTAAACAGGGATATGTATACTCAAGATCCATCATATCAACGCCAGATTAATTGTAAACAAAACTTCTTCCGATTTATGCGGACTATATCCTGAATAAAACTATCCGCAAGGTTCCTTAATTGCATTGTTATGATAAAAATACTAGCTCCAAGGGAACTGAGCCGGGAGAACACACAAAATTGTTCATGATTTCGAACTAACAACTCTTGATAAAATACATCACGGTATAATCCATACGATGAGATTAATTGGAAATCCGAAGAAACTGATCACCGAAAAATGCGGCTGGTTGATGATGATTATGAGACATCGCTATGTGACAGCAGTCTGACAGTAGTATGGCCAAGAGGTCATAGGGTTATATAATTAGTAAATATGAAAAAAACGCCAGCAAATTTAAGAAAGAAGGTGTTATTAACTCAATTTTAGGAGGTTTTTTTAATTCAGTGGACCTGGCGAAAAGCTTGTGAATATCTGAGATATATCTGATGGATTTTAAAATCATGGCAATCCATCAAAGTTATGTTAAATCAGAAAATGCCAGTAAAAAGCACTAGTGATAGAGATATCGACATATTTGATTTTCTTATCAAAGTTAGCAAATTGAAAACTGGAAATGCAGACATCCCACCTCTTGCACCAAACCCTCCACAAGTGTAAGTTATGATTTGGCCTATCAATTTCATCCGCGTCGCTTGGAATGCTTTAACTACTGAGGATTATAAGATTTTACTTTCCCATGTCTTAAAAGATCCCCCACAATATTTTGTGGTAAAGGCAGTGTATGGAAAACTAAAATCACTCAATTGATATATTGCCATTCTCAGCCTCTTGGCAAACTCACGCACACGCACAGAAACTCTTCTCTGGTTTTCGTGTTTTTGTTTTTTAGGTTTTCGAAGGTTTTCGTGTCTTATAAATGCTTTGAAAACATTTCCTCTCCACGTACACCTTCACGACTAACTAAAGCAAACCTCGTTTTTCTATCTAGGCACAAACTATACCTTAATGGCTCTGCTTCGCAGATGAAAAGTTTAAAATATACCATTACGAAGGCCATTATCACAATGTATTAATAGGCTTATATATAGAAACCTTCTTAACTTAACAGTGAAAAAATATAGAAAGAGATAATTTACCATTATAATTAGCTCATATCTGGGAATCCTTTGAACTGGCATGATCATTAAATCTTGTAACGTAAGTTTCTCTTTGTGATCACGTGAACGTTGCTAAAACAACGAAAAGCATATTTTAGCCTACGCTAGTTAAATGTCAACCTGGTAAAAGGACATGATTTGAGTCAACAAAACTTTAACCGACATTGAAAAACAATCATTGAAAGAGAGAAAGCTTTGTTACTTAATGGACTGCTCTTACACTAAAAGAGTCCTCTGTCTCTGAGGGAGCTTTTAAACCGTAGATCCAGGGACATGCGTGCAAAAGTAATTTATATCTATCTTCTTAATCTATCTTCTTAATTACGGTTTGTATTAAGCATGTTGGATACAGTATCCACGAATATATTTGTAATATCTGAAAGTCCACTTATGCATGTGTAAATAATAGTACCTCGCAATACTTTGAAAATCCTGGTTTCGCCATTGCTGCCGAACGAACTGCTGTTCTCGCACGTAGAAAGTTGTTGATAAATTGACTGTATGCATCTACAAGTACACACTTGGTGAACTAAAGAGAAATTAACAATTGTTTAATTGTAATAAAAATACTATACCATGTTCAAGCCGTAAGTAATTGATCGCCATCTTTCTTTTTTCTCGTGGTTAAATCAATGTATGGGGCATCACTCATCATTTTATCTGCTTAAAATGTGTTACCGTTTTAAGTATATACTTTGAACTTATGGAGAGCCTTTCCTCTATGAGTTTGAAAATCTGACATTTGATTAAACTAAAAAGATAATGAGGCAGGTTCACCGGGGTATACATGAAGACACACTTTCTCAAGGTCACCATAATACATCATCAATAAACGCTATGAAGCATGCATTTCGAGGATATCACAAAATACTAACACAAAGACATTTCTCTGAAAAACTCTGCAAATATTAATTGCATAATAGAAGCTGTGGTGGGGACGATAAAATTGAATGAAAAGAAAATATACATGCAGCTTAGGTCCACCAATGGTAAACTTCAACTATGGTAAAACTGTAAAAAAGCAACGAATCAACGATTAAACTTACAGCTGAAACAAAAATGTCGCCAAGTTTAGAATTGTCACTCCAGTCTTGAACACGTACTGCCAGTTGTTTAAGAAATCCTTCATGGTACTTTAAAATTTCTGGAATTTGATAGAACATTTCGTTCACCAAAGCTGGTTCAACAATTCCTTCGCTCTTCCGCAGTGGATTCAAGTATTCCTAAAAAATACTCAGTATCAGCATCATCGGTTGTCATAAAGTATTCGTACATGTCAGAGTATTTTTTTGAGGGAAAGCATTTTTCCTCTTTAGAACTTAGAAATTTAATTCGGTATAGCACTTGAATGGCAATTACTCCACCATTCACGGTGCTTATGTTTTTGTCTTAACCACCAAGCTTCAATTTCGTGTGAAGATACTTAAAGTGAGACTGCCCTGGTGGACAGGAACACAAGGAGAAACCCGTTCTGGAAACCGGAGTTTGTATATGTACATGCAGCAGACTAATTAAAATTACCAAATGGGAAAAGATTTAGGACCATGCAAAAAATGAAATTGTATATTTCGCTGTGCTATCAGGGGAAGAAATAAACACAACATGCATGTAATATACTATTATCATGATTATCATGATTTAGCCTGTGAAATATGCGGGACAAAGTAATAGCTTTAAAATTTCTGAGCGAAAAGCATTTTTTGAAATAAAGTGAAATATAATATTATTTGAATGTTCCGTGCCTTTCTCTTAGGAACTAAACCCCACGCACTCTTTATTACAAAGGTGGTTAACTTAAGAGTTCCTGTTTATTGTTATTTGTAAGTTGCACTTTAATAAATCACGCATAAAGTGCGATATTAAAATGTTCAAGATAGGCGAAGAATGTAAGGAATGTGTTGACACGAAACTCCAATGTCGTAAAACAAATTCCAAACTGAAAACAAACAACATGTCTCAAGGCGAAATATGAACAGAATTTTACCTACCGCCTAATAGTACAAACTCACGACAAAAAACACGTTATACATAAAAATGTGATATGGAATGAGTGGAGTCTACTTAACTCGACTTTCGTATCGTATACAGCTATAACTCAATATATATAGGTTGCATTTTCAAAACTGTAAACTATAAACACAGATGAATCGCGAAGGGATGATGGGTTGTTACGTATTCTTCCCTATTCAAGTTACATTTAATACATTTTCTGTTGTAAGCCTTGCGAGACATCTCTTTTTCCTCGCACGCTCAGAGTTTGGGGTTTTATTTAATGATTTAGGAGTACCTTCATTAAATTAGCTGTATAAGTATACTTATATGCATGACGATGGCATATAACGAGCTTTTTCTCAGTTTAAGGGGTTTAGTACTTCCGCCATATTTACCGCTGTAAAAACAGTTGAATAATGGCTTATTAGCACATATACTATCGACATTCCCGCCCAAGTTCCAATGAGTGTTTGGTGTTAAAGGTCGCTTAGGACTAGATACATCTGAAATGTAGGTCTGACTTCAACTTTTGATATATGTCAGGTGTGACGAAATTTTCGCAATCATTAAGCTTACATGTAGTATTATAGCGTATAAAAGCAGTCTCTTTATTCTCGACTTCGTACAGATCAATTTGAACTTTTTCAAGGTCAGTACAAGACAAGCAAACGAATGATGACCCCGTCGTTAGCGACACAGTAGAGAAAAAGCATTCCAGCTGAGTTTGGTATAAATGATTATTATTGTATAGGTTTATACAGGGTAAAAAGAATACAGCACATCTTAGTAGGCCTGAAACAAATGTTTCTTAAAAAGTGATGTTACTAGCGGTTACTTCATGTCCTCGGCGACCTGGGTACGAATACGCTAATGTTAAATGCTCCCTTTACGCTTCGTGCTTCTATTGCAATTATATAAATACAGCCACTTCAAATAAGACGACAGGTAATGTCTTATTTAGAGCCTAAAATTCGGTGAATTAAACTGTAAATACAGGTCTACGTTCTGAGACCAATACAACTTATAGTCCTACAAAATAATGTGTATTTAGTACATAACATTTCGGTCACTTTTTCCACAAAATCACTTGAGTACGAAAAGTATGCAATCATGACATCCTAGCTCTGATGCTGAACCTGTGCACACAGCCACACACCATACACACAACCTGAAATTCTTAGTCGCTATGTACATAATGGTATAATGACATTTTTGTGCAATGAATATCCTATTTTTATATTTAGTAACAGGTTCTATTTTCAGAACAGAAATATTGCAGGTTTAATAACACTAATGAAATCTTTGCTGACATCTGTACTGGCAACGGATGAGTATCGTGAAAAGAGACGGGAAATTACCGCAGAGAATGACGTTTTCGAAGAAGGAAATTAAAGATTTACTACAGGGTTTGGTTAAGTTGACGTCAATTCATACCACAGAATTCATGCTTGAAGTTATTTTCCCCAGTTTGAAATCATATCATGCAAAGAAAAACAACACCGCAAGCGTGACCTTGGGTTCAAATCCGTAACATCTGTTTTCGTTCTGGTGTTTTCACGACTGTACTTTTTCTTTAAAATAGCATAATTAGAAACATTATGTCTTGATATGAATTTTTTAGCCACTTATAGATATTCATATTTAAAAGGGTTAGAAATTCCTAATTATTAAATCGATGCTGCCAACAATATGGGACATATAAAGACAATTACTGAAAGTTGACGTAAAAAATTGTCACAGATTGCAGAATTTAGCTTCTTTAATAGATTTGTTTCATGTGTTATCAGTTCCACTCTTCAATTTTATCTTGTTTTGTAAATACGCTTTTGCGCGACTGGGAGACCTGGTAACTATAATACCTTAATAGCCGTTATATTAGGAATTTCGATGCATGACTAATTCTCAACTAAATGAACTGTCGGAATACTTTTGCACTATATAGCGCTCTTTGCTGTGCCTTGCTCAACCTGGTGTCGTTTTAGTCAAAGCGGGTGGTCAAGTATAAACAGGGAAGAGTGAACATTTGCATGACATAATTAATGTGTAAAAATGATTATCTCGGTTCAAATATTACGCCAAACAACTGGACGACCTAACCATAATTATGAACTGCGCGTTTCTCAATTGCCAAAAGGGCTGTCTCCGAGCACATTCCAAGTGAGCAGCGTCCATGGACTTAATTTTTAGTCTCGACTTCCCGCAAAACAGGCTGTGTTAATCCTTTTAACGGATAACAAGTACTTGAAATTAAAGTTTTAACTGCACATCCTGTTTCATTTACAGCATAATCATGCACAACAAAATGTTTTAATCAATTCAACTCTCTTCAATATCACGCGATTCTAAATGTTGCCTCGTCTAACACTGCCCATGGCCTAAACTTCTTCTAATTGCAAACCGGGAAAAAAACTCTTATGGGAGTATATATAATTTTCCATTTATGTTCTAAGCGGGGTGCATTAATACAGTCCTGATTCTAAAGATTTTGAAGCACCCCAAAAATTTGAAAAACATTTTTGGACCAGGAGCAGTGGTGAAAAATGCAGCTTATATATGCCCTCCGGGCCAGTTTGACAAGGAGGCTAATGGCATATACATACTTTTAACGAATGTGGAGAACTACAAAACATTAAGTTATTGAAATCATTGAACATAATCCACTTGTGTTAGAATATGCGGTTGTACTTGCTGAGAGGAATATTTTCATAATGCATACGAATTAAACGGTACAAATAACAACCTTGACCTTCCCAAAAAAGCCTGCGTGCAGACCTATACCCCACGTCAAACATCACCTCTATTTCCTAGGCTATTACAAGATGAGAATTATGTCATTATAGAAACGTGTACTAAGTCTATCGTGTATGCGTGATTCAAAAACACGCAACAAACGTCAATCTTAAATTTCGTCTTCAGAGGAAAAAGCAAAATGTTCAGCACTCGTTTTTCATTCGTCATAACACCAAAGTGGTCATGACAGTGCCTACAACTAATCGTATCGTGCTGGCCTACAAGCGGTCATGCAGTTTTTTATAGCGACTAAATTTTAGGACAGTTGCATGACCGAATGAAAACTTTACAATTAAATAACCACAGTAAAACATTTATGGTGTGTCATTACCTCATGAATAGATCTTTCTAAATACTTTTTAAGGAAAACTTTAGATAAGATACTTTTTAATATATATTCTTAAAAGCCTGATTTTTCACATGTTATACAATTCACCGTAACGTGCATGCGGTGATTCGTTGTTATGAAATCTGAATTATAGCGAATTACGAGCCGTGATTCAGCTACGACAAATGAATGACGAATTATGTGACACATGAAACACCAGCTGTATAGGTTCACATGATCAATTTTGTCGTACCAACTCTAACGTATAGATTTTACTCTATTCGTTGAAAAAGGGAGAAGTAATCTACCTCGGTTGATCCGAGGGTTGATTTATTCCCAATACACCGTAAGTCATGCAACAGACAACAAAGTGTCTAAAACCTGTGAAGACGATTGAAAAGCGTCCATAATGCAGAGGTGAACTAGATCAGACAAAGTTGGACTGTGTATTAAACAACAGGCTTTAACGCTCAGGTCGTATATTAGCGTAAATTTTGATTAGAATTGAGAGCAAACAAATCAATGGCAATGCGTGTATTGTGACTTAATCATAATTATATACACCTTTGCGTCAAATTGTTCTTTTCATTGTATGCATGCTGGTGCCATTGAAATCCACATGCAATTGCGTTTGAAAAGAATAGCTGAACAAACTATTGTGGATGACCTTAGTAGGCAAAATGACCTGCAGAGTCAGGTAAAGGCCATGATAGGAAAATATACTGAATGACAAGCTAATGTATTAGCGCAAAACATGACATGATTACCCAAAATGGTGGCTAAGTTACGGTATACCAATCACAAGGTCAGAGCAACAGTCAAAGAAATACGCCAGCATTAAATTTACATTTGGGCAAATTGATCAGTGTTAACTCCTTCCTGCCCAGACGCCCCCTACTTGAAAATTCTCTTTCGTATATGTCTACTGAGTGCTATCAAAAGCCGAATCTTAAAGGCGGCCGATGCAGGGTACATTAGTTTAATGTCTCTCATTCAGCGGCGCATTTAGGAACAAAAGAACATAATATCGACAAAGGCAATTATCGTTCGAGCCGTACATTGCTGTTTCTGTTACTGCTGCGTAGATGCCGACCATTTCTTTGGGCAAATAAAGAGAATCAATTATAATATGCAAGTCATGATAATCCCCTAGCCTGGAAGCAAGTACTCAGCATTGAAGATGTAATTAGGTTTTATTTGAAGTTTGACAAATATGAATCCCGGCGGCAGCATGATTAATGGTCGAATTATTTAAAGGATGGACCTTTCTCAAAAATACCGGGTTTCAATTTAACAGTTAGACAGTTATTATTGACAAGTAAATCAATCATTTTGAACTGCACCCAATCTATCATCATTATAGTCAGCGATAACTGATTAAATATATCGATGTTCTTGGAAAATGACAGACAAAGGCATTTTTCAAACAAGTGGCTCTAAAGTAACTAACGAACTGTAATCATGTCGAGCTTTTGAAAAACGCTTTAACTGAAACACTTAATTAAAGCTAGTGATAACACACGGCATGCTTTATCGATTGCTAAATAATTTATCATTGACCAATCATTGGATTATTGACCATTGAAGACTGAGTTTTAAAGTCGTATTTTCTGGTTTTGTTTTAAATTCTGCCATGGTTTAAAAAATGTACGGTACAGTATATTGAGTAAAACTGGGCAGCGTAGGGTAGAGTAGGTTAGAGTAGGGTAGGATAGGGTAGACACTGAAGAGTAGCGTATACCAAGAAAGAATAGAGTAGACTCGAACAACTAATCCGCGATTAATACAGACAATCCTACCTTGACCAGGTACTGCAGAGCTTGCACGTAAGATTGTTCAGTTTCTATCAAGTTTTGAACAACATGCCATCGCATCTCCTGAATGAAAAATAAGATATGACTAAGAGAAATGACTAAATACACGACTATATTTTACTAAGATAAGTTGACACCAACGTGGTTTTTTCACCTATAAACATTAAACATACGAACAAAACTTTCACTTACACTTTTTGAAGCCTTCTTCTTCTTTCCAGTTTGTGTTTCTCCAGGCTCAGGCTCCGTTTTTGTCCTCGGCCAAGTATGATGTTCTGTGATTGGCTGGTCACCAGTCTTTTCACCAGATTCTCCATCCGCATCACCATCATCATGTTTTGTTTCTTTGGCATTTGCTTCAATTTGAGCAGCAACCTTCGCAGCTTGTCTCCGTCGAGCTTTCTCACTTTCTCTTCGCCTCAATTTCTGTTGTGGTTGTGCATTGCTAGCCAAATCTGCAGGACTTGAAGTCGCAGGCTCAATATTATTTTTCTGTTCAGCGTTCTCCTCACGTTCCGCAGCTTTTGCCTTCGCAAGATCTGCTGCTTGTTCCAATAGTTTGCCATTAATTGCAGGTTCGCTGTTACTGTTTCTGGCTTTGATATCATATTCAGTAATCGTCTCTTGTATTGTTGTGTAGTCCTCTTTCACTCGTGGTGTAGGGTCACTGTGATAACGACTGGGATAGATTTCTGATAGAGGAGACACACCAACATCCTTACCAATGTGTTCACTTCCTGATGTTGATTTCTCACTGTTAATACTAGTTTGACTAGGACTGGGTGACATTACCACATCACTTGCAGAGCCAGCGCTCTTACCATCAACATTACGTGACAACGCCGGTCGTTCTTGACTACCAGGTTTCTCACTCAATTCCACAACAAGTTCATCAAGAATTTCAAGTGATTTATCAATATCATTTTGATCATTCTTTTCATGTCTTCGTTCCACTTTGCCATCAGCTCTCTGCATATACGTCGAGTCTGCTTCAGAGGCGATCAGCTTTACCGTTGTACTTGGGTCATCTATAGAATTACTGCGCTTGCGAGGTTCTCGATATTCGCCAGACACTGTAACATTGGTTGGTAGTTGTGGAGCACTTTCTTGCCTCGAAACGGTTTTCTTTGCTTCAACGACTCCTAAAAAACACACGAAAACTTTTATTGTTTATAAAAGCTGCGCAGCATTTTCGCCAAATGGAATATCTGGTTAAAGGTCAATTGAACTTTAAATCGAGTGCAAAATTATACGTTACAAATGAGTTTCGAGCTTAAGTTATATGTATATATATATATACACACAAGTTCGCTGGATCCTTTCATGGCTAATACTACTATCCCCACTAAAAATATTCGATAATCATAAAATCCTTTAACTCTGCCAAGGCTGCGAATGAAGCACGAAAGCTTTATACTTGTCAGGCAGATAAAAGCTCTTTCGATGGATTTGAAACAAGGGCTCTAGGTCATAGGCTTTTGAGAACAAATTTCGTTGAATGAACTAATCATGCTTTAGGCGACCACTGGAAAACTGGCTTTAGTAAAGAATGTATTTCGCTGTACCAGCGAATGATTTTTTGAGCGTTCATCAGAAGTGTTCGTGTAACATTGCCACTAAGCACTAAAAAAATTTACTGTCCCGTTACTTTGTGATTTGAAGCTGTTAACATAAATATATTGCCAAGGTGATAATTATACACAGGAAGGTATCATGAATCACAGGAAGTTATAATCTGATTGTACATAAAAAGAAGTGCGTTGATAAATGGGATAATACACAGTCATGCGTTACCACTTGTTGCACGATCCTAATAATACCGAAAAAAAATTAATGTACAGTTGGTTTTTCGAGTTCAGTAAAAAAAGGCTTCATTGAAAATAATATTAAAATGTATTCAAAGATAGACCGGTATATCGCTATGAACTTGCAGAGCGCCCAGCTTGGTATTTTATATGTGCAGTGGTGTACTTGTGGTGACAGGTGGTAACCATGATACAATTGTAGAATTTGCAATAAACATATGTATCATCTTGGTTAGTTAGATTTCAAATAGGGATTCCTATATAAGTAGGGGGAGCTGTAATTACAAAGCAGTGAAAGCATCATGTCATTCGCTAAATACTGTAAGATGTCCTCAGTTTGAATGCAATAAAACAAAGTCTCATTCCTTAGCCGTCTGTAGCAGTAGCTATATCTGCTGCAAATTGAGGATTAAACCCTTAAAAATAGCTCTAAATTAATATCTTCCATATGTTGCCTGTGGAATCAGGACAATGTCAATGTACTAATTAATGAAATAATACTTTGTAATAGGATACTATTTTAACTCATTCTTGGAATCAACAGACACACTTGACACACTTGATGTGCTGTTTTTGGATCTTTCAGTATTCTTAATTGCAGCTAGAATATTTCCCAATTAAATTAAAAATGGATTTGTGCAAAAAATTGTAAAATATCAATGAATAACTACATCCAGGAATCTTATACCCTGTGTAAGAAATCTTTCACCACCTGGAGAAATGTATCTATGCCTAATTACAGCCAGCTACCTAATTAATTTGTAATTTGAAAGGTCTCAGACATCTGCCACAGGATATGAAGCCTCACATCTAATAGAGCTATAACTTACGGTAAATTGCAAACCGAAGCTTTGGGTGAATGGTATCCAATTCCATCAATAGCATTTACGAGGTGAGCAAAGGAAAGTAATAAAATATCATATGGCCATTTTATGAAAGGATGCACAACAATAAAACTTGAACACCTGAATTTAGAGTCGATAATGCTATTAAACAAATAAAAGTCTATGGTCAGACATTATCGCAATAAACACAGGTGGCAATGTAAATTGTCTCTGAAACAATCTTGAATATGTTTACAGAAATTGAATTGGAATAAAATTTTCATGGAAATTTCTAAAAATCAAAATTTAATTATTATGAACTATGATTATTTCAGGATGGAATGTAGTGAATTATACATATACAAAACGAAAAAAGCCAGAAACAAATTGCCAAGCATTATGCTAAATAATTGCCAAATGTGCCCCTGCCATCTAAGGGTCAAATATCCCTAATTGTACTGCATTCAGAAATTAATTATTTAAATATAATACTCAATACTGTCAGATTTTGGAAAATGTCCCCTATGCCAGCCGTTGTTATATTTGGCCTGATTGGAAAATGCATGTGAGTAACAAAATATGTTTCTGAATTTGATAGGAAAGATATTTGCTTCCCACAAAGCAAATCTCCTTTCTGCTATTTCATGTTTTAACTGGCAGCTGATCATGTTAAAATTCAGAAACATGGCAATTCATAAAAGGTTTCACAACTATGTTCCCCCACAGCTTTGAAGAGCTCACAATCTATATTTGTCAAGAGAAATGTGTTGAGTTGTTTTTTGAAAACATGTTTTTTCACTTTTTGATACAACCCTCGAGATAACTCTACAATGTACCCTACTCACCATTAGCTTGTTGATTCTTCACATCATCAAAAAATTCATCAAGAGCTTTGTCAAGATTCATAAGTATAGTTGGAATTCGAGGTCTTTCAATTTTCTTTTCTCGTCTTCTGCTATTTTCATTGTCATCACTAACGTTGGTCTTTGACTCTTCTCCTTGTTTAATTTGTTCATTTTCATGTTTCTCCTCACTACAGTAGACATGATGTTCTTTACCATTTGGTTTGGTTCTACTCCCTGGTTCCATATTCTTTTCTTCCTCTGATTTTGGGGCAATTTGATTATTACTTGATTGTGCTTTCACATATGATGGCCTACGTAAAGTTTTAGGCAGAGACTCTCGTCTCCTACGAAATTGTCCAGTGCTTTCATCTGATTGCCCAGCCTCATCTTCTTCTTGTATGTTATTAAGTGTTACAAATGTTTTCTGAATGGAATATGATACATCTCTCCCAAATGGAAAAGATGACGACCTACTCCCTCCACCTGGTGTTACTGGTAAGTCATCTTCATTGGATAAATGCAAATCTTTACTATCAGTTGGTGAAGCAACCATACTCTCGAGACTTGTGGCATCTTGAATATCGTCATTGGTATCATTTTCTGTATTAATAGCAGTACTTGTTTCTAACAGATCAGGTCTCTTTATTTCAGTACTAACTTCTGATTCCACATCTTTTTCTAAATTTTCGATCAAATTTTGGAGTTCTTTTGCACCCTCCTCAGTACAAGTGTTTAGTTCCCCTTCATCTGAAATAAAAACACCAGGACTTTGCAAGACAGGTGAACAAATAGTCTTGAAACTTCTAGAAGCAGGTGCCTGAAATTTATCATCTACAATTTCTGGAGTACATATTCTGGGCACTGGTGTAGTGGAAGGAGTAGTCTCACTCCCACTAACTGAAGATTTTCTTCCTCTTATATGTGAATTAAACGGACTCTTCTTTAAAGATGGTGATGTACACGAACTGTCACTCAGTTCTACAGTCACAGAGACAGAAGGACTGTCTTTAGTCGTTTTTCTCGTCACTGATTTTATTCCATTCTTTTCAATAGCACACAATCGCGAATGGGCCCCATCACGAATTCCAATGTCACCAGTTGAACTGGTTGCACGCGTTAATCGAGACGGGTTAAGTTGTACAGTAGAAAATGACTTGACGTTTATTTTAGAAATACGTGATTTACCTCTTCCACGCGGTGAAATACGGTTAAACGTAAAGCCAGTTCCAAACGCGCAAGCCTCGTCATCGATCGAGCTAACAGAAGTAAGACTCGTTGAAATCTTTTTACGATTGTTAAGACCATAAACAGACAAGCGTGACCTCTGTTGTTCATATTCGCAGTCTGCAGACGAACAACAAATATGGCTCGGAAATTCTTCATTGTACCGTATATAACCAGGATCTGAATGTTCACTAGGATCACTTTCTCCCAAATAATGTTTCGCACGATAATTTCCCTTCTTTCTAACACGTTTCCTACGTGTCTTCTCCAAGCAGTAACTATTACGCCAAAATTCTTGTTCGCTTGAGCTCGGTCCAGATTCCGAATCGGAGCTGTTTACATTGCGGTCCGAAGCAGAGAAGTATCGAGAATTCTTTGGCAAGGTTTTACTGAGCCCGTGTTTTTCGTTTTTAGCATAAGAGCCGGGTATTTGGCGACCGTTTTTCTCCCTACTTCTATTTTTCAATCGCATCATGTTTTCGGTTTGAATACCGAAATAATAGTTGGATGGTGGGTCATCGGTCCTATATTGTCGCTCCAAATCCCCAGGATGGTACATCATATATCTGTCAGTGTATCTACTGGCAAGGTGATGTTTAGCTGAGGTTGGGTTGTATCTCTTGTCATCACGATCGGTAAACGAAACACAGGACACGTTGTTGTTGTCTTCTCGCAAACCCTCTTGTTGCTGACCTTTGACGTGTGGACATAGCTGAGCCTGTTTGCTTGACGGCTGTGTATAGTTCGCGTACGGTACTCCTTCGCAATTGTATTTTGTCAATGATGGTGATAGATTTGCATCATTCCATTCAGAACCGCCATACGAATTCATTCTTTCTACTAAAGCTTTACTGTTTTCTGCCCCCACCACTACAGCTTGCTCATTGCTAGCTGGAGTTGCTCGTGGAATTTCAGGCATGTAACTGCGATCTAAAACTGCCCCACTGTCGCACTCGTTTGCATTCGAAAAAACAAGAGATCGCCTTTCTTCCCCTTCGTAACTACCGCCAGAACTTGTACGATATGTCCGCAAATCATCATTCGCATGAACTAAATGCCTGTTTTGGTCGTTTGCTCTATGTCGCCCACGAGAACTCGCTGATTCTGAAGTAGTGCTCCGTCTGAGGGTCCGATGTTTTAAATGTAGATTTACTTCCGTTCTTTCAACTCGGTTATCAATTCGATACGGTCGTGAATTCGCGGCTGTTACCTCGGACGCGTTCGCTTGAGAGGAATATTGACAACCATGTCTGTGTGAGAGATTATCTACGCTGTTGTTAAGCACTGTTCTGTTTTCTTCGCCGCTCAGTGTTAATCTATTGTAGAATTCTTCAGACATGGTATGCGCTCGAAATAAGTTGAACGCCGTTCATGTTTCTATTCGCCTGTAAGTTGTCAGACTATAACCAAAACGTTCGCGAAATGGAACGGCGTAGCCTAATGGGAATTGTTTGCCGTCGAGCGAACAGTCAGATTACAAGTGACATATGACATCCGTTGAATGTCTACCACCAACAAGGCAACATAGGGGCAGAAAATAACCCGAAACTTGTTATCAGCACACGCACCGATGCGTGTCGTGTTCGCCTATAAACTCGTACTTGATTGTGATGTAGATGATTTCGCACAATGAAAGAAGAAGAGAGAGAACAATACATGAACAATGTACAGCTTAACAGTTACGATAATGCCATGTCGGGGGGAGGGGAAAGGCGGTGGATGATTGCCTTAAAAACTTAATTACAATCATTGCACATATTATGTTACCTATCACCCCTGCTATCACATACCATGAGCGCGCGGTCTGCTCTAAATATATCTGCTCAGTCCTCAATCTAAACATGCCACATGAGCTAATGATTGACGCATGAAGAGCTCTTCACAGTCGTTCGCACTGTTGCACCCACAGTTGAAACCATTTATTGTGAAAGTATTCCAATACTTGTTACAGCGTGTGAGACCTACCTGATGAAATACCTCATATGAGCCTGTATTAGGTCAAAATAAGCACTTCTTCGAGCGCTACGATGCAGGGAAACGTCAGTAATCAAACGCCAGACTCATACAATAGCGGCACAAATATAGATTTCGCGCGAAGAATTTTGGCGCCGAGGTCAAATTTTTGCGAGAAATAAAATCAAAACTCGATGAAAATGCTGGTGATTTCAAACAGTGTAAAGATGATGATCTCTAAGCTAATAAAGAATAATCTTCCCATTCGATAAAATTTTTAAAAATCAATTCCAAAATTGGCACTATCGACGTGAAATGCAAAAAAATGTATCTGCATTGCTTATCGGGAATGCGTCTTGATTAGCATTTGATGACGCAGCGCTGAATGACCTTGTTTGTTGTAGAACTTTATTAGTATAGGTAGAATTTAGATGGAGTTGCTTTCTCTCTTAATACTTGATGAGGTAAGTTTTATTTATACTGGTATTACAGACAATGAATGAAAACCAAATGGGTAATACTAGTGCATAGTGCATAGCCTTTTATGACATAAAAATCCCCTAAGCCCCACCAGCTATGAAACCTACATCATGATAAGGACAAAGATATTTATATTAAAGCGAAGACATTTTTCTCGGTCTTTTTAGGGCTGGCACAGATAGCTTATACGCTTGGCAGATAGCCTATGTCAAAGTTTTGACAATAGTTTGGACATTTTAATCGAAAAGGTTAGCAAACCAATTGAGTGGTTTAGTGGCGCGGTTTCTGGACCAATGTCTATTCTGCAACATATGTCTTTTCCAATGTATTTTCCGGCTTACGTTCTGAGACGAATCAGATATGGTAAATGATTTCCGAGTATGACATTCAATACATGGTGGGTGATTGTTCAAAGGTTAAAGAGACAAAAAACGGTTGATAACCCTACTAGTAGAAGGAAACTCAGCGGGAAAGACGGGAACCATGGCATATTCTTCTACTAGTAACGACTTTGCCCAAAATTTATGGAGAAATTAGAACAGTGATCGTTAGATTAGAACACATAGCGTACGTGCCTGAGTACAAATTAACACTATCACTAATTCCGCCAAATCTGGGAGCGAGGCTGCCAGAGTTGCAAAAAAGGCGCGGGTATTTCCCTGGGGGAATTTCGCTGTATTCTGTTTAGTATATAATTCTGATAAAAGTCTTTATTGGGGCCTCATTGAGCTTGGACTTCTCATGGAGGAACTTCGAAAGGTTTTTGCAGCTGATGTCAGTGATGAACACAGAGCTATTTCATCCGTAATGTTTCGATAACTGGCATTCTTCCTCTTTAACCTGTTTGAAATAAACAGGGGCGCGCGCGAAGTGGGATGTGTGGAAGAGGGGTGTGACAATGCAATGTTAAAAAATTGGTCAAAATACTTCGTTATTGCTCAAAAAATACAGATCAAGTTCGAGTGACTTCGCCATGAATGTCGTATTATCGGTTGTAGCCCCTTACACGTTTTGCCCGTTTTTTGACGGGATATGGATAAATTTGGTTGATAAATTTGGTGCTAGTCTTTCACTCAGCGAATTTAAACTAAGGCATACGACATGAGACGGAGAAAAGGATCATTAAAGGCAAGAATATAAGATAACAGAACCGCGTGAATAGCTGATCGAAGACGATCGAGGGACTTTTCTTATAAACTGATTTAAATCTGTGTAGACATTTAAGGAGGAGGGATACACGCATGCACGAAATTCCGCAGTCGACGGTCTCCCGAATTCAATAAAAGTGCTTCAATTGATCGCATCATCAAATCCCCCAACAATGCTTTATTCCCATCTCCCAAAAGGCACTGGTTATACGCCACCATGCATGCACTTTTGATGTAATATTTATATGTTATAATTCTCTTTTTTATATTTTTCCCACCAAGATCACGCTTGACGCAATTTCTAATCCGATTTTCTTCAGGAGACACGAGGTCTCCCAAATGGATAAACTGTTAAAATATATACAACTGCATCAAAGAAATAAATCAGCGACCAATATATCTTACCCTCGACCATTGTGTTTAGCCGCTATCAGTGGTACGTTTCCCAGCAGACCAGATGAATGAAGAAATCTCATACATTGATACGATAGCAGTCTGAGTTAAAAATGTTGGACGTCGATCACAGACGAATTAAGACGACCAGGCTGTTCTTTTTTCGGTTTACAACAAAACAGTACTTTGATTTTGGAAGAAAGGAAACTTGCAGATTGCAGAAAGGTTCAAAATCCTTCCCTTGGTTTCTACACATAAAGGAAGAAGAACGATCCAGGAAGAAGACGAAGAAGGTCTGTGCGTTTTAAAATACGATACAAATAATTGTGATTTAACCATGATGTAGACAGAATGATTTATGTAGCTTCACCATTCAAATGACGCTGCAAAATGGACTGATAAATTGGTTTTATTCTAATACTAATTAGGGCTATAGTCCATTAGATTAATTTTTATATAATTTGATTAACTTAGTTTAATGGTAGTTATACAGTCATAAGGGAAAGTGGTTTGTTAAAAGGTCAAATTGTACTCTGTTCTAAAAATACCTCTATCCAAACACGTGGGGCTAATTATTTAACAGTCCAAACTGATTCCTAGAGTATTTTGAATAAATCGACACGTACGTTTAAATTCTTTTCGTTCTTTCCATATTTTGATTATGCGCGCTATTGTATCACCCCTGGGTAAAGAAGAACAACAAACCAGAAACATTCCTTTGATTTTAGATAGTGCATCGATATTTTTTCATTGCAAGACTTCTTAAAGAAAGTAGCCTACAGGGCCGTAGCTAGACCGCTTAATTGGAGGGGTGTATATTCATACATTCATGTTTATATACCGTAGAAACAATGGCGTACAAAAGAAATCAGTTGGGCATAAGACGAATATATGAATATACACCCCCCCAATTAAGCTTCTAGCTACGGCTCTGGACTAGCCTAACCTTTCTTTAAACCGACGAAAACAATCTAGTTTTATTTAAAGCCAGCACTGTTTATTCATAGTGCGGTTAAACTTCTTCGACTTCACTACCTAGTACAACGGGGTCCGTCCGAGTGGTATGAGGCAATTCGGTCGGCGCCACGTCAACATGAAAGTAGTGTCCTTTTTGGTTCGTTTTGTTCCTCTGGCCAATATTAGTTCTATTACTCTTGCTATCATATTTGGATTATTCGAATTCATGCAATTCATGAAATGACATTTTAAATAAAAATTTAATTTACGTCTTAATTACGTCTTAATTAAAAATCTAAGTCTTAATTAAATAGATGTCTAAGTGATGCCCTAATTGACGTAGTCGTAGACGTGCGTTTTGTGATGACACTTTAAAATGTGCTTGCTGTTCTGCAAAAATAACGAGTTTCCGAAAGTCTGAACTCCAAAAATTCCCCCCTGACTGCCAAGCTAGCTCGCACGTCCGTTTTTAGCTAGACCTGACCTGGGGTAAGAGTTTTGTAATGTGAACAGGCTTTACCTAGTCCTGACAAATTTTGAACTTAATAGTATGATTTGCATAGGATACATATAGTATTACCACTTTTCGGCATGTTTTAGGTCTTTTTTCAAGTATTTTGTCAATTACTTTGGCTATATCTGATATCAGCAACAAGAAGGAAGAGCTGGAAGACAGTGTGAATGTAGCACACTTACTTAGACTTATCCTAGACCTGGTCCAGGCCAGGTCTAGGCCTGAAGTGTAAACGCGGCTAAAGTAGTTGGTGCAAATGTCCTTGCGATCATTGAAGACTGGTTTTAATACTTTCCACAAAAGACAATTTCAACTTAGAAAATTTCTTGATTGAATGGCATCAAGGCTTTAGTCAATGTACGGGATAGCTCATTCAATCCGTATAACAAACAATTGTACCTCGAAACCAACACAAGCTCCATAAAGATATTCTTTATTGAACATTTAGTGCAACAGTCCAAGTGTAAGGGTCGTATATCATCACTTCCATTAGGAAGGTTGTCGAACCGAATGTTGTTAAATTAAGCCATGCTTAAATGAAATATACAAAGACAAAGCAACTAATCTACAGCAATCATAGGACGTTAATTAGAGTTAAAGGAAATGGCAATAAATTATTTTCATAATTAAAAGAAACGTAAAAACCGTTACAGTGTAGTCAGACATTTTTTAAAATATCGGGTAAGAACAAATATGAACTCCTCCGCCATCTTGGAACTTGTAAATGATACTTCGAATGAAAAACAAAAATTGCTATTTCCTTTCAAATTGTATAAATAAAACCGCACTATATCTACGTCTACGATGATCTATATACATTCAAATTAATGGAGTATGGTTACATCCAAATCATACGCATGCATGGTACTGTTATTGTACAAACAAGTTAAAACAAATCTACAACTATTTATAGCTGATGCTTTATAAAGCGAATCTTCTTAAAATGAAATATTTTTACATCTGCTTAAATATTACGTGTTGGTTACAGTAATATAAACGAATGCTTCCATGTGCAAACACAATTCATATACTAGTACGTTTATAGCTTATTAATATTACGCACAGAACTATTACACGAATAGTACCGGCAAAAACAAATTAAATAAATACATAGCAATTGACAGGGACGCTGATTTCTTTGCAGAAATAAATAAGTTATTCTGATATACAATTTCGATTAAGTATACATTGACGATTGAAGTTTATCACAATTACACTTGGCTGTGTTCGTTGAGGGTTCCCTGGATTCCATCACCCTAAAAGAATAAGAGCAGAAATTCTTAGATCATGCTCTCTGGGCCAAAGTTGAAGGCCCTTTGATACCAGCATCGCACGATCAATTTTGCCTCCCTCCTGACCTTCGCAGTGAAGGTCCCATCTGAGTTTAAGCAAAAAGGGAAAATAATCATGTCTAGAGGAAAGTAATGACATTCTAACAACAAACTTTGCCTTCTTTTGATGGAATACATTCTAAATTGCCACTAAGATCCTGATGGAGACAAAGAGAAATTCTTTTGGGAGAGGACCCCAGTCCTCTACTAGCTTCTCATGCCTTAAACTTGCCATTTTCAGTTAATTCATTCCCGAATAAAACATCAAAGAATCATAATATGCTATGAAAAGTTCTTAATCCAGAGATGGATGAATCGTAATTTACTTCACATTCTATACGAGTTGCCTAGATAAATTAATTCTAGCAGTAATATTAACCCTTTGGTAACTTTGTTACAGTAAAGTAAAAACTTACAGAATCCATCCGAACACTTGCGGCACTCCCTTGGGCAGTTTTACGTCCGCGTGAGCTGGCACTTGCCTTGCCTTGGCTGTACATTGATTTAGCTGTAGGTGCCCGCGATCCACCAGCACGAGATGCAGCAGTTCCAGGCCGGGAGTCACCACCTCCTGAACGCAGGCTAGCGCTGCTCTCCCATGTGTTATCCAATTCTTCACGCACTAACTGCTCCATTTGATCTCGTTTTAGGTCTTCTTCAGATTTTGAATTTGCACCCTGCGATATAAAGCAACCGGGGTTAAAATCACAGCGTTATCCTACACTTAATCTTCAAATAGTATTTTTAATATAAACTCTGATTCCTACTTCGGTGATGCTGTCAAGAAGCTTGGCCATAGTTTCTCTGCGTTTCAACTTGGCTTTCTCCATTGCTTCCAGCTTGACAAGAACGGCATCAATCTTGGACACGATACTTCCAATGGAGTGTTCCATTCGGTCCACACGACGGCTCAGCCTAATGAAATCACACATTAACGAATCAATTGAATAAATGCGCTGACCGGCTCTCAGAGTGGTAGAGTACAAAAGGAGGAAGGAGAAACATTTCTTTTAACTTCAAGCTTGATAAACAAAACCCCAGATACTTACACATTGAATTCATCATATGGTACGCCACCACCAACTCCACCAGCACGGCGTCTTGGTGTAGGTGATCCAGATCTTCCTCTCAAACCACCTTCATCATCACTATCCATATCACTGTCGCGAATGCTGACACGACTGGCTGCCGTTGCAGGTCGTCCCTCTTCTTTTGCACGTTCCATTTCTTCAATTTCTTCATTCAGCTCAGCCTGTGATAATACGTTCAGCGTTTATATCATTGGCCATCGTTATCAAAACTAGCCTGCATTAGCCTCATTCCTAAAGATCTGGGGTTCACCGGGAATGATAAGAGAGACGATTATTTTGAATTACCTTTTGTCCTTCCAAATCTTCCTGCATCTTCTTGCATTCCTCCTCATCCAAGACACGGTCACCATCAACATCATATTTGGCAAATACTGCTTCAATTTCTGCATCGGCATGGCCACGGCTAAAATAAGAACAATTGAATCATATTCATCTATTCGATATGAAGATTTGAAAATCAAACCACTAGATTTAGCAGGAATGTGCATGTGTGCACCTCACGTGATAATAATACTATGGATTATCTTTATAAAAAAAGGCTTACGATTTAAGTTCGGTTCTCCATTCTTCAAAATCAAGTTTGCTGTCTTGGTTCACGTCAGCAGTTGCTAGGGCTTTCTGGATATCAGCAATCTTCTCTCTCTTCACTGACAACTTATCAACCACTTTTTGGTATCCCTGTGATTTTGCCATAAACAAAATATAATTGTTGAATAATCCACCACGAATCAGTATAGTTGAATTAACCATTAATTTAATGTAGTCACCACGTGCATTCCCGAAATCCTACATTACGGATTTTATTACCTTCTTGAAGTAATCACCAAGCTCGAATTCGCTCTTTTGCTGGGCAATGTCAGATTTTACTTCGGCATATGTATCATTGATGATGGCCAAGAACATGTTCAGCAGAACGAAGAATACGAAGAAGACGTATGTGATGAAGAATGTTGGACCCAGAATACGGTTAGCATTCTCGATTTGATGGAAGTCGAAGTCACCAAGGATGATACGGAATAGCGTGAATCTGCAGGAATCAAAATCAAATACAAGGTTAGATAAATGTAGTCCATATAAAGAAAATAGTTACTATTACATGACTACTTTGAGAATGAGATATCAACTTTAAACCAAACTGTTTAAAATATCAACAATAAACTTATTTTTACTCACATGCTATTGCCAAACGTGCTGAAGTCACGAACTTGAGTACCAAAGATCAGGTATCCAAGTTGAGCATAAGCGAAGAAGATAATGAAGAACATGACGGCAAAACCAGCAACATCTTTGGCGCACTAAAAATGACAACAACAATCGGCATACTTTGTTTACCTTTAAAAACCTTTCTAATGAAAGAGTATAATGGCCTAAAATCGACATCAGTTGAAATATTGTGCACCAATTGTACATGTGTGCTTCTGATCTTACCTTGGCCAGCGTCGATGATAGTTGGGTCATGGTCTTATTAAAGCTGATATACTTGAACACCTGAAATTGATGTTGACAAAATGTTAAAAAAAAATTTTTAAAAAAATTCTAAAAAGATTCTAAAAAAAATTTTTGTCAAAAAATCTAAACGTGCCTTGATCCACGAAAAGAATACAGCAATGGCAACGTTGTTATTGAATTGCGTCTGCCAGAAACCAATACTATCAAAGTTTGCATATTGTTGCGGATTATCCAACAGCGACTCGAGCAGATTTCCAACAACCACAGTACGATACAGATGGAAGAGAACAGCAATATAGCCAAGAAGAAGCACGACAATATCAAGGATATTCCAGAAACTCTTGAAGTATTGTAGTTTATGCTTTTTGATTTCGATAATTTCTTCAATGGTATAATAGATGAGGAATAACATGAATAAGCCTTCACATGCCATAACGAAGTGGTCAAAGCCGGTCACGTAACGAATCAATTTCAAAGTTCTGAATGTATAGCTTGGAATACATCCACCAGTTGCTGGGTATTCAAATAATAACCTAAAAAGAAGAAGATTAAATACAAGGACACTGTGCGCTATACGTGCGCTATAAGGGTACGTACAAAAAACTATTTCCTAATTTAAGGGGTTCACGATATGTTAATGTCTTTTGAAGTTCATTAGAAAAGACAGTTTGAAACTCTGCTTTTTTTAAACAACGAAATACGACGATGTGGAATACTCTACCTGATGATGCAGAAAAGATTAATATTGGCATTGTAAACAGAGAAATCGATGAAAACTGCTCGTGTACCACGGTCAAGCCACAAATTTTCCTGGAATTATAAACACAGAAAACATGTTTACGTAAAATACGTAAGTGAGTTAAAATGCGAATATTCGATGCACACGGGTATTCAAACACGTGTAATTTGTATTCTGTATACGCAATAAATAAATAAAAATATTTGCGAAATTAGCATTAAATGCTCAAAATCGAATTGATTGAAATAATTGTATCATTGGTAGGAGCAAATAAATTTTTCCTACCTTCAATTGATCAACAATATTCTGACTCTCAGCTTTTGTTGTGTTGAGCAATTGGGTGAATCCACCTCCTTTGTATGTCGTCAACTGACCCCAGTGACTGCGGCTTTTTAGTTCTTCCTCACTTTTGTAAGTCCAACTAAAACGAAAATTGTGTTTATACAATCAAATTATGCTTGCGATAAAACATATACTGCAAAATTAATTTCAATGCAAATGTTTCCTTATGCTGAAGAATGCAAATTTGAAACGTGGTTGTTTTGAATTGTTTACGTAGCTATTTAACACTTACGCAGAACCATTTTGTAACCCAAATGCTGCCTTGTCTTCCACAGCTGGAGAGTATGGTGCATAACACTCCTTGATAACTTTGCTGAAATCGTCATGAACTCTAAAAAGGGAATTTCAAAGAAACGTTTAGCCCTTGAATTTATTTCTCATTCTACCATTTGCTCGGAAAATATATTCGCAGTAATTATTTATCAACTCTTATATTAATATTTATATACGAGTTGTCTTTAATTTCAAATCAATATTGCATTACCGGAAAAGCAAGAGCGCTTGTCAACATGGAGGTATAGGATTTGTTGAAACAGGAGACGGGCACTATATCACCTAGATTAAATCATTGTCATACCTAAACTTTCAGGAATATAAAAACGATATATACTTACACACATGAATCATTTTTCACTCTGATCTGTCGGAATCGTGGTCGGCCAAGAATTTTGTTTTCAAAGTAGATGTATCCAAGTTCATCCTTCCTTCTGTTAGTAACATTCTGATTGTTGTAATATTGTTCCCAGTAGATTCCTGAGAATAATGGGCCAGATGCATACTAGAAAGGATTAAAGAAAAACGCTGCTATGAGTTTTCATGCATCTTCTGTGTAGAAAAATAATCAAAATTAATGAAGCCTTTGCTAGACAAGCACGCAAAAGAAATATGTTTGGCGGCATACCATAAAGAATTCACTCATGGTCGTGATATCTTTGAAGGTGTTCCTGTTTTCCATTGTCGTCTCAACGAAAAGATCTACCAAGAAGAATACAACATGTATTGGTCGTGAAAATTAATAAGAAATCCTAGAAGCAGCATTTATACTTTTTGCGAAGAAAATATATAAAGCCTATATATGTACAGAGTTCTCAGGAAATTTCCTTAGAAAAGTTTGACTCTATCGAGGGGAGGGAGGAATAGCTAATATATTCTTTTCAAATGTTCTTTGTTTCAGGTTATTCAAAACAACCTCCTCTACAGTAAAAAGTATGCATATTTAAATTGTCAGGCACTGCCTATGTATAGTGATTAAATTTTGCCCTTTTATAAAGTCCTTTTCAAAAGATCATGCATACCTTTCATCACTTTTGTGAAGTAATACATCGTCGAGCTTGTCATTCCAAATGTCACTGTAAAACAAGGAAACTGTTTAGTCTTTTTTATACCTTATTTTTACTTTAGCCACCCAAGATGGTGGACTATCTTGGTGATACATCATATTCATAAGGCAGCTATCTCTTATCTAGATAGGTTATCTACCTATATAGTATCTCCTAAATACTTACATATGCAGAGAACAACAATGAAGAAGATGTAGATAACCAATTCCCGAAGAGTTGTTTTCACGTGCATCTCACGATCCGTATCCATATCCTCCGTCTGTCGTGTGCGCCACAAACCTGATAAATGAAATTTATATTTATTTCACCGTTCACAACAATGGATATTAATATTATACACTTAATATATGCTCCTGAGGCCGAGAGAAATAGTGAGTTTTATTTTCCCAAGAGTCTGACGTTGAGACTCCAGGGAAAACAAAACTCATTATTTCCCGAGGTAGTGTACATTAAGTGTTTTGTTATATAGGAACAAAAACATACATGTTACACAACAATTTCATTTAAAAAAACCCAATTTACTTTGTTGTGACAAGAAACTGCCCGTGCAGCAATCTTTTACTTGTTTCTTGTGGTAGCCCAGGCTAGCACATGCTCGAGTCGTATTTGTATATAAGTTGATAAGAAATAGACTCAAATAGACTTTATACATTATGGCGCCAAACCGGCCCAAACGTTTCGATCTGCGTGACCACAACCCCCCAGAATTCCGTGCGAGGATTATCAAGATAAAAATCGTGATTCACGCATGGAATGCTTCATGGTATTCTGGAAAAACAAACTTTTTACGTCATATTGCCATAAAAGGCCCATTGTTTCATAATCATTCATATCCTATTTTATGAACAAAAATTATCAACACACTAAAAATTTTAGCTAGGCTATTGGATTTAATTTTCTTGTTTTCACTTTTCTCGTGAAAAATCAATTCTAAAGCCTATTTTCATAAAGGACAATTGGAGTTTGGCTATGTTTGGTGTAATTTGACTTGCAGTTTTAGCCAAGGTTTCTATGCATGCGAAGGTTAAATATACCTGTAATGAGATGCTATCATCTCAACGCAAGTTGCATTAACTAAAACATATTCGCATTTTCCTGTGTAACATGAAATTTGCTCAATAAAGTTTTTTCGAAAAAAAAGGCAAATTCACGTCTAGGCAAATTCAGTGTTCTGACAACTCGACCTGTTCGTTGCTAACGCATTAATCATTATGTATTCTGTCAGTCAATCATTGAATTACCAAATATGGTATCTGGTCGTCCGGCAGGTGTACGAAATTGGGAAAGCCTAAATTGAAATTCGCAAACGCAAAATTTAAAACTAGCCTGTGAAAGAGGAAAAAACTCAGAGATATAATAAAATTGAGCAGAATAAACAATTCTGCTTGCGTTAAATTCATTTCACAGGCATATAGCTACATTTTTATAAATTTCTCGACGTATATACTAAGTTACTAACTCGAAGAATATCACAATTGAATGTTGAAAATACGTTTTCCATGCATTTGTACATTGCAGCGTTTTGATAACACGCACTAGTCAATATCACAAACGTGAACTTTCTTAGAATGTTCATTGTAGATTTTTGATAGCCATTGTATATTTTTGATACAGAGATTCGCTTTTATATAATTAGAAAATTCAGTCGGCAGATACTGCTTATCTTCCGAATATCTGCAATTTCCTTACTTGTTTTTCGCCAAATAAGATGCACTAGCATTAAATATACTTTATAAGAAAACTAGGATGAGCAAAAATCAGTCACAGAAAACCCCAAATTGTCATGTATTCGTTTCTACTATGTCATAATCACCTGAATCAACGTATAATCGTATGAATATATTTCTTATAGACTTTGAATTTTACCTATTTGGAAGAGTAGTAATGGCTCTATCTAAACCACAGGCGCGATATTTATTCCTGGCCTGGGACAATACTTCAAACTAAGGATGTCTAATATTAAACTTTTGTTTAAATTTATATACAAGGTCAAATATATTCAAGGTTACGTTATTCATGCAGACGATTTGATAATTTTAGGTTAACACTGTACTGTACATGCAATGTTTTCAATAAATGTATTCATTAGCTCTCTAGGCTGGACTACCTTCTATATATATATATCCTTGTATACAGTATACTAGCAAACGACGTTTACTGACATTTAAACGTCTTGTTTATTATCAAACGTTTTTCAGTATTTTTAGTTGTCCGCGAGAGTAGGATACTCGAGACTGTCGCGTTTTCCTTTGCCAGTTGTTTGTTCAGGGAATGCAAAGACCAATTTACGAAAGAATGAATTCAGGACGGTGAATAATTGCGTTTAAATTCGCCAAACCCGGAGTTTCAAAGACCAGTTCCGCTTTTGGTCATTTGATTCTCTGACTAGTAAGGCTGTGAATGCTGTGTATTTGTGTCGTATTATTTCACAAAAATTGTTAAAACTTTAGCACGCCGCATAATCAATTGAATCGCGTTTCCTTAGATTCATTACAAAATGTTTAATGTAAAAGTGAGCAAAGGTAAAGGTAAACTTACTGCGTACAATTCGCTTGAATCGCGTCCAACATCCGACGGGTACATTACGTTCTTCAACTCCAGCGCGAACATCTGCCGGCATTTGTTTCTGATGTGAGACAGGCTCAGCTTCCATTCCTGTGGGAGAAACATCGACGGCCGTAGCGTTTGCTCTGGGTGAGAAATCTATGTCGTCCGTCACGTCATTCTCATTAGACCAGGCATTTCGCGAGTAAGCTGACGCAGGCCTTGAAGACATCTCCATCGGATGGTCTTGGCCGAGGCTAACTTGAGATCCGCTCTGTTTTCTGCGTTTGGTGTTTGTAAGTTTTTCTGAACTCATTTTAGACCTTCTTTCTTCGCTTCAAACTCTGCTTTGTCCTTCCTACAAAGCGACGAAACACGAATGCGGGTGAACATGAATTATGCACAACATGGAATCTCGAATTTCGTTTCTATAGCTACGGTGTACTGAGGTTAGACCTGCTGTATTAATGAGAAATGACAAATCAATCTAAGCAGGGAGCAATGATCTATTTCGTCCTTATCATTATTGAAGATTAGATCGTCTAAATTTTGCAAACACAGGCAAAACAAAACTCTGTTTTATAAAGATGCTATTAGAGACACGATTATACCCTGTATCGACTATCTTTAATACTTTTCAGATAATTTTAAAATGTGGTTTAATTTTCTTCCCACTCAATGTCCTTATTTTAATATTATTGATATTTTCCTCATCATCGAACCAATCAACAAAAAACAGCTGTACCCTTCATTTCCTTTTAAACCAAAAAATCCATTTTCGAAAAAACATTTCGCATCAGATTGCCCCGAAGCCTATGTAAAACGGTTCCATTTCAAAAAAGATAACAGAGGGGCTGTTTAAAATGTTCTACGCGAGTTTTTTCGTTGGTATATTATGGCGTGCACCTGCCTTGGCGTTAATTATTCATAGTATGCGATTCCCAATGTCGCACACAACATCCATGGCAACAATAAGTATAACCTGTAACAAAACATTAGGAATCGGTCAATATAAAAATTTCGTCACGTTGTCTGTATTTTCTTGCAATTTTTCAGATCCAATATTTTCCACCCTATAATTGCTTATATATCGCGTAATAATTAGTATGGCCTTTTGGGCATCTTCAATTAGCGATTTTATAAGGGTGGCAAGTTTATACTCTTCGGTGAAAGTTGTTAATTAGAATGGATGCAATTAGTTCGAATTTAGTTAGGCTTAGCGGATAACTAGATAAGCACAAGAAAAGGTTATGCACTTTGATTTATAGTCGAGTTGTCTGTTTGTAATGTAGACAATGACAAATCGAGTATATGCCTAAGCCTAGTTCTCATATGTCAGCAACAGTTTGCGGATGCCTATTGACTGCCGGTGATCAATCATGAATAAAGTAAAGTGTTTTAATATCAACGCATAATTTTAGAGAGATGGAAAAACACTATCTGGTGGATAGCGCTATCCTGTTTTCGTACAACTGGCCCCTGGACGATAAAGTTTTATTTTAGAAAAATGGGATCTTCGACAGAGGGTATTTACAAAATGGTATTTCTTTTCAGGTTTCAAAAACCTGTTTTACTTGTTAACTTGTCCGCACTTAATTTTGGGTGCTAGATTTCGTCTTTTATCTTCATGTTAATAACCACAGGCGGTTCTAGTACATTGTACAGTTCGACAAAAGCTTCAGAGTTCAGTCTCACAACTAAAGAAAACGGAAAGGCAAATAGATGCATATATCAAACTGAGTGATGAAGCTATTACGCGGATTAACTAATTGTTCCAATAACCAAGCATTCTCAATTGAAGACTGTTTTCTACCTCCCAAACCATTTTTTAAAATGCGTATAATCAATTCGGCAGTGTGATTCTGCTCTTGAATAAATGAACTTACATGTCACGTGACAAACGTATGGCTATACAAATACAAGACTATGACGTCATTTGCAAAATGAATGCAAATACGCGTATTTGAAGCCAAACAAAAGCATAGCCAAGTTTTTTATCAACTTTTCAGGTAAAGTTCTAATAAAAGGAGAATCCAATGTTAAAGAAATGAAACCTAAATTTCTTTATGAAGTGAAGTGATTACTAGCCTGCGTGCGGACGTATAGAGAAATAGTAATTACGAGCACAAATAACGACATTGCAGTAATTAATTAGCATGCAATCGAGACACAAATATTACCCATGGTGCCAGCCGGGTATGTATATGTACAATTTCGTACAGTTGCTCAAAGTGTGTCCGAAACGTTCGAAACATTTAAGATAAGTATCCTCCGCTTAATGCCAACCATTGGAGGACCTAAAAACGTGCATTATTACAATTCATGGCCAAACGGACAATTAAGATTGACGAATAATCTTAATAATAATAATGATTTTCATGCAGCAAAAATTAACCAATATTCTCTATACTAACCAACAAAGACAGCATGCAATAGGTAAAAAAAAACGTCCCATTTCGCATACGCATGATTGCAATCATTTATAATTTCGTTATTCCTGATCGTTCATGCCCTATGTAGGCATTGTAAGCTATTCACTATTTATGACAACAGAAGGATCTTTAGGATTGTCAAATCGATCCATAGACTTGATGCTGAGAAGCGCCAACATTCCTCCATATAAAATGGCGACCAGTACACCGACTGAAATGAGACCCATCCATATTACTGGAGTAAAAAATCCAACGCAGTCCACGGAATTATAAAATGTATAGTTTTTCGATCCAGATGGTTGTAACTACAATACAAGAAGAGGAGAAATCTATAACCACATCCGAAATAGGTTAAGGGTTTTTAAAGTATGTGTAATATATTATATAAGATTAAATTTAATTAAAACGGTTAGTAAAAACATAAATTATTAATATTATATCACAATTAAATAGAGCAACTTTTGTATCTACTGATAATTATTCACAGAAAATTTACGAAATAACTATGATTAAAGTGATACATACTAAATTTGTACACGCCGTAAGTAGATGAGTATAGGGTGAGTGAAGAAAGGGAAGAAACATACGATTAAAGACGAAAAGAACGTTGCGATCAATAACTCAAGTCCTAAGTCCTGAGCCTAAATATTTATTTCAGTCTTTTCGTTATTCTCACGGAGGTAGAAAAAAGCACGAGATAAGACTGAATATGCCATACATGACTGGATATCAAAACAAATAAAGAAGGAAGTTGTGAGAGTAGGAGATAATGGTGTTAAACCTGCAATGAGCCACTATTGCTTTTAGAATAAAAGCATAAATACCAAAAAAAAAATATTTCAATATTTCAATAAATTTCAATGTTCAGTATGCCGACAGGAATACTTTCAAGTACTTCAGTCAATCAGTCTATCGCCATTTTTAAAAGTTTTTAGGAGGAAAGGGATAGATGCACTAATACTTTTCACAGTATGTGTCTAGAACACGACGGTATTTCGTCACAAGACTTTGAGTTTGTAATGAATCATTTAGATTGAAGAAAACAAAAGTACATAGCTATAGGCCATAATATTCGCATTTAGTGCAATTACGTCCAGGTGCAGTCTTGAAAATCATGCAAAGAGTACCTCGGTTGCAAAAGTCGATTGTAGATCGAGAATTCATGCACTAACTATAATCGTCGAAGCAAGAACTCGCTAACATGTGTTAGAGCGTCCTACTCCATGCACTTTGCGTCATATGCTTTAACAATAAGCCGTAAATCATCATGCAGCATATCACAGATGTACGGACTTACCTGAATAGCGGACAAATTCAAGTAATTTTCAAAAGATCCATCGCTATAATTTAGCCACAGCTGACATGCGAACGACCTGTCAAAGGGTGCCCAAATATTTGAGCAATCATACGAGGCATTGAAGGCTTCTCCATCTGCTGTACCATTTATTTCAATAGAGCCACACCACCAACGCACTCCAGTTTTGTTGAAATTTACGCTTAAATTTTTAAGGAAATAAGAAACAATAAGTTAAAAACTTGTTACATGAATTTTATTTCTAAAAATACGTGAGGCAGCATGCATGGATACAATTTGGCCCATGTAGCTGTGATGTTTTACTTCATGTAACGTTGCATGAATATATTTTTCGAATTATTTTGGAAACATTAGAAATTAACATATTTTTATATTCTTGCTTGAAATCACCTAGAGGCATTTCTGAAACGTTGTTTTATTGGAATGAAAATTTATTGCCAGTTGTGTATAATTGGCTCCTACCTCATAATTACATCGCTTTTTTTAAAAACATCTTTACCAAGATTAAATGATAATCTACATAAAAAAACGAGAAAATTAGTTTGTTTAAAAAGCCTCAGCCTCAAAACTGCAGAAAAGACTTTTTGGTTGGCAAATAAAAACGCCATTTAATTAAGAGCAAACAATCATTGAATGCAACTATGATTGTTGTATGGGGGCTTATAGCTTCGCCAGTAAATTTGGAAGACTTTCAAAGTTACAAGGATTAGTAACAAGGGTCAATATACGTACCTCTGACCATTACTAATAGTGGGAGAAATAACTTTACTGCTGGTGTTCTCAAAGGAATCATTGGAATTTTTTCCCCAAGAAAGGAAAATACTCTTTATGTACAACAAAGTACCGTTCCCATTCACCAACACTCCGGTGTAATTGCAGGGGACCTTCATATTTGAATCATCTTTCGAATCATCTGCAGAAGAGCGACGTTCTCGGGTATGAGCCACTGACACCTGACGTGCATCTGCCATTCCGCTTCGAATATCCTGTAAAACGAGATTATTTTACCCGCTTGAAAAAACTCGAGACTTAAGATACACAACGTCAACGAGAGTTTCATACGTCATGCATCCTCGCTTGTTCACTACGCAGACAAACACAGATTCTCGCGTCATATGCAGAACGCGGGCAATTCAACAAGTGCAATTTGAAATTCGAATTTGAGGAACTCTTCTTTCGCCCATAAAGCGATGCCTTTAGTGTACTCAAATTTATAGAGGTTTTCTTTACGTTTTTCATGAAGTCCGCTTACTGACCCAATAAACTATCACTATATATACGTACAGTCGGGCAATTCCAAATAAAGTAAAAATATTTCATAATTGCATTTCCACAGCCACAATGAAAATACGAACATGGACATTTACTTACATCACGTGGCATATCGGCGGTGAGCAAAGCAATGTAATCAGGAAAATGACCAGATAAGATATCTGACACCTGACCAATAATTTCATCTATAAATAAATCCAAATTACGCTCAAATATTTTCGTTTTACGTAGGGTTGTGATAGAATTAAGATAAAAAACACACGTAGTTCTGACGTTTAAAAATTTAGTTACTACATTTTCAATTGAGAGATACCTGCAACCATGCATTGAGTCTAGTTTTCTGATAAGAATAATTCAATTCTGACACGAAATGTAAACACTTGTGCATGACCATTAAACACGTGTGTAGGTTAGATTAAACATGCATCAGATTGGCATTCATGTTCAACAGTAAGCTGGCTATCTACCAATTGTATTTCAATAGCCCAATCTTAGGGACATGAACACTTGACCCAAATATTCTCAAGGATGCACGAATGTTTACCCTCAGCGAATTTCCAGCATTAAACTTCCAGCTCGTTGAGGATATATATATTTTACTATTTTCTTTCATTTCAACTACTGAGTGGTATCTGACGAGAAAAGCTCGTAGTCGACTTCCTCGGTACGTTAAAGAAAGAAGAAATAAAAGCTCACCACTAGGCTGAAGATTACGCATTGAATTCTCTCCACTAAAAACGAGAATGTTTATTGTCATTGAGAAATATTTTTAGGGTGTCTGTGCACAAAACATCGAAGTTAGGCTACTGTAATTACCACACATTATATCGTTGATATATACATGAAACTGTTCACAATCTACAGCAATTATGATAGTGAGGAACTTTACTGTGCTGGGGCTGGTTGTTCAAAAGGCGTTTAGCTTAAACGGTGGATAAGCCAAGCATCAAAGACAAAGCATCTTGTAGGACATTATGACGTCAGTGCAATGAGTTTATAAAAAGAAAACAGGGATAACACATAAGAAAACTTACTTTGCTGCCTTGGGAAGATGTACTATAATCACTGTTGGTTCATCTGTTGGCAATGATTTGATCTTTTTTGGGAAATCTGTAATATCTGAACAATCGAAACATAACATGAGAGTTTATAATTTCTCGCGAACAATTTCATTGTTTTAGAGTGGAACCTTAACAAAATCGTCTACGGAATGACAAGGACGATCATTATTTAAATTAAAGTTCTGCAAATAACTAGCCAGGCATAATTCAGGTTAATAAACTGCATGCACAGTCAATGGGACATGTTTCCACTGCAGCACAAACCAGTTATTGACATCCTTGCCATTTTCATGCAAGACTTTTAGAGGCCTACAATTGTTAATAACATTATCTCTCATCGCTGTTGTCATTCCCAGCATTTTTTTGAGAAAAGTACTCTTCAAGAATGACTGCGACATTCATGCACTACCCAACAACTATAAAATACCAACCTTGAGCAGTTAGAGGTATAACTGCCCCGTGTGAATTCTTCTTTAAATATTCAACTAATTTGTTTTTCCCTTTCTCACTAAAATCTTGCTTCAAAGAGACTGAAGGTAACACTATGGATGTAGGTGATGAATGTAAAACATCCTTCAAATGCTTCAGATCTACACTTGGAGTAGCAGCAAAATCGTCGATACTTAACTAGACAATAAATCAAAAATTTCCAGATTTCATACACTATTGTATACTCTATTCCATTTTTTCAAAGCGGAGATAAATACAAATCTATAATTTGTCATGTAAAATAACGCCAGCCTCCGAAGATTTCAAAATTATGGGGGCGACGACGAAACCCACAATTCAGTTTTTAAATCTATGTGAAATTGATTTTTTACAAAAGATCTACACAATGCACGATCGTTCCCCCGAGGGATCGCGGGCTCTGGTGTCGATATTGACTATAATTACTTAATGAAACGCTATTTAGCTTCCAGGGCATTTTCCTTGTGATATATAAGGCTGCGTTCAGACTATATTTCCCGGCATCGGTGCCCAAAGTCAAAACTGGTTCATACAACATGCTGAGCACAGTGCCTTTGTTGAGTTCTACCTCTGGACTTTGGAGGTAGTGCCGTTCTTAGGCACCATGCCCAATTTTAATTTGGAAGCGTCATGTTCAACTTCGGCGCCAGAAAAAGGCATCGTGCAGTGCTGGGCACTCTGTCTGAACGTAGCCTAATACGCATGTGAAAAATTGTGTGTTAATATCATCTTACTTTATCTTGCACGAAAAGACAAATCGTCTTTGACTGCTCCTTCAATTTATCCAGATATTTAACTTGAACATCTTCATAATTTAGGGTATGCCCTTCCAAAATTTCATCATCAACATCCACGCTACAAAATAAAGGCGTTTTTTAAGACGAATGTGCAGTACATATGGATGAGTGAATACTCTTTCTTGGATGTCTCCTGCTATACGAGTCTTCTCGGTCTTCGTGATTGCCTTCGGAGAAACCACTGATAGTTCAGTGATTGATCAGTGGGAGGAACGTGTGCACGTGTATTCATTTACTATTGATTTAAATATTCATTTGCGTAGTTTTTATATCTGAACGAGTTCGCGTTTGTTTAATGTCGTTCAATGTATTTCAACACGAAATAAACTTTATTAAAATGCAAAATATTGAATTATTGAAAAAATTGATTTTTCACATTTCCATATACACAGGAATTGTTAAACTCAATAAAGAAATCGGTTGGGCAGAACGGAATATATCGATGTACACGAGGTTATTACGTCCCAGGGGTCGGTTGTATCAAGCCCGTTTAGCTTAAACGGTGGTTAAGTTCAAAATAGAAAAAAAGTCTATCGTTTTACTCAACAAGCAAACTAAATGTTTTTAACCTTAATACAAAGATACTGTTTACAACTACATATTTAGTAAATAATATTCAACTTCACTCATTCAAGAAAGATGTAAGAGTGCTATTTAATTTTGACTTATCCACCGTTTAAGCTAAACGGGCTTGATACAACCGGTCCCAGATAGAGTACGCATGCACTTCCGGTGTCAAGCGAAATCTCTGACCTGTGCGAAATTACCAGTGGCAGTGGAAATTACTGACTCGGCCGATCTTTATAATTTATATTACATTTATATTTCATATTAAATGTTATATGTTCTATCTAATAGTAAGTATAAAGTATTTCTTTTTTTTATAAAGTATTTCTATTTATAAAGTATTACATTGTTCTCAAAGAATATGTAAAGCCGGTTTTCCACTAGCGATATTTTTCGCGCGAAGCGATTTATTCCTTTGTATTTGAGCAATTTGTTCCAGATGGTTGCAGTTGAGAGCTCTGGAACAAAAGTAAAATGTCGCTTCGCGCGAAAAATATCGCTAGTGGAAAACCGGCTTAAGACAATGTAATTTTCAGCTTTGGTTTAGGAAATATTTGGCAAATTAATGTTTGAAATTATTATGACTATAGAGTATAGTCTATATTTGGCCATCTACATGTATATTGTATATTAAATTCTTTTCGAAGGTTCGTCCGAGTTTTTCAAAGGTTCGTCCTTCAGACTCATGCATTTTGAACTCTTGAAAAACCCACTCAAACTTCAGCGGCGTCCTGACTAAATTGTGCGGTGTTCGATCGCTATGAAATTCAAGTTCTACATACCTTGTGTTTATTTATCTGTGTTTTAGGCTTTGTATCGACACTGGCAGTACTAGTCCTAGTTGTAAAATTAGCCATTTAACAACGATTAAACGATTAAAATAAAGCTTTTAAGACGCACGCTTTCTCTGAAGCCGAACACTTGCGAAATTTATGAGCAAAAATAAATCATGCATATCATTGCGCATGTGCAGAAACGTAAAAGTCAAAGATTTCGCACGTCAGAGATTTCGCGTCACACCTGTCGAATCTCGTGACTATAGACGAAGGTCACACAACAGTCAGATGATTGTCTATCGCTTTTGGTAATCTCAACAAAGATGAACTGCTCTTTATTACTAGTGATATATTTTATTGCATTTGTCAGTAGAGTGCAGACATTGAATAATAGACCAATTATAGGTATCGTGGCTCAGTCGACTAAAGGCACACCAGTAAAAGCCTTGGGAAAGTCCTATATCGATGCCGCTTACGTGAAGTACATTGAATCATCGGGAGCCCGTGTCGTCCCAATAAATACAGGTCTTACTGATAAAGAGGTCGTGAATATATTTCAATCGATAAATGGAGTTCTCTTTCCAGGTGGAGATGTTAGTGTAACAAATTCTGATTACGCAAGAATTGGCAATATAATTTATAACCAAGCGATGACAGCTTTTGATAATAATGATTATTTTCCACTGTGGGGTATATGTCTTGGCTTCGAACTATTAAATGTAATGGTAAGCGGCTCGTCTTCGGTTTTATCTCCAAGCGACTCCGAAAATTTACCATTGCCACTTGATTTCACTCCAGACTATCGGGAAAGCAAAATGTTTGCAAACATTTCACCTCGATTGGCAAAATACCTCAGTACAGCACCAACCACAATCAACTTACACCACAACTGTGTGACTTCGAAAACATTTACAAAAGAAAAAAAATTACGCGATTTCTTTCGAGTGTTATCCACCAACATTGGCAGAAAAGGCACAAAATTTGTTTCAACTATGGAAGGAAATAAATATCCATTCTATGGCTCGCAGTGGCACCCGGAAAAAAACCCATTTGAATGGACGACAGCCCTGAATATTCCCCATTATGCAATGTCAATTGAGGTCACCCAATACATGTCAAATTTCTTTGTAAACCAAACACGGTTGAATAGACACAAGTTTAAATCAATCGAAGAGGAACAAACACATTTAATTTACAACTATTCACCAGTATATACTGGAAATATATCAAACTGGGAACTTACTTATATTTTCCACTGACAAACATTAAAAACATTGTATTCACTGCAAATGTACAAAATTTTATGGAATGTGACTCCCATAATCGGCATTTAGTCGTCGCTATAGCGTAGATTTATTAGGGTCTAACTCCTCCTACATGCACAATAAATAACTGCATGATAAATAGAATGTACGCTATGCCCATAATATGAACAAAAAATATTGATTTTTGTTTTAAAATATCTACCAAAGGTTGTTTTTCTTTTGATACATTTAATTCGTTCTGGTTTTTTTGTTGGGGGGTTTATATCGATCCTTTGACTGTTTCAATGTTTCATAAAATTCAAACATTGGCTTAAAAGATATTTTTGAACACTTTACAAGAATTGCCTTTACGTTTATTGTTGACCCAGCTACCCTCCTCATTCAATATGTCAGAGAACTTTGTCACCATGATAATAATATATCCACCTGAAGCCTGAAGCCTTGCCTGAGTGACTCATGCCTTGCCATTTGTGCCTGACATGCTGGTTCATTGTATGACAGTAATCGAAGCAAAAGACTCCACCTCTTCTTAACTTTACCCTAACGACACCTGTTTTAAAGCTTTCACTATACTCAGCATTCATAATTCTCCTCAGCACTAGACAATAGGTATGACAATGCCAAGGCATATTCATCGTTATTATTTCTCTCATTTCTCTCAATTTTGCTTAGGCAAAAATATGCCAATCACTAGGAACGACTAAAGGCTCCCACACACTCATCGCAGAAACTAAGTCGCAAGCTAATTTCGTCCAATAGTGCAAGTAATTTCTTTCAATCGTGAAGCTTGACAGTTTATTTTAATTGGATGCAGACACTCACAGCAAGCTTGCAAGTTGATTTTGCAATGAGTGGAAAAGAGCCTTAAAAGTAATTGTTGTTCGCAACATGTACATTGAACAACTTTTACAAAACAAATTAGCTATAGCATGCTTTAGAAGATTAAACTACAACTGTTAAATAATTTACTGTGGCCATAAAAACTAGAATGAAACTGACAGCAAGCATATATACAGTTTTTATACACTTCCTTGAAAGCCTAAAGTACACATGTCTTTGAGCTGGGTAATAAGTATTTTTAAAAACTGCATCAAGCATCTCATTAGCCAAGTTTCCAAAGAAACGTAGAATTGACGGTTTTCGCGGCAAATGTATTTGGATTCCGCCCATATTTAATAATTCCAAATCACACAACATGGTCCATAGTCATAGACCATAGCCATATTTGTACAAACATTCAACGATTTAGGTTAGATCACTTGGTTCACAGTATGAAATTATAAAACAAAATATTTTTACCTTTTAGTTGACCAAATCAGAAGTGGAACAGGATAGGAATTTGCGTTACAATAACGAAAAGAAATTGCAATAAGAACAAGCAGAAACGTCCAAGCGGTGGCCATCTTGATTATCAACTGATCGATTTTATGTGACGTCATAGACCAGTGGCGTTAACTCGAAATCGAGGCCATCTGCATCTTGTGGATATGAATGCATATCAAATTGCACGAATTATGTTTGCTTTTCCTTCTGCGTAGCAAAAGTGCGCAAACTGTACTGTACAATTTCTTTTATGCGATGTAGCAAAAGCGCCCCAAAATGTCATGGATGCGATTGATTAAAATCCTTACACAGAACTGGGCGTTGATTTTAAGGACCTACAAGATACACAAGATAAATTGAAGTGTATAAGTACAGATGTGCTCGACGCACTGGCTATAGTCAAGCTAGTCTGCTAGTGGAAGGAGAGTTTCAGTTTCAGTATTTATAAGTACTGGGTCTTAAAGCATTATTTCGGTAACTATAGTCTCGCCAGACCATTTAAGTTTGTGGTCAAGGTATACTCATGACACGGCGTGCATGATAATTAAACCTGCCTTACCTTCTATTATACTGTATATCCCTGATTTGAACTTAAAACGTATCTTTATGGATATGATGAAAAATCAAACAAGAGTCAATTTCCTTAAAAAAATCTCGTAACCTCTATACTATATTACTTAGAATATCAAAATATATATCTCTTTTACTGCACGAATTGAGGGACCACCCGGAAACAGAGTTAAATGAAATTGCTACCGGTCATGACTGATCTACGCTACGGTTTTTTTTATAAACCTGCATCAGCTTCGCTAGTTCGTTCCTTACTCTTAGTCAGCCGCACTTTTGGTTAGGCCCTGTTAAGCAAGGCCGATATCGAATAAATAAATAATACCGGCAGTGGCATGACTTATACAGCATTAATCTTCGTTTGCCGAAATTATTTAATTTAAAACATAATTTTAATAAATCTATAAAGCTTTAACTTCACTGAGTGAGACAGTGATATAATCTCGTTTACCACCCGTGTTGACCCTGCTTGATGCTTCTCTAGTGCGGCTTATTCTTATATATCCGCCGCTTTTCTGTCGTTTTCATGCAGGATCTTTCAGAACCCTGGGTACGAGGTTGATTCGTTTTTTGTTGTAATATGTGACTCAATCGCGTTATTCGTGTATGTAAACTATGTAGCTACATTCAGGTGGGCCAGATTTTATTACACTGTTCAAGTTTCTATATAACTTAACACTTTTTAAAGAATTCGCAGGGTAGAAAATAAATACAAATTAATTACATATGGGTATTGCTCAGGTCAGCGATTGCTTTGCTTCGGCAAGCGTTTGGTCCTCAAACGAGCTGGAGTATACAAAGTACAAAAATTAATGACATCTTGCAGAATCTTTTTTGCCATTTATTTTCTGAAACTGTCGACTTTTTGATACTAGTCCCTTGAATATACATCTTATATCTGCGGCTCTCTATTCTTCCTTTGCAGTTTGCAGAGCGGCTATAAGCCGTAAAAGCTTATTCAATCATTTTTCGAACCCTTCTTGATATTGTGCAGCCAAACTTGGCAATTATACTAGTTTCTGCATGCTCTTAGTTTTGGCTGTGGTGATTTATTTATTTCTTGTTACCTAGATCACAAGTTGGTCTATTACGCAAGTGGGCCATTGAAATTCTAAACTGTTGGTATACGAAATTGTATGTGTATGAAAGAATTTATAAGTAAACGTTTTAATCATATAAAAAATTCTTCGCAAATATAAAGTGAATCGAATTTGGATCAAGTGTGAGAAAATCTGGTGGTAGGCCTTATATCTATTTACGAGGTATAAAATGAAGAAATTTCAAACTCCACTTGAGCTAACGTATAACTCAATTGACAAGTTAGTAACAATAGTTTTCTAGTTTGTAGTATGTTTAGTTCAATATATAATAATTCAATGTATAATAATTTATTATAACAATTTCGTACCCTAAAAGCATTTCAATTCGCAAATTTCACGCCATTACACTGTTTGTCATTACGCCCCTATACGGCTATACGCGTTACGCTAATTACCATGCAACACCCGTCTGAAGCAACACATCAAAATAAATTACAGATCATGAGCTGCTATTGTTCACTACGTTGATTCCAATTTCCTTTAAAGATGCATGGGTTGCCAATAATCACATTATCTGAATAATATGAAAAGAACCGCCATCTTCCGTCTCAGTAAGCTATAAGCTCTTAAAGTTTGGAGCAAAATTAATTTTTAACGTGCTCAATAATTAAATTATGATAAACACATTCCTTACGTATTATGTAAGCGTGTATATTTTAAAAGACAATTTTTGTTTCAGCTGAACTCTTGCACCTTTATTGTCCTTTGTTGTGCTTTTTTGATTATAAAAGCGCAGTTTCCTGCAACTTGTGCAATCATTTTGCAACGATATCGTTTGGAGAGTTTGCCCATTACGGAGACAGTATTATCAAAGTCACTGGTTTTTGAGAAGTAAGATATTATAGTAATAATAAATTATTGCTCATTCGTACTTGTTTATGAGCCTTATTTTTTACGTTTGTATCAACATGCCTCTTTATCTATTAATATTATATATATCTGCATGCCTCAATACTGATCAATTGCTAACGCAACAGCTAAACTGTTACAAAATGGGTCTGCAAATGCAGTTGATTATCAGGTTTACCATGTCCTTCAGAATTCGAAGATAATAGTCGTCAGTTGCCGGCCTGTCAACCTGACGCATTAACATTAACTCGGGATCTCTGCATGCTACAGTTTCTCCTTTATCAACCAGGGTTAAAATTACTATATTTCTCTCCATTCTTGACAAAATAGTCAGAGTAGCAAAGAAATTTTTCGTTTCAGAAAAACGCACACCATGTCGTCTATCAGTTTTGTGTTCTTTGGCTTCGCGCTGTTTCTTACGAGTCATTTGAGTGACTGTGGGGTTCTTCGCGAAACCTCGTCAGATGAAATAGAAAAACGATCTCTGAGCCGTCCAGTAATTCTTAGTCACTGACTTACAAACTAACGTAATGCTTACACGGGTTCTATGACAATCACTGATCATACAGTATTTATTTATTGTTCAATATTCAGAGTAGTGACATAACGCTGAATTTCCAACATGGTATGCGAGATTTTGTCGTCAATGGTAAAGGTGTTGGCATTCAGGGAAAGGTTTGTCATTTATTTTAAATTACTGCATTTACAATTGCATGATTTTTTCAATAATCAGAGCTCTAAGGAGATGAGTGCAAATCCCTCTTTTAGACGTTGGTCGCTTTCCAAGCTACGCTGACGTCGGGTAATATTGGACCCAACTATTCCCTTGGTGCTATCCGATTCAACACCGTTGATCTGAATACTGGAAACGGTTACAATCCAAGCACCGGAAAATTCACTGCCCCCATTGCAGGTCTATACCAGTTTTCTGCATCATATCTTCAGCTAAATGGCTACAGCTCTTGGGTAAGAGTGATGAAAGGCAACACAGTTTTCAGTGATTTACATGCAAACCACAAAAACTACGATCAACTATCAAAGACCATTCTTGTGGTTTTGGCAAAGGGCGAAACCTTCTGGGTTAAGTTGGAGAAAAGCAGCACTTACGCTGTAAACGGTGCAAGACGATATACCCAATTTGGTGGTTTCCTACTTTCTCCCACTAAGTAGACTGAACATGATATGAACTGTGATATGGCTTTTAGACGTAACGGAAATATGACGTAATTTTTTTATAAACTGTTTTTATTAACCCAATATTACATACCACATCGATAACGATGTATTAGTTGTATTCACTTTTTCACAAATAAATATTTCATTCAATAAATCCATGGTAATGCTAAAAATATTTCAACCTTCGTGTACAACCCATTCAAAAATCTCGACTCGACAAAGGCCGCTTTTTCTAATATTTTATATAAGATCGAAGTGCGTCTATGTATGTGCAGTATATAAAATGATCTCCTCTCAGCATCTCAGCTGTATGATATGGTACAAGATAAAAAACATTATAAAAACTGTAGCTGGTTCCAGCATCTTCGCTTTACCACAACTGTACTGTGTTTCCTATTTGGGAATTACAAATCACACTGAAAACAAGAAAAAGCAAATGGTGCATGTGGTTGAATTACGCCTTCCAATTTTTTTCATACTGACGTCACTTTGTAACAAAAAACATCTTTCAGGATGCTCACGAGTTAGAGTGAAATAGGAACTGCAAGTAGCATCTTGGATTTCAACTGTATGTCATGTCGAAGAGAATAAAATTAATTGCCGTCACTGCATATAACAGAGGAGCAAATCAGACAGTAAGATCTCCCCCCCAAAACGTTTGTTTCCGTCGATCCCAAAAGTTCAATGTTTTCTCATTCATTTTCATAAAGCAACCCTGCATTCTTGTCAAACATACGATGAATAGTAAAGAACACGGTGCCGAAAGAGGTAAATCAGAATTTTAGACTTTCCAGATAGACAATTGACTCTTTTCAAATAGCCGGCAAATAAGACCAACTAATCATTTTCTATTTCCTTCCAAAATCAGAAGATTGAACAATACTGGTTATCCATCTCCAGTGTTATTTATAATTGTGTTATTTATAATCTCTATGGATTTAATGTGGTTTAATTTAAAGATATACAGTTGTTTAACTCGCGGCGGAGCCCTCTGATGTTGCTGTCCCTCAATTCCAAACGCTCACGCCATTTCACGCGCCACGAAATTGCAAAAGACCATGACAGACCGTGTCGCCACAGTGGTGTCGCTGACTAAATTTATATGCAAATAGTTAATAGCAAAACAGCGTTCGAACGGTTAGAAATGCTTATTTTACAAAGGTTGTTTACACGATGGAGGTTTGGCTATTAAAATTTTACAAAAAAATGATACGTGCTTTTGAAAAAGTATTGAAATGAAAAGTATTGACAAAATAAATGAAAAGTATTGACAAACTACATCAATATTACATTATGAAAACAAGCACGCAATTTTCATAGTTGACCAGCTCGTGAAAGAGTAAAAACCGATACAACCATAAATTTTGCACTGGTTTTTAAAATCTTCAAATGACTATTTTACTACTTCATTCATCCAATTCATCCAATTCCTTGATAAAACCGTGCAGCTCCAACTCCTTTTATAAAACACGCGACAGTGAAGCAAATCCACTGGGCATATTCGCCAAAATCGTTGTTTTACTGCAAAAATGGACTATTTTCCTACCTTTTTCTATATTACAAGATGTCATGACACGGTCTTTTGCTTTGCGCGTGCGCATAACGATGCGAGACAAGAATTCCTGCGAGTTCTAAAACAGTGGTGACGTCATAGACCAGTGGCGTTAACTCGAAATCTAGGCCATCTGCAACCTCGTACCCAGGGTCTTTACTCGTGGGGAGGGATCTGCATCTTGTGGATATGCATGCATATCAAATTGCACTAATTATGTTTGCTTTTCCTTCTGCGTAGCAAAAGTGTGCAAACTGTACTGTACAATTTCTTTTAATGCGATGTAGCAAAAGCGCTCCAAAATATCAAAAATGCTTACACAGAGCTGGGCGTTGATTTTGAGACAGCAAGCATATATACACTTCCTTGAAAGCCTAAAGTACACATGTCTTTGAGGTGGGTAATAAGTATTTTTAAAAACTGCATTGAGTATCTCATTAGCCAGTTTCCAAAGAAACGTAAAGTTGACGGTTTTTGTGGCAAATGTATTTGGATTCCGCCCGTGTCAAATAATTCCAAATGACACAACCATGGTCCATAGAACATTCAACGATTTAAGTTAGATCACTTGGTTCACAGTATGAAATTATAAAACAAAATATTTTTATCTTTCAGTCGACCAAATCAGAAGTGGAACAGGATAGGAATTTGCGTTACAATAACGAAAAGAAATTGCAATAAGAACAACCAGAAACGTCCAAGCGGTGGCCATCTTGATTACACTAATTATGTTTGCTTTTCCTTCTGCGTAGCAAAAGTGTGCAAACTGTACTGTACAATTTCTTTTAATGCGATGTAGCAAAAGCGCCCCAAAATACCATTGATGCAATTGATTGAAATGCCTACGCAAAGCTGGGCGTTGATTTTGAGCACTTACAAGATACACAAGATAAATTCAATGAAGTACATACGGTAGTCCGCCGCTAACTTGAACTCACTTAACTCGAACTCCTCACTAACTCGAACTAAATCCAATTCTTCTTGGATTTGGTAAAGTTCTCTATAGTAATTTACTCCGCTTAACTCGAACTCGCTTAACTCGAACTCCTCGCTAATTCGAATAATTTTTTTTCCCTTGGGCTTGGTCGAATATATCCGGTTAAAACTCGAACGTTGGTTTCGAATCATAGATCAGCAAACTTTAAAATGTAGTGAGAAGATAGCATTTTGACAAGTGGAAACTATAATGTTCTCCAATCACCGTATAGAAATACACCGTATACATTACTAGAAACTATCGAAATTAATAACAACAATTTATTCGGTGTATAATTGCATAATAAATTTTAAATTCTGTAGTGCTACGATCGTTATTATCCAGCTTTTTCAGTTGTTTAATAAGTTTGTAATATGTTTAGTTCAATATATAATAATTTAATGTATAGTAATATATGAGAACAATTTCGTACCCTGAACAGTTTAGGATTTCAATTCGCAAATTTCACGCCGTTGCGCTGTTTGTCACTACGCCACTAAACGCGTTACGCTAGGCTGCTTTCCACTTACGCGTTTTTTACGCACGCACAGGTACGGAAAATTTTAAATGCTTTTAACTTTTTATTTTTAACATCTAGGTCAACTAATGCATACTAAAATATGCAGAAAACTAAGTTCCTTCGATTTATTCATTTAGTTTTTTCAAAGGTAACATGTATAAGGATTTAGACTTTTACGTGCGTGTACGTGTTATTTTTACATCGAAGTAAATTACAGATCATGAGCTGCTATTGTTCACTACGTTGATTCCAATTCCTTTAAAGATTAATATCACATTATCTGAACAATATGAAAAGAACCGCTATCTTCCGTCTCAGCTAAGCTCTTGAAGTTTAGAGCAAGATTAATTTTTAATGTTCGCAACATGTACATCGAACAACTTTTACAAAACAAATTAGCTATTTCTAACTTTACTTTTTTAAGTGTACGTGTTTTATTTTACATCAAAATAAATTACGGATCATGAGCTGCTATTGTTCACTGCGTTGATTCCAATTCCTTTAAAGATTAATATCACATGATCTTAATAATTTGAAAAGATCCGACATCTTCCGTCTCAGTAAGCTAAGCTCTTGAAGTTTGGAACAAGATTAATTTTTAATGTTCGCAACATGAACATCGAACAACTTTAGCAAAACAAATTAGCTATGGCCTGCTTTAGAAGATTAAACTACACTGACTGTTAAATAATCTGCCCATGCGACCGTGACCGTCCTGAAAAACAAAGCGCGCTTCGCCCGCGCGGGCGAGCGTACGTAATGGAGAATCGCCTTTACACAGAGCTGGGCGTTGATTTTGAGCACTTACAAGATAAACAAGATAAATTCAATGAAGTACATACGGGATTCCCCCGCTAACTCGAACTCGCTTAACTCGAACTCCTCACTAACTCGAACTAAATCCAATTCTCCTTGGATTTGGTAATGTTCTTTATAGTAATTTACTTCGCTTAACTCGAACTCACTTAACTCTAACTCCTCGCTAACTCGAACTAAATCCAATTCTTCTTGGATTTGGTAATGTTCTTTATAGTAATTTACTCCGCTTAACTCGAACTCGCTTAACTTGAACTCCTCGCTAATTCGAATAAATGTTATTTTCCCTTGGTCGAATATATCCGGTCAGGGGTGGATCCAGCACTAGTGCACTAATTTGCATTACAAAACAAAATGGCTATTTTGAGCAGTTTTCTTGAGTCATGCAAATTATGGCACTAGGCTGGATCCACCCCTGTATCCGGTTAACTCGAACTTTGGTTTCGAATCATAGAATCATCTTGACTATAGTCGGTTCGCCAATACACCATATAGAATTACACCGTATACACTATTAGAAACTATCCACTTACGCGTTTTTTATACGTACGTACACGTACGGAAAATTTTAGATGCTGTTAATTATTTTCTTTTATCTAGGTCAACTAATGCATATTAAATATGCAGAAAACTAAGTTCCTTCGATTTATTCATTTAGTTTTTTCAAAGTTAACATGTATAAGGATTTAGACTTTTACGTACGTGTACGTGTTTTTTTTTACATCAAAATAAATTACAGATCATGAGCTGCTATTGTTCACTACGTTGATTCCAATTTCCTTTAAAGATTAATATCACATTATCTTAATAATATGAAAAGAACCGCCATCTTCCGTCTCAGCTCTTGAAGTTTGGAGCAAGAATTATTTTTATCATGCTCAATTATTAAATTATAATAAACACATTCCTTACCAATTATGTAAACGTTTATATTTTAAGAAAGACAATTCTTGTCTCAGCTGAACTTGATGATAAAAGCACAGTTTCCTGCAACTTGTAGAATCATTTTGCAACGATATCGTTTAGAGAGCATTTGAGAAATAGCAATTTGCCTATTTCAGAGACAGTATTATCAAAGTCACTGGTTTTGGAAAAGTAAGTTATAGCAATAATAAATTATTGTTCATGTGTCTTTATCTATTAATATTATATAAATCTGCATGCCTCAATACTGCTTAATTGCTAACGCAACAGCTAAACTGCTACCAAATGGGTCTGCAAATGTAGTTGATTATCAGGTTTACCATGTCCTTCAGAATTTGAAGATAATAGTCGTCAGTTGCCGGCCTGTCAACCTGACGCATCGGTGAAAAAAATCCGGCTAATTCTATGTGTGTTATGTTATAGTATATCCACATTCATTATTTCGGTAATTTGGTGAATGTAAATTCCGTTTTTTTGACTGCATACAACATTTTTCTTGTGATTCTCTCCATTCCTAACAACATAGTAAAGTAGCAAAGAAATTTTTCGTTTCAGAAAAACGCACACCATGTCTTCTATCAGTTTTGTGTTCTTTGGCTTCGCACTGTTTCTTACGAGTCATTTGGGTGACTGTGGCGTTCTTCGCGAAACCTCGTCAGATGAAGTCGAAAAACGATCTCTGAGCCGTCCAGTAAGTCTTAGTCACTGATTTACAAACTAACGCAATGTTTACACGGGTTCTATGACAATCACTGATTATAGTATTTATTTATTGTTTAATATACAGAGTAGTGACATAACGCTGAATTTCCAACATGGTATGCGAGATTTTGTTGTCAATGGTAAAGGTGTTGGCATTCAGGGAAAGGTTTGTCATTTATTTTAAATTACTGCATTTACAATTGCATGATTTTTTCAATAATCAGAGCTCTAAGGAGATGAGTGCAAATCGCTCTTTTAGACGTTGGTCGCTTTCCAAGCTACGCTGACGTCGGGTAATATTGGACCCAACTATTCCCTTGGTGCTATTCGATTCAACACCGTTGATCTGAATACTGGAAACGGTTACAGTGCGAGCACCGGAAAATTCACTGCCCCCATTGCAGGTCTATACCAGTTTTCTGCATCATATCTTCAACGACATGGCTACAGCTCTCATGTAAAACTGATGAAAGGCAACACTGTTTTTAGTGAGTTACATGCAAACCACAAAAACTACGATCAACTATCAAAGACCATTCTTGTGGCTTTGGCAAAGGGCGAAACCTTTTGGGTTCAATTGCACAGAAGCAGTACTTACGCTGTACACGGTGCAGGACGATATACTCAATTTGGTGGTTTCTTACTTTCTCCCACTAAGTAGACTGAACATGATGTCTGATGTGAACTATGGCTCTTAGACGTAACGGAAATATGACGTATTTTTTTGATAAACTGTTTTAATAACCCAATAATATTAGCCTACATACCACATCGATAACGATGTATTAGTTGTATTCATTTTTTTTACAAATAAATATTTCATTCAATAAATCCATGGTAATGCTAAAAATATTTCAACCTTCGTGTACAACCCATTAAAAAAATTTCGACTGTGCAAAACACGCAAATGCCGCTTTTTTCTAATATTTCAAATAAGAGGTGCGTCCATGCGTGCAGTATATAAAATGATCTCCTCTCAGCATCTGAGCTGTATGATATGGTATAAGGTATAAAATATTATGAAAATTGTAGCTGGTTCCAACATCTTCGCTTTACCACAACTGTATTGTGTTTCCTATTAGGGAAATACAAATCACAAAAATGACGATAAAGCAAATTATCGTGTGGTTGAATTACGCCTTTCAATTTTTTTTCATACTGACCTCACTGTGTGACAAAACACATCTTTCAGGATGCTCACGAGGTAGAGTGAAATAGGAACTACAAGTAGCATCTTGGATTTCAACTGTATGTCATGTCGAAGAAAATAAAATTAATTGCAGTCATTCATTGTATAACAGAAGGGCATATATAAATATATATATATATATATATATATATATATATATATATAATATATATATATATATATATATATATATATATATATATATATATATATATATATATATATATATATATATATATATATATATATATATATATATATATATATATATATATATATATATATATATATATATATATATATATATATATATATGGTATACCAAACGTCTGAACACCAGCGGTGCTCCGTGTTTTTCCAGCAATCAAACAAAAGGATACTTTCTTTTTGTGTGCCAGGAATATGATCCGTCCTTTTCATGTACCGGAAAATAGCTTTTTCGGCAAAATTCTCCACCAAAACTAGAACCAAATTTGTTCCACGAACAGGAACGACGAAATACTGCCGCAAATCTTCATTATTTCCACAATCAAGGCATGTTGTGTTCCCTGTAGATTTTTGATAAAAAATAACTGCTAAAAACGTGGCGTTGTTATGATAGGCTGTTACGTAATATTTGAACGAGAGCGAGTGTTTCACCGGGATATTGTTTTCGATTGTTTTGGATGTCCCGGTGGGACACGAGCTCGAGTTGTTTAAATATCTTCTCAAATGAATTCAAATGTGACGCTTGGTTGAGTAATGTTCAAAAAGCATATAAAATGGTATTATAAGCATATAAGATGGCATACAAGCGAGAAGACTACATCAAAAAGCATCTTACAGCATAATTATAAGATGGCATACAAGCGAGAAGACTACATCTAAAAGCATCTTAAAGCATAATTATAAGATGGCATACAAGCGAGAAGACTACATCAAAAAGCATCTTAAAGCATAATTATAAGATGGCATACAAGCAAGAAGACTACATCAGTCGCAACTAGTGAGAGAATATTGGAGAATTTTCCAACGGATGTCGGCGGGCGAGTTGATTTAGAGCATTCTGTGTTCAACGAGTGTAATATAACGTTTAATTTTTTATGAATAAGTCAATAAGATGTAATTGTCTTTTGAGAAATAAAGGATTTGTGTGTTGCGTTTTGTGTACAGGGGTGTGTTTGTTTAGGAAAGATTACAAAGTTTGCATATATAATTAAGAAATGTGATGAAAATCACTAGTGGTTTTCATCACATTTCCTAATTATATATGCGGATAAATGCATTGTACAGTTATTAGCGAGGTGTTTCATCGAGATATCCAGATGCGATCTCGTGATCAAATGCGTAAATAAATATGAAAATTATTCATGAATTTGAGAAGTTATCTAACCTAGGCAAGTGTTCTCTACGAATAAAAGAGAAAAGGGTAAAGAGCCTGAAATTAAAATAATAATGGTACGATACGAAAATTTGCAACACAGTACAATAGAAAAAAAGCGTGAGGAACTATAATTATGGGAAAAGACGCCGAGACTTGTTATCACACGAACCTGATTAGGACTGAAAGATGCTCAAAAATGTTGCAAATTGCACACAAAAAAAGAAAACGTAGCAGGAATTGTAGGATTGTAATGCAAGTACTTGACTACATTTTTCATTCCGAGACATCTTTGAGAAATATTAAGCGATTTCAGAGTTTCCGAGCAGTCGCGTAGGCCTTGTAATATCCCCTCTGCAATTTCGTCTTGGACGAATGAGCATAAAACTATAGGACTGCATGTCTGATCACGAATTATTACTATCGATTTCGATCTTCAGGGATCAACTTTAATCACATTTTGTTAGTAAAAAAACTTCGGATCTCGACTAACCGCTAAAAGGTTTCCATCGTGTTGTGTTGCCATAATACGCCGTAATATTTGTGACACAACTTCTATTGGTCTGTGATTGAGCATCTACTTGCGATCACGAGAAAAATGAAAAGTTAAGTGACACATTATACATTTTCTACTTGCTTAAATCTGTATATAGAAGACGTTCGATAGTGCCAACAGGCAACAGCCCATTCTGTTCTATACGACTTTCTCGATATACAGTTTCAACAGTGAAAGCAGCAAAATCTTCTTAAAATCTCAATTGCATATTGCTACACTTCAGTTCTCTAACACTCAAACGTTCTTTGATTTTGAACCCTTAGAATTGGGGTGAGGCCGTTATTGAGGAAAAAGTGCATGAATAAACATGCACATAGTAAAGGGCATTATTAAACTGCAGGGGCTTGAAAAACGTTCCATACAAAAAACAAGGCGTATCTTTTAAAAACGTGAACAGGTAGAAATAATAAGGCTACTAAAAGCCATGTACACGGTGTAATTTTTATTGTAACTTGCAACGTAATTCTACTTTAAAGAGATATAAATTAGTGAAGTGTCTTCAAAATGTAAGTGTAAGAAACGCCATAGAGAATCTCTCAAAAGAAGAATTGCATTACAAGTTGCAGGAAATATTGCACCGTGTAACAGGGCCTTAAGTAAAGAAAAATTTAATTGCGTTTATGAAATTGCAAACATTTCGATATAACACTATATCAATAAATGCCATGCAATATTATCATGTTAATTTCAGTAACCTACCTGTTGTCGCTCCTGCTGTCGTCGCGAAGAATAAGCTAAAAATGCCATAAATTTTATTATGCAGGTTTTATTATAAATTTATAAATAGGGGTATATGAGCAGAACGATCGACGAATGGGAAAAAATTCTAACAAATTAAGAGGTAGTTTTTAACGCGACATGTCCGCTGCGGCATTGTTGCTCCCAGCGCTCAAATCAAGAGTGTAGCTACACTCTTGATTGTGTAGCTTTCGTGTAGAGGCGTAACACATTAGAATTTAGAGTGTATAGTCTAATACAGAACTTACTTGTAAATATTGAAATGGAGAAGGCATCTAAAAAGCATGCAAATGAAAATATTTTTTTTTAGATTGCTTAGGGCAATAGATCGGTTTGGAAATACCAGGAAACTTAATGCGGTTGATGCGGTATATAAAAGCATCAGATAAAATTTAGTAGTAAACGGTTTACAAAGTGAAGTAGTATAAAGTTTATTTATAGTGTTAGTTATTGCAGGTTGCAATTGACTCGATTGACTCTTTGACTAAATTGACTCATTGCGATTTGTGCTACAGTCACAGATCGCAGGTAAGCATCAGTGAAAAATGCACTTTCTACACTACACAGATTTAGTTCATCACTCCATTTTACTAACATCATAACTTTTAAATAACGAGGGTTGAATAAAATGAACTTACGCTAGGACATTTTTTGCCCATGATGTAAAAGATGATGTCAACACTGAATAGAAAGGATAATTGAAAGAAGAGCTGCTGGATTTTGTAGGGGATTGAACGCATTCTCCTTGTTCGTTTCTCAACGTATATCTAAACGATATTACAATGATTGAAAGCTATATAAGGAACCATATAAAGTATTCAAATAATTGTAGCTATATAAAATCGGATGGCTAAACAAAGTGAATAATCGAGAGAGTTTTGACCATAAAAACTAATGCCTATACTAAAATAAAACAAATGACATCATTAATATTAACATCAATTGAAATTATAAATATTCATTATATAATAATATAATTAGAATTTTTACTTCAAAACATTTATTTTACTTGCAAGCTGGAGTATATCTAACTCTTATCTACCTGAACGAGCTTCTACATGCATGTATGCTCACCTTGTGTAAAAAGGTTCACTGCCTTTTTCTAATTCTGACATTAGCTCCCAGTCAAGGCTTCCGAAAAATTGACCACATACATTCTAAAATAGATTGAAACAAGTAAAGACATTAGAATTAATCTGCAACGTCAAAACGATGCGAAGGCATGGAGGGGGTAAGGGGAGGGGAGGGGGCTGATTTTCGTGAAAGCGCACTGCTTTATTAATGCATATACTATATAGGGAGTGTTTGCAATAAATCAGCAGCTTAACTTCGTGGCATATCGGTAATGCTATTCTTAAAGTTCGTTGGCTGTTTTTCCATTGTTTCTAAAGCAAATATCTTGAAGAATTGCTTGTGATATTTTAAAATGAAAGGCCGCTATCTTTTGCCCCTAGTGAAAGGCTACAGGGGAGGAATGCTGGTGCAGCGCACTCCCAGTTCTACCGTCCCTGCATGAGAAAATGATAAAACTGTAAATAGATGCAATAAGTATATAATTTCTCCACTCTGCAAGTATATATAAAAACTAAATATTTTGCATGTATACCATTACCTTACTACTGTTGAGACTAGAGCTGACAATGAAAGCATTTTCGTCCAAAAGATAAACATGGTACTTATCCTATATAGAGGAACGACAGCAAGTGAAACGCGTTAAAATGTAATTGGTTGGTGATAATGAGTTAAATATGCGCTATATTGGTATTATATTCACGTGGGATAATATAACTATAACACCTACTTTTAATATTGAGATGGTACGAAAAGAAAAAATTGCACTTATTTCAAGGTTACAGTGCGTGGTTTTGCAATTTTAATTATTGGGCTTCCTCAATTTTCGCTTATTGGCTTGTTTTTCATTGTTGGGCCCACATCTGCCCTGGATTCATTTGATTTGAAAGAATTGTAATCGGTTTGAAGTTTGTTTTTATATATTCTGGAAATATCTTTTCTTCCAGTTCGTGCATAGAGCGAATTAAAGGAACAGTTGTTGCGCATATATCGTACATCCGCAATTTTCATCCATACCTTTGAAGTGATATTCATTAAATGATCTTTCAGGAAAACCTCTTCGTTTGTTTGAAAACCAGTTACTAAGATGTAAATGGAGTTGCATGTGATGGCGAGCAATTCTAATACGTACGCATAAAGAAATCCGAGTTTCATAGTATAATTGTCACGTGCGTATGACAGTAAATGGTTGAGAAAAGGCGAAATTGTGAATCCTGCAAAATATGCTGATTTATCAACCTTCTCTCGACCCTTCCCACTAATATTTTAGTTCTTTCGTAATTTGTATTTGGTCTTCATACCAATAGGAATTATACTCAAATTTGAAACATTTATCTGGATGCCCTTGTAGACCAACAGGTTAGCTGATGTTGCATCTGATTTACCTATAAAGCAGAATAAGAAATTTAATCATACATATACGAAGACCAGAACAACATTAATCATGGATTAGCCCAAAAATGTCTCCTCACTTATAACTTGCAGCCGATAAAGTATTTTTACCATATTATAACAGTGCGCATGCGTACAACATTTTGAGTCATGCACAGTCTTGATATTTACCATCATTATATGGAATTGATACAATGATAGAGTTTTCGTTGAGATTGCTGATTCTCTGAAACATTTTTTCTTCCAGAACATTCGAACTAGACAACAAATTAGCTAAATTGTTCCATTTATGTGTCTCAGTGTCGGTTGGAGAGAATCTCTTGGAGAGAATCTCGCGCAAGAATTATAGTTAGGTGCGACAGGTCGTCAGCAAATAACGATGAAAATAACTAATCGATATGAATGATTAATTCTCAAAGATTTTAAATTTGAGGATTAACTTACCCATTTGATTGTGAAACACGCACAAGTCCCCAGTTTGTTTTGACAAATGAAGAAATGTTGGAGCTAGAATGTTTGAAGAAAATTTTACCCAAAATTAATTCAAAGATATTTATCTACGACAACTTTAATTACATATTTGAGATTTGTAATACATGCAAAGTGCAAACTGCAAAGAGGTATTTGCTTTGCAGCTTTGCAGCTCATTAACAAAACGCCGATTTTTAAACAAAGATTTGATAAGTAACAGTAACCTACAGTAAAAAAGCACTGTGTATATGGGGGAAAGTTTAAAGCGACTCCCAAACATTACTTTAACGAAAAAATGGTTTCGGCAAGCCTAATATTTTTTGTTATGTAACCACGGCGCAAATATAAAACAATCTAATACATACTTTGACCAAACGTTCTCCGTTATATTTAAGTCAAGCATGAGATTAACTGAAAAAGAACGCGCGAGAATTAAACAATTTAAACAATTATAAAACAACATGTTAGTATACAATGAAATTACCACTGCAATCGCTTCCCTGCAGTAAGCGTCTTAGGTTCTTTGCTGTTGTTTTCAGCGGAGGTACTGTGGAATTACAGTGTTTCCTATAGCGAGTGAAGAAGATGTTTATAATACTCCTGGGTACAGAACGTTTACGTCATGATCTGTGCAACAAATGTGTGAACGTCTCACCAGTCTTTCAGAAGAACAATTCCGTCAGTTTCATTTTCTAGGAGAAAATATATAATTGAGAAAATATATAATTTTAATAATCTATGCAGTAAAAAGTAAATGCTAATGTTCGCTCTCTATTTTATAGCCATGAATATCAATTTATATTTCATATACATGTCCTGCAGCAGAGAGCTGACATGTGGACCAAATGCCAATATATAAATTGCAAATGTTGACAAGTGTCAGTATATGCATAATGCGGGCTGCGCGCGTCTGACTAGGCCTTAACTGTGTCACCAGAGCTGTGTCATAGCAAATATATTAATGGTCTGACGAACTCTATATAACTATTGTACAAGATAACAAAGTCGAAAACTTTAAAGCTACAATCATTGACATAATCAATTGAAACGATGTCTTGCAAGCGCACAAATTCGCTATGCAAGCGAAAAATACCACACATTTCCGTTCAATATCGCTTATAAACCACCCCCCCCCCCCGCCTTCCCCCAAGCAATGTTGATGCAACTGATAATGTATGTGTTGAATTAGAGATTTTATTACAGTCGCAGCAACATTGCTTGGGGTGATTGGGGGTGACAAGAGCCACCAAACGCGTTCGTTTCAGCCTATTTGGCAATAATAATTTAGCCTAGCTATATGCAAGTGTATTTCTATTCTGCCATGATCATTAAATTGAGATGATACTAACCCACAGCATATGATTTATACTGTAGAACTTCATAACCAATCTGGGAGGAAGCGATACCCAAGCTGCATGCGTGAGTAAAGAAGAGTGAATCAAAAGCAAATAGTCAAAAATTGATTTTATCAATCGTATAAAAATGACCTATCAATAACAAACAAATGTGAAATAATGAGTGCATGCCGACGGTGTTTACCTGAAAGGTGTTTTTCGTATTTTTGTGAATATGTAAGTTCTTTTGATTGGCGTTATTCGCAGGTATCGCTGCCAAATGAAAAAGGATTGAATATAATTTCGATCAGGTACTTTTTTGATGGTGAGAGTTTTGTATAGCTATTTTCGATGCGGTAGCTGCCGGCAGGACGGCAACGTGATCACATGGGTTTATTTGCAAAGGAATTAGGTACATGCATAGTTCAATTGACATTTCTTCTTGGTTATATTATTTGTTTTTCGCCAGATGCGTGCATCCATCTTGGAAAAAGACGAACCTCATACTCAGTGAATGAGAATGCATTGATTGTCTCTTCCCCAGTTTCTCCATCTTTAATTGATAACATCTTTTTTCTCAATGCCTAAAATTTTATGTTTAAAATATTATAACGTGTGGTGGTACTTCAGATTTAGTTATCGCTTATCGCGAGGCACTTCCTTTGTGTTTGAGGAATACTTTTTACTCGCTTTTTCTAGTCAGGCGTTGCGAATTTAGATCACTGTGCAAAATCTACACCCCTAGCAGTGTTATGGCCTAAATATATAGTCTTGTATCATAATTCAGCTGATAAAACTGGAAATTTATGATAACTGAAATAACGTGATGTTATAACTAGTTATTACCAAGAGGTGATCCTTTTCTTCTTCAGGTACAAACTCTGCCTCGCTCAAATCAATATCATTGGCACTTTTGACATATCCATACTAAATAAACCATTAGAACTTCAATGGTTACAACCAACATCATTGCATTCTGTTGATTTTCATGCATGGTTAGATTATCTAGTGGCAAAGGATAAATTTCGAAGAAAAGACACGATCGAGTTCGTCTCGAAAAGGTCAATTTTCCCTACTTAAAATAATTCACTTTTGGGTTGTTGTGAAAAGGCACATACCATAGCACGTAAATTGGGGTGTTTTATGATATGACCGTTGTTGTTGATTATGAATGGGTAGCCACCAGGACCAATCTAATGGAGAGATTGAAAATGGCAAACATAAAAAAACCAAACAGCATAAATTCTCTCCAGCACACTAAGTTCAGTTGTTCAGCTGGATCGATATAATAGATAAAGCTAGGAGCTTTAGATCTATTATGGTTGATCTTCTATCAAAAGAATAAAATTAAACAAGATGCAAACATACGTATGGTTGATAGACAAAATTAACCAACTGACTGATGGTCACATCCGTACCACATACTCCTAAAAAGGTTCTTTCCTGAAACAAAATATAACATTTTTTCTAGGACCAATTTAAAATTCTATAGATATCGTAAATATTGATAAATATATAGTACTGATGATGATACAACATTCCTGACAAAGAAGCAATGATATACATTCTTACATGAAACACAGGTAGAGTTGCAGTCACCATCATGCCTAGACCCTGCAGAAGAAATTTAAAATTTGAAGAAGTTTTTGCACGTACGTTGGTAATAGTACTACCACTATTTCCATATGAGTTTTTAATTAGGGAAAATGCGACAATCTTATTTTCAGGAACTTTGTTACTAAATCACGCCGGGGATCACGCCCTATAATGATAGAGAAAACTCTCAGCATATACCGATGCATCTCTATATATTCCCGTCCAAACTGGATTCAGTGTCATGTTTGTGGCCATCGGTCTGCTCAGAACAGATACATAATCCTAAATGAATGGTTGAAAAAACAAGAAATTTAAAAAATTAAAAATAAATTTTGACTCTCTTCACGCTGGGGGCGCATGCACGTAAACGATCACGTGCCCGAAGTGCTTGGATTTGAGTCGAGATATTTTCATCTGTTTCCTCAACATGTTTACAGTTGTTGTCCCTTATTTCTTGACCCGCATGATTCCACGAGCAAGTTAGATCAATGGGTCAAGTCATATCAATCATATCGAAAAATTTTGCCTAGTGGAAAACCGCCTTTATATTATAATTTGTAAATACTTCGTAATCATTCGTGCATGCATCACTTCCCTACCTCAATAAGATCTCGAACTGAACCAACAGTAGGAACTTTATAAAAATAACCTGAAAATATGAAAAAAATCAGAGTTAGGGTTAGTGAAATAAAAAACGCTAAAAAGATGGTGTACTAGAATCTTATAAACCCAGCTCAGAAATACGCATCTTCTGTTTTCAATAGGGGACATGAAAGGCATGCATTTTCCTTGCTTCGTAAGAATGACTATCTCTTTACCTATCGACATTGTAACATTTTATAGAACCCCTAAAAGATATATTTCTCACCTTTATTAGAGCAGGCCATCCACATTAAATCATTTGAGGAATATGCTGGACTCGGGCTTCCCAGGAGATAAGTAAAAACCCTGATCTAAAAACGAAAATACAAAAATGTGTTTTTAATACGGTCAATACATAAGATACTAACTTTGCTGATTGACTTATTTCAATGAAATTGTCGACGGCTTACCTCCTTGTGTTTGTTGTGACGTTCGAACACGTCTTCATATTTGTGCTCCGTTCCGTCAGAGAAGATCATGATCATCTTTTGACATTTTGCACCTTCCGACTGAACATTAAAAAAATATCGAAAACTGTTTGTGTAGTATATAACATCAGCATGGATAGGTCACAACTGCATGGCCATGAACGGCTAGTCAACGCATGTTTGAAAACACCTTAGAACTCATGGGAATAACTCAAGGCAAATTCGAGCACGTGCATCTAATCCATATACTCTTGCAAATAATGGCTACATAGGATCACAGGTGCATGCATGCTCTTATCTGGGCAATTATAACTATGAATGCAACCACTATTCTGTTGAACGGTTTTGCAATGAGCTTGGCGGCAGACAACATATTTTGACATTTCCCGTGTGCATTACCGTTTTTAATATCTCAAATGCTTCATTTAATGCCGTTTTCCATTCAGCAACATTTTTGTAACCACTAGTCCTTAGTCTTGATTTGAACCACTAAAATACAAAACAAAACTTAATTCTCGCGATTTTAAATGTTCAAATCAGATGATTATGATTATGATCTTACCTCCCTATTATTCCTAGTGGCCTGAAGCAACGTTTTATTACATGATAAGAATTTAACAGCTGTATTGAACTACAAAAATAGGAATATCTATATAGGTAAACGTTTTAATACGTCATATTTATCCCAAAGGAATATTACAAATATGGCTCATGTGTATACGATAACAAACCATGAAATGCTTGTCCACTTACGTAAAGCACATTGAAGAAATCGTTGTTTGACAACGTATCAATAAGATTTGATACTGCCAAGCGACCTATCACTGAATTCTTGCCAACCATGCTTCCACTACTACATTTTTGCAGAATGAAAGAGATAAGACATAAAAATGACAAATCTGACAAAATCCTATATATAGGGTCTATATTGTGAAAAAATAATAATAATAGAGTACCTGTCAATCAAAATCACCATATTTTTGGGAGAAGTAGCACCTTGGGTGTACCTTAAATTGTTAAAAAGGTTTTAGATTCAAACTTTAGACATGCATTGAAAATATTATGAAAATGCTATGCTTAATTTTTCGCTGGCGACAATTTTGCCGACGAAAGGCTGAATTCCACACACGCTACCCCCTGTTCAATCATAATATTTTGTCTAGTTGAAAGAAAAGAACAAGCACTAAAAATTTCAAGAGGTTTGTTCATGTTGAAGCGATATTTAATCTTAGCTCATTATGGACACCTTAAAGGTTTTTGCGAGAAGATATCAACCGAAAAGTGGAATTGCATGCACGGTTTTCAAAGCCAAGCCCTCACAATATACATGTCACCAGAATTGGTATCAGGTATATATGGTTGGTGGTCGATGACCACCAAAACAAAGCACGTCATTGGTCAGTGATTAATGGCCACCGCTGGTAATTGCGATATGAGAACAAGCCTTAAAAATAATTTTAAAATTTTTGCACATAAAATTATCCATACCAGGGTCTTTTTCTTGCACTGTAGTAAGGATTGGTCCAGCGTTTTGCTAGTGAAAAATAGAGAGTAAATATTCACCATTTACTATAGGACATTGTACTGTACAGCAAAGTATAGTTTTTTCCAATTCCGTCTCTCGTTGTAATTGTCCTGAACAAGTCATTTTCACCGATGTTGTGTCCAGAGTAAATATCCATCACCTTGACATCTTGACAAAAGTATATAATCTAAAACCAAGCTTATGCAAAACGGATTTCATCAGCCTTGGTCAAACAGTCATACCTGGATAGGTACGAAACACAGCATCGGGACTTCCAAAGTATTGCCATTTAAGCGTATCATCTCTGTTCTTGAGATTGTCAATGAATACTTCATCCAATTCTGACGTCCAGTTGATTGTTTTCAAAACGACAGGACCTTTCTCACAACAGAATGAAAAATTGTATAAGTATTACACTGTCGTGACGTCAATGAATGTGATGATGTGCTGCATTTACTGAAAATAAACTGAAGAGCAAGGCGAAAAACATGTACGATAAGATCTTTTAAGTGCCGAATATACACTAAAACAACATATCTATATATATATTATATATTATATATATTATATATATATATATATATATTATATATATTATATATATATATATATATAGTGGTCTGAAAGACTTAGGTATACAATATCGACGGAGACAGGCCGATCATTCCGACATCACTGCTTTTTCCGCAACAATAATTCAGTCTCAGATACGAGAAATAGAACTTTCCAACAATTTCTATAAGACTAAGTTTGAATTTTAGCAAGCTGCAGGTTAACTAGGTCAAAACACGCGGACTTTAGAATTTCAAATAAGGCGAGTTTTTGAACTACATGGCTCAACCTTACAAAAGCGAAAAATTACCATATAACCTAGTTCTTATTTGTAAACGTTTGTTGATGAGCATGCACTGACAAAGAAAATTAACAAAGGGCCGGGCACTTCATTCGTCATTGATCACAGACAGTAACCATTTCCGATTATTGAACTAGGCGTGAGAATGTGTTCGGTATATTTTTGAACAGATTATCATCTGCGAATGCTTTGTACCTTGATCATAAACATTTGTTGGTATCTGTATTCCACTGTATGATATATTTACTTCTTTTTTGAACCTCTGATCAAAATGTAGTGTCACAGGTATGCTTGATTTGTTCAGGTCTATCATATTTACATATTTCACATCCTGAAAATAGAAAATATTTATCATGCATACGTTTGACTTAGAGCCTACTCAAGATTTTCCACCATCCTCCATATACACAACTCAAAACGAAACATATGACATTCACGAGATTCTGCTTAGTGTGAAGGTTTGGCACTCACTTTTGCCGTAAAGATTGCGTCTGTCTTTCTTTCAGCGTATGCAATTCCTGCTTTGGTTTTTATCCTCTGAAAACAGCATAATCAGTAAAATCAGTTTATTCTGGTCAACTGTGCCTATATATAATTATCCTTAAATTGCATAAATGGTTAGAGTTATGTTTAGGGTATAGGGAAATTTTTAGTCTAATAAAAACATCAAAAAACTTTTTTCTATACTTTTTTAACCGATTCAAATTCATATATACTTAATTCTTACATGCAGGGAGGTATTTGTTCGAAAAGTCGAATCTACACGGAAGAAATCTAGTGTCACCAGGAACCAAACAAAAAGCAGCGAAAATTTGTTCGACGTTTAGCGTATATATAGCTATAGTTTCTAGGACACCATGCAGCTTTTCTCATCTGACCTGTAATGAATCAACTTTCTTGCTGAAATATTGTTCCATCTTATATGCGCTTTCAGTAAGCAACTGCTTCACGTCACCCTGGACCACTTCGGTAAGACTTTCCTCGTATGCCTATAAGAGTAAAACTGAGTATATTTATTAAGAGTTTACGCCATGCATTGCAACGGTACTTTTCTCTCATTTATTCTATTACCATCAGTTATAACAACATCACATATACAGTTATATGAAAATATTTACAAATACACATCGACGACTAACTAACAATCTTTTAGCCAGGTTGCGCCATGATAGACTATATTTTCCATTCATATGGCATTATATAGCTATATATAGCTACTCTAAAGTTACCTTTTTAAGATGACTAAATCCTGAAGTATCTTGCCACATGTTCGTAATTTTTTTGGATATATCATCTGCCAAGTTTTGTACTCTATATGAAAGTATAGATATAAGATCCATACAAGAATTTTTGATTCTCAGTTTATGCCGTCTCAGTTCTTTGCCGGGGATGTCTAATTTAAATTTAAACATTTTTGAACGATTTGTTAAAATGTCCCAAGAAAATTATACCCATGCATGCAAGCTGAACAGAAACGGCATAGCGATGAGGGTAATTCAAATTAAACTTTCAGTTCTCTTAGATTTCTTAAGCCCGATTTTGCAGATTTTAGAGCCGATACAGAATACAAAACAAACATAATCCGAAGATAAAATTAGCATCTTGAAACTTAAATATAAGTTCAAAGTCTAAAAAGAAAATAATTGAAATTCCGGATTCAATGTAAGATGTATCCTTAATTTTTTTTGTTTTAATTTCAGACCTGACAAAAATCATATAAAAAAGGACTATAACAACTATCGTCCCCAAAACGACAATCAGCATGGAGTATTTCGATTAAAACGCTTCTTTTCATTCTTCACATCCATTATATAAAGGAGCCAGATTATATCACTGCTGTGTTTTTTCTATACGAGCGTGTATCCGCACGTGAAGTTTTATGTAAATAATTTGACGCTAAAAAAACCGAAGTGACAACAAAGCGAGAGTCCAACCCTCTACATCTATTTTAATTCATGCATTTACAAGAACAATTTAATGATTTTAAAGTTAGCTACTGTGTTAAACTGAATAAATGATAGTGGATTAAAGGATCGATGCATGCACGGAATTTTCTTGATATATAAAAGGCATGCAATTTACTTATTTACCTGGACATGCAGGCTGAAAAAACATGAAAAAACGTTGTACAAAACACGATAATTGATGAAAAAAACATCGTGTTTGGGGAACAGAAGCTGCAGGTAAAACTTTAAAACTTGCTTTCAAAATTGCCTCGTTTTCATTAGGATATGACAACTCGATAAGCGGTACTCTTTGACTTTAAGCAGGAGTTAAATAAATAAAAGAAACCTGCTAAGCCTAAGGTGGCAAACTAGCGAGTTAGTTAGCTAAATTAGTAGCTATATAGCTCTTGGCAGTCTTGCGTCCGCAGGTTTTCACAGGTTATGGGAAGGCAGGCAAAACACCCACGCAGTGTCGCGCTGTTTATTTTGCTGAGAAATAGGAATATATTCATTTTATGTCCACCTTATTAACTGTATATTATACCATATTGATAGAAATTTCTTTACCATTTTCATGTCATTGAATTCAACCGTATCTCGAGTTAATCCATACAACAGAACCTCTCAGTTAAATTCACTAGTCATTACATGCAGGTGTACACTTGTGTGTTACTCAAATAATCGATCTTGAAGTATGACCTTCTGATTTAAACAAATCTAACTGCACGTCTATATCGAGTTCACTTTCAGACAGCTCAACAAATAAAACCAATGTGCACTGACTTTATACTTGATACAGACATTATCTTGCACGATTGTCGTGCTCGGACAATTTTCATAAACAACTCACAAGCTGATAGCGACGTAATGTTGCCATATACCAACTAATTTCCCAAGTCATTACATTGATTGAATGGGAACGTTAACGCTCTCGGTTTGACACACATTAAATTTAGTACTTACTGAAACAGATTCAAACCAGGTTGCTCTGCGTCAGCCAATGATATGAGCAACCCCAACGACAGCATATAAAAAGTTCTCTGGAACATCGCGAGCCCGGGATTGTACGAAATGAATCGTAAGAGGGTTAGTGAAACTTGTAAATACAGCTTTGACTACTGACAGTTTTCTGACAAGCCAATTTGACGTATTGGCTTAGTGTGATATCAGTTTACCATTTCAACCCACAATACACTGACGTTTTCCAAGCTTTCGAGCAAATTACATAAAATACCACAATTAATTCGCAAGCGATCACGTCTCATGGATACCATGACACAGAACAACACCGACAACTAGAGCATGGAAAATTTACATTTGTGTCATTTATGGGATTAATATTCGTAGGAAAGCTACAAAGAATTTTAATTAGCATGTCAAACATTTTCGTTCTGCATGATGTATTATTACGTACGCACGCAGCTGAATAAAAGCTTTACGAATAAGAAAACAGCAGGTATAATTTAGGCCTGATATCATCGATGAAACGAAAACTGCAAATATGTTTAATAAAAGATGCGAAAATAGATTATAATTGTTATAGCCTATGAGCTTTAACACGCTGCAATTTACGACTATATTGCAGTCTCCTATCTTTTTCTCAAGTGTTAGGCATAGCCTTGCAGTCATTAATAAAGCATGAAATTAGAAATAAAAACGCATCGCGGGTAGCTTTTTTTATGTCTGAGAGACTAAAGCAACATACATACAATTAAAAATTCAACTGATGACCCCTAACTGTTTTCAAGTGTTTCGCAATTTCTTCGACGAAAACAATTAAATCCAGTTATACTCTTGTAAGCTATTATACATATTAGTGTAAGCTCTTAAAACCTGTATGACCTTAACGGCGTAACTACAGTACAGGCATAGACTTACAGTACAGGCATAGACTTTGTACTGGCACAATTCTATGCATATATATATCACCATTCAAGTTACGTTTTAAGATTAAATTCGGATTTTTCATATTAAATAAAATTTGCTGGGGAAAATATGCTCGTGTATAAATATATAGAACAGCTGTTTTATTAAGAAAGCACTAACAGAAAACAACTGCATGATAACAGTATGGGAGAACGAGCTCTTCGTAAGCGCGAGGTTACACGTAACAATTTTCAACATCAACTCGCACCGCCCAAAAAGCAAAAATTTGAACAATAATGTGTGGAATTAATTTCAATTTAAAAAACTCGTCATTTTGAAAGTTGTTTCGTGTAACATTATACCGTAAAATACCTGTTAGTTCTTCGCCTAATGGAACAGCATTAACTATTATATATACATGCAGGGTGAGTAAAAAAAACTTCTACCTATTAACTTTATTCAAATGCAAATATATGCAGCATAGCTGCGGTTGCTGCTGTTATCTGAAAGACGTTGCCTCAGTGATTAATCTAAAACTTAAATCTTGCTCCCATTGTGAGGTAAAATGCATTCTAATCGTGCGACTGATAAATAAAACAATAGTCAATAACGGTCCTGTTCGACACATATGGATAGCAAAAAACAAAATATATACTGAGTTCCAAATCATTCCTGTCTTATATTTATTTATCCGTGTCAATTATAACATATTTACTATTTTAGATAAACTATAGTATGACAGTTTACCATTACAAATATTGCGTTTTTATTAAAAACAGATTCATACTATAGGTGCCATAAGAGAGGTTACAGCCGTGTCTACGTGTGCATGCTGGTATACATATTCATGATCGTCATCCGAAAAGACCGAATTCTCCAGAAACGATGTGTACCTCAACCTCTCTGATGGCTGGAAGCTTATAAAGTATATACTGCATTTTTCTTAAATCACATTATTATGACAAAATGGTCTCTGTATACTGAATTGTTCGTGTCCATATAACAATCGCTGTTTTCCAGCAAAGGTTTTCCTTGCTTTCCCCAATGCCTTCATAACAGGTCTGGACTATATATATAGTGAACGAGACCTGAAGTGATTGTATAGGAACGTAATACTTCTGTTCATGTGGATTTTAAGCCTTACTTGTTGCTTGCATGATGGAACCCTTGTCGAACAGTATAAAACAGGGTTTTTTATGGGAGTAAAAAAAAGGCACGGCTCAAATTATTTGCCTATAGCTGGAGCTAAAATAGTCTCATGAAAGCTATAGGCCTAAAAGCCGCGGATAATTGCGAATTGATTATTCGTATAATATCTTTAAATAATAATAATATACTACCTTGTGCCGCGGTTTTATCACAACCGCCGCAGCCTTTTTCCCATAATTACGTTAATATATTATGCTACCGGCTGGCCATGTGATATCAGGATAGATATCTCACGATTATAGTAAGAAAATAATCCCCACAAGTTACAGAAGATGTTTATGAAGATCAAGTGACGCGTAGTTGGTGCGCCCAGCGTGGTGATTTATGGTCAAATATGAACTCAGTATGATTTGAACCATGCTCACCACTCCTCACTTCAGCTTTAGTTGAACTGCTTGGTATTTCAACCTTCCGTTCCACATCATCTGAATACGGCGATTCAAGCACCGATAAAACGTATTGCACCTGGGAATGATAACAGTGCAATTGCTAAGGCAAAATTGAATCATGTTGGGGGGTGAATATTAAAAAATAGTCATTGGTATGCATGGCACCGACGATGGCACCGTGATGGAACCAGCCCAGATATAAGGAGCCAGCACTCGTTATTAATAAGTTTACAATGTTTAATTTGTCCCGATGCTCCATAAATTATTTTTTTCCCACGCACTCGTAAATATGCGACTGTGCGGTTTATTTCAGTCATTTTTATCTTTGAGAAAAAAAAAATTAAATTCAAATATCGACAGGCGTTTCACTCAAGCACCTGAAAACATCAGTATTTAGGGTCGTGAGAGAAAACCTTCATATAACAGATACACATTCAAGGTTCAAGTGAACTAATGTATTTTACTTACGAGACTGTAGTCACCATTCTCAGCGGCTTTTATAGCATTTTCAGCGATGTAGTTTCTTAATACGAATCTAGTAGCAGTAATTTTGAATTGATGAACACAGCCATGAATGATGCCAAATAACAAAAAAACATAATCGTATGAACGAAGGGAATTGGGGATTCTCGCAATTAGCATAAATCGCGTGCATGTTATATGTCTTCAGGGGGGAGGTTGAGGTTTAGGTTTAGTTTTGGCTTTAGATCTAAGCAATAGGTTTAAAATATAAAAATATACATATCCAAACGCGATATTGTGGAAATATCTATACACTGTAATTTTTGCTACAAAAATATGTCTTATAATCTGCCAAACTCACCGAGGATTGTTCGTATTCATGATGTCGACTCTGGCATTATGGATCTATACAATTATTAAAATATAAAATAGAACCGTGATCCAAACGAAAATCCAAATCAAATAACCAGACTATTTGATAGCTTTATCTTACCAAATGTTTTTCCTGCGTTTCTTGTTCAAAATCTGCTTCAATTCGCTTCCTATAGGAACAAAAATATCATTATAATAAATATCTTGCTAAATTTTTACTATGTAACTGGCTATAAAGAAAGCATGAAACAACTCTCGACATTTCGACCAAAGGATCTTAGGTCGGTTTTCCACTAGCGATATTTTTCGAGTGAATCGACATTTTACTTTTGTTTCAGAGCTCTCAACTGCAACCATCTGGAACAAATTGCTCAAATACAAAGGAATAAAGTCGCTTCGCGCGAAAAATATCGCTAGTGGAAAACCGGCTTTAGTCGGAATATCAGAGGCGATATAGGCCATTAATACGTAGGTCGAAACACGAGAAGTGAAGTCTATTCAGGGAAATGTTATACCGTATTTAATGCCAAGTGAATCGAAGGGAAACAATCATGCAGTCTCAATATAAATCACTTAGACTTTATACCTATACTTCTTAATCCACGAAATCCATGATTCCCTGTCTTTCAAACGTTTTTCGTCCGGGGGTACTTCCTATATTAACATCGATCATTAATAGAGTTTGAGCACCGTCCACATTCATTGTCTTTATGGCGATGCCGAAGACTGAGGTTGATAACGGCAAACTGGAGGATTGATAATTCTTTGTATTGTGCAAAACTGTGTAAAATTGGTTTCAATAATTGCTTTGTTATATTCATTTAAAATCATAATAATCATTGTAGTGGCGGCTAGTGCGGTACAAACGCATACAACTGCTTTTTATATTTCCTCGTTTATTTTGCTGATTTGAATAGAAAAACGTATGTTCTGTTAGCTGCCGAGTTTATATGAAAGTTTTACACTCGGCTGTTGGCTGAACAAAACCAAGAATCTTTTCGATAAATCAACATCGTGGCCCAATTTTTAAACACCATTTTGTGCTTCCACTCTCAAGTTTCTAAAAAGTGGGATTTAAACCTGGATAAATCTTATAGAACATTAAAATAAACCTTGAAAAATAAGCAATATAAAGATATTTCAACATATAGATGCCAAATTATTTTATGCTGAATTAAGGCGCTTGGTAAATTGAGCGACAGTCAGTCCCAGAATAATTTTAAAGCAGGAATGTGCTTTCTTGAGGAAATTAAGTGAATATGTAAAAATAAATACTCGAAGTTTTTTTGCTCTCTCCATTTTCTCTTTTTCAGTTCGGACCCAGGGATTTTGTTCCAACTGCGCAGCCAGAGCGGGGTTACTGCTCATCATCAGCAGTAACATTTGAAGCTGTCTAAGAATTAAGACAGACACTATTTTAAAAAAAGAAACCTGGCAGCATGGTAGCTACCTGCTGGATTTTTGCAGTTTGTACATGCAAAACATCAAATTTAAACAAAAATATAACACAGCTTACCCAGATACCGCTTGTTCTCTTGGAAGATCAGATGGATCTAGACACTGAGAAAGGATGTACTCTAAAACTTCTCCATTATTTCTATAACAAACAATATAAAAAATAAATTCAACATAAATTCAACGGTGCAATATTCTATCTGCCATGCAAAATTCAGAGATTTTAAATTTGTCCGTCGTATGTTTGTGGCACGCGTCTTTCATGACTTTATTCAAACCAAGAGTGACACGCGCGTAGAACCATGCAATGAAGAAAGTTTTTTACTTGCTTTTCAAAATCGGGTGAATCTTGGACTTTGATACGCGATAAACATCTGAAGACATTAGTAAAGTCAGCTCCTGGAATGGATTAAAACCAAAAATACTCAATGTCAAAATAATTAACATATACATCACGTGATGTAGCCGCAAGTGATTTGGAGAAGGAAGCATTCGGGGGGGGGGGGGGGGAGGGAGCAGTGTATCTAATAAAATTTCAAATGTCAGGATGTTGGAGATTTGACTGCAAATTAGAAACTAGTCTCTTACGTTAATTTTCGTGTTTCCTTAACTAATGGAGAGGAATCAATTTGGACCATCAAATTTACCTTGTATGTATAACCTTGTAAATAACCACGTTTGTTGCAGAATTCAGATTAACAATTAACAGGTTTTTTACCTGTTTCTTCCATCGTTCGCAAAAGTTCTTCAACTAACGTTCTAAAATATTAAAAAAAAACTCAAGAAAACGCCACAATAAGTGAATAAACTGTATTCTCCATTTTTTTTAGTACAATGCTCTAAAGCCAAAGCAGACCCACCTATCACTTGGTAGAGCTTTATGTATTATTCCAAGCTAAATTGAATAGTAAAACACGCACTCAATAATACATAAAAAGCGAATACAAGAATGCATTATTTACACTCCATCGGCATGATTGATTGATTCACCTGGTATTAGATATAATTAATATATACGGTAACTTTTTTGTGAAACATGAAACTTGATGCAGGGTCTCGAGCGAGATTCAAACTCCAACTTCATCTTGGATAATCAAGTCATTATTGGTAACGAGACTCATCACGGTGTGTATAGGACATTATAAGAGCAAATCGATAGACTAATAAAGCAATATATTACGAGACTCTACTCGTGCAAGCATTTAAACATTTGCTACTGCAGATGATTGTCATATAAGCCCTACCTTTTTACGCATTTTACTGAGATAATGGTTCATATATTCCAGGTCGTATCTAAAGCAAAGAAACGCGACGTCAAAGGATTGAGATTAAATAAGATAGAAAACAGGCATGACCAGCAGAAATTCTAGATTTACAACGTGAAAAAAGCAGCTACATACATCTCTTCCAGTAATGCTCGAGATTTTGCAAGAGGTAACACATCAGCTAATGCTTCAGCTAGTTTTATCAAATTCCATTTGCAAATTTCCGGCTGAGCCTTATAACTGTACCTGGCCGTGTCATCTGGAAATAGAGGAGAATTAGTGAAGAAGAGTATTAAAAATTACTATAACTATTAAAGACGAGTATTAAAAAACTCAAATATTTAAATCAAATTTCGTTTATCTTCTGGCGGGCAGGCGCAAGAAAAAACTACAAAGTACCCACCGGAGGCATTGCATACAAAATCTGGATTAAAGTGATCCATAAAACCAAATGGTCCATAATCAATGGTTAGGCCAAGTATGCTCATATTGTCTGTATTGAGAACGCTGCATTTCAAATAAAAAAGCAATGATTGGACAAAGAAGATGCTTTATCCTTTTTTCACAATATTCAATATACAGACTCAGAGTTAAAATTCGCGTTACATAGGATAGGGACACAGTTTGGACAAAAGTTACGGCGGGCTTAAAATGTAACTTTGCCGGGAGAAGAATTACAATGGAACGTGCTACACGTAAGAATATCTAAAATAGAAACTTCTTTGAAAACGTGACAGGTCAGTGATGTGTAATAGTTCGCAATAACGTCAATTTATGGTACATTAGAATACTGATATCCCGATAAGTAGAAATAGAAAATAAGTTAATAGAATAACTAAATGGGATAAGTCTATCAGTATCTGCCAGAAAATGTTTTAAAAAGCGCCAAAATGTTGTACCAACCCATGGCAAAATCCAACACATTGCCAGTCTGCCACTAGTCGAGCTGTTCTTGAAATAACTTCCTTGTAGAAGGCAAGATAACGATCTTCAGAATTATCACCGTGTTCTTCATGGACCTAAATTTCAATTGTAAAGTCAAAGACACATTTCAAGCCTGAGAAAAGATGAAAAAAAGATCGGCATATATTTGATGAAGACACACACCTGTGGATAAAAGGTTTTGATGACATATTCAAGCAATTGAATTAGTATATCTTTTTTTCCAGCGCTGGGTCCACGTCTGCCCGTCATTAAATCAAGGTTCTTGACAATTTCAAATGAACCAAACCTACAAATGCATATTCATGCTTTATTATTCTATTATTTTGGCCAAAAATGATTTCCTTCCTTACATTTGACAAATATATCTTAAATATATCTTATTTATGATAGGAGAGGAAATAATTTAGTCCAACTCACAAGAATCAAAAGAAAACCTCAGCAACTGATGCACTTAGGTCATATTCATCAGTCATTTCAAGATTAGGTGACATAGAACTGATATAACACAAAAGAATTGTACTACCTGATAAAGGTTGGAGCTATTCTCAGGACAATGCTTGACTTTTCATAAATGGGATTACCATCATAAAATATATCCCTGACAACTTTGGTGTCGGATGTGATACAGCAACCAGCTAGAGACAAGAGAGACACTTAAAATCTATTTGTACTAGCTATAAAGTATAAAAGTAATAAAACCAAGTTATAAAAGCATTATAATTAATTCTGGAAAGAATCCTAACACACTGACATAAAGATAGGACCACTAGCTGTACTGCATGCAGCAGACTAGACTTTTTAATTATCATTCTTTCCAAGTTTTCACCAATGTCTGACAAGAAACAAAACACAGTGCTCACACTAGTTAATAATAATTTTAAAATTACCACGTGTTGTTGGAATTCCAAGATGATGCATTGCCTATAAAGAATAAAATACAGAGAAATATGAATATATAAAAATATACTGTAAGAGAAACAGGTACTTGAATGCACAAAGTGTCAAAATATTCCACCTTTTCAGGATAATTAGTGTTACAACTTTTATTCCATCTTAGATTTATGAATATATATCTTAATTACCATCTATCAAGTGATTGCATGTCTACATAGTAATTAAGATGTTATCAAGTGATTGCATGTCTACATAGTAATTAAGATGTTATCAAGTGATTGCATGTCTACATAGTAATTAAGATGTTATCAAGTGATTGCATGTCTACATAGTAATTAAGATATCATTACCTCACTGCATAAAAACTCTCTTATGCTAGATCTCAAAACTTTTCTGCCATCAGCACTCCTGGAAAATGGTGTTTTTCCAGCACCTTTAAGTTGTATTTCCCATCTTTCACTATTGGAATTTATAACCTCACCTAAGTATCTAAATAGGTATAAAAACATGTTCTAATGCAAATTGCATGATTTGGCCAGGATTCACAAATTATGCAATTAAGTTTGCATAATTAAGTTTGAACCAGGAAGGTAACATAACCTAAAGAGCTTCGTATACATTCGCATCACATAAAATATTGAGAAATAGATTCAAGGAAAATTAATAATATATGTGGAGGAAATGAGCCTTGAGTTTTGCCATTAAGGACCTGAGTTACATTTTTAGCAATGACACCCTTGTTTTCCTAACCTGATTGACTCAGTTGTCACCCAGTACATACATCATCACATTATTCATGTTTAAATAAGTATATATGCATTTGATGATGTGCATTTACCTATTTTTAGTTTTAGAAGATTGGGGTGAGATGTGGCCTGGCCTAGGATCCCCACGGTCCCTATAGCTAGTACCGCTACACCATTGCCAATTAGATTCCAAAGAAATCATTCATGTGCGAAATACATCTCCAGTTTTTATCACTTTAAGTATAATTGCATTAATGAAATGATACATACATTGCCGCACCATCTCCTAACTGTCCAGCAAAACTTCCAAACTGGTGACCACAATAGCAATGTGCAGCAGTCTGTGAACCAGGAAGTTTTTTATTACCACTAAAATATTCTGGAAATTCTTTTCTCTTAGCTTGTTCTTGATTCAGACCAAGCAGGTTCATTGCACTTTCTGAATGCACTACCAGCTCAGGGTCTTTCACTGCTGTGGGTTCCACAAGAGAGAAACAAGCGTTGGGCACTTGACGAACGAAATTTTCTTTCACTGGATCGATCGGTAAAGACCGCAAGGCCAGGTTATCAAAATTCAATGTCTCCAATGTCGTCATGTTTCTCTTTTCTGAAATGAATTCGCTTTGGTACCTTCCAACAAATTGAACAAAAGATACAGTTGCGGACGTGTTTCTGCCAAAAGATAAATCTTGAATTATATTAGTTAATTTCTGTGGTTTAAAATGTCTTGCCGACCCACGTAACAAAGTCAACATGAGGCATTTTTTGCAGTGCAGAACCTCGATAAAGCAGTGGTCAGAATTTATTTCATGGCTCTTTACTATTTCGCCATATTTGAAATTTTATAAAAGATTTACATTTGTATGGGCATGCGCAGTAGGATCTGTGGTAAAGAGTGAGGATGCGAAGGTCAACCAGTGAAGTGAAGGTGGTAATCAACGTACGACAAATACCATCAGCAAAGATGTAAAATATCTTCCTCCTTCGTAGAGGTTATACAAGGAAGGGGAGGCTAACCGTTCAGAAGGACAACTGATTTTACAACTGTGGAAGTAAGAGGTTTATCATGGGGGAATGAGAAAAACTCTGGAAACGAGATTGAGAGAGAACGAGATTAGAAAACCTTTGGCTTTGCACTGCAGCCCAAAAATCCTGCAGCACGCCGTCTATTATAAGTACAGTGTAGATTGTATGAATGGATAAAACTTAACCAGTCTGACTAAAATAATTTAGATGATGACAATAACAACATACAGCATACGTTATTTATCAGTGGTTTAACTTCCGAAAATAAAGTACATAAAATAAACCTAATTTTTTCATAACTGAATATCTGTATCTAAATATGTACACTAGAGCTATATTTTATATGAATATAGCAGCAGATGTCACAACTTAATTAAGTCAAATAGTTTTTGTAGTTACAAGTGTATTTAGATAAGTTACAAGTTATATATCCATTTATAAAGACTTTTTAGAAAGTCACTTGCATATGTTATGATTATGCAGCATAACAATTTCAATTAAACAGTTCCGATTATGTGATATAAGCTATAGTTATGTTTACTGCCCTTTCATGCAATTTTCTTTGCTAAAACTACGGTTGACATGCATTATCAGAAGCATATAACATTAACATAAACATCATTCGACCGTAGTGAGAAGCCAACAGGGAGGTCATTCTTTTCCCAAGGATACTGGAATAAATTCTCAAATATCATCTCAAATTTCAACGTAACGCTTTCTTTGCCACTCTATTGTGACCAACTTCGTGTCAAAGTGCTTAAACCATAAATGACTTTCTTTCTGACGGGTTCATTTTACAATCGCTGCTGCATGATGATTATCGAACCAAGTCAAAATTTAGGAGTCCGAATCAGAGTCGGATTCGTTAACTGGCGCAGCTGATTCGAATTTCGGTATTGTGCTGCTAGACATTCCACTTGGTTTTAGATGTTCCTTCACGTTCACGGACTCTGGGAACCGTTGATGGTACCGTTTTAAAGTAAGGAATTTTACAGTGACTAAACGACCTGGCAAAAAAGTATTCGTAATAAATTAAACAGAAGTTGAATGGCTAAATCATTGGTTTTCTATGCACATCCATATCTCTCGTGTACTGCTGAACTGCTAAAATAAACGTTTCTCGACGTTTCTACGACGATCAATTGTGGAAAGCACATGTTTTGTATAAGGGTGAAAAATGGACCAATAGGAAATGCATATTAGTATATATTGATTAAGAATGTTATACTTAGAAATTCTGAAATTTTGAAATTTGTGAAAGGATTATTTTATGTGTTCAAATGGATTGCTTTCATGAAGGAATGTAATTCTACTAAGTTTTGAACCATTTCGAGGTATTTTGAACCGAATTTTGAAATTTCGAAAAACTGACAAAAAATTTGAAAATTAGTACTGGAAATCTACTCAGTTCATTGTTAATTTGTTCTGCAGAAGAAAAACTTCGTCTATTTTAAGAGCATTCTCTGTTAACTCAAAAATGGATAAAGCTCGAATGAATATTTCGGTTTAACTCACAAACATGTCGACCCACGGTACCTACCATCAAACCAACAGCCATGTATAGCACGAAAGGCGGCTCCAGATGAACGGTGGTCAGCACACTTTACATAAACACAACCCTAAAAATTAGAATAGATATCAGCTAAATGCGTCATATGTCGGGAAATATGATTTATAAAACACGTTATAAGATCCTTGTTATAAGAGTTTCTATTTTATGACTGATAGTATGAATATTTAAAACATAAATGTAGGAATAGGCAAGGGCATCTGGTTTTAAGTACTGAAGAGATCCTACTTATTGACTAAGCCGATTGCGTTATTACAAAATTTCCACTTCTATTTGGAATTTCCTTCCCACTCTGTGTTGCAACTAAAGAGGTAAGCAGATTGTATGACAAATTGGAGCAGTTCTTTCTCGTCACGTACCTCATTGGACGCTTTATCGACTGATATATGCACGATTGCTGCTTCTTTTTCAGTACATTTCTCCAGTATAGCATCTTGAATAAATACATGCCATTCATCCTGAGTTTCCCTAGTGACGGTCAATAACAGTTCATTCAACATCACATATGCATGAGCACGACGAAAATATAGATTATAAGACATTAGTTTACACGCTAATAACTTACATGACTGGTTCGAACATATTTCTTATCTTTAAACATGGTGTTGGACTAATCAAAGGGGGATTTACAGCCGTTGTGAAGTTTTCAAACGCTAGAAAGGAATATAAAAAATTATAATTTAGAGCTTGTTAAAGCTCTAAACAAAAAACAAACTTGGCGACGGCTGAATACCTCTTCCCGTCCATACTTTTCCTTGTTTCGCATTCGAACCCTTCAAAGAAGAGAACTCTTTTAAATAACATTCAAAGGAAGATAAAAAATAAAGCGTGTCATATCATGTGTACGCAATAAAAAACTTGAAGGCATGGTATTTACCGATGGTGACGAGGGACTACCAGGGGTAGTGTGGTGTAACAAACGCCAAACTTCAAAATCTTCTCCAGAGATACGTTGACTTTCTACGCGAACACGTGACTCCTGTGCACTAAGAAACTTCACTGCATCATCCCAGGCGGATCTCATGGACTCTCTGTAAAGTATTGTCATATTCAATAGGAGTACGTACATATTCATGCACAGGGTGCCGAGAGAAATTGTCCTATGGCCCTATTCCCTATGATGTCATGATTTTAAATATATGCGCCAGTCTCTAAACGGTCGCTTACACCTATCCAACATTTTCTAAGCAGCCTTGCCTAATTTTAGGTCCCCTCTTGTGTTAGGGGCCGAGGTAAGATGATTCCCTCCTCTAAGTGGCCCTGTTCATGCAAGTTTGTGGCTGGGTATAGGTTACCGGAAAACTCACAGGAAAACAACCTTTTTTAACCTTCCCATCTACTTTCAAGGATGTATATTAACTACACAGTATTTAAAAGCAGTTATCTTGTCAATTCATAAATTCACACACCTTTCAGATGGCTTGATCAACATATCTCGAACATGAGGGATGGCCAAGTATGGACTCAATTCCTTATTTCGTTGACACTCATTATGATGATTCTTCAAAACCTCTGAACACACAATAGAGGTCAGGTAAGCTACATCTGGTTTTTTGAGAGATATTTTTAAAGCAATCGCACTGTACCTAAGATTTTATCAACAAGCTCAAACATCTGTCGAGTTCGGCGTTCGCGTAACATCCAACGATACTTCACGACGAAGTAGATACAGAGACAGCAGATAATAGCTGAGGGAGAAAAATATGATTTCAAGAACAGGAAGGTTAAATTTAAACTATACCAAAAACGGCAATTTTTTCAGCGATAGAAAAATCAACTAACTGGTGGATATCGCTATCCGGCCTTCGTACAACCGGTCCTACTAGTCCTCAGGCATTGCTAGTTATTGTAAAATGCTGTCGGTGTGAAATCGTTAATTATTAAGATGAGGATATATAATCCCTTCGCCCTTTTTGATATACATTGCTTACCTCCACATAAGATAAGCAATTGATAGAAGACCCTTGAGAACGCTTCTTTTATTCTGCACGTCAGAGGTTTTAAAGCCATTGGTACGAGAGAATGGAAATGAGTTCCGTTTGTCACCATTGTTCCATTTATATAAAAACACCTGCACAAAACGGATTAGAAAAATGAAATACCATTTTTGAAGAACAACTGGAAACTGGAGGCAAGTTAATCTTAAGGTTCTGGGTTGGATTATAAAAAACTAAAAAATGGCAAACATTTTGTAATATATTTCTTCACTTAGAATGAAAGCGTGTTGTGCCTGTGACTGGTTCATCTGGAAGAATTATGGAATTGGCTCCTGATCGTGCAAAGGTAGTGGAGGTAGAGTCAAATCTGAGCCTTGCTATCATATAATTAAAGCTTATTGAAACTCTTTCATTTGCCATAATGAGTTACTAACAAAAGGTAAACTTTGCCTGATTAAACAGGTATTATGTAACAAGGACTTACATTGGGTTACCAACTTGAATTATTTGTTCAGTAATGCTGTTAAATATTCTGTTGGAGTTAAAATTCTCCTTTCCCTGTAAAACCTGTAATTCAACACTCTTTTACAATAAATATGACAAAAAGGACTTGTTTGTCCATTCTCTTGCAACTATGCAATCACCTAGAGACTAAATAAATTACCATAGGGAATATGATGTGCATAGATTTATTGATTTGAGAAATATGGTTGGTTCAAGAATGAGAAATAACAATACAAGTTGATTCAACAACATGTAGCCAAGTGCAAAAATGTGAAGCTTCCTTGATAACATGAACTATTTTACTTTTAAATGAGAACATGCACACCAACCTCTTGTTCATGTACCCATTCTTTCAGCTCTTCTTTTGTCATCCCACCACCCTTAGTTGAATAACCACATTTAACAAGACCTAAACAAAAAATTGACTTAAAAAACTAGCATCGCATCTCCAATTAGAATGCAGCATTTGCCATGAATATGCACAGAACAGACTTTACACATCTTTAAATCTTATAGCACTTTTTTCAAAATATTTCTATCCACTTCCACTTTTAGTAGGCACACAATAGCTATTAGATGAATAAAAATTTGAAAGTTATGCTTATGTTACAAAGGTTATGCTTTATAGCATATAATATATGAATTATGTAAATTATTGCCGAACTTCAGTATATTTTTAAGAATTACCACACCTTCCATAGTACCAAGGTCATATTGGAGTTTTCTAACAAGTCTTTCTATGATTCTTTCTTCTGTCAGGCATTTTCCATCCTACAATATTTTATAAATACCATTTTAGAAATAAAGTTAGTAGAATATTTCCTACAGTTGACACTGTCAAATTCTGGATGATAAATGTTTGTGGTTGCATGGTTTAGTTATATCCCTAATATCAACATGCAAGGTGCAAATATTAAAAATAATTTCTTATAAGGCACTCACAACAGCAATATGTAGTTTAATTATTCAATTACAACCTGCAGCTGAATACTTTATTTACACACCTCATTCCCATCAGAAGCAGTTCCACAAATCTTCAGCTCTACAAAATACAGTTACTGTATAATTTCTACAAATTCTACATTTTCATTTTGCTTATGGCACCATGTATGACCTGCATACTCCCTAATGTATAATGCATAAGTATATTGCACTTTGATCTTACAGTTTTAGAATAGTATAGAAATAGAGCCTATAGTTTTACCCATGTTATAACCATGGAACCCTGCATTCCTATTGTTCACTCAGAGGTTGATTGTTTCATAGGCAATTATCATAACTCTGGATTGACCCAAATATAGCTGCACCTTTTGTAGATAATTTTTAAGTTGAAAACAACATGTTCACATGTGCATATTCTAATTAGCCTTATTAGCAATGGGAAAACGTTCCAATCAGATCTAGAACTGACTAACAGTTGATAACAAAACTTACGGTCATTATTTGTCCCGTGCCATAACTGTGTAGACAAAATCTGCCAATAAAAAACCAAAATAAATACAACCACGAGTATAATAACCAAAACCCAAATCGGTGGAACTCTTTGTCTGTCGGTCTCATCTTCAACTTCCAAATCATATGTAATTTTTGCTGGTGGTGTAGGTGTATTAGCATGGTGCCTACTATCTTCCATGCTTTTTCTCAAGAAAAGATTCCTTAATCCAACATAGGAAGGCAATTTTCCACGCTTCGACTGTAAAGCGTACGAGTTGACTCCAGGTGCTCCATCATTGTCCGTCATATCTTCGTCATGTGTAGGTCTTTCCTTTGGGCTTGAAGTGCTGTTATAAGGACGTCTTCGAACAGGTCGTTCTTCATTTTGTATTGGCACAGGCGAGGGCCGCGAGGCAGTCGATTTTCTTGGACTTGTCTTAAATTCGCCGGGCAAGCGTCTTTGCCTCGTCCCTACAGGCGCCTTATCTGACTCATCTTCATCACTTGAAAAGCCTATTAGCTTTCTTCCCGGGGCCGGAGTTGGGTCAACAGATCGTCGCCTCGGCGAAGCACGTCGCGGAGATGGTTTCGGTGAGTAGTTTCTGGATGGCAATTTAGTACTGCCCGATGAATGTTCACGCTCAGACAACTTTTTATTTAATTTTCGTATATACAGATTTTTGGTTGTAGCAGTTAAAGGCCCGCATGAGATACCATTTTCTTTTAATTTTGCCCGCAATTCACGATCAGAAATATCTTCGCTCACGGCCGCCATGTTGTCACTTGGTGCGGTGCACGCTTTTGAGACGTTCCGTGTCGCACCCCTCCTGGCAAAGTGAAGGTGCCTTTGTTGTTTCGTATTTCCATGTGTGTTTTTTTCTGTTTGGCCATGCCCGGCATGGTACCTTTTTTTTGTGAACAAACAAGTTCAAAAATGGAAATTTGAAAGGTTCACTCTTTTGTGACATCCTTGATCCCTTTAAGAAAAGGCACTGACACCGACTAGGCTAGAAGGTAGTCTAACCTGTTATTAGCGAATATTCTGGTATCTTCCATCGTATTCGTTAATATTCAAGGCCTCTGGCAACTAGGGGTAGGCGGTCCTGCCGGTATTTTCTTAAATTACTTGGCCAGTCAACCAGTGGCTACACAAACGCAAAACGTATCGAGACAAGACCCATTGCAGTTCAATATGGAGCAATCGAAACTCACTATCTCTAGTGTGAACCATATATAGTATATATAAGCGCCCTAGTGTGGAGCAAGGGCATGCGCTTTTGTATGCATGTTATCTTTCGCATGAATACGCACAAACGAATAAATGTAATTGTAATTTTATTAAAATATTCAGGAAACCCGCCCTTAAACAACTAATAATTTCACCACATTTATGCAGGAAAAGCAACAAACTAGCTGACCTGACTGTGCGAAAAAAGACTGGGATAGGAAGGACTTTTTAATATTTTTGTGAATGTCTTTTTATTATCTAACTAGTTTTAATAATAGAAAAATCAATTATATTCCTATATAAAAAATATGCAGAGAAATTTAGATATTAATCATAACTTTGAGAGAAAATAAAATAATCACGAAATAATGTTATCGAAAAATGGCTTTGTATTAGACTAATGTCCCACGTCCCAGTCTTGTTTCTAGTTTTCGACCTGGAATTGTTTCAAAATTCATTAAATACAGTATATACATGTCCCACTGTACACAGTATCTTGAATTGAAACGAGAGACATGGTATGAGAACAGTAGTACCAGTAGTAATACGTACTATAAAACATGACGTAAACCCGAATCAAAGCAAGTTTACGGTTTATGTAACCACCGAACTATCTGGTAATGGTCTAGCCACTACACATTACACATGCTTCCTTGTTTTGCAACGAACACGCAATTGCCTCCTCGTTTTGCTTAACTTGTTCTTCAGATGTCTTAGTTTTAAGGGCTTCTTGATCAACGGTGAATTGAATGGCTTGGGCAGCGGGTTTCGAACGAAGGTAGTACATGCCAGTCTTTAAACCCTAGAAGATAAGAATATACGGTTTTAGGAATATCGACAAGCAACTCATTGCTCTAAAGTGATATGTGCAACATCGATCATTGCTCTATTGTGTACTCACTTTCTTCCAGCCATAAAAGTGCATGCTGGTCAATTTTCCGTAGTTAATATCACCCATGTGAACATTAAACGACTGGCTTTGATCTATATAAGCTCCTCGGTCAGCTGCCATGTCTATCAATCGTTTCTGGGAAATTTCCCACACTGTCTTGTAGAGTCGCTTTAGGTCATCAGGAATCCCGTCGATGTCCTACACATCCAAGATATGAGACATGTTTAGTGTAGTAATTCCATGTCATGAATACAACCAGTCTTATATAAACGCGCCCCAGCGCTGACCCAACCCTGAAGGATTAGATTAATTAAGGATACATTCGTATCTAATTATCACATACGTAACAATCGGTTTGCATACCTGAACCGAACCACCACTGGCAATTAGTTGATTCTTTAATCGATCATTCCACAGACCACGATCAACAAGATCCTTCAACAGATGATTATTGACAACCTGAATAAAGGAAAAATAAAAATTGACAGACTGAATTTTGTTCAGGTGAAAATAACCGGAAAGACGAATTTTCCACATGCGCAAATTTGTTGCCTGGCTTCTGTATCCCATACAAGATTCTATATTATTTTATTATTTGTTCTTCAAACTGTTAACCAGTTTCAACTAACCTGAAATTCACCTGACAAAACTCGTCTTGTGTAGATGTTGCTTGTGTATGGTTCGAATGACTCATTATTTCCGAGAATTTGGGCAGTTGATGCTGTCGGCATTGGAGCAAGCAGTAGACTATTCCGAACACCGTGCCTACAAAATATAACACAGTTCTAGAGTATATTTTTTAAAATTAGAAAAGACTGAATGTGAGTGCTGAATGAGATGAGCCTCTTTAATATGGGAGCAGATCAACCTCATCAGGAAATTAACCTTTACTGCCTTAATGATTTTATATATGGGTACTAAGTACTAAGAGTGACAATTTTTTATACCACATATTTATATACAATAAATATTACTTGAAAATTCTTCAAGGTTCTACCACATAATATCATAGATACATCACCTGGCAATTTTCTCCTTGAGTTCTGCCCAGTTCCATCTGTTTGTTGGTGACACATCCCACAAGTCATATTGCAAAAGCTATGACACAAATAATTTTTTATTAAGTGTGGGTTATTTATACCATCTTCTCTGACTTTTTTCAACTGATAAATATCATCTTACATTATGAAATACCGTACACAAACACTTACCCCTTGACTAATTGGTGAACCCTCATAAGTAGAATATGGGCCATCTTTCTCAGCAAGTTCACATGATGCCTTTGGTGAGAGTAATTAAGTTCATAAAGTTAAAAATAAGTTTTATATTACCATTACAGTGCATGTAGAGTTTCTTATCCCATGTGAAAGTCAATCTTGTGGCAGTGAAACAAAGTAATCTATGACAAACATGCATATGTATAGAGAAATATCTCATTCTTACTGTCAAGGCTGCGAAATAAATTGTTTCAAATATTTCAATGTTAAGCTGCCGTGCTTCATCGCTTTCAAAGGGAAATCTCATGAGAATAAAGGCATCAGCTAACCCCTGTAAAGATAAAAGAGCTAGGGTTTATTAAATTTCATAGAATTTGAGTTATCTAGGGGCTGCAATATACCACATATATGAAAACAGATGTTCTGTGCAACAATTTGTATTGATTAAAATATTCTCATTCAGTGTAATTAATCTCCCTTCCATTTCTCTTCTTTGGAGAAGAACTAGGGTGGAAATAAATGTTTCTTTTCCATTACCTGAACTCCAATACCAATTGGTCTATGTCTCATGTTAGAGTTTCTTGCCTAAAACAAATTATGTATTAAATTATGAATTTTATTTCATCACTTAATGATAAAAAAATTAATTCAATTGACTTTTCAATAATGTAGTTTAATATAGAAACTAACCTCAGGAACAGGATAATAGTTGATATCAATTATTTTATTCAAATTTTTTGTCACCACCTAGAAATAGACAGCATGTATATTTACCATTACAATTCTAACAACAGAATTTTTGATAATTAACAGATAAAAAGAACCAATCAAATTATTTTGAAACCAATCATTTTAGTTAAGTTTCAACCTTTGTGACTTCGAAGAGCTTCTGAAAATCATACTGAGGTGGATTTTTCTCTGTCTTTACAAACTGCTTGAGAGATATTGATGCCAAGTTGCATACAGCTACCTAAAATAAGATTGGTTTCAAGGCTTTAATAGCGCAAAATAGGCCAAAATAAAGCTTTTGTAGCAATTTCTATCGAAATAAAAGAAGTGAGAATGCCAGTTCAAATGAAAGACAAATAAAGAAACGTTGGTCAATATAAGGGTATTTAAGCATTTGTAATAACATTATTTGTTGCAAATGGTGATGCATGCTGATATACCACTTAGACAGGGAGATGAATGGTTAAATTAAAATATATTTGAGACCAATAAACAGTCTCGTATTGCAATTAGTGATGTGACAATATTCTCAATCTCACCTCATCTGGACTGGTATATTCTACAATCTCAGTACAAAGGTTACTACACTTGATTGTACCAAGGTTCTAAAAAAAGGCCAAAATCAGAATAGTTCTGTGGGAAACAGGTATGTAGATCAAGGTATAAACATGGCACTTTGACAGCACTGTACCTTTTGATTACTTTTTCGGTTACATGCATCTTTGTACAACATATAGGGTGTTCCCGTTTCAATTTGAGAATCCAGAATTGCAAACCACAGCTTTTGTGCCTTGATTTTCTTCCTATAACGACCTTCTCTTTCATATCTAAAACAAACAGTCAATGGAAATATAAAAACAACTGTCAGTGGGAAGGGACCTTAGACTCGATCAATGTGATTAAGAGATTATCAGGTTAAAGTAGGTATTCAATCATAACCCCCCAATACACATTGTACTACCATAAAGATAACTAATTTTCATAAAAATACAAGCCTGTCTAAAACTTATTTGAAAAATCGGAAGATCTTACTTCATGTAAAGTTCTTTAAATTCATCTCCATATACATCATGTAATCCAGGGCATTCGTCTGGACACATTAAGCACCAATCCCCATCCTCTTGAACACGTACCATGAACAGATCAGGAATCCACAAAGCAAAAAACAAGTCTCTGGCACGCTAAAGAAAGAAATATTTCATATTGAATCCAATTCAATTATAACTTTCACCAATACTGACCCCCTTAAAATAACCTCTATACCCAATGCAAACAAACTCAATTATTAGGCAAAATAGTCATCACATAATACACAAACCTGTTCTTCTTTCCCTGTATTTTTCCTAAGATCAAGGAACTCATAAATATCAGCATGCCATGGCTCAAGATAGATTGCAAATGCACCAGGTCGTTTGTTGCCCCCTTGATCAACATATCTTGCTGTAGCATTGAACACCCTCAACATTGGAATTATTCCATTTGATAAACCATTTGTCTAAATGTTATAAGTGCAAAGAAAAGTAATGAGCATCAGATGCCTACAACATAATAATCTAGGGAGTAACATAAAATAATCTATGGTATATCTCAATGTTAGTATTACACAACTATAGATATTGAAAACAGAGGTTTTTTGGAGGACAAAATTATTTGAATCATCGTTGTTTTACATGTCAAGTTGGAAATTAATTAATGTATTTCTAATATTTCATAGCACAATGATTATATATATATATATTTACCCCAGCAATGTAACTTCCAGTTGCCCTAATACAATGAACATTCAAACCTATCCCACCAGCACTTTTAGAGATAAGCGCACATCTTGTTAAAGTGTCATAAATTCCTTCAATGCTATCATCTTTCATTGCAAGTAAAAAGCAGCTTGATAATTGAGGACGGTTGGTACCAGAATTAAACAAAGTTGGTGATGCATGAGTGAACCATCTATCAGACATTAGGTTGTAGGTTTGAATGGCCAACTCTATATCTTCACCATGGATACCAATTGACACTCTCATTAACATATGCTGAGGTCGTTCCCAAACCTTGCCATTCAGTTTTAACAGGTATGATCGTTCTAATGTCTGCATTGAAATAACAAATGATGAATAAATATGGATTGAAATGAATTGTAGGGGAAACATTTTCTTAAAGAAATGACATTGCTTTTATAACATATTGCCTCATATTTAATTACCTTGAATCCAAAGTAAGTATAGTTAAAGTCTCTATCATAAATAATTGCAGAGTTCAGAACCTGTAAAAAAATTATTTTAATAACCATGATTACTAAAGAATATAGAAAAGGAGTTAATATTTAAAATCACTGTAAACACATGCATGAATAATTTTATATGTTTCACACCATTAATTCTATTCACTTACATCTTCATGTTTTTTAATGATGTCGAAAGTTTCTTTTGAGATTAGAGGCGAATGTCTTCTATTCCTGGGATTCACATGCTCATACAAATCCTTCATAACCGCTAAGTGGCAAATTAGTACAAACAACATCACTACTGTGGACTCAAAACTATATTCTATTTAGAGCTTTTCATTTGCATTACAATTTAAACACTATTTTGGAGGGAGTCAATATACCATCAGATAATTACCACTAAATGTCTTGGTAGTTTCTTTATGCAAATTGGACACAGCAATCCTAGCAGCTAGTGTACCATAATCTGGGTGTTTGGTAGTCATTGCTGCTGCTGTTTCAGCAGCGAGAGTATCGAGTTCAGCAGTTGTCACCCCACTGTATACACCAGAGACAACTTTCATTGTAATATCAACCTACAATTTATGAATAATCCCTTACAGTTTCATGAATCATGATATACAAATACAAGCAGAGGCATAATAATGGTCATTCCAATATTAACCTGCACAGGTTAGGCAAACCTTTGGACATGGTTGTTATAAGGCACAAAAATATGCAATATGCCCACTTAGTGTCCAGTTTAAGAAAGGCCACTAATCTTTCGAAAGTATTTATAAGGGAGAGGGGGTAGAAATAACAAGAGTTGGCCGGTAGGAGTATTTACATTTGCAAAAGCTCATCATCTGACCACATGCAATACAGTCTAATTCAGCATATTTTACCAGAACAGAATAAAACTATACAAAAATCGAAAATTATATTTTAATATTCTTGATTTTGTCACTTTGGAGTTCTATAAATTAAGGTTTGGCTTCTTATATTGGCGTCCAATTGGTAACCTATTATAACACGCCATAGAACTATTAATATGGCGCCAAAGCCAAAACCTATTGTAGGAATAAATGTTGGTAATATAATCGAGAAAATGTGAAATAGACGAGTTGTTTGAAATAATATAAGCTTGTGTTGTCGTATACATTCAAACAGGAAAAACCTTAAAGGAAAAACGACGTTATTTAGCAGTTTGGCCGACTGCCATTTCATATGATTTTGGCGCCAACCTTGATGCTCGACATTCATATTTTGTCCTCTTACCGGGTCAACGTAGTCTTCCTTCAGTCCGTAGCATAGCTTACTAATTCTCGACGTTATTTTATCAAACATCACCTTCTCCTTTCGTCCATCTGCAGTACAAACGACAGTTGTGATACATGAAATAAAAATGTGGCTGCGAACGCGCAAATTTTTTCTCAGGGGCATATCGCGAGCTGGTATGAGATTGCGAACTTACCTCGCTTGATAACAAACATTTTGCTATTAACTTCTGCTGACATTTGAACGCTAAGACACAAGAATTGTTAAAATATACCGATAAAGCAGGAATACAAAAAGCTAAACCTTCCCCTGGGAAATGACAACTTCTGACTGAAGAGGCGCATACGACGTTTAGAGCATGTCGATTACAAGTGATTGTTAAAAAATCGCGCCAAATATTAGCCAATCATACTGTTCAGTATTCATAGCATCATATTTCATTTCCATATACAGGGGGGTCGCCTTGTTTCCAATGAATAATTTGCATTAATTCGCTACAATACAAATAGAAATTTGTGTTTTTGACGCGAAATAGCTGCGAGGCTGTAGAGGAAATATCTGATTTCATTTAGCTCATGCTTTCATCACCGCTTCGTTTTGACGATACTACCATTGGCATCTCGTAAAGGCGGATTTCCATTAATCCATTCAGTGCAAAATGTCGCGCGATCATTTTTTTCGATCGCTTTCTTTTGAAATGGTGTTCATTCAAGTTCATCTAATGGGGATTAGTTCCACTTGACTGTTTGCATTTCAAAAGAAAGAGATCGCAAAAAGTCGATCGCGCGACACTTTGCACTGAATCGGAATCCGCCTTATTAAACGCCTATGGCTCAGTCTCCCACACTAGTCTCAGCATGTTTAATTCTTTAACGCCAGTGTTCTGGGAATCCAACGCAGAAGCCAAAACTCGCGTTTTTAATCGTTTGGCCCTAGACATGACACTGTTTTTTAAGTCAAGCGAAAAGAAGGGAAACCGGAGTGCCCGGGGAAAAACCCTCCAAAGGGTAACCCGAATTTCAGGTTACCAACCGGCGGTCTGAATTTGGTATTTTTATTAAAAAATCGTTTGCAATGGCAGTTCAGGTTTTATTTATAATTGACTGGTCATAGATATTATAAATAACACAGTGTTATTTGTTAGTTATAATTTCTATGGTTTTAAGTTCCGCTCATCCGAACCTCATGAGTCCCAGGAAATGCATAATGCATTAATGTTATGCATTTCTTGAGCTTCGTCCATTGCATGCACTCCATATGCCTTGCATGCATTCCATAGAATTCTTGAATCCTGGTGGTGGTCTAACGTGCTAAGCGCGCATATCGTTGCAAAACAGCAGGCTGTTAAAAATTTAATTAAACTGCGCTTTGTCCGATAACTCGACAAGGGCAACAAAAATTATTTTACTTATTTTCAAATGCTCATTTATGATCATGCATTTTTGGGAAATGTGGCATTTTAGAAAGAAATGTTTCATATACACGACTCTTGCATCTGGAACCGATGTAAATAGACAACAGCACTCTTCTACTATCTTCTTAAAACATGCACTCATCATGCACATAATCTTTTTATACGTTCTGAATTACGGTTGGTCAAAATTAAAATAAAGGAAATAAACGTAATCGGGCTCAACATGCAACTTACTCAATATGGCTAAACAATAACGTCCATTACCTTTCGCACCGTATAATTACCTTCGGAAACAGTATACTGAATTTCACTTGCTGCTTCGTTGCTCCATTCCAAACAGTTGCGTTAATTCTTCTTTAACAACATCTCGTCGGTTGGGCGTGCAAGGAATTAAACAACATAGTAAGTGTGTCAAAAATGCATTCTCAATCTGAGAATAAACCATTAACAAGGTTCAATTTTGGGGAATTAAACAGTCTCAAGTGTAAACAGTCCGTAAAAACAATCAATTTGAAAGAAACTAATAATGCGGAACACGAATATATGAATATTAGGATATCAGCCACCCTAATTAAGGATCTTCCGCAGTCCCTGGCATTGTTTTTTGCGTGGGGGGTATTCATGATTTCAACACCCAGCGAGTACCGTGAACAGAAGCATCCCCCCTGGCACCAGATTATGTTACACGAAACAACTCGCAACGCAACAATGTTTTGAAACAGGTTTACGCATCGAATATGATATATATGAGTTTGTAACACAGAAATTATTTTGTGTAACATTACCTTAAAATTGCGCTTCTTGTTGGGGTTTTCATTTCAAAACATTGCCAACATGAATGTGTAGAACACCTAAATAGCCTCGTGAACCCAGACGCTCACTTTTGTTTACTGTATATTATAAGTTTGTGTTTAGATCTATTGTATACAGTGAATACTGAACAAGTGAAGAAAAGAATAGGCAACGTCTAGCCGTCTACTACTACAAACTAAATATTTTGGCTGTTTTGATTGTACATGATTTATGACGAGTGTTATAGGTCTTTCTTTCATAAAGTACGTATAATAGTTGTGCAACATGCATAGCGGTTTAAAGGATCAAGCTAGTTTCTCTCCAATTTTGCACGATTGTACATTGTGTGCAAAATGACCCACTAATTGACTAAGTTAGTACTGGCAATGATACTTCACCTAAGCGAAGTATTAGGAAACATACATATATCACGGATTATGTGTAAGTTCATTGACGTAGCTACTGGTCAGTTCACGTAGCTCTGTAAGGCAACAATCCTCTGGTAATGGTAACTTTCCTATGTGAGGAGCGAGTACACTGGACTGTGTGTGGTATGAATTTTCAGACTCTTCACACTGGATAGCCTGAGGGGGGAAAATACAAGTAAAAAATGAGTGTTTATGCCAATATTATACTATTTGATTCATGTTCGTTAGCAGTGTGAATTACTAAATTCGTGAATCGAGATTTCGTTACCATAACATAAGAAACAAACAATGAATGTTTTCATTCGTGCAATGCATGGGAAGGAATATTTTCGTGCGCGTTAAAAGATGGAAATAGTTTCCATCTTTCACCTGGAAATAATTTCCGTCTTTCACCTCATGAAAATATTCTTACTTTTGCACTCATAAACATTCATGATCATAAATAGTATACTGACCACTTCCTTAGCAACAATCTTCAGAAAGTTAGCACACATTGTCCCCATATCCGATTGGCATAATCTTTAAAGAAAAAAGTTACGTTCTTGATATCACTTGTTACCTCAAATTACGTACATATATAGCTACGTTCGACAATATACGAACACAAATATATATATAACATACGTATAAATCTAAGTCGGATAATCAGGGATGAAAGGACTCGATTAGAGCCTTGTCTATAACTTTGCTATTGGTAAGTATAGGCCTTCAAGACCGTTGTTATACAACACACTTCGTTGTTTCCATGAGACTCGATTCTTCCTAATTTTTATTGCTTACATATATATTATTTTGTTAAACAAACAAAAATTCCTCACGTGGGTATTTTTCACAGTTGAACCAAGCTAGCATACTAACCTATCAGTGGCTGTCTTGCTGGGTAGTTGACTGATTCGATGACATAATGACGATACTTTGGTTTGCATTTTCTCCAACTGGTACGTATTTGGTACAAGAAGGCCAGCCTATAAGATTATAAAAACAAACCAACTGATTTAATGTACAATCTATAATAATTATCCTTTTTAATGTTGTTGTAATGTTGTCAAAAATACTATATCCCAAGTGATTCAACACTATTTCTTCGAAAGTGAAGCAACATTACCTTGATGTCATTAAACTTCTCCCATAACTTGATGTAGTCAAGATAAATCTGACCTCCGGTATTCCAGCCGTTAACCAGAGAAGAATTTTCACGCGGAGCAATCTCTTCAAGTAATTCCTTGATCGAATCGTACTCTTCTAAACGCAACGGGATATCATACCAAATGTTAGACCTCTTAAAAAAGGACGAGGAAAGACTGCTGGCTTTGCGACTGCTCGCTTTTACACGACTATTCAGTTATAGTTCCCTTGATTGAGGTGGGAAATACTAAATTATAGTTAACAAAATTTAATCCGTTGCATTAAATAATTGAATTACCGTTTATTATAGCAGACGAAGCTAAACTGTTCAAAATGACCTCATGACTCAGATTGAAATTGCCAGATTTGAGAAGATGATACGCCTCGTCTCTGGGTCGATTTTCCTTCCTTGCACGAACCACCTAAAATACAAGAATAAATCTCTATTTTAATTGGCAATTTCGAGCTTCAGACAATACAGAGCAGTTTATATATACAATGTATTTTATAACCATTGACTATCATTATCAATACCACTATTCTTTGAGTCTAACGCAACGAATATCCTCAACAACGCACCTTTGCCTCGTGTATCCATGTCACAGGGATACAAAGATCATTCAGTAAGAAAGTTTCTCTATCACTGAAATTGACCTCATCATCCAATGTGCAATAATGAACTAAAACCTCCTGGATAGCTTGCTCGCGTCTGGAAAACGTAAAAAGTGTTTTGAATATTTAAAAAGTTGTAGGACAAAATAATGAACAAGGCTATAGAGACACCGTGACGGTCAATTACCTCACTGGATCCTGAATGTGCATTAAAACGAATACAGCCCAGTGCCACAGACCAATTGCTTCCAGTTGTGCTGCATAACTCGTGTTTAAATAACTTGCGTAATACTCAGGTAGATGATGATAACCAACAGAGCGAAGGATTTGATAAAGATGCCAGCTAAATAAATGTATGAGATCTGCTAACTTGACTGTTTTCAAGTCTTGTCGTTACCTGAGGTCTAAATTTTTTTGTCATACGTTGCCTGGTAAAACTCGTGAGACGGTCAACATGCACAACAGCCTCTATACACACCAGTTACAGTCAGTGGGACCCTAAGAACTGTATTTATAATTTCACTCTGCTTTTTGATAAACGATGATGTGAAAGAAAGTCTTTTAAAAGTCTTGAACTAAAAAGCTTTATCGCTGCAGTCGATTTAGTTCAAAATGGTTTCTTTCCAAGTAGATGTACGAAATTAGCATCACCAAAGCTCGATTTAAAAAATGAACACAAAAGCAGTGTTGATTATATACCTGAGACTAGCATCAAGTTGATATTTTGTATATGACGCCGGTGCCAATGTTTTCTCCAGTCTGTGGGATCGTTTACAAAAAAGTTTAATAAGATGATAACAGGTATCCCGACATGCTTTGTGCTCTGTTTCATCGTCTGTGTCTCCATCGGCCAGAACGTCGTCCGTGCCCGCGAGATATGATGGACTTGGTTCTGTGGCATAAATTTCCGTGCTTGTTCTGCCTTTGAAAGAATTCGCATATGACGCCAAAGCATCTGATATAAGGCCGCTTGTGGAACGTTGGTACCACAAATGTAAGGCAAACGTCCTCTTCCAATCCAAATCTTGACAAACTTTGATACCACGCCAAGACAGTTCTCCCGCTAGTAACGAGTAGATCCTCAACCTGTCTGTGCTGATAAACTTGTCAACCTGAAATAAGATGAATAAATTACAAAAATCATCCAACGGACCATTTTAAATACCTGAACACATACATACCTTATGTTCTAACCAATCATCGAGCTGCTTTAGTAGCCATTGTCTTACAACCATATTCACTGACGACTGTGCCAACAATAACGATAATCTGGTGTCGCCATTCGATTGCGCAACCTGGCAAGCTGCGTTGATCTGTTTTCCAGTGAGGAGTGAGAATATAACTCGCAGATGGTTGTTGTCCTGTATTTTAAAGAACAAAGTAGAATAGAAATTCCCAAGGAGTTTGAGCGAAGTGTACTAAATTCTAACATGAAAAACTACATGAAAACACGAGTAGAGAAAAAGTTTCATTTCACTTCCCTTATATACTTTTTACATGACGTATACAATTACCCACCTTAGCTTTAATGTTTTCTATTTCTTCGTTTATGACGCTCCGTGATGTTTCAGCCAACCAATTAGAGAGTGCTTCTTTTCTCGCAAGTGCTTCATCGTAACCATCATTGGATGTGCCATCGTTCTCTATCAAGATTGAAAAGCAAAGCGCATCATGATCCTACTATAGGTCATCCATGATTCTTCTGAAATATTATCCAATATCCAAATATATTCCATAATTATATTTTTGACTTCTCTTCATCAAAGGTTGTTAAGAATTCCTGAGTGTATGCATTGAATTTAAACAAGATGAAATGAGTCATGCTATAGGTACTAACCCGTATCCATAGAATCCTTCGAGACTGACAAATTACCCCACAGTGCAACAGCTAAGTCCATGACTGAAGAAAATGTATCAGCGGATTCTTTAAACGTAGTAGAAGCTGTAAATCATTTAAAAAATTGAAGAATGATTTAGTATTAGACGAGGTCAAGAAGATGTTTGAAAATATATGAATGAGTATCAAGTCACATCATGAACAACCAGATGAAAAACACTAGAATATTCTAAAAGATGGATTTATATTTGTCCATATTTCAGGGTGCAGTTAACACCTCTTTCTGACAACATTTTCTCTTTGTTTGTGAAGACAAGTAACGGATATACCTAACATCTCTTTGCTTTTGGCGCCTACTTCGGCATACTGATGAAGCGCTGTTACTCCTTCGGTCGGGGTGAAATATGGCGAGCTGTCGTCTTCATTTCGAGAGACGTTAGCAAGACAAATCTCAAGTCTTTCAATCAATCGAGCCTATGCATATTATAATGATAAATAGAAGTATATATATGTGTATTAACAATATGTGTATCCGGCTTACTAATGTATAAATCCCAAAAGCAAAATGACCTTGATAGCCTCAAGATGACATGATGAACTTGTGCAGGCAGTGAAGCTAAGATTAGTACTGACATTCCCTATTCTCAGTACATGGGTGTTTTATAGACCCTATATTCATGCAAAACATGCAAGCCAGAGTTTGCCGGTGGGTTTTCTCAGGGTAGATGAGAACATATTGATTAAGACTAACATATTACGCTTTTTTTGTTGAACAGCTAGAACGTAGGGTGAAGTAGGCTGCATCAATGAGCTCGGTGAGTGGGCAAGAGATGTGTTCAACCATATACCATGCATATGCATGGCATTCGTGAAGTACCTGCATGAGGATCTTGTGCAGCCGTTTAAACATATGCATATATTGCCGAAAATACTGTACCTGGTTTACATCACAATCCGATTTCATTGTAGGGTTAACGTTAACCCTTGCGCAACTGATTGCAAAGGAACTGGATTGTCTATTGTTAACTGAGGTTGCAATCAAGGGACTTCCCCTTACAATTTCACGTCGTAAAGATTGATCCGTTGATTTCGGCGACAAGCTCATTATTCTCGAAGGATAAACTAATTTCCAGGCTGGCCCCCATCCAACTCGAAATGATCGTCCCATGGTCAGTCCGGCGTCTGCATAAAGATTATGTTTGCCAGCGGTGATAGATTTCGAGAGAGGAACGAGTGCCGGTTGAGTTCTGATACCAGCTGCTTTCAGAGCAGTCTCTGATGGACTACCAACAGCACTCGGCAGCAAAATTGGTTGAGGAAGGCTATACCACTGCGGTTTGTTGCGATAATTCTCGTAATCTAGGAAGAACAGGTAGTTAAAGGCAATCTACCTAATACTCTATCCTATAGCCTAAAGTATCACACGAATAGTGTTTTAGCGTGAGTTGATTATTATAACGAGTTACCAATCATTTTTATTTTAGTAAAAAGTAAATCTAGGTACAAAACTATGTCGGTACAAAAGTAAATAATATCCCACTGCCTAAATTGGTATACTATTGGAAGAACCTAAGGCATTCTTAAAGATAGCCAACCTATTCTTCTCTCTTTTGAACTTCTTGATTCATCTCGTGGTAGCGTCTCTGGATAGAGTGTCACGGATTTTGTTTTCACCGGGGAGTAAATCGGCCGGTCACCTCTGCTATCGAACTCATCAAAACCAGTGGAATTTAATACTGATTTATTTCCCAGTCGAAACTCTCTTGGTCTCATATCGTTGTTGTTTATATACTGCTGAGGCTCATCTGTCTCGCCAAAGAATGAAGCCTTCATGACTTGCATCCGATGAGATTTGACACCCATCGCATTTGCTAAATGATGTGATGCAGGAGATGCTGTTGTCTCTTCTTCCAGTGGTTCTTGAAATTCTAAAAAATACGTTTTCATTCAGATCGATAAAATCATGAGCTGAGGTGGGTGCGTAATGGCAGACTGAGCTCCACCATCCTTATCTGTTTACAGAAGATGAGAGAGGTTTTCCCCAGGGCGCATACTAGAACTCTTCAGACGAGGACCCCTACGCCAAAACGTCGTGAAGTTTCCTTGCATATTTTAGGCATTTGTTGAAAAGCTATTTGAAGAAGTCGCCACGCTTATTCCTGGTTATCTTGAAATATAGAAGTAGGTTGATGGTTCGTTCATTCTAAGTAGTTCACCAACGCGGTGAAATAAAAATATATGATATGCAATATAATACCTGGAAAGCTTTCGTGACTAATGTCAGTCATCTGGCTTTCATCTTGTGACCCCAAATATGAATTCTCGTCATACATTTTATCTTCCATTGATTTCTTTCTATTTTCTAAATCCTCCTCCAAACGCATTTTCGCAGCAATCGCGGCTTTCTCTTTTTCAAATCTAGCCTTTTCAAGCAGTTTCTCCTTATCCTGTACAAGAGACCAGGAGTTTTCAAGTATAGCAAGGACTAGCATAAACAAGTTGTTAGTATGACAGCAAGGCACTGATACAAGCATTCGAATTCTTTAGCAATGTACTGCTTTAAATTAGGGCACTTTTTAAAAAAAGGTAAACATATCAGGATTGATCAACAAATTTAGAGAAAACCCTAATTTGTGCTGTCAGAAAAAAAGACAAAAACAAAGAACTATGTGACTAATAATTAAGTGAATTTTCCAACTTAGGCCTTACTTCGTGCAAAGAACGTAATGGTGGTCGTGTCACAGTCCCATCTTCCATTTCGATTTGAACCTCTTTCAAACCATATCGTGTAAAATGATCCACCTAAAAATGCCGTCATATATATCATAATTTGAAATAGATCTTCTGGAAATAGACTATAGAAATACTATAGGACTGTCTGTATGTCGAAATAAGGAAAAACATTAATCAAGGTATGGTAGTCTCAACAACCACTCACGGTAAAAATCCAGGTTCCAGTGTCTGCTTCATATTCAACGAAAGTTGCACCCAATCGTGCGGTGGCAGTCTCCAACTTTTCAAGCCATCCTACCTTCCGAAGCCGATCTGGGTTCTAAAAAATTTTGAGTACAGAAGGTTTCATGACAAAAACAAATTTTGCGCGAAGAAATACTTCAGCAATACTGCATTAGAGAGAAATGTTTGATCTTGAAATTCAATGACGTCGTCGCTTACTTTGATGGGAGTACGCGTCGTTTTGTCATTCGGCCACACTTTGTACAATGTCACTTCAGACTTCCTATTGAGACCATTTCCAACGGGAGGTTTATCAGCGTAAGTATCTGGATAAACTTCAATTTCCCGACGACGGAAACTCACTGAAAAAAGACAATAAAAGTCAGTAAGAAGAGGAGCGTGTATTTGCGACACATGAACGACTAATTTTACTGTTATATTGGAACACAGTGGATTTTTTAAGATTTCTGAATGCAGAATACAGTCGCTTGCACATTTGGTGTACTTTGCGGATCCACAAGTGAACTGAAATTTTTTCAACCAAATACATATCCTGGTCTAAACAAGAATAACCGTGTCTAAAGAAGAATATCACACACTTACCAATTTCATCTAAGTTCAATCCAGCAACATTTATGTCTCCAAAGAATTTTACCATTCCAAATCCCTCTCTACCAACGACAAAATCACCAACGATTACATCCCCATTTTCGTCAACCAGGTCATCAAGTTCGGAAATCGATGGATTACAATAGTAATCGGATCTAAAATTAGGAAATAATAACTTTATAAATTATTATCCATCCACTGAATTTGTACTGATAGGCACTCTGGCCAAATAAAAAATATTATAATTTTGTTCACTTATATGATATACACATATATAACAAACAAGTTAAAATCATATACACTAAATATTCTATTCAATTATATAGCAAATTTTCCATTGTTTGATGAGGGACAACCATTGAATATTATAACGTACCTTTCGAGGATAACTCCACAACCTCTCTGTCCATCATTTCGCTGTATTTCTTCTTCCAAAGTCTCCCCTTGTTTTGGTTCCGGTCCTTGCTCATCATCATCACTCTCCGTAGGTTCACTTCGTACCGTGTTCGCCTCACCATTTACTGCCGTTTTCCATGCATTTACTCTTGGTCTACCTGAATCTTCCTCGTCTCTTGGAATATCTGAACGCCTTACCCCGACGACAGGACTATCCTGATCATCTTGACTAAGCGATGTGTTCGCCTTAGGGGAGTGAAATTTATCTCGAGTGCTTTCTCCGTTACTGGCTGGTCTCAAGTGTGGCGTTTCTGGCGAGTCCTCGCGATCTTTATCACTGCTCTGTGATACTTCACTGGCAATACTTCTAGTCTGATAAAGACACGGGATAATTTATAAAGGCCTTGTTACACGATGCGATTTTTCTCGCAACGCGTTATACAATTCTACTTTTGAGAAAAGTAAATTAGTAAAGAGTTTTCGAAATAAGAAAACATCTCTGGCCTAATAAGCACAAAGGTTTCGTAGTTCCGAAATTTACATCTCTCAAAAGTAGAAATGGATTGCAAGTTGCAAAAGAATTGTATCGTGTATAACACGACCTTACCTTAAGTTATAGTGCAGCATTTTAAGTAAGTTGCCACCATGTTACTTATGTAATAACAAAAAATGTGCTAATGGTACCTAATTAACGGTTGCTAGTTAAAACATGATGTGCATCCAATATACTAACCTGTGATTTACTATTCAGGACAAGTTTCTTTACACTTCTTCTTGGTACAAATGTCTCACCAGTGTATTCAATATCATCATCCAAACCATCAAATAAATGCGCCTGAAGGTGAAACAGTCGAGTATGATTACCACTTCTAACCAACTTGAATTTCAAGTTCCACCAATTTCAAGTTCCCTCCCATAATTTTAACTATCATCATGGCGATCACGATGATGAGTGAAATGACTTGTGTTACAACACAGGGGGCGGTTGTACGATCCCCGGTTGGTAGCTTTTTCAATCACTCTAAATTTACCCGCTGTTTAATATAATCTGGATTAAATCTTAGTATTGGGGATTCTCTTTACTGACGGACAAGCGACCATAGACTGATATGTAGCTACAGTATCATAGTCATTGATAAAAAGACTTGTATCGGCTGTTATTATAAGCCATATACACGCCTTCTCGGGCTGATTCATCAAGCATAGCGAAATAGTCACTTATAAACGAACAAAAAAAAACAACCTGTGAGAAGTTTGGTTTTCCAATCGCACGTGGTTTTATTCTCGCGGAGGGACGAGGTGATACCTGCCATTTAAGAAAAAAACAACAAATAAGCCGTACACATATAGCGTCCTTTTATCCTACACCTTCCTCATCTAAATTTCACATTTTAAACCATTATGGAAAACAAACGCTTATTTTTGGGCAGATTTTGTTAAGCATAAAAATTAACAAAGAAATAAAAAAGTGAGTGTAAAACGTTGTTTACAGTACATGCAATTGTGCCAAAAAAGGGAAAACTAACTTTATATTGCGAAGGTGTGCTTGTCCCTCCTTGTTTTCCTTGTGACGTTATAATCGATGGTCTGTCATTCTTGGAACGCTTCTATAATACATAAATAAAACTTCCAACATCGAGTCCTCCACTATACTAAAGGAAGTATTTTTAGTCATTCCGTGTGCCCCTGCCCCCCAACCAAAATATGTGGGATTTCGATTTTAAATCTTTATTTGAAGATGAAGTGATTTTGATGGTGTACGTTCGTGCAAAAGGACAGGATTTATTGTCGTTCCACCTTAACCAACAGCAATATAACAAATTACAATATGTGTGTGATTCTGTGGCATTAAAAACCGTCACTTCATAAATATTGGAGTGGTTGGATGAGGTTAAATACTTTTTTTATGTGGATTTAGGCTTTTGTTCCTGGGGCTTGCCAGGGCCACAAAATATAACACCATCGACAAAATTTGACAAGTTTTGGAGCAAACAATAAGAAATTATGGATTCTGTTGTATTTCGTGATTTGAAGACTCGAGCAGTACGGACACGCAGTCATTATACTATATTGTATACCCTTGCTAAAACCACCGCAGCGCCCATAAGATGGGTACAAATACGGGTGTGAAATACATGTTTGAACTTACCGTGAGATTTCTGAAAAGAGGAGAATCTCCAAATGGAGAACTAGTCAACGCATACACTTGCTGTTGTAACTGCTGTTGCATTTGTTGTTGTTGTTGTAGTGCAGCGACGTTGTTTTGACCGCTGCAAGAAATAAACAACACTTGTTAGCTCATCCAGCTCTAGTCCCTATGACCAAACTGAACTATCAAATCAAATACATCCCAACGCATTGACTGAAATTTCCTTTTAATACATATTTCGATAAAAAACATTTCAAACACTCAAGAATCAATCATTATCGTTAACGTAACTTACAGACCAAGCACTCCTGCTCCAGTGCCTCCAAGAGCTAAGAAATGAGAATACACAATTTACAATTTGATTATTTATTATTTTCCTCTATCCGGATTTCAGTAAATGAATAGACTTTTGTCATAATGACGTCAAACGCGGAAAGCTGGATGTTACACGAAGTTTGATTGGCTAGTTAGTTTTGCGGAGTAACACCGGGTCCGGTCAGTCCAGTGTAATGACAGAACCCGCGGAGTAGTTTTGGATTGATAGGGACAGAGAAAATATTTAAAAATTCTCTGTAATGGGCCCTCTGTAATAGGCAATATACTATACATATACAATGAGTAGTAAATATGTACGCTGTCTGTACAGGTACTATCTGATAATGGGGACTTATTTTAAATGGCTTTATAATAACGACGAATGCTACCTAATAGCATATGCTACGTTCAGGAAGATTGCATTACACACATCAGATACAAGATAATAACAAACTTACTCGTCTGACCGAAAGCACCACCCAAAGCAGAGGTTTGACCAAGTGTTGAACCAGTGGTACCAAATCCGAGGGTGTTATTACCAAACAACCCAGTACTACCAGTTGTACCAAACATATTAGTAGTGCCTGTTCCAGTACCAAACGTCGTTCCAAATGCTGGTTTGTTCTGCGCACCAAATAGACTCCCAGTATTTGCCATCCCAAAGGTACCTGAAGTACCAAGAAAACGTTTTCATCGAGATTACAACTGCACAATCACTATGCGTCCATTATGCTAACATAAATGATAACTAAACCAAATCTCATACTAATTTTCTCGTAATTTTTTGTATTCAATGTGAATCTTTTATTTCGCGAAAGAAAGAAAAATTGTCTAACCTAAATTTTTCTGAAACGTTCATCAAGATGTTAAACAATTAAAATAAAATTTTAACGCTAGATTTTATAAGCGCGATAATTTTGAATAAAGGTTTATATATACAGTAAAGCTCACGTATGAAGTAGTATCCATAGTGGTACAGTAACAGATGGATGAACTTACCGGGCGTAGATTTTGCACCAAACAGAGACGCCTGAAAGTTATATAAAAGGACTGTCAGATGACGATTCTGTACACGAGAAGCGGAATAACAACAATTCCAACAAAATACGGCAACTGATACACTATACCTGAGACGTTTGTCCAAATGTCGAAGTACCGAACATCCCAGTTCCTGATGTATTAGTTCCAAATGTTGGTTTTCCAAACAAACCACCAGTCTGTGAAGAAGAACCAAATGCCTATTGAATGAAATTTCTTATTTTCTCATTAGTTAGGGATGATCTATAAGGTCTTTCCCTGTTTGCAAGACCGTAGTTAAACAATACGGGTTTTGCACGTCACAGCATCAAGTTTAACCATGATGTTGTTCATTCTTTTGTTATTATCATAATTTTGAGTTAGAAACTAAGTTTTAAGCAGTTGCACTTAATGTCATGAACTATGTAGAAAACACTTTGATAGGTCCGAACTAATTTCAATGCGTGAAATGCTAGTGCTGGGAAGATACTAAATAATAGTTAAAAACCCAATAAAATCACTAACCTGAGTGGTTTGACCAAATGAAGGTGTACCAAACAAACTGCTGCCAGATGAGGCTGTGCCAAATGCAGGTGTTGTTCCAAACAAACCAGTTGATTGCGTGGTAGTCGTTGAACCAAACATCCCCCCCTATATAAGTTAATATTGAATATTCGTGAAGACAAACTTTAGAAATTATGGGAAACTTACAGCTCTGTATTGTTGTGCTTTATGCAAAAGTGGTTGGTACAAAGAAGAGTGCTTGAAAATATATCATGAGTCCAAATTCGATTTGGGATTATGGGGGGGGGGGGTTGGGTTGTTCAAACTGTCAGCTAGTTTAAATGTGATTTTAAGAGCAGACACTGTCCAAGCATTATCCCACAATTACTATCTACATTTAACTGCATTGAACATGCTAAGTATAAACAACTGTCATCTTACCGGTTTGTTACCAAAGAGTGAACTGGATGTATTTGTAAATGCAGATGGAGTGCTGAATGTTGTGCTCGAGGCACCAAATAATCCGCCTGATGTTGTTTTGGCACCAAATATATTGCTTTGTCCAGATTGTCCAAAAATACCAGTCCCAGTACTTGTGCCAAATCCTCCTTCAACATTTAACAATTTAACAAATTTTATGCCACTCGTGTCTCATTTTCCAATATAACAGAAAATGTTTCTCAACTGTGGTATTGGTCAATTTCAATGCACTTGTCTTGATGGTTGAGCATTATAGCTGCTACTGATTTTGTTCAGGTAAAATCTCCTAATGTGTCTCCTAGTTGAACTAATAGTGATCAACATTGAGCTAGAGGTGTTAAACCTGATATGATATTGAAGTTGATGGCAATCACTGATAACTACAAAAATTTAGTATGTCAATATACCTGTCCCGAACGTTGTTCCACCAGTTGAAGCGCCAAATGAACTGCCAAACATACCAGTTCCAGTAGTGGTGCCAGTACCAGCTTGTGGACCTTTTCTACCAAGTTGATAATCCTCCATACGCAGTTCCTTAAGAATTTTAAGAAATAGTGCATGATAGCCACACATATACTAACAAGAGTGCAAATATACACAAGGCTGGGTCAAGAGGTGTGAGGTTCTAGAATCATAGAAATCTATGAAAAATGTCAAGCCAAATAACACTCCCATTTTACAAATGACAAGTTCTTACCTCAAGACTTTTCTTGTCATACTCTTTCATAAGTGTAATACATTGATGTTTGGTATTGATGCTGCTTTGTATACCATTTTTCATCATTGTGTCTGTACCAGTCTGAGGCTAAATGTACATAAAAATAAGATACAGTTTATGTGCAGACAATTGGTAAATACTTTTAATGATTGATAAAACAGATTTAAAATAGTGACTATTAACTTATACTCAGGACTATATGAATGAATAACCAATAATTTAATTCCAACTTTTTTCAAACTTACAGCAAATTTGGCAGGTGTTCCAGCAGTATTCTGACCAGCTGAAAAAGAAACAATCAATGTCACAACAAAACTAATGAAGACAGATTTTATAGATGCGTAATCTGCATTCAATTAATAGCATTTATGATAGTACCTGTTGAAGTGCTCCCAAACAACCCTCCTGTTGTTGTTGTACCAGATGCTCCAAATAAGCCACTACTACCTTGTGGTTTGGCTCCAAATAAACCAGTTCCAGTGTTTGTTGTTGTTGTACCAAACAAGGAACCTAAAAAACCCCACAGGTTTCTATAGCCATTCAAATTATATATAAAACATATCACTGAAAGTGCATTAATGACAAACCTGTTGTATTTGTTGATGTTCCAAACATAGATTTGTTTGTGTTTCCAAAAGCATTAGTACTGCCTGAGAATAAGCTGGTTCCAGATGAACCACTATTACCAAATAGTCCCCCGGTTGTTCCAGTTGACCCAAATCCACCAAACCCACCTGGGAGATTTCAGAGTGTGTTTCACAGTTAGAAAGGCATTATAAATATATAAATCTGAAGTACTAATACCACTACCATGTCATGCAAATGCAGGAATTGCAATTGCAAAAAACTTACTTTTTTGGGTACTTGTACCACCAAACAGACCGGTTGATCCAGTTGCAGTGGTCCCAAAGAGCCCAGTGCCAGTTTGGGAAGGTGTAGCTGCCCCAAATCCAGTTGTTGCTGTAGTTTTTGCACCAAAAAGACTACCCCCAGTTCCAAAACCTTGGATATCATATTTTCAAAAGAATGAAATTATACTGTGCTTGAAGTGCACTTCACATATAAATACCAGTTAAGCCTGAAAAAAAATGAAATTCGTAGTAGTTACCTGAGCTTCCAAAAGTTGTACCAGCAGTACTCCCAAAAGCACCTGAAAGATGACATGACATCACACAAGAAAAAGTTTTACAATCCACTCTGACTACATTGATTGGTTAAATATTGTTACTATAAATAAAACGAAGACTAGCCAAAGATAAGGGGACTGTCGATATCAAATTGAGACCTGGATTTATAGCTGAAATGGATTTACCAATAACCTCTGTTTTTATTAATACTAGTCTGATTTATCAATTACTTCTTTTTTTAAAAATTACATTTACCAGGACAAAATTATGACATGTTAACGAAAATTTTATATGGGTACTCGGAATTCATCATGGCTATATACTGTCTATATTCAATCAAGCCCTATGCAAGGCAAGCCAGTTTTAAAAGTAGGTAGGATTGAAAAGACCATGTGTACATACTTTGGAAACAAGATTTTATATCTTTTAACTGGCCAATTATATTATAAACAATTTTAACTTCTTGGAACATTTTGCAAACTTATTATTGTATTGAAAAACCTGCTCCAATTATGGCCTATTATTAAGCCCTAATAGATGGATATTTGGTTTTCTTGAATTGAGTTTCCACTTTCCATTTGATACGTGTATACTTACTTGTACTTGAACCAAACGTGGATGATCCAAATGGTGTAGACGAACCAAACATATTTGTATGGAATATAATAGATTATCACTTTATTCTACTTCAGGTATATATAAATCGACTTAGGTACAGATGACGCAGACATATGTCCAAGTTTGTTCCCAAAGGAGATTCGAAAGATCGTACCATAAATGTTTGTCACTTACAAAAAGGTACGCAATTCAGTGTATTCATAGTATTATCCCAAAGGTTATTTTAAAAAGCAATCTTCAATTTGCAAACAAGCAAAAAATGTGGTCTCGACCGGTTGACACTGGAAAGCTGGTTCAAAAATGAAAACCACAGTAACATCTGCGCCCGCAAAAACTTGCAACCAAACTTCACGTAAGCTACACGGAATAACAATGGTAGCCGATTTGCTCCAACCACATAGAGTCCAACTGAAAACGAATTACCAAACAATTTGAACGAAATGCCTTACGCTCCCTTAATAAAAAACTGTTTATAACAGTGTATCTTTTGCAACACTGTTGTTTATTAAAATATTTATCTTTTGCAACAAACAATAAGTGAAACTTGGAGCAAGTCCAGTCGTACCCAAACGGTTGTCACAGATTCCAAGCCGTTGTTCGGGCTTACTACGTCAATAGAGGCTTCTAATACCACTCATTGCAATCAGACTGCGTAGAAGAAGAATAAAGCATGCTATCATTTCTTAATGATCGCTCACATAAAGCGGAACACGTAAAACTCTATTGCCTTAACCAATTTATATTATTTCAAAATTTCTCAAAATGTAGAACATTTAGTAATCCTAAGTCCAAATTTGGCAAGTCAAAATTCCACCGACCCATCCAGGTCCAAGCGTTGTCAAGAAAAATTGCACAACAGGATTCAATTTGTTCTCACCGACGATGTAATTACAGCTAGGGACCATTATTTTTTGTACCCATGTAAAGAATTCCAGCTGCCCTTCTTTCTCACTTCTAGAATACGTTTGACCAAAAACTCCATTTAGGCATTTGTCATGGTCAAAATTCTCACAGTGATCTGAATCAACGTGAAAATAAAGTTTTTCTTTAGTAACTGATTCAGTATCAGTTTTTGCACATTCAAGTATTTCTGGGTGAAAATGAAAGATATCTCCAAAAACTGCAGCTTCTAAAGGTAGATCCTTATTGTCCCAAGGAATCAATACCATGGATAGTTCGTTATCACTTTCACTCGAATTACATTCGTTACCTAAATAAAAAAGGATGCAAGTCCTTGCAATTTTGATATTTTAATTCCATATCCCGGGGTTTGCTATCACAAATATTCTTTGGTACTTCAAACCTTCCCGCAACATCTCGAAAAATGGAATGCTTGATAAATGCTTCTGGGTTTTTCGAGACATTTCGACTAAACTGCATGGTATAACCATAACCACAGTATCACAGGATTTTCCCTCTTGAACTTTTGGAAACTTTTGGAAACATTCTATAATTTATGCTACTAAATTCCCTAGGCAAAGGTCTTGTGTCGGCGAAATATACTAGACTGTGGTAACCCCGATTAACTGATTCCACAACAGTGATCTATATAATTCCAATTTTGTTGAACAACGAACTTACCACAACGAAGCTCAAATCTTTTTACACCCTCCCTCATGTAAGTTAAAATTTCCAATGATCGACTCAAACCTTGCAAGTGTTTTGAATCAAACGACATTGGATCAAGACCAAAAGGTACTACAACACCACACTTCAACATGGAGGGAAAAGGACGAATGACGTAAGGATCATCTTGATCATCGTAATAACAAAACCTGAAAAGTTTATGTTACGTTAATTTTGACCTTCAGACGTTAATACAAAACCTTCAAACATATTCAACATAGCACCCTTAGCTTCAGCCTGGTATTCTGCCAAGGGAGGATTATTCGTTGGACACACATCTATGAAATATTGCACACTGCTACGTACTGCGTTGATTTTCCACTTACCATTCTTCGCGGTCCCGCCATACGACCAAAAGACCATCTAGCTCTGGTTCGTTCGTTATTTCCTTTAAATCAAAACGTTTCCTAATATAATTTTTCCAAAATATTTGTTCCGATAGGATTGCCTAAATATAAAATATACATACGCTCTTATTAATTTTAAGATTTTAGATTAGAATTGAAATATATGTACAGGTAGTGAACTAATATTTATACTTGTATTAAAAGCCAGTACCACTTTTTATATGGGCAATGGAACTGATTTTTTAATTGTTAACAAGTCTAGCGCGGCCATTATACAACAAGGATGTTACAATTAGGCTGAGTCTGGCTGACGATACAAAATTGCAAAAGTATTGTTATAAAGTTATGGATACTGCAGTCACAGGATTATTCGACAAAGTTGTCACAACTTGATAACTGTGTTAGTCTGTGTATACTTTGGATCGGCAACGGGAAATAAAACAAGCCTATTTGGGAGTCTTTGTTCAAAGATACGTAAAATATTCCACCGTTTGGCCTCCGCAACGGGCGACAGCTAAACCTGCAGAACCGCTTAGTTGGAGGGGGTGAATTATATACCATAGGCACAATAACTTTCCAAAGAAATTAGTCGGGCATAAGACGAATATATGAATAGGAACCTCTACCCCAAATTAACCCTCTAGCTAAGTAGCTATGATCCTGGTTAAACCGTCATATCAAACTTGATGCAGCGGGCGATTAGGTGGGTTAATAGAGCCAAGAGCTATTTACATCGTTGATATTCATTTCACAATATCAGCCTGGTATTCATTAATTTAGACCATGCCCTATGTAGCTCCTAAAAAAGAAAGAGGGCAAACCAAAGAAGAAAACAAAAGATTTTAATATACAACACCAAATTCTGACAGCCAAGAAGTTCCAATCGCTAATTGCTTATATTATCCCAGCTTAGACATACAACCAGTGGCGTAGCCAGAACGATGATTGGGGGGGCCTATATTCATATATTCGTGATACGCAGGATTAATTTCTTTTCAAATGAATTGTCTTTACAGTCTATTAACATGAATATATGAATATGGGCCCCCCCAATTATCGATGCTGGCTACGCCACTGCATACAACATACTTATACATGAACTGTTTTTAGTAATGCTGCGCAGTGTATACTAATCTATTCATATCAAAATGGTTGAAGACTAAGTCCAGCACTGGCCAGTCAAAACTCCACCAACCCATCCAGGGGCAAGAGTTGTCAGAAAAAATTCCACAATTGGATTCAGAATTCCATCACCTTCAAAATAAGTACAGCTTGGTACCATTGTTTTTTGTAGCCATGTGAAGAACTCTAGTTGTCCTTCTTTCGTATCATGATACCGACCAAATATTCCATTTAAGCATGGCCCGTTCTCTTGTTCCCGGTCGTGCTCTGAATCTGCATGAAAATACATCTTTTCTTCTTTACTGGTTTCATCTGGCTCATTAGCACGTTCCAACACTCCTTGAAGTATTTCTGGGTGAAAATGAAATATATCTCCAAATACTGTTGACTTCGAGGGTAGTTTCTCACCATCCCAAGGTATAAGTACCATTGACAAGTCATTGCAACCTTCATTGGGACTACATTCATTACCTGAATATAAGAATGATCATTAAATCAAAAGGTTAGTCACAGGCAAATGTGAACCAAGTGTAATACTGTGTTTATGGAAACCTTATTAACCATATGTATATACAGAAACTGAATATGACCATAAACTGAATGACCTACCACAGCTAAGCTCAAATCTTTTTACACCCTCTCTCATGTATGTTAATATTTCCAATGATTGACTTAAACCTTTCAATCGTTTTGTATCAAATGACATTAGATTAAGACCAAAAGGTACTACAACACCACATTTCAATGTGGATGGAAAAGGACGAATAACATAAGCATCATTTTGATCTTGGTAATAACAAGCCCTGCCAGCAAAAGAAATTAGTATAATAGATAGTGAAATACAATGGAGAAAGGCTACTATGCCCAATGACAAAATTAAATCAAAATAGTAAATTGTTATCTTACCAATGAGAGCTACCCCACTGGTACAAGGGTCCTTCAAGCTCTTCAGTGTCTGTTATAATGTTAATGTTAAAATGTTTCCTAATATATTTCCTCCAAAATAAAGGTTCTGATAGGATTGTCTATAGGAATGTGATTAGATAAAATGTGTTCAGATTGAAGGAAACATAAGGAAAAACCCAAAACACATTGCATGGTAAATAATATTAAATAAAAAATACAATACTTACTGTATTAGACATGTATGCAGCAATTTAGAAAATAGTTTTTAATTTCTTTTAGAATAGTTCAAACAAAATCCAAAAAAAGTGCTTCAGAAGGTTTACATTCATGCAACCAAAAATCTCTTGAAACACCAGCTTGTTTTCTTAATGTTAAAGTAAATTTGTACCTTCATATCATTGAATTTCTATTATCAGGGTTTCTTACTGACTCAACATATCATTTGACTTACATTTATAACAACCCAAAATACCAAGTTATCTAAAGTTGATGGTAAAACATACTAATTGCATATATCACAATAATATTTGATCATGGAGCCTCTTCTAAAATCCAACCTTCAAATATTTTTACAGAGTTTTGAATATCAGGCCCCAAATCCCAGAATATTAACCCCACCCTAAATTTACTTCACTTTATAGTGTTGGAGAAATGAATAAAGATTCTATAATAGACTACAGACATTGTTCTAAAATCTAGATATAGTATACAAACGTCTAATACAACGTTGATGCAGAACACATTTAATAGTTCTTTATTAAAAATGAAACAGTGAAAAGACTGACCTTCCATTGCTTGCAAACTTGCAGACATCGAAGAACATCCTTAGTTGAGAGAAAAAACATGATGCTGTATATTTCATCTGCGCGTAGTAAATCCCACATGTTGTAACTGAGATAAATAACAGGATAGATGATTAAACGAAAGTACAAAGGAATCTGATTCTATTGGCACTAAGTTCTTTGTAATTAATTATAAATAATTTTCTTATTATTGTATCATTCGGAATCATATGACTTATAACCTATGATTCGAATTCGATTTTTCCTGTAATTTCAGTGCTTCCACTTTTTATAGGAAACAAGCACTGACAAGGAACATTTTCGTCAATTTAGTAACTAGTAACCAGCGCGTATTGTTTCGCGAACAACCTCGTTCCTGTACATATTATCAGCCCGAGATCTTGCAGCCGCCTGTAACAGTCGTAACACACACAGACACACTGCTAGAATACCACCAACAACACAGAAACTAGCTTGCTAAGTTTGTTTTAGCACATGTATGAAATAACCCTAGTGGCCTAGTCTCAACGTTAAACATATAATAACCTAACAATTTATTGCATACAAATGTATTTAAAGCAAGCTATTTTTCTATTCACTCCCCACAAAAGGTTCAACTTTAAGGGTGATATTTTACAACCCCCCCCCCTTTCAAGGCAATGTGAAGCTTTATTAGCAACGAACAGTTTCCTTGGGGATATAAAGAAAGAAAAAACAAAGTAAAAATTTTAAACCAACTTTAATAGATTCACAGACCACGCACAATAATTCATCATTAGCGGAATTGATTAAAATGTTGTGAAACTTTTCTCAACTTTACAAGAATTAAAAATATTCGTGCTTGTTTCACGCTAATAACAAAGACTGCTAAACAAAAATCAGAAATGGACGTTTGACAGAGTCGTACCATTGTACGAAAGTTCTTCTCCCAGTGGCGCTACCAACTGGTTCTTTATATAGAGCATTAGTGCAGTCTTTGGTAAAATATTTCAGATTATCATATCCCATTGTCACGAAATGTTAGAAGAGTAATGTACCAACTCCTCCCATCTCACTCTGTTCTTTGACGAAGATTTCAAAATACTGGTAAATGATTGTTACAGCAAGTAAAATACCAGTACCAGAACCAATTGCACCTACACATATGAAGGTAGATTAAATTAAATTCACTTTGACAGCAAGCAGTGTGTAGCAACACATGAACCGTAATAGTGAGAGTTCTGATTGAACCTTCGTTCTAATGAATTGGCCAAATTTAACTCAAATATCTTACCCAGGAAATCAGCAAGAACGGAAAGGGCACCAATACAGAGACCACCAAAAGCTGCAGCAGTAGGAATATACCTGGAAAAAGAGCAGGTAATTAGCTAAAATAGAGATTGCCATATTCCAAGTCGCAATTTTTCATCCTAACTTATCTCAACGGAGTTACCTGATCAGTAATGAAAGGAATCTGCCTCGGGTGTTAGAGGTTAAACTGATCAGTATTTAATAAAATCACGAACAACAGTCTAATAATGCCCAACCTGTTCAACTCGTGGATCATGGACTTATCGCGATGGCCACGCATAACCATTTGTTGCTCTTTCAGTTGCTTGGCAACATCTTTAGCAGATGAGCCCGAAACATCAATCCATGTTTTCGAAAAGAAAGCACACGTGCCCAACATGAAGATGATATAGACCACAGCATGTACAGGATCTTGAATCACGTGAGACAGTGTTTCCGGAGGCGACATGTAATAACACATACCACCTGTAGGGTATGAACGAGCTGGGCCACCGGACGCTTCCTAAAAAGACGACAGCAAGGTGAGCTAATTATCAAAATGAAGAAACTGCTATTTAGATACGGCGCTGCAATAACTACTGTATAAAGATTATTTGAAATATCAAAGACAAGGAAACGAGAGAGTTTCCAAAAAAAAAGAAATTAGAAATAACCTAGACAGGGTATTGAGCTGCAATATTCAACTGTGTATTGCTATTTAGGCACCATATACTGATATTTCCCTCATCCTGACTACCATTCAATAATTACTGTACCTCCCAGGTTCCAAGCAAATTCACTAAGAAATGTCCACCAAATTTCACAGACAGCATTTGAGATATAAAGTATATATTGGATACCAAAGCACTCTGGAGCCAAGAAAAATTCATAAATTAATTGACTGTAAATAGTTTTCTATGCAATAGCACCTAACAAATTTCTTTTACATAGACGCCTTGAGCACAACATCACGTACTGGATTTGTAGGTAATCATTAGTATAATGTAGAGCAGAACGGGTCTACGCGACACTGCCCTAAGCTATTTTCCAGAATTTGGTCAATACCATTTTCATGAAAGCCTAGTTAATTCAGGTACAATATACGATTATGGGAATAGTTGACTGAATGCCAACAAAATATTCTTTATAGTATTGTTGTAATGCCCAGTATCTAATTTAAAGCAAAGTTTTGAATTAATATAATATTTTTTTACCTGAAGAATGATGGGGATGTTTGAGGTATAGAAAAGCTTGATTGGATAAGAACTGTACTGACCACGGTAGCGAGCAGATTTGATAGGTAAATCAACACGGAATCCCTAAATGGAATATGTTGCAGATGACGACTGGACTATGTAACTTGCTTTTATATTTCTACACTGCATTTTGTGGTAATGTCTAAAATTAGTAAATACCAGTACTTGCAAATGTCTGGAGGAACCTAGTCAACCTACCTGGAAATATATTACTACAGCAAACACAAAGATTGTTGCCATGAGGTTCATAAGATTAGGCAAATTCTGTCGGTAAAATGCTTCACGTAATCCTCGAACTTTGTCTGTCCTTGTTGCCAGTAAATGGAACAAAGCAATGACTGCCCCTTCAAATTCAGTACCTAAAATAAATAAAAATAAAAATCTTAATCTTTCATTGACATTTCAATTATAGACCCTTTAATATGGATAATGAGTTTTCATTACATCACAAAATATAAACATCAGTTCTCATCAAGGTTTACCTCTTCCAGTGTTGACAGTTGCCGGACTAAATGCTTTCCAAACAATTGTTTCACAAATGTTTGTTGCAATAAACAAAGAAATGCTGCAAAGAAGGATAATTACTATTACATAGGCATAATGAAAAATATTTTTTTGAGCCTTGGATCATTTGACTTTAATTGTTTCAGGTTATTTGACCAGCAATTCCCTCAATGTAGGGTAGAAACATCTTGCATCAAATAGTGAATAAAGAGCTTACACTTACCCAGACCCAAGACCATATCCTTTCTGCAATAGCTCATCAAGTAGTAAAACAATTAGACCAGCACAGAATAGCTATAAAAAAGAAACAAATCACATGTCATTGAACTTATTGTTGCAGGCTGTTGTCTGTGATAGCTGTTTGATCTCTTAACAGGGTGAGTGAAGCTGTTGGGAAAATGAGCAATTAGGTATTAGTTACCTGGATAATAATGATGAGGCAAATTCCAGAGCCAAGTTCAGATGGATCACCATACATTCCAGTCATAACATACACAACTGACTGACCAACAGTTATAATCATACCAAATACTAAAATGACAACAAATTATTGGTTACCCAATCAATTTGAAAATCCAAGGTGTTTTTTTATTTTTTAATAAATCTTGGTGGGATACAACCCACCAAAATACTTACATTTCTGAGCACCATTGAACAAAGCACGGTCCTTTACAGAGTCACCGACCTCAATAATTTTTGCTCCTGCCAAAAGCTATCAAAACATATCAAATTAACAGACTTTCTACATTTAACTGCTGGGTGGATGCAATATGGATTATTACCAAACACAAAAAGAAACATCTTTTTACCTGCATAATCAAACCTGAAGTCACAATAGGAGATATACCCAATTCCATCAACGTTCCTAAATAAAAGAATGGTTTCACATTATTCAAAACACACAAGTTTTTCCAAGAAATGTTAGCACCACAAAACTTTACAAAACATTTTAAATTTAAATCCCATGCCATAAAAATACAGGATGGGCTAATCAAAAGTCCCATTCGCTCATTTGTAGAAAATACAAGAAAAACAAATTCCCATGCACTATTACAACCATGTAACTATACTATGTAAAATTATATTGAATTTTCATCATTTGAACATTAGATTAAAGAAGCAAAGAAACTGATAAATGGATGCAGGAATGATAAAAAAATGAGCCAACCCTAGCTTTTTGTCTTCGAAACTAGCAATTTAAGTGAATGGAACTACTTAAAATTTCAGATTACCTCTGTTAGAAGCCAAAATGACACGTATCCAGTAGAATGGATCAGCCGAATCAGAGGACATGATGCCAAATAAAGGAATCTAAACATTCAAGTTGGACTTTGCAAATTCATATACATAACCTATAACCTATAGGCCAACTATAAATTATCCTAAAAGAATATCTAATTTGTACTTTGCAATTTGGTAATCATGGAAATCCATCACATTTTCCTTATATGTATTATTGAAGTTGAATAGCATGCTGCTTGGGGTTTCAGGCATGAGATTATCAAGTACTGTATTGACAATTTCATTGGCCAAAAAACATGTTATGCATTCTACACACCTACTCAGGGAATTCTATGAAAAATTATTATTTGGAAAATATAATGGTTAGGGACAAGTGAAACCTGACTGGTTAGCAATTTATGAAAATCTCTCCATGTGTATTTGTTTTTTTTCTTGAAGAAAATACCATCCATACAATATACTATGTTTATAGGCAGTCTAGAGTCAATATCAAACTATCAAAGTTTCAACAATGTATTATACATCTCTAAATCACTAATTATGACATATTGACCATCAATATTTAATAGAAACATTGCTTAATTTTATCTCTTCTATCTCCTTATCTATTTAATATTGTAGTCCAATTGAAATGAACTGTTTACACCGAGCCACAATTCATAAAGTATGGCAATATCAAAATTTGGTTGATTAATTTTTACTTCTTTTTAAGTGATTTTGAGCTAGGGATCTTTTCGTACCCAGGTGGGCTGACATTTTTAATTAGTATGGCACACCTATCCCTAACCCCCACCAACAGGAATTTTAGGTAGCCACCAGAAAGCAATGTGATCAAAAGCACTTTCCTAAATATCACACTTTCCTAAGTGTTGAAATTGATTTAAAACAATATCTATACCAAAATTCTTAACAAATCAATATCTAAAAATTATAAAAGAACAACAAGTATATAACTTGGTTAAGTCTAGGCTACTGATGATTCATCACAATTGAAACAGAAACTCTATGAAAAAAAAACCAGTTAAAGCAAAGACCATTGAAAAGGGAAAACACTAACCTGACAGCAAACAAGGAAGATAAAAAGAGTAATAGCTGTCCATAATACTTTTTCACGAAACTGAATCTGAAATCGATTAAAAGAGTCATTCATACGTGGAAGGCTACATTTTCGAGTGGAGTGTGTCTACTCTGATACAATATATTAGATATAAAGAATTTAAAAACAAGCCCAGAAATTTTATTTTAATGGAATCGAAAAAAGAAACGTAAAAGGATTTACTTACTCGTCTTTCTGGCTTCGCGACCTCAGGAAGAATTGAAATAAAAGGTCGAAGAATCTCCAAAAATTTCACTAAAATTAGGTAAGAAAAATGTTTAGTGGATAACAACGAATAATCGCTCCTTATACAGCGCTATTCAATGTTTTTTTTGAAGCTACATATTTCTTTGATGCTTACCTCCCATTTTAAAGGGCACTTTGGTTGTACTAAACGACGATTTTGTAAAAAATATCTGTTAAATTTTTCTACAACGGGACAACAATCGAGTGTTTAGTATAAAGAGAACTTTACATGTGAATTCAAATACTACGTCAGCTTAGCTAGCCTCGTTTTCATGCAAGGTGCTTCCATGTATTAAATTTTCTGTTTTCTAATTTCCTGGCTTTCCGAAAGAAGCCTCTTAATCTGCGGAGGGAGAGTGAGCTTTTCGTGAAATGGTAACAATGCAAACTTCTAACGATTTGAACAAAAGGTGAAAGAAGAAATCTGTAATAAATTATCTGGGGGGGGGGGCGTGGGGCGGTTGTACGAAGGCTGGATAGCGCTATCCAGCTTTTGAACAACCGGTTCATGCAATGCTCCAGGGCACCAGGCCAGCGGTTGAAAATAAAATTTTACTTAAAAAGAAAAGTTCACTTTACAAAATTTTCAGGACCGACTCTAAACACTTTTGTCTTTAGTCGTGAAATCGTAGAATTCGTAAGTAAAGTCGCAGAAGTTTTGCATAGTTTGCCAAATTATAAATAAATTCCACCATTTTTCATCAGTTTGGATGTGTCTGGTGTTCGTAACTTTGGTAATTGCAGACTCATACAACTCTTTTTTACAATATTTTTATAGTGTTCCCCGGTAAGCAGAGGCGTCAAAAGCAGTTTAGGACAGCGGGGGTGGAGTTTTAAAAAAGGGCACATATCGTGATTATAGCTTAGTAGCAGTAAAAGGCTCAGGGTTGCACCCGCTAAACCTCGTGAGCAAAGGCAGCTGCCCCTCCCAGTTAAGCATAAAAAATAATGGTTTAACTAATATGCAAAAGAGACTTTTTAAACGTTTTTTTCGAGTGAGTAAACTGATTAGAACTGCATAGAAATAACGCATTGAAGGCGACTGGTGGTTAGATCCCCCTCCCAACCCTGCGAACGAAATTTTATCATAATTGTAGTACTAGTACACTTACACATATACAAATAACCTGTTTTTAATACTCTTTATACGTCCAGTCATATTTAAATTATTACTCTATATAATTTGAGAAACATGGTAGTTAACGTCCTTATCTAACAATGTTTATATGCATTTTTGTAACAGCAAGTCATTATGATGATTCAAAGGGCGGTAGTTTATGAAAAGACAAGGCAATGCTAAGTCAATAAAGTATCTGGATTTCATCGAAGTCGACCTCAAACATAACAATAGTTTTCGTGTCGCCTTTCGTTGTTTAAATCATTTCTCGCAAGAACAATACAAGTCTATTTAATTGAGTAAATTTCTGACTTCTTTATGCATGAGACATAGGAAGTCAACATAACTCTGGCTTGCTGCTGTAAGTCCTTTGTCTTCAACAAGATAATGTTTGAACCACGGTTCCAGTTTATCGCGTTGTCTGACGATAGAAACCTGCAAATAAATCGTTATTAGTAACTAAACTATAAGTAATTTAATTATTTATACTCTATACAATGTTTCACAGAATTACTCCATACTCAAGCTTAATTTCCTGCTATACGTTGTAAACAAAATTTAAAAGGTAAAAATAATGTTAACCTTCATGTATCTATGTCGTTCCTCCTGGATTTGAGCGATAATTCCTCTTATTCGTCGTGACAAAGCTGTATCCAACTCAGGCAATGCCGTCTATAAGAAATTAAAACGTTTTACAACACCCTTTAACCTGACAATAAAATGTTAAGTTAATTAATAAGTAGTAGTTTAGTAAATAACTAGAATATAAAGAATATAGAGCAGTATGCTGAAAAATATGTTTCATAGCACTGTGTTACGACCTAATGTCTATATGTCTAATGTTTAGACAACTTTAGAATGTGTGTTCATACGCCAGCAGTCAAGCAGGGTTGTGAGTGAGAGTGACACGAAACACCAGACTTGGAAAAATAATGAAGAGAAGAAAGCAAAAGCAAAGATGATGCATGAAGTTCTTTTACACTGATACTATATTAAAGCAGACGAAACATACCATCTCAATATCAACATGACCAATGGTAGAAACACCAAACACTTGTTGAAGCCAGTCGGGATTTACATGTAGTCCGATCCACAAAAACAAGACTATGCTGTTTTCTAAATAACGACAAATTTATACGCACAAATTTAGCTTTTGAAAGAGTCTACACTAAGAAGTGGACTAGAGTCATAGAGAAACAACATAAACACAGCAAAAATAGCTTATGTATGATTTAACAGTTCCATACTGCATTTTGCAGAACTCACCAAGTAAATACACGCCATTTTCTTTGATTCTGTCTTCTGAGCAACGTATTTGAGGCGGAAGTGTCGTCTCATTCAAATTCACATCATGCTATCGAGAAACCACAATTCTGTTATACATTGAACAATGCAGGCTCGAGTTCTCGGAGTTGTCGAATGAGCAAAACCCCAAATCATGAATTTTCTGTTTGAGACATTATTTAACTAATAAGGATGATAGTCGCCAAAATTATGGCTATAAATGCCACAGTAAGTACTAACCACAGGAATAAGACGAGGATAGAAGTACGAAACCGTTGAAGCAATATCCATGCCAAGAACCGTTTGCATTAACCAGCTCCGGTCATCCGAACTCATCTCAGAACCTACACAAATATTAAATTTCCTTATACTATTTTGTTAACTCTTAATCTTACTCTTTTAAAGGCTCAGGACATAGTCCAATGTTTTGAAATGCCGAATATCTTTTTAATGTAGCGAATAGAGGTTGTTGACTTACTACAAAAATACTACATTACCTCCAATTAAAGCATCGCTCTTCAATACTGAATTACTGTAGAGAGGGAGCAGTTTCATACATTCTGGTAAGATTAACTGTAAAGCAAATCAGTAGATTAGTATATGCATGATAGCATTCATTACGAAAGAACCACTATACATGTTCTATTTTTCAAGGTGCGTTTCATGTGGGCATTGTCACTAGGTTTTTCACCACACAAAAAACCTTTCTCTTTGAAAAGGAGACTTTCGTCAGTGGAAGCCAGCCGTTGTAGCTCATCGAGAAACAGATGAAAAAGTATGTTGATTACCGCAAAGGGTTTGATAACAGTTAAGTCGATAATGAGCATGTCTAGTTTGCTGTATAGATGTAAATATGTATATAATATACACGCGTAAAAATCATCAACCTGTGCATTGTTTAAAATGCTTGCAAGGATGAACAATGTCAATATTATCCAATGCTGTTTATAAAAGGTGCAGCGCAGCGATATAATGATACAAGTCATGCAACCTGCTGTACAGCAGGCCCAATATTTTTGTTGTTCACGCTAGTGGATTAGTTTACCTGGCCAGCGGATGATGGCGCTGCACAGTGCTGTCTATAACAAGCAAGTATGGACGCCGCTTGACTGATTATGTTCTCCCGAATTGTTTTCGGAACAGAAGTTGTCGCTTCCTTGATTGCTATAAACATATGAGGATGATATCCATTAGGAGAAATCTCATTCCACTCGTTCAAACGCTTAAAAATGGGTTGTCTTGTCCTTCTAGAAATTTGCGGACTCATGCTAAATGTCGTGCATGCGCATACCGTGTTTAGCGACGTAATTCGTAAATGTATCCATTTCACAACATCTGAATAGATCAGTGAGTTGACTGCATGTAGATAGCGCAAGGTTGTGAATCCGTAGGCGTCTTTGACCATTCACACTTGTATACAGCAAGGCACACTGCGAAAGAATTTAATCAAAATTCAATACATCGATGAGAGACCTAAATGAGAACCCTCGTTCACGACGTTTCCCGAATAAGATGCAAAATTTATAAATAAATATAAATTGCATATCTATAAATATAAATAATATATAAACTGGCGATTTATTAAAACTTGGACATTTACACAAATGTTTCGCCTCCTATGTAAGCCGGAATAAATATCCTGCGGGAAAACCCCATGTTTCCACTTTATTTTAACGATATTTACCTGTAAGTAAGCGACGCTATCTTCTGGTAGTTTATCATCATGCCTGATTTCAATTACGACGGACTAAAACCAAGAAGAAGAAATTAATCTCAAGAATAAGTTCTAGTTTCAAAGGATATTTAGAGAAATTAATTATAACTTATTACCGTTTGTGAATTAACCAAAGCCAATTCAACATCGGTTGTATTATTCATGTTGAAATTACCATAGAACTCGCAAGGTCTAAGGCCTAAAAACAAGACAATAGTACATAAAAAGTGCGAAGCGGTGGAAGCGTTAATGCTGATAACAGTGCCAGTATCTACATGATGATGTGACATGGTCACTGACCGCAATATGAACCATGACACACATGCGTCTTGGCTACCTAAGGTATTGCAAACCGGCCATTTCAATACAACAGTACGTTACCTGTACTAGTCCTTAATCTCATGATCGTATCTAAGCCAACGTTACGCTCAATATTTTGAATCAAATCTTGCTTGAACTGTTCACCATGAGTACTTTCCTGTAAGAAAGGTGAATAAGACTTAGATCTATTTCAAAAACGAAGAAAATAAAACTAATACTGTATCTATAATTTCTTTGCATAAGAGAATCAAATTGAATTGCAGTGGTATTAGCTATAACAACATCGATATCAGACCTTGAAGAAGTTGTATCTGTACAGCTGTCCTCCGGTAAACGAGGTCAGCGCACCTACAGTCGCAACATCGATATAAGCATTTGGAAAAAGAAAGAGGTCAACAGCCACTCCAGATTCCACACAACTTTTGGCCAGTTTTTCGTAGAAATTCGTCTGGGGACACAGGATGGTCTAAGAATTGGAAAGTCAAGAAATTAATAAAACACTAATATTTAATTTTTGCCGTAAAGAAATCAACTACATTATTATGATAACCTATATATATTTAATTCCTTACGGCTCATACATATATAATCTTTGCATTGTTAGAAGAAAGCTTCTAATTCAGATATATAACAAGTTGTAACTGAACAAATAAACAAAATGAATTAAGAGAATCGCATAAGCCCACCTTTTCTTTTTCCGTCGCTAACACTTTTCTGTCTTCTCTGTTTTTCAATTTCCCAGGAGCTTCAGATATTGGCAATGAGGTATGAAATATCAACAACTTACCAGAAATTCCTGCAGACTGTGACAATGATGGATGGAGAAGAAAAAAGAGATTTATTTGTGTTCGCTTGTTGTAAAATCACACAACACAGGACATACACAATACCTTAAGGGCATCCAGTCCAGCCTGCACCACAGGAGCTAAAACAATCTCGGTCTCTCTCGTTTCCGCAAACATTATGGATATCTGCTCTATCAAACTTAAAAGGAGAATATTTTAACGCCTATACTCAGTATAAAAACAAACAAAAATCTACGTTCAGTTAAAACAGTTTCTAGTTTCGTGCTGACACTGTGTAGTTTCATATGTATGTCACTCCTATAAAGCTACATCCCTAAAAATGATCGCGGCTAATCTATTTGTAGCTGCATCTGATCTATACATACAGTACCTCTCAATCACTATCTTCGATTCTTTAGCATCAACCAAGAATCCATCGAGCAAAGGAACAAACACATCATTTACATCAGAGACGATCATCATCTGCGGTTGTGCCAAGTTTGACTACATGATAATGATAAAAATAATAAAAATATATTTGCTAAACAAACTATATACATATATATATTGTGGAAATTTATCCTTCTGTGTGTAGTTATGCTGACATGAAGTATTATTACCTTTACATTGTAGAAGTGCAACGTCGAGTTATATGTTACGAAGCCAACTTTGACAGACGAAGAGTTCTGGCCAGGCATTCTGGGAAAGGAGATATGCGTGAGTAAATATTAAACAGTAAATAACAGTACAAATACAAGTAAATACAACCCTAACTCTTGATGCATGTACTTATGAAGGATAACACTCTTTACAATAAAACAGAGTCGTCTTACTTTGGCAGCTTTTCTAACAAAGCTGGGATCTCTCTCATCAGTATCCTCAGCATTCCAGACTGGATACTCTGATAGGACGCCTCGATCATGAAAATGTATGCGGGTGGCTCTGGAGGTTTCTGATTCTACAAATACACATGCAGGCATAATTACTGGTTGATGGCGGACGATTTGAATATGGTTAAAGTGCTGCGCGAATATTAGCTACATTAGTTATTAACATTTTAACCGCGATCATGCAGGATCATGTGTATAGTGCATGATATTTCATCTTTTAGCACAATGAACCAAGGGATAAGGCAAATGTAGTTCAATTGAACTCCGGTCACTAATGAAAACGATGGGTTAGTATTTTCGACTGTAGCTCTGATATAGTGAGTATATGCATGAAATAAAAGCATTCCTAACCTTGCAGTAATCCGCCGTCGCTACATATTCGTATGAACCCAAGCAGAGTTCTGGACGTTGGTAAATATCAACTCGTAAACCCTGATGATCCAAATGCGAGAAATATTCTTGTGGCACTAAAATAATATGAGTAAAATACATGCTATGGAGCACAAACACATACTGTACTAAAGAGAAACAATAAATCTGACCACGAAGAGGGAAAATTAACTGATTCATATGCTCAAATATTTCAGATGCTTTGGAGGAATTCCACCAAGGTAACAATTAAGGTCTTTACTGTACTTTTCCTATCCTCTCAGATATTTCTCAAATCTTTTCTCCAACCAATCATCTACCATTATTCCACCGAATTCTATTATATTCTAGAGCAATATTTTTCATCTCACATAAATAGCGCAAGATTACCTTCAGAAGAGTAACTACATATATTACAAAGGAATCGTCTGCCGCCATCAATAAACTGCATGAAAGGATTCATGTAAGCCTTGCAACGGTTACATCTTACTGGACCATTTGCACCATGATCAACCAACTGTAATGGATTCTAAAATGTACAATTTAAAGTTGGTGTTGATGGAGCGTCTGTAGTTCTATACATAGGTCCAGCTTATCCTGTTTAGTCTAAACAGGCCTTAAGGAAATTAATTAATACGCCACATAAAATATAATTTTGATGAACATGCACAAACATAGACTGCAATAAAAACATTAAAATATACTACTTTATTACCTCTTCTCGTAAGGATTCAGCCAATGGTGTGATAGAGACAGCAAAAGGTACACCAGATGCCTTCAAAACATCTTGATTGTTTGGGATATTATACAAAGTAGAGCGCATGTATTGCGGACTACAATTACCTTGATAATTTAAAGTGCGTATTAGTCGATTGCAAAACGTTTAAAATGTTTAGTATAAGTTTGATAAATTCTACTTTTCCGTGCATGGATTTATTTTCTAAGCTTACTCTGAACCCCATGACACGCGAATGCGAAAGCAAAGCAATTTGGTAAGCTATCGACGTGATTTTACAAAACATATTCAGGTGTATTTCAGGTGCATGTACTTGCTAAAAATTTCGCTAACAACTAACCATCATCACGGATAACACATTTTGTCGTGATCAAAGGAGGAACTCTGCCTCGAACACTCGTAGTAAACGCAGTATCTTTGAAGTTGTCTTGATCGTCTTTCATAACTTGAATCTGAAAACATAATCATAAAATTTTAAAATGTGGGGAAAACGTTTGGCCACGTTAAATGTTATTAGGCGTTGTTATCCAAATAGCTACCATTCTTTCCGTTGCTTTATGTGTTGAATTTAAAATGCTTGCACACATGAGGAGTGTCCGTACATTGGAGAAAAGCATTTCTTATATCTCGACTTACTGGGCTGGGTATCTGATCAGGATCGATTCGTCTTGCTTGTTGCGTCATTGGTGAAGTCATCCCTACCCCACCTGTGGGAGAGGGTCTGACCTGACCTGGTGCTGGGCCATATCCGGTCATTGGTTGCGTAGGCTAGAGAGAGAGATTAGAGATCGTTATTAACCCTGACAATCTCGGACACAACTGTGAAAGTTTACCTAAGTCATAGGATCCTACAATAGATATTGGAACATGCCTGGATCTTTTCCAGGGCAATGCAAAAAATATATTGAATATATACAAATCCAAATTATTGTTTTATGAAAACAGTTATTTTTATTATCTAAGATCACAATGTTACATACGATCACAGAGCCAGATAAATAAAAAAATACAACGTACATACCTGGGTATTAGTATTGCCCATCATGGGTCCAGATAAATTGATTGGTGCTTGACCTGGCTGTTGATGGTAACTGGGATGAGCACCAGTACCAGGACCAGTTGTGACTCCTGGAGTAGTCATTGGGAATCTTTGTGTAGGTGGAAGAAGATTAGTGGAATGTGGAGGCATCCCTCTTGGCTGGCCTGGATGTGGGGGTCCACTCAATCCAACATTTGGACCTGAGATAGTAAAAAGTTTGTATATGTATGAAAGGTTTTGACATGTCTGTGTAATCATTTTGTCTCATTACTTAAGAAAATTTCTCATTTCTTTTTTTTAAATTTTCACATTATTTTCATTATTAAAAAAAGAAGGTTTTCAATATAATAGTAAGAAACAGGAACAGTATTGAAGCATCTTGTATGAGAGACAACATTTCTACAGACGAGTGTTGATCTTTAGCACAACGTCTGTTCAGCATTAGGTACACTATAATGAGGATTAAGAGAGCCACCACTGGGCTGGTAGGAATTGAAATATTTTCTAAACTTATATTTTCTCTGTGATTATATTAGCCTCTACCAATTATATTATTTATATACAAGGGTTATTTTATTTTACCATTTGGTATTCCCTGTGAATGAGCCCCAGGACCAGGGTACTGAAGTTGGCTTGATGTACCTGTGGTTGGTGGGGCAATCCCAGTAGCCATTCTTGGTGCAAACTGACGTAATGGAGATTGTTGATCACTTCTCATGTTTCCAGGCATTGGGCCTTGTGGTGGTAGCATGGTAGGCTGTTGTGGATGAACACCAGGCATACCTGGTACCATTGGTTGAGGCGGTTTATGAAGACCATCATTGATTTGAAGATTACTCATTGGCTGATTCAGCATCTATGTGAAATTGCAAAATGGACACTGTTAACTCTCCAATCACATTATCTAGTATATTCTATCAGTTATTGCCTCCAAACAAACACACAAGAAACATAATTTAACATTCATTAATCTATAACCTGTGGAATAACACCCGGGGGTCTAGACATATTTGGTGGTCTTTGTGGTTGCATCATAGGTTGCTGTGGATGTCCAGGCTGCTGATGTCGTGGTTGATTTAACATTGGTGGTTGCATTCCTGGGCCACCAGGTCCATCCTAAAATAAAAAACAGTAAAAACAAGAATTGTAGGTAAAATTTATCAACTCCAAAAAAATTTGCAATACATGTTATTAAATGTGTTCATGGATTTATTAGCCTTCAAAAGTTACAGGACATGACGTCAAATCAGGGATTGCAAATCAGTTTTCTTTTCTTTAAGTTTCACGAAATTCCCAATTTGACATCATGTCCGGTAACTTTAAAGGCTAATAAATGCATCAAGACAAATTTTTCAATAACAAAATGTATTGCAAAGTTTTTTAAAATACCTTAAACTTTTTATGTATTCAAAATCTGCAACCATGATATAGGCACTTGAAGTAGGTCAATAAGAAAAAGTGCAATGGAGTCCTATATAAAGTCAATACCAAATACTTTCGTATGACTATATTTCTTACTTTCATCTGTGGGGGTTGTTGAAATTGGCCAGGTCCTGGTGGTCCCCCAGCTTGGTGCTGAGCACCTTGTCCCTGATACGAATGGCCATCTCCATTCACCATACCAGACTGTGGATAGAAATATGGTGGTCGACTACCCTGTCCTTGCATTGGTGGTGCACTAAGATGAGATCATGATTCATGACTATGTTACAATAAGCTTTAAATACCATAGTTTTAGATTTGTATACATTTATTTAATACTAAAACAACAATTATAATCAATTAAAATGAACCTGAACGCCATTTTGTATTATGGTATCGACTTTCAGTCCCTTGATCGGCGACGTTATTTCAAAGCTTTCTAGCTTTATCCACACCCCAAAAACCAATATAAATGTAAAGTGAATCTATGTGAAATAGAGGAAAAAATTCTATTTTCCGTAACACGTGAAAATGCTCAGTAATTTTATGAAATACGTAGTTTGAAAGAGTCACAAATGCCACGTAGTTATAGCGGCCATTGTTACCAATCTCCCGGATGTCTTCTTCGTTTTTCGTTTTTTTTTCATTAGAGAGACCGCTGGTGCTCCGCAGGCACAGTTCCATTTCGGATTTTCTATGACGTGTATGATAGTCCAGGTTTTGCTTGGCTATGATAGATAGCCCAGGTTAGGTCTGAACCGACTGACCTAAAGAGTAAAGATTACCTAAGTGTGGTAAAGAATTGTCGTGCAAGCGCCGAGCGGTAAAGCTCATAAGCATTGGGGTCGCCGGGAATGTTTTTGGTGGAGTGAATTCTATGAAGGTCCCGGAAATCGGAATAAATCAGAAAGTCCATCCGGATAATTTTGAATTTTACTTTCTAACTTTATACCAGATACCTTTCGATACTTGATTTTGTCCACACTATTACCGTTTAACAGTCCACATCACTTTAAAATACGTGTTCAAAAGTCCACACAAATGAAATTTATAAAAATACATCCGCAGACCCATCCCCAACTTCGTACTCAGGGTAATTTCGCTGTACCTATACTATAGGCGGTTTGCAATTACCACAATCTTGATTGATTTTTCAGAAAAGCAGAAGTAAACTTTATATAATCAACCAAGAAGTTTCTAATAGTGGAAAATTAATTTCAAGACCATGAAATGATAAAAAACAATCACTTGAACCAATCAAAACCATACATAACAAGTGATAAATTCATTTTTTCTATACATTTGTAGATTCTGGACACGAAATTATTAACGACTCCGCAAACAGGTGAGCGGATTCAGTGAACTTAATTTCGATTATCTAGACGCAGACGAGGACTTCCAAGAATATTTAAATGAGCATTTGCTACAAAATCTTGTTTTTTAAAACACACCACGAGGGTATAAGATGTAATGTAACGTTGATAGCCGAGCTGTTCCACCTTGACTGAAACTAACCAACAAAGGCAATGTTGTCGAACTACAAGCACCATTCAGAGACTATTAAGCAGACCAGAAATTCCTATTTCTCTAAACAGCGAACTGAGGAAAACACGTCTAAACAAGTACCAAACTAGTTCTACCTGGCAAAGTGACCACCACCAAGCGCTAGACCATGCCGAAATGGACCAACCAATACAGTTAACCTTCAATTTTATAACTGCTAGTCTTGGGTTGGAAAAGTTTCCCCACAGGAGGAAGAAAATTGAAATTATTGTAAAAAGAGGATAATCTATAACACACCAATGACCATCGACGATTTTAAAATAAAAGCGGTTTGCAGTATGACACCCTTTTATACGGGATTTGTAAGATCAAATACTACAGCTAGTGTCTTTTATGTGCACGGAAGTACTTTTTAACTTAATTCTCTTTAAAGAGCTATATAGTACACAAATTCTCGACAAATTATTCTTTCTTTTGTTATATTTGAGTTAGTTGATGCCAAATATGAGCAGGAAATATATCCTCAATTTTCTGGACCAACAAACTGAACGGTGTAGATATCCAAGTGAGAATCTAAAAGGAAAAACTTTTTAACGTTTTACATAAAAGAACTGCACCTTACAACCCAACACTATAATATAGAAATGATAGGAGACATGCGAACATATGCGCAAAATCTTATATCACAATGATACAAAAAATATGCATATCTATTTTCTATTATCAAAAAGGTACTCTAAAATATAATTTTAATATTAGTTACCGCTTTCGATGCTGATGCCATGGAATGTGGAAACTGATGCGTAAGAAGAGCCAGTAATGCATTAAACGAGCATAGTCCAGCGGTAAAAAGCACGAAGAATGGCAACTCTCTTTTAGGATAAACTGACACTATATGGTGAGCTGAAAGATATAGCGTAAATGCAGTGTTATATTTTCGTATGAGTCTTTGGATATTTATCATTATTATTATTATGATTATTATTACCCGGCAATAATTCTTTATCAGCAGCCTCAGTACAAGCCGGATAAGGATGAAATAAATGACCTTTTTCCATAGGATAAGGTAAGAGACGGAAAGCTGTGGTATAACAATAAAACATGTTAAAACATAAACTAAACAAAATATGGTAAAATATTTTTTGGCGTGGAACTACTTGCTGAAGTGGATACATTAATAAAGGTTAATATAAAGAACTTGAGCTTTTATTCAAAGGCTCAAATTTCTACTTACTTCCTTCCCAGGTACAATGAAGAAGATTAAGAGCACCGTCCACTCTCTTCCAATGTGCAAGATGAAAAAAAGAATACGCAAGAGCCTCACTATCTCCTCGTTTTAAAATATGTTCTGGCGGAAGGACTAGACTTTTCTGTTCCAACAAATACTAGATAAGATTGGAAACAAATAGTTACTAATTTACACTCTCCGCTACCACTACCAGATTAACGTGCAAATATGTCTGTTTTCACTGTATAAAGTTTCACTGCGGGCGTCTATACGGACATGCACACTTTTAAAATTATTCGTTAATTTAGACCTAGTGTTAGTATTGTTGTTTTCCGTCCTAAGCTACGAATGAATTATAACGATACCTCGGTCTTAATGTGCCTAAAATTTTGTAGTTCATCTTAAGAGAACGACAAGCTGATTCGTCATAAAATTATTCATCATTAAACAACTTATTCATCGTAAAATTACCTTCGGCACATGAGGATTGAATTCTACCGCCCGGTGAATAGCTTCCACTGCTGCCATTTCTGTGGGACTTAGTCCCCGCTTAGCTGCAACCTCAGGAGAGAATCTATAAAACAAAGGACACAAATGAAATATAATCGATATATATACATACCATAAATGCACGCTCACAACCAATAAATCACATTTACAACTTACTTTTCTGCTACTACTCTTGCTTTAAGTAATGCAGCTGTATAACATATTGTTGCAGACTTAGGTAAGGTAATATCTATTAAAAGAAAAATAACAACGTTATACAGAGATGGTAAAACAAAGAGCAGTAAACCTGCTCGCCAATGTATCATAACCATTCATCCTACCATAAATCGTAATTATATCTCACCGTCATATTTTGCTAGAACTTGCTGAAAAAAGGGAAAGTAAGATACTGTGTAAGGTTTTGCAACTGCATGATCTAGCATTACAGTTACTTAATAATTCAAACTGAAGGTTAAGATTGAAGTTTAGGTGGGAACATCGTTCTTAGGGACATAGTCAGGTGAATTATACAAAAATCGTCAGCTAAAAACAGAGTAGAGTGATGAAATGACAAGCACACTGTGTATGCCTAAAACTCCCTTCAAAACGTCATAAATATAACCAACTACGATAATGGTTGCGCAATCATCAAAATAGTCGGAATAAAAATTTTAAAAAATTATATAAACGTCGAAATATTACAATGATATCACATTTTACCTGCACTTCAGTATATGCTTGCATTTCTAACAAAGCTTCGATAAGGTTTTCGTGAATATTAAGAACGCTCATAGATGGAAATTCTTTCATTAACTGTAAATGAACATTAAATATAATTATTATAATGAGCGATTGCGCTGATACAAAATCAGTAATCGCTATATGATTTAGCAATAATTTATTCTGATGATTTTTTCGTATATTATAATCATTATACATATCATAAAATACATTATTTTCATTTAAATTCTTACCTCTTTCATTAATTTCACGGCCTCTTTAACACGACCTAGTTTTCTTGCACACATCGCCAAACGTCTCTTAATATAAGCACAAGTATTCGTATCTCGACCTACAATTACAAACACACACAGTGTTTAGCACAAGCTTCGATGTTTCTAACCAAAGAAAAATTGAACAACCAAAATAAACCTTTTGTATCTTACAAAAATATTTACAACTACAAGCGTTATCCAAGCACTTTTAATGATTCTAGGGGCAAGGTCCCTGGAAGATTTTGTTAGTTCAGCATCTTGGAAGCATCTTGGCTAATTAGCGAATGTGTTATTGGCCCAAACTTAATTCACCTATCAATCCACAGAACTTTGGTTCGCAATTTGATTGCAAAGTTTTATTATCGGTGGGGGGTATCTATCACGAGCTACACTACAGTAGGCACTGGACGAAATGGAATGTATGTTATAAGCTGCACATAAGTTTGTCTGGTCGCATATATTTTTTCATTTTATAGGAACTTCCTGCCATCTATACCAAGGGATGCAAGTTTCAATTTGAATGTGACGCGTGACACTGTTTGACAACAACAACTTACTATGGATTGGATCATCTTTTACTGGATAAAATTTAGTTTTAATACAGCCCTCAATTGTTTTAAGAGCTTGTTTTAAGAACGACTCCGCCTAGAAAAACACAAAAGACACTATATTATATGTACATTGGTATATGGATTTATATCTCCCACTGACACTGTATTTAGTCAGAATCTGTAGGATACTAGAATTCATCAAGAGACATTTTATCAAGATTTCCCACCTGCAAAATTGTTGTCGCTTCTTCCTCGGCTAATAATATGTACGCGGAAGCACAGCTACACATAAGAGAAGAGAAAGTCAAGAATGAGCGTGATAAAACCAGAATCTCATCAAAATATGAATAGTATACTTAACATAACATACTTTACATCCTGTTGTAATGCGTTATGGGCTATTTCTATTCTCTTCTCCGCACTTCTTTCCCTCCAAGCTGAGAACATGACTTCAAAGAGAACATATGATATCAAGTTTTCAACACCTCTAATTTACCAAGCAATTGGCAACTGCAGGCTCAGGGAACGAATTGAAGTCAGTCCTATAGTTTTCGTCTGCGTCATAGGCAAATATCACCGGATTCACTATCTAGCCTTACTGAACCGGTCTAAAACTTTATAACCACAATTACATCAAACCAGGTTTTTTTAGGTTCTGGTAACGGGCGTTTAACGAAACCTTGTAGTCGTACTAGACTCCATAGTGCTAAACAAGCTAAGACTCCCTGATATTTCATACAAGCTACAGTTTACGATAACAGACCAAGAACTCGACGAATTCTTGACTAATTCGCTGAATCACAAAAAAAACCAAACATACTTGTATCAGAGGGCACACCATTCGACTCATCTCCTTCACAAGTGAAGAATTTCTGTAGACATAAAAAATCGTAACTGATGGAAATTTATTTAGAAAGTATTTCCCTTGAAACAGTCAAACTCGTTCCCAGGGTTTTCCATGCATGATCGTAGTGCTAGTAATGAGACATGAATTTCAACTTAATCCTGGCCAGAAAACCATCTTGACTGTGGCTTATGTAGATGAAATATGATAAACCCGATAAGCTAGGAAAAGGTTCAGCCAGCATTCAAACAGACATCGTTGTGGAATGAATTACTTACATGTATCTTACAACACTAGAAAATTACTAGGAGATTTTAACATTGCTAAAAACTATACCTGGTGATCCTGAGATGAAAGATTCATGTCATAAAATGTCAAGGGTTCTTTACCAGTTACCCAAGTATATCTAAAAAACCCACCATTTTCATTAAAATACAATTCATATACACATTACAGCTGTTTTTCCAGCAAAACATTGAAATGCTTTGAAAAGCATTATATAATAACTGCAAAATATGACAATAATAGATGATATTATATACCTTTGATATTCTGCTCCACGGAACAGATTCATTGGGTTTCTCCACACCTTACATTCTAAAGTCAAAGTCAAATATTGTTTAGTGCTGCCTTTATAATAATATTAAGGACTGTTGATCTTGACCATTGCTTTGATTTTGGGCAATATTTTCTTCTTTTGAGAGATGCAAATGAACAAATTTTGTGAGTGCCCTGATGTAAAGTCTCTTTAAATGTATATTTGTAATTAGCAAAAGAAAAGTAGCAGCAGTGGACCATCTTATAATGAAGGAGGAAAGGGAAAGAGAGTGTGTACTATTCTGAGCAACATTTAATTGAAGGGCTTCCTTTAAAAACTAATATTAGGAGAAATGTTCACTGTTGTCAGTGTTAAAAGAGAACCATTTTATTTGCTCTAAAATTCAGGGATATGGGAAGGCCTGTATGACACCCCCAGGGAGTCAAATGATCACTTGAGGATATCAAATAAAAACATGGTAAACTGACCTGCTATGCTTTGATGAGAATGTGATGAACCATCACTCCCACTCAACCATGGTCCTAAATGATTCACTGATATTTGCTCAATAAATGAGGTCCCATATCGTTTAAAATACCACAATTCAAATATCTAAAAAACAAATAAAATCAAGTAACTTGCTTTACCAATTATTGTTTTAGTAAATTTGGGCAGAACAATACAGTATATAACTTTCATAGCTTACCAAAATAACACCAGAAATAAATGATGAAGTAGCAGTAAGTGCCACATAAAACTTGGGAGTCAGAGCATGAAGAAAGCTTGTTGCTAAATATATTAATATCTTCAATAAGCAATAATAATTATTCTATTGAAATACAATTTCATGTGAAAGGAGCTGTTAATATTCTATATTCTAGACTGACCAGATAAAATTGGACCAAGTGAATCAAAACAAATTAAAGTGGAATATTGTCAACATGCTGTTCTGAAAAACATGGATTACCATAAAGGTACAGTATGTAAACAATAAGAAGTTTGTCCAACACATATTTGGACAAAATAATCTGGTCATAACCATAAGTAAAATGATATATACAGCAGTTCCAATTAATTGGTGCTGCATCTTCATTTTAGCTATATCTTTATTTGCATAAATATTTTTACTTTTAGCTTGTGATGGTCTAAGGTTATGGACAAGGATAAGAATATCAATCAATCTTAATTTAGCAGCTTAATTTAACTAAAACCATATAATTATATACAAAATGCTATATTTATAACGTTTATACTAGCAAAGCTGTTAAACTAATTAAATATTTGCTTCACAGAGCACATTCAAATTTATCCTAAAGAAATACAGGTTTAAAGTTGGGCAATTTGATAAAAGGAGGAGTTCACTACAGAGCAAAAATATATGTTAAATAAGATGATTATACTGGTGTGAACAGAAGCACGTTTTTACCAATACCACTCGTTCTAATCATTTTATGCACATTTACTATATTTCTTTATGCAGTAACCAGTACGATGTTCAACACTAATAAATATTCCAACTGTCTTTATAATTTGTACCCTAAATGACACAAATCAGTCTAATATATGTACAGTAGATTGAGAAGACATTGAATAGATTATACTTTATATTGTACCTAGACACGCATTTTCCCTTAATTTCAGAGGGTTCCTCAGAATATAGAGCAAGAAGATCATTGTTAAAAACCATACTCCCCAAAGATATGTCCATGACCAACCAATCCATGTCTTAACTTTTTTAATTTCTTTCTGATTACCATCTTTTGACTCTCCGTTGACGGCCATATTGACTGTCTTTATGCTTTGTACGTCATCTCACCCTAGTCTCTGCGCGCCATTGTGCAAGTGTGCATTGTGCTCATTGAGATGAATAAACCAGTGGAATAAATTAAACCATCAAAAAAGTTACCATTCAACAAAAAAATTATCGAAAGGGTTTATTCCTTAGGTGGGACTCTTTACATGATCCCACTTATCCTACCTTTATTAAACACGAAGAAGGAAATAAATAAAGCTACTGAAATTCTAGTTTCCAGCCTGTTCTTACTCCTTATTTCCACTTTACAAGATTAATCACAAGCAACAAACACAAGAGGTGTTTGCAGATATGATTGACGCAAACTTCGTACTTTACTGATCAACTCTTTCACACTTACGTTTTACAAGAAAACATAATTCAATATTCACGTTTTACTACCCCGTATAATTTCACTAAAAGTATTCCTGAAGTTTAACCGCAGATCATGCCACTCTCAGAGCTAACATATACACAGACGTTACATGATGTGTTCCAACCCGGAAACATGCAGTAAATTGCTGAAAATTACAATATTGAATATGGAAACTCGAACACCATCCGCGAACGTGGCTGTTCAGAAGTTTGTAAAGATTGGAAAACTGTCACTTCTTATATAAAAAGGCCAAATAAATCTTCCAACACGTGAGAAAACGTCACATTTTCGAAACTCACTGCTAGAAATTTCATAGCTTGTAAACAGAGACATTTGAAGACAAATTAGACTAAAATCAATTGAGAAGAATAGTCTGTTTGGTTGTAAATAATTTTGGTGAGCGGTGACCCATCATTTGGTTAGTTTTAAATAGCTTATTTATTCTTATTTATTTATACAAGCGGCCATGGAGCAGCGGCTTCATTTTCCACCCTCTTTATTATGCCATCGCAATCTTTAGTAACATCCTTCCTTCCAACTCTCATCTATATTACTGTCATTAGAATTTGGCGAAGATGCTTTCCGCCTATAAACCAAACAGAAAACGGATCATGCTCAATGTTTTTTCTGGGAAACTAGGGTTTAAGTTGATATTACAATCATTCAAGATATTGAAAACCCTATTGAATGCAGTTATCTATACCACAGACAATTTCTGCTCCAAAATTAGTATATGAAAACGAGTTGCTTTCCATAAGAAAGGTTTACAGCTATCTGAATGGACTAGAGTATAATATTTACCTTGCAACCACACCCTTGCCGTTTGATGGTGTGGCTAGTTTCGAGCGTCGAGCAACAACATTTCCTTGTGGTTGTTGAAGATTTTGAACTTTACCTTTTGGTCTAAGCTGCGTTCTGTTTGCGATTCCTTCGTCTGATCTGCGAGATTTTACACCCACAGTATCCGTTGGAACTTGGGGTAAACTCCTTCGTTGGACCGCTACAATCGAGATGATGTCAGGTGATTAATTAAAGTACATTCACATCGCTCATATATTCATAGGCAGATATTGAGCACATGTTTGCACATACGTGGTGCGTCATCGAGAAGATCTTCCATGCTGCCCCGGCTTCCAGCTGATCTTCGTGAGGTAACTGTTAAAACAAACACAAACATTTTTTGCTAGTGATATTATATAATAATATAATATATTTTGACCAACATATCGGTCATTTGTTTCTCGATTGGTATCTATTATCCACCAGGGCCGCCCAGAGGGGGGGGGACAAAGGGGGAAATTTGCCCCGGGACCCAGGGCTGCGAGGGCCCCAAAATGCTACAGGAATAAAATTAAACTATTGTTGGAAGTATCTAGTTCTCTTTCAGAAAGATCTCTTTTAGAGGGCTCAATTTGGAGTGGAAATTATGCACAACTCAAATTCAAGCAAGGGAAAGTTGAGAAAAATGTATAGGTGAGTTGTGTATAAATTTCCACTCGGAATTAAGAACTCTAAACCTTTATCTAACTTTTATTATATAGATTCCCAAACTTTTCAATAGTAATGTGTTGTAGAATTTTTCGGACGAACGGTCCGAACGAAAGACGCCCCAAATTTTTAGCATAATATGGCTACTATTTTTAACTGAATTTCTTAATGAAAAACTAAAATATTTTACGATTCAATGAAGCAAACCTACTTCCTGATGTAGCGGCTGGAGTTCTTGGTTGAAGTTTGTTTCTTCTGTCGGGACTTGGTGAAACTGAACGGCGAGCTGCTGGTACAGAAAAAGAACAAGTTAAGCTGAGTTCCCGTTTCCATGGCGTCTTTATTTATGAATTGACAACAAAGCTTATGCAACCAGAAAAATGTTTTTGTGAGCAACACATATGTCATTATTACCTGTTGAGTCAGTTTTAGATTTTTGTTTGTTCATCTGACTGATTGGTCCTGAATACCACAGCTGTTTTGATAAACCTTCGGAAGATGGTTTAGGCAAAGCAAGTGCTGAACGTTTCACAATTGGACCTACGCAGAGTGCATAATATACATTGTTAGGCAACATATTTGGTATTTAGGAAGGGACAATATTTAGCAGGGCCCGAAGATGAATTAGGGAGACAGAGCTTTGTTGTACCACGAGGAAATCCGGCGTTCCCACACGTCGTTGACTTGCATGTTGTACGTGTTGTGCTTAAAAGTTTTAGGTACAATTATGTTGTGGTCAAGGCAGACCCACGTTATAATTTTACTCAGAGGTTTTATTGACGTAGTATTTGATGTGGAACCGTTACATTAACAAGCACAATCTTGGTCACATTCTTGTACCATGAACAAAATGCATCGTACGCATTATACTGCATGCTACGGGATAAACGTATTGCATCTACACGATATTCATACTTTTATCGTTTATATCATCTGCATCATAATCATCTTGACTGCTTTGGGAGCTCGTATCCAGAGTACCGGCTGTCATGTCATCATCTTAAATAAAATATGAATTAGACATCGTAATGAGTGGGTATAGTTTCTTGAGTACAGTAAAAGACTTTCTTTCAGTAAAAAACTCAGGTCTTTACTTTCTCATCGTGCAACACATCCAAACGTCATCAATAATACTACAAGTGATACGGAATAGTGCTACAAAAAGTTACAGAATTCAGGATATCATATTTGCAGCAAACCTGTGAGCTGTTTTCTACGAGCCCGAGGTTGTAAACGTAAGCCTGGTGATGTGTTCACTCCTTGTCTTTCTGATAATTCATTTAATTGAGGAGATGTTTTCGTATTTTTAGGTACAGCTGATCGTTGTAGAATAGGGCCTAGGGAGAAAATGGTTTTAGATTTTCATGGTGGTTCCAATGATGGGTTTCAAATTGATTCGCGATGCACAGATTATAAGATCTCTCGATCGTATTATGCTAGTTTAAAAATTACGAGTCCTATAGGATTGTCATATATTAACATGTGAAAACGATCGCTGACAGATACATTTTTATTCTTCACTGATGTAGAAACCTGACATTGTTACAACATTCCTTTCACTATAAACACGAGTTTTTGAACTTAATCATAAAATACCTTGCGGTACATCATTTAAGATATCCGACTGAGACACATTCTTAGGTAGTTGTAATTCATCATTTTTCGGGCTCTCTTTTCGAACGGCCGATCTTCTTAGAATAGGACCTGCGTCAAATTGAATGGAAGTTTAATAAATGTACATTTTCCATGTTAAAAGTACATACAAGAATATGTTATTCGCCGACGTTACTACTGAGGATAAAAAGTCACAGATAAAAAAAACGTTGTTCATTTTTGTGTAAACTTCAACGTTCATCGAACCCATTTCAGTGTTTATATAAAGTTTTTTTAACGACCAGCCTCTAAAGCCCGTTTTCCACTAGCGATATTTTTCGCGCGAAGCGACATTTTACTTTTGTTTCAGAGCTCTCAACTGCAACCATCTGGAACAAATTGCTCAAATACAAAGGAATAAAGTCGCTTCGCGCGAAAAATATCGCTAGTGGAAAACCGGCTTTAAGTTTAACTAGCATCACCATAATTCAATGAGCTGATTTGACTTAATTCTCAAAATAATCTCATTAAAAACTTGAAGTTGAAGGTTCGCGTAAGAATAGACGAATTGCTTTAATTAGAGATTGCACCCATGCTTAGTGTCTCAAAAGTCGATAACGAGTGAAGATTTTAAATTCTTTGTTGAGTCCACATTACGAAAACGATAACAGATGCGATCACACAGTTCTGACAACTGTAATCACCATTCACCTTGCGTTTCATCATTCATATCGTCAGACTGAGAGATATTTGATGGTTCACTTTTAGGCGGGCTGTTTTTACTAAGAGCTGATCTTCGCAAGATTGGGCCTATAAAAAGCACGAGTGAACTAATTTTGTGACAATAAAACGCATAGTTTACTGACGATCCTACGGCAGACATGCGCTCTGAACACAATAAACTGTAAAAATTTTATTCTAAAAAAATGTTCCTGGAGAGTCATAGGCTGAGGATTTCAAGCAGAATGGATCTTCACAAATTCACGAATCTCTTCACCCTGTATGTAACAGTAGATGATACTGACTGCAGGAGATTTCTAATAACCAACCTTTCGGCTCATCGTCAATATTTTCTGACTGGGATAAATTTGGAGTTGGTTTGGCTGCACTACCAAGTCCAGAACGTCGTAATATTGGACCTACAGAACGGATAGAAACAGATAAACATTTAATCCGTAGCCTGCAATACGATCCGGTTATTTTCAAAATGCTCTGGCTGTTTCCGAGTGTAAAAACTTTAGTGAATTTTTGAATATTCAAAAAATTCACGAGAAAGCGATACACCTCACTGGAGACTACAATGTGGAATAACATGTATCTTATATTCCTCACTAGGAGCAAACAAACCTTGTGGTTCATCATCTAAATCCTCTGACAGGGACATACTTGTGTTGTCTTGAGGATTAGTACTAGAATTGTCCTTATTACCAAGTGCTGAACGTCGTAAAATAGGACCTATGTACAGTATAAATAATTGCCAAGAAAGCAATTCAGTTATAATAAATAAATAATAGTAATTTATTCTGTTAACTGAGTCTGAAGTATGTTTAAAACAGACCTGTTGGAATATCATCCATTTCATCCATACTACCATATGCACTGCTATCAAGTTGACTATTATCATGCATATAGTCATCAGCTGTTATTTCTATATATAAAAAATATTGTATACAGTGCTGTGGATGATATATGACATACTAGACAACCAGTTTGATATATCAACATAATGCAACAATTCTAAAGAAACTACTAATAGAATATTACATGAATATTATTACATGTGTATAATTTTTTTTTAAGGAATTTTAAAATCAAGAAAAATAAATTAGCAGACCTCATGTATCAATGTTTTATGAATTGCTTACAATTTTTATAAGGAGTTGAAAATGCTTCCTCAAAAGATCTTTAAAATACCCTTTCCTAAATTTCACATGATTCCATTGTGATAAATGTCTACAGCTACGCAAGTGATACAGAGAGTGCACCCTCAGAAACAAACAGTGTGAGCTTCTCGTAAACCTCTCTCTGCATAAGAAGTGGGCAGAGTCATGGGTACCTTTGCTCCCTTGATAAAATATAGCCAAGGTAATTATAATAGTGGAAACTTACTTTTTGGAGTCTTAGCAGTTGGTTGGAAAAATAATGAATTCTTTGGTGCATTTGTTGACATAACTCTATCATGTTGACTCTGTGTAACTCTAACCTTGGATATTTCTGATAATTTTTGGTAAAAACATAGAATAAGTTGTTGACATAAACATTTATGTATGCAATGTTAATGTTTTGGCTTGTTCAAACTTATCTGACCTTACCAGTTACAAGTCTCAGTGGCATAGCCAGCTTGATGATTTTGTCCAGCTATGTCAATTTCCAGTTAATATTATTATTTACAGCAGGATAAATGGTCAGACTGGCTATGCCACTGACTAGTCTTAGTTAATGTTGCCAAGTCCAGCTGATAAAAAAACTAGAGGTTGTTGGTTCAATGCCTTGATGTTTCCAATTAGTAGACCATATCATAGGTTTAGAAATTCAAACCTGGAAATGCATACTCACTTGTTTTTTAATACTATGATTCTAATGTAGCAAGTATTACAAACCTTGTTGTGTCTCAATGTCATCCAGTTTATCAATTAAGTTGCCTCTGACATCATCTAATCCACTAACACTTGATGTTTTAGTCCACTTCAAGGAAGGGATTGACTTTTGTGCGGGAGTTGCTGGTCTTACAGGTGATTCATACAACCTATGTTAAACGAAAATATTGCTCTATTTTTAAAACTACAAGGTTGTGTTTAGTATAATCTTCCAGCATCAATATATTAGAAAAACTACATATACTGGTATCAATAGTATACTGAAATTTTCCCACAATTAGTTGTACTCAATTGACACCCAAATTTTCTGTCAATAAAAACTAGCCAAATAATATAATTGTTGCCTGCCTATTATTCAATCTATTGTTTTATGTGCACTCAAGCAAATTCTGAAGAATAATGTGCTGATGGTGCAGTTCATATGTTCATTGTTTGTTATTAGACATTTGTACATGCGTTTATCCAATCACATGTACTATGATAAGAACCATATACAACTAATCTGGTCCAATCAAAACAAGGAAGAGAACATATAACATATAATATCACCTAGATAACCTTTGTAGGGTGCCAAGGATTTGGGGCAAATTCTGTAGTGTGTATTTTGAGGACTAATCCCTATGATGCAACTACGAGCTATTATGCAACAGATACGTGCCTAAAATTCGGCAATATAGTTTTACTATATGTGTACAGTATTATTATGTGTTGTACAGTTTAATAACTATAAACTTATATGGACAAGATTGTAATAATATTAATACCAGCTGTCCTCCAAGTCATCGGAGGAATCATTCAAATTTATAAGTGCAACTTCCTCTAATTCTACGCTGTCTCTCTTTGGTAATGTGATTATGGCTGTCCCGTTTTGACTGGAGCTATTTCGAAGTAGTTCATTCTGTTTTTCCAATCTTTTCACCATGTCCTGAAGCTTTCGAACCTCCTGTTCGGCAGAAGCCTTGAGATCCATTGGAGGTACATCAAATGCTTCCTCCATGTTCTTTTGATTTCTCAATTCATATTGAGTGCTCAGTGTTGAAAATACTGTATTAAGTTTTTAAAACTTAATATAGATATGGCTTCTGAAGTTCTTCTTTGAATCATTGAGGGTGTCAAGTGTTTTGCAATGGGAATTCATGAACCTTAGGTGTGATTTCAGGTACCTTGGGGATATTGTGGGATAACGGTTTAAACAAGGAAATATGAGGATAAATGTAGCTATTCACCATTTCACCATTGATATAATATATGTATGCTTTTGGTGGGTTTATCACGTATTGTTTTCATAGTGATTTGAGTGGGGTCAACCTTAATTGCTTCGACCCTTATGCTGAACAGCAGTGAGCAAATGATACGAAATTGTGTACATAATTTTGCTACGAAGCGCCAAAGCCAGCACAAACAATGAACAATTAATTCACTCCAATCACTGTGCTTCTATTTTTTGTGTCTCGATTTCGACATGAACCCCACTGGAATTATGACGTCACATGAAACCCAAGAATTCACGAAGCCGCTGGCTCAATGAAACTCTTTGTCAGCGAAAATCAAACGCGCGCGCGCAAAATGTTAATTAACTACGTCAACAATACTGCCTGTTCACTTATCGATTTTTTTCGAGAGGTTCACATTTCGCAAAGTTCGTTCGTTGCAAATTATTTTCTAAAGCGATTATTTAATCAAATTTATATTGGGAATATCGAGTAAATATGTAAGTATTGGTGCTAATATTGATCCAGTCCAAAATTATGTATTATAATGTTATGGTTTATGTGTTAGGTTTTTTATGTATCTTTGGGGCGCGAGGTTATCTGGATTGACAATAGACTAGTTTTCACCCAGGCAAGCAAGGCCATCCAAATAGTCCAAAAAAGTCACCGCATCTAGAATTGGCAAATTAAAATTGTAGACTTGCAAAACTTTATTGTAGGTAATGAAAAATACGGACAATTTTGTATACTTTTGCGAAAGTTGTTTGGAAGTTTGAAGCTAAAACTAGCACCAATTTCCGAACTTATTAAAGACTCAATTCTAAGCGACGTAAACAAACTTTGCAAGTTTAGATTGGGTTTTTCTGGGAGATGATAAATATTTGCTCAGATACAAATTAGTTCGTATCGTACAAACAGTCTGTTGGTAATCTAAAATACGCATCATTCTAAAAACGCCTTTGTATTCTATGACTTGACAACTTAGATCAGTAAAACATTAATAAATGCATATAACAGCAAAAAAGTCTAAAGTATTATTTTGCGCAAAATCGCTCATCGGTCATGAAACGTGGAGTAACGGTATAATGAGTTATCTTTTCTCTTGTAAAATAGGCTTGTTTATTCTTATTTTTAGGAGTGTGACAGTATCTGTTGAGAAAATACAGAATTCTTCTCACGAGGTGAGAACCAGTTAAACTTTCGGAAAACACTGTGTCAAGTCAGCGCTTTGTTTACATTCAGAACCTCGGTACTTTTTAAATTACAATATTCTGTCCGGATGTCTAACACCATTTCAGTTCGCTTTGCTTTCGAATGAACATGAACAGAACAGTTTCAGTAGAGAGTTTAGGCTCAGAAAAATTCAAAATAATTCACAATTCGCATCACCCTCACATTAATCCTGATGAGCAGAACCGATGAGCAAACCAACCTAACCAACCTCCTCTTTACTTTTTTTGCCTGAAATAATGACTAAAATGTTCCGCTTATTTACAGAACGCGTTGACGTATTCCGGCTCTACGTCAGATAATGCGTTTAAAACATCGTTGAGGACAACAAGGTAATCACTTTAATTTTCTTGTACATGACACACGGTTCAACTTTCGAACCTTCAATATACATAATACATACTATGTTCTCATACAAATTTGTCCGCAGTTATGGGAGCTCGAATGGGAGTATCCGTTATCCGTTTGAATATCGAGTTGCATCTCAGGCTTCTGAAAACTACAAGGTAAGAAATAAAATAATAATAATAGAATAAAATTATTAATATATAAAGTAATAAAGTAAAATAGTTAAATGTAATATGTTCCATTTTTAGTCAAACAGTTGCTTCCCGAGAGAATGGTAAGTTTTAAAAATAAACCAAAACATGCGGCCAAGCTATCCTAGACCAATATGAAACATGAATGTCACATCGAACAGGCGGCTCTTTACCGAAATATTGTTCCGAGGCCTGCTTAGTCTCTAAACGGCCCTAAAAAGGTGTTTTTACAAAGGCATGTCCCAATAATTTTCAATAGAACACATAAACCAAATCTTTACGCATGCATTACTGTGATATAGACATTGAGTCTTTCTTTTATATATAGTAGTCTCCACTCCATGTGGTCTGATTATTATGTTCCGCGTCCAGAGTTCAAGCAGTCTATTCAAAAGGTATAAGAATTTATCTATGCGTAAAAGATAACTGGACTTTTCAATTAATGAACTGGGTTTATGTATATCATTACAGATAGAAAGCTTGGTCTCTATTGGAATAGTAAACTTGGCCATGGATGAAAGGTGAAAAGTAGTCCTTTTTATGGACGAACTTAAACATTTATTAATCATGGTAGTTCTTAATTACATTTACCATGGATAGTTTTAGTGATTTTATTATCCATGCATTTACTGAGGACATTTGTAAGCCTTTTTCATGGAATAAATTATAATTTCAGAACCCGTAAATCTTCATCCGAACGTCAATCTCAAGCCCCACATTCGGAGAACAAGGTAAGTATTGACACAACCATGCAGGAGTTTTATTTAGGGTAACAAGCAAATTCTGGGCGCCGCGGTAAAGTTGGATGAAGTACAAATGTCGATAAAATATCGTTGTAATTTGTGTTTACAGCTTCAGTCTCCTACGTATACCAGCGCGTTCCAAGATACCGCTAACAGAAGGTGAGTTTCAATCTATACTTTGAAGAACTTAAGCTGTGTGCCATGCGTTTTCCTTAGGCTTGTTGTTATAAATCACAAATACCCTTTTAATTGCATGCAAATGTTTCCACAACCCCAATGCTGACTTGTATACTAACTCTACTAAGAATTACGCATGCATGCCGGCTGTAAGCTTAGCTTACAGGATTTCCATATCTAGTGGGGATCATTGTCAAAAATTCCAAAGCAGTTAGCCACGTTCGAGTGACTTATTAAATTGACCTTCCTTCAATATTTCTAAATCAAGCATCAACGATGTTAAAGTAAAAGGACGTAATATTTTCCGGGAGAAACTCATTCAATGGAATATAATTCAAGACAATCAAGTCGGAGCATTACCTGAGTATGTGTGGCCCCGCGAAGCTAAAGTGATTGATGGAGAAACTCTTATTCAAGTCGGCAGCTCAAAAGGTAAGACTTGGTTAGCGGAATAAATAGATGCCTAGCTTTTTCATGTCCCTTTCCCTGTTTAGGTCTGCAACCAGGGGCCACGGGACCGGGGGGACTGGGGCACGGTGCCCCACCACACTTTTGAAAATACCAAAATGTGCCCCCTTTTTCAAGCGAACGTGCCCTTCTTTGAGTCATTAAATCTGTGTTTAATTGTAGTACATGAACTCAGACTCAGTGGAGATTTGTATTTAGCAAAATGTTGCATTCCGGTTGTAATTAATAATTACATACAGTGTAATTCAGTGAATTTCACTGTCTTTGAAGATGTGATATAGTTCTAATTGAGAAAGTGCTCTTTTTTGTCAGTCCCCTCCCCACTTTCTAAATGGTTCCGCGGCCCTGCAACAAACCATTCCACTTCTTTTTACTAAGTATTCCACCTCTTTTCACAAAGTATTCGCCTTCCCCAAGCCGTTTCGACTTGAGGCAGTTCATCTTACCTCATTAACAATTATACAAGTTTCATCATTACCGTCCTTTTGCAGCTTATAATAACTGCCATAGATAATTAATTAAAAATAATGACATATTCGGGTTAACAATGTTCATTACTTTCAGATACGATGTACTATTATGCTGAAAATGGTTTAATCGGAAAGGGTGGTTATGGTTCGGTTTATAAAGGCTACGCCATGAAAGGAGAAAAGAAGACACCCGTGAGTTTTGTAAATCATACGACTAATAATAATAAAAATACAATAATAATAATAATAATAAAAGACTCATAATCGATCAGTTAGAGAAGAAAGTGTAGTCTTAAACGTCCTTGTGTTATAGGGATCATTTAGGGGCGTGACTTTTGTACTAATATAGTATTCAGTAGCCTTCTTTCAAGAGATATACTATGTGTTTCTGCAGGTTGCTGTGAAATTTGTGAAATACATTTCAGTCGAAGAGTATTGCAAGGCGAGTACCATTTTGTGTATTCCATGCGTGGCATTAAGTTCTCTGAAAGGGATTTTTCCAAGCTACTATATATAACCTAGCTGTTGACTCATTTTTTTTCAGGATAAAGACTTAGGTCTTGTGCCAAGTGAAGTCTACTACCTGAAGAAAATGAAGGAACATCCTAATGTCATCACGTTCCTGCATTACCAAAGGATTTCTCCTGATGTATTTGTTATTATCTGTGAGCGACCCACTCACTGTCAAGACTTATTCGACCTTCGACAGGATAAAGGGGGGTTCTTTACCGAAGATGAAACTAAAAAATATATCACGAAGTTGCTTGATGTTGAACTTGCAATGCAGACGAAAAACATCGTTCATCGTGACATCAAATTAGAGAATATTCTCTACGACTTCGACACAGATGAGATTAAGCTAATTGATTTTGGATTGGCCTCAAAACATAAATCTGGCAAAGTCCTCGACGAATATTGTGGTTAGTATTCATCATACAATGATTACAAGTTACACATATAACCGGACAAAAAACAAATGTGACAAGCATAGGTGGACGTGCCAAAACCGGGGAGGGAGAACGCAAACGATTTCAGGAAAAATTACCCGACACTCGCGAGTACCAATTGCTCGACTTATCACCAATTCCGTCAGCCTTGCGGCAACGCCTATATTTTCAAGGGAAATTTATTTTCGGTGCGGGTTATGTATTTATCGACTTTCTAGTGATAATAATTAAGATCACAGATATAAATTGGTTATATTATAGCTATAATTATTTCTCTATCCCCATCAGGCAGTGAAATGAATGTGCCACCAGAATATG